CCAGATTCAGGAGGATTCAGGGTGGAAAGGTAGTCAAAGTAGTCAAGGATGAGCCGGATTAACTGACAATACCAGAATCAGTTTCAACAGAACCATCACTGTTGGTGGTAGTCCAAGTGGTGGTGTATTCAGTTTGGATACCCGAATTCAGATGATTCAGGTGGGAAAGTAGTCAAGGTAGACATGCTACTTCCAGACAAACATTCATCACCATCTCTCTTACAAATACTAGGGTTAAGAACTTTATGGTTCATGTACGAAAGTAGTCAAAGTAGTCAAGGATGAGCCGGATTGACTGACAATACCGGAATCAGTTTCAACAGAACCATCGCTGTTGGTGGTAGTCCAAGTGGTGGTGTATTCAGTTTGGATACCAGATTCAGAAGATTCAGGTGGGAAGGTAGTCAAAGTAGTCAAGGATGAGCCGGATTGACTGACAATACCAGAATCAGTTTCAACAGAACCATCACTGTTGGTGGTAGTCCAAGTGGTGGTGTATTCAGTTTGGATACCAGATTCAGAAGATTCAGGTGGGAAGGTAGTTAAAGTAGTCAAGGATGAGCCGGATTGACTGACAATACCAGAATCAGTTTCAACAGAACCATCACTGTTGGTGGTAGTCCAAGTGGTGGTGTATTCAGTTTGGATACCAGATTCAGAAGATGAGGAGGCTGGTGGGAACGTAGTCAAAGTAGTCAAGGATGAACCGGATTGACTGACAATACCAGAATCAGTTTCAACAGAACCATCGCTGTTGGTGGTAGTCCAAGTGGTGGTGTATTCAGTTTGGATACCGGATTCAGCAGATGAGGAGGCTGGTGGGAACGTAGTCAAAGTAGTCAAGGATGAGCCGGATTGACTGACAATACCAGAATCAGTTTCAACAGAACCATCGCTGTTGGTGGTAGTCCAAGTGGTGGTGTATTCAGTTTGGATACCAGATTCAGAAGATTCAGGTGGGAAGGTAGTCAAGGTAGACATGCTACATCCAGACAAACATTCATCACCATCTCTCTTACAAATACTAGGGTAAGAACTTTCTGGTTCATGTACGAAAGTAGTCAAAGTAGTCAAGGATGAGCCGGATTGACTGACAATACCGGAATCAGTTTCAACAGAACCATCGCTGTTGGTGGTAGTCCAAGTGGTGGTGTATTCAGTTTGGATACCAGATTCAGAAGATTCAGGTGGGAAGGTAGTCAAAGTAGTCAAGGATGAGCCGGATTGACTGACAATACCAGAATCAGTTTCAACAGAACCATCACTGTTGGTGGTAGTCCAAGTGGTGGTGTATTCAGTTTGGATACCAGATTCAGAAGATTCAGGTGGGAAGGTAGTCAAAGTAGTCAAGGATGAGCCGGATTGACTGACAATACCAGAATCAGTTTCAACAGAACCATCACTGTTGGTGGTAGTCCAAGTGGTGGTGTATTCAGTTTGGATACCAGATTCAGAAGATGAGGAGGCTGGTGGGAACGTAGTCAAAGTAGTCAAGGATGAACCGGATTGACTGACAATACCAGAATCAGTTTCAACAGAACCATCGCTGTTGGTGGTAGTCCAAGTGGTGGTGTATTCAGTTTGGATACCAGATTCAGAAGATTCAGGTGGGAAGGTAGTCAAAGTAGTCAAGGATGAGCCGGATTGACTGACAATACCAGAATCAGTTTCAACAGAACCATCGCTGTTGGTGGTAGTCCAAGTGGTGGTGTATTCAGTTTGGATACCAGATTCAGAAGATTCAGGTGGGAAGGTAGTCAAAGTAGTCAAGGATGAGCCGGATTGACTGACAATACCAGAATCAGTTTCAACAGAACCATCGCTGTTGGTGGTAGTCCAAGTGGTGGTGTATTCAGTTTGGATACCGGATTCAGAAGATGAGGAGGCTGGTGGGAACGTAGTCAAAGTAGTCAATGATGAGCCGGATTGACTGACAATACCAGAATCAGTTTCAACAGAACCGTCACTGTTGGTGGTAGTCCAAGTGGTGGTGTATTCAGTTTGGATACCGGATTCAGAAGATGAGGAGGCTGGTGGGAACGTAGTCAAAGTAGTCAATGATGAGCCGGATTGACTGACAATACCAGAATCAGTTTCAACAGAACCGTCACTGTTGGTGGTAGTCCAAGTGGTGGTGTATTCAGTTTGGATACCGGATTCAGAAGATGAGGAGGCTGGTGGGAACGTAGTCAAAGTAGTCAAGGATGAACCGGATTGACTGACAATACCAGAATCAGTTTCAACAGAACCATCGCTGTTGGTGGTAGTCCAAGTGGTGGTGTATTCAGTTTGGATACCGGATTCAGCAGATGAGGAGGCTGGTGGGAACGTAGTCAAAGTAGTCAAGGATGAGCCGGATTGACTGACAATACCAGAATCAGTTTCAACAGAACCGTCACTGTTGGTAGTAGTCCAAGTGGTGGTGTATTCAGTTTGGATACCGGATTCAGAAGATTCAGGTGGGAACGTAGTCAAGGTAGACATGCTACTTCCAGACAAACATTCATCACCATCTCTCTTACAAATACTAGGGTAAGAACTTTCTGGTTCATGTACGAAAGTAGTCAAAGTAGTCAAGGATGAGCCGGATTGACTGACAATACCAGAATCAGTTTCAACAGAACCATCGCTGTTGGTGGTAGTCCAAGTGGTGGTGTATTCAGTTTTGGATCCCTACTCAGCAGAGGAAGTAGCTTCGCTAGATGAGGTGGCTTCACTGGATGAGGTAGCCTTCTCTGGATGAGGTAGCTTCACTAGAGGAAGTAGCTTCACTAGATGAGGTGGCTTCACTGGAAGAAGTAGCTTCACTGGATGAGGTAGCTTCACTGGAAGAAGTGGCTTCACTAGATGAGGTGGCTTCACTGGAAGAAGTGGCTTCACTGGAAGAAGTAGCTTCACTAGATGAGGTAGCTTCACTAGATGAGGTAGCTTCACTGGAAGAAGTGGCTTCACTAGATGAGGTAGCTTCACTGGAAGAAGTAGCTTCACTAGATGAGGTAGCTTCACTGGAAGAAGTAGCTTCACTGGAAGAAGTAGCTTCACTGGAAGAAGTAGCTTCACTGGAAGAAGTAGCTTCACTAGATGAGGTAGCTTCACTAGATGAGGTAGCTTCGCTGGAGGAAGTAGCTTCATTGGAAGAAGTGGCTTCACTAGATGAGGTGGCTTCACTGGAAGAAGTGGCTTCACTGGAAGAAGTAGCTTCACTAGATGAGGTAGCTTCACTGGAAGAAGTGGCTTCACTAGATGAGGTAGCTTCACTGGAAGAAGTAGCTTCACTAGATGAGGTAGCTTCACTGGAAGAAGTAGCTTCACTAGATGAGGTAGCTTCACTAGATGAGGTAGCTTCACTGGAAGAAGTAGCTTCACTAGATGAGGTAGCTTCACTAGATGAGGTAGCTTCACTGGAAGAAGTAGCTTCACTGGAAGAAGTGGCTTCACTGGAAGAAGTGGCTTCACTAGATGAGGTAGCTTCACTGGAGGAAGTAGCTTCACTGGAAGAAGTAGATTCTTCGGTTGATGACACGACTTCAGAACTACTTGTAGACGCGGTTGGGAAAATTGAAGTGGTCGTGTACCAGGAACCATTTGTATCAGTGGTAATGTCAACAACACCTGTCTCTGTCAATTCAGATCCATCTGAAGCAGTAGTAGTGATTGTTGTTGTGTACTCTGTTGGTTCAGTACCTGGAGCTTCTGGAAGTTGTTTACATTCAATTTGACATGAAGAAGGTAAAGTACGATCTGGGACTGGACCATTATATTGAAGACTACCAAGAACGGTTGAAGGTAACCCAGCTCCTGAATCAGTAACAATTTGAAATAAATCGGGATCATAACCGGTACCAATGTTAAATCTTTGTGTTACTAAGAGGTTTCTTAAAGTTAATATACCAGTGGATTCATCATAACTGTAAGCTGGGTAACTTGGAATAAGATTACCAACAAGTGGTAATGTGACACCAATTTTGTTTCCGTTACCAAAACCATAAACATTGAATGTTTGAGGAGTAGAAAGAGCCTGAGCAATAATTGATGAATCGCTATCTTTGAGATAAAGATTTTGGTTAGTGTCAACTGATAAAAGTGAGTTAGAAATATAGATGGTTGAGTCATCATCGGCAGTAATACACCCACTTCCTTTGATTGCTGTAGTTTGTTGGTACACAGAATCAAAAAGACAAATGTTACCATTGTTAGTAATACTTCCGAGAGGAGTACCAAGCAAAACATTTCCTGAGTTTCTTTGGTTCTGATAGAACACCATTAAGTTTTCATTATCCCAAGATGCAGCAGTGATAGACATAACACTTGGTAAGACTCCAGAGGCGCCCATGTACATTTCACCAGTATTCTCAAATGACAAACCAGCTAAATTAAAAGTTGAACTAGTCAAAGAAGCAACTGAATTAAAAGAAATAATACCATCATTCTGAATTGTTTCAAGAAGGGAAGTTAAAAGCACTTGGAGGGAAAGAACAGGGGATGTCAGAGTAATATAAAAGCCAGCACCAGATTGGACATCAAGATTACCAACAATTGTGGAAATAGCATTATTAATAATAGACCACGACGCAGGGGAGTGAATTGTAATGTCACCAACACTGACATCAACTGTACCACGGTCGATTCTGTCCAGCGTTATATCGAGAGCTGACACGGATGTTAACAATAACCAAGCAGTTATTAAGAACCTTCTGACAGGCAACAACATATTTCTTGTTATTTTATTGTAGAAGTAAAAAGTTGATACTATTATTAAAAGAAAAAACTATAATATTTGGGAAAGATGATGCTAGCTGTCTTTTATTTATAGAATTTTGAATTTAAATTGATAGCTGGAGGAATTACATTGTTCAAACGAAGCTTTTGGGGATAAATAAGTTATAAACAAAATAGAACTATGTTGCAAAAGGAAGTGCGGTATAGTTCACAAAGATGAATAGAAGTGGGATAAAGTTGGGAAAATAAGCAGACTCTTAGAAGAATATGGATGTTATCCCAAAGTTACAAAAATATTTCGAACAAAATAAAAGTACTTCTATTGTCCGTATAGTTGAAATTTAGTAACTTCCATTGTTTCCATTGTCGATTCAAAAAATGTGTTTGGTATGTTCAAGTACAAGAGAATAATGGAATTTCTGCAGGTTTGTTGATTAAAGAACACTTACATACTACATGTCGACAATTATGTATTCTTCAGAAGGAACCCAACAAGAGGAAGAGCATCAGCTGGTTCCATCAAAAACAAAAAACCTCTTATCCGTGTTCTCTTGTTGCGTTTATTACCTGAATTTCAGGTAAACATTGCTAGGCTATTAAAGCCTCAAATAACTTATATCTAAGTAACATTCAATTGAGTACCGATAAACAGAAAAGTAGAATTTTATAAATAAGCAGAGTCTTGTGAAAAGCGGAATGACCCTGTACAAATAATACTCAAAAAGAAATTATTCCTCGTTTTTGAGTAATTAGAATTTCAGGGAGTTTGCACACATTGGAAATTTACAAATTAATCCATGATGGACATTAGATATTGAATATTTGATTAAAGTACTTTATAAAATTGCTTTTTTTCTTTTGTTTTTGAATCCAAAATCCAACCACGGTATATAACTCTCCTCATTTGGTACTGGTGGCCTATTGTTGCGAAACCAAAAAAAATAAATGCAGCACAGAATTGAAACAAAAAGTGCAAAAATTAACCTAACAATAAAAGACATTTCCGTTGATTTCTGTTCAATTCAAAAGACCTCTTAATTTTCGTGTTAACAAAGGGGGGTGAAAAATTGTAACAGTATTACAACTAACGATCTCTTTTGAGAGGCAATACTGGCATTCTGCGGTCTTAATTGTCATCTACGAGCAGTGATTTAGTTGGTTTATGAGTTAAGCTGAATGATCAAAACTGGAAAATAAATTATTATGCGTCTGTCCTAAACATCTAAATAAACACTATACCAGAAGAAGTGAAAAAAAAGGAAGTAATTTTCAAACGAACTTTAACTTAATAATGCATTTTCCTTTCACTTACATGTAAGTGATCAAAACTGTAGCTCTCAATGTTCATCCTTTCGTAAGTATTACATCTATTGTTTTATCGCATTCTTTCTATTGTAGAACAATATGACAAACTATATTGCTCTACTTAATGCAATAACTACGTTCTATGGATTGTTTGTTGGTTCTATAAATTATTAGTTAACCATTGTGTGAGTCGATAGCTTGAAAAAGAGTCATGCACAAAGGGCAATTGTATAATAAAAATGAATTCAAAATGGTTTGCTCAATACTGTGGAATACGGAGATGCGGTGTGTGTAAACTGGATACTTGTATTCAAAATACCCATATCTGAAATAGCTGGTTCTGCTAATTGGAAAAAACTAAAAACAAAATTTTACTCGAATAGGGTCAATAGCATTTTTTTTTGATTTGCAATAAATGACCGTATGTTAAAAGAACTTTGATCTGGAAGTAAATTTCAAGTACATAAAGACAAAGAACGCAAGTTAAGTATTGTCATCCACAACTATCTGTTATTTAGAGGTCATACAGTGATATATTAATTTGTTCATTATCATTTATATCAAACATCTTCAGAACTTAATATAAGATTGATTGAACTATTATTGTTCTACTTTATATTCACATAATTTAATTAAGAAAACGTTTGCAAAGACTTTAAATTTATCCCTTAGACGGTCATAGATTTATAATTATGAAAGGTTATTGTTAAGAGTTGAAAATAGTTGAGTTTATCAATTAAATCATTGGCTCTAATCAGGTTTCATTTGTTTTCCAACCCCGAAATTCCTTAAAATATTCATTCTGAAGGGATGTTTTAACAAGCTACTCGGGATTTTCCCTCTTTTTTTTACAATTATTACTGAAGGCTTGGAGCATTTTCTGGGACACTTGAACTCTCTTCTTCAAGAGTCTAAGTAATCTGTAAAGTCTGTTTTCCATCCAAGTATCCATTGCAAATATTGCATGTGGATCCTACCCATCATTTCTTTTTTTCGAGTTTCTTTGTACTTTGTACTCATTTTAATTTTTTTATTATTATTATTTATCATTATCCTATTGTACAGTCAGAGTTTTGTACTTGATATGGGGTTGATGACTAATTCAAAAAGATTCACCTCAGTGTATCGATATTTCTACTACTCCCCTCTTTCACATTTCATTTTTGCTGGATTTCAGTGGTATTTTTAGCAAAAGATTGGCGTCTATGGGTGTGAATAAAGATGACTTTGTTCAATGAAAAAAAAATATATACAATTTCAACAACGGAAATCAGTTTCTTAGTCCTTTATTCTACAAATACAAAGTAAATTGAATTATAATTGCCGATCGGTTTTATTCTTGCAATTTCACAATCACGTTAAGTTCATCGACTCAATGTATAATATTTTGCATGGTGCATAATGATCTTGCCAAGAATGTTAGTAGCATGTTTGCTTATCTGTTCTATTAATATTGTTCTGTGACTTTCTTATGTAAAATTATTCTTCATTTATTTTTAGAAGAAAACAAAGCATCAGAACCAGACTACTATTTATTGTTCACTCACATTGCGATATAATGAAATTCCAATCACATGGGAAATTTTAGATCATCACAACCATGGTACAATGCATAATGCAGTCCATATTGATGATATGGGTTGCGAACTATGACGTCGACAGATCGTTTCTTGGCCATTCTGAGACATTCAATCTTGCAAATAACAAGACTTTTCTCTTGTTCCTGATTGATGAGATTGGGTTTTTTGTTTGGTTCAAAGTTTCTGAGAAAAGTATTCCAAGATTGTTGAATCCAAAACTGCATCGCATATTCATTATCAATATGTCTTACAACTCCTCATCAATAAGAGAGTTGTGGTGAAATACCATCTAGTAAACCACAAACGCCTTAAAGTGAATAATACAAAACTAGGTGAAATAATAAAACATAGACACGACCTCGACTCTGCATATTGAGCACACCTCTTTAATCTTTCAAGAGAATTGAAAATTTGGCATGCTTATGCTTTGTGGTTATTGTTCACAATTACTCCGTCGGAAGAATGCCCCTCAGTTGCATTTATAATACTTGCTGGTAGGGCTATTTCAAATGTACGATTTGCTAATTTAATACTGTTATGAGGATCGTAATTATAAAAGAAATATAAAGTGTGATATTTTATAGATTATCCTGCGTGGTAGAAATGACTACATATCTGGGTACAAATGAACAGAGCCCCCTTTTGGCCCCTTATTGCAATGAATATTTCTCTCATACAATACAAAGTATACAGAATTTTAACCTTCTAAGTTTAAGCCAAATCTGATGGTTTCGAAAGCTTAATTTTCATTAAGACTACTATTGTATGTTGTTTGCTCATTTGGAACATGTAAAGTTTTTACTGTGTGGATTCTTCTAAAAGAATTTATTGAATCGAACTATTAAACTTATTGTCTAATATTCCGTTATTTTATTACGAAGCGTACAATAAAAACTTATAATTTCTTATTCGAACAGCGTAAACTGGAAAACACCAAATTACATAAATGAAATAGTGCTACATTGTTAAATCAATTGTAACATTAACTAATAAGTTAGTGAAAACAAGAGTTTTGTTATTGAAGGGGTACATTTGCTTCCCAAATTGGATAATTCTTTAGTAGCAAAAACTAATACAAGAGTTTGTCTCAAGAACAAACTTCGAATTCATTTGCATTCCCTAGATGTGATTTCCAATTCACTTTCTTTTTTTTTTTTTATTTAATACCTAACAAGGGAAACATTCATTACAGGAAGAAAGGCAAAATAATTAATAGATAATACATTTGGGCCTAGCCAGTGCTGGTACTTTGCAAAGGATCCGGTGCAAGCGAATGGATTCCGGGAAGTTGTACTTTTTATTTTAGGAAAACATGATAATGAGGATGAATTTATTCCTATTGTATAACTATGTGATTATTTCATTGGTATTCTCTAAGTCATATATAATAAAGAGTGATACTTTAAGCAGAAAACAATGCTTATATTAAAAAATTGAATTCTAAGCCTTTCTGAAAAAATAAAATAAAATAAAATAAAATAAAAACACATCCAAAAAAAAAGCTAACCAGTATCTGTTTATTAAAAAAGTTATTACAGCTATGGTTATCATGTTGATATTCTCAATAACATTGTATTAGAGCTCCTAATTCATTGTTTTTATACTAAATTTCTAGAATAAAGGGAGGAAAAAAACACTCAATATTAGCATCTCGATCGCTAAAAATATACATTTCAAGTGTCTGCCTCATTCTGAGAAAAGAGTGTCTCTGGTATTCCATCAATCAATGCTGCTTATAAATCCCGCAACAAGTTCATAGACTTTAACTTAAACTAATCTGATGATATACTGTCCAGCACTACTTTAAAGCAAATCATACAACAGGTGCTGTTATGTCTTTTGTTCTGTTTTGTTTTCTTGGATTGTTAATGACTACTGGTTGTGTACTCACTAGGAGGTTAAATTTGTAAATGATAATAGGCATTACGTTATTAAAACTACTTCAGTAAGAAAAGTGATGGACAAACTACGAACAAAGATATATGGGTACGTGAATAAATTGATCAACAAAAAATATATTCATGATTGGTTTCATTATTTATCTTCAATCACAAAGTTAGCCAAATTATTTGTTACATTTCTATCGATTCTACTTTTTTTAAAGCTCATACATGAACAATAGCCGTTGTCAAATAACTATATACCTATTCTCTCCACTTTATGTGTATGTGAATAAAAGCAATAATCTTTAAAATAGCAGCGAAGATTTCCTAGATTGGATACTCGTTTTGTGTACTTACAAAAATTATAAATCTCTGAGCTTTTACAGTAAAAAAATAGTTACAAAACCATTTTTTACTTTTGTTATACGGGTCTTGTTTGGTTTGTAATAAGTAATCTTATAAAAGTAGTAATCTATTTCAAGAGATTAAAAAAGAAAATACATTGATTAGTCTCTCAAAAATTTTTAAAATAACTATAAAGCAAACTCTTCTCAATATGAATAAAGTATGCAATAAGGGGGTAACACAAGAAGTGAATGATTCTGCATTAAAATGTTTTCTATACGTTTTGAACAACTTTTAGAGGGGAAACCTCATCTGCGTACAAATGTTGCAGGACACGACTTTGCTGCTCGCACATGAAAAAGCAAAATAAACGTGATTGGATGAAACCAATTCTCCACGATAATGAAGGTGGTGCTATTGAGCTATTTGGTTCAATTTATTAATAAAACTTAGCTAATTTTAGAGTATATAATTACAGCTGATTTATTTATTTTGTTTTTGTTAGAAGTAATAAAGCAGTTTATAAATTTTTAATTTTCAGTCAAAGATTGTACAAAATTTCCATTAATAATTGCAAAGTCATTTTCCTCTGAAAAGTCAACATTTGTTTCTCAGTAAATACAAATAATTTTTAACTTCTACACTGTTAATCTAAGTTCTAGTATATTGATTAGTTACTAAATATATAAATTAGTTACACCCATCTCTTAAAACAATTGTTAACTGGTATCAAAAAATTCAAATAATTGTGCAAGCTGCACGACTTTCTTAATAAAATTTTCCTATTTCGACCGAACCACCTTTCAAAAATTGAAATTTTTCGCACCATGTGTGGCAATAGCCTAATTTGTTTTGTGTTCAAACAATAAATTTTTATTACTTTTTTACCCTAACATCGAGTTCGACTCTGGACAGTAAAATTTATACAAGAAATTTCTTATATAGTATTAGTAAGTGATAGAACACTTTAAAACAACGTCAAATATGCCATTCTATCAAATGGTCTACAGTCAAAATTAATGCATTTATTTTTTGTATAGTCTATTTAATTCCAATACTCAATATAATGGAAACAGCGTTCAGAAAAATTACAAAGAAAGTAGTAATTGCTAACGAATTAAGACAATAACATCAGTTGACAGTTATAGTTGTCATGTAGGAACCTACAATATCATGAATTTTTACCTTCAATTTCTGGAAAAGATGTAAAAAAAACTGTTGTAATACAAAGAGTAAACGAAGCAAAATCTAGGTAGAGTCTTTGTTTTGAATCCCGACTGGTTTTACAGCTCCATTCCAGCTAGTCTTGTCCAATTTATTATGGGTTCATACAACTTGAGGGTGGTAAAATATATTTACACATAGCTTGGGTTGTAACGTTCAGAATTATCCCTTGTAGGTGGTGCCATATATTTACAGATCTGAATGTTCACCCCGTGAAACCATTTATTTATATGTACCTGCTTTGGTGCACATTTGTATGTTCCACGAATTACAACATTTGCTTCTTCTGGTTCGATTTTCTTCAATTTTGAAAAAGACATGTGGTTGATAGTGATGAATCAAGATATTTCAATTTTTCATGGGCTATTTGGATAATAACTGGTGTACTTGGATGTCAATCCTAGCTCTTGAAAAACCAAAGTATCTTTTCTTTAACAATAATTATGTTGTTCCTCAATAAGTCAATAACTATGAGGCTTACATGGTTAAAAATGTATTCTTTATAGAGATAATACAAATTACATCACGTTTATAGTATTTGCACTTTATATTTCCAGTGTTACCTGGTATTACCAAAGGGGTTCACCAGGGTTTCCAATAGATGTATTTCAGCAGTGTTAATTTTGGTTGGGGTACGAAAATATCCCAAAAATTTGACGTGAATCTCTTTTGGCCATACAAATGGAAGAAACTGGCTAGTTTCCAGTTATTAAAAGTAAATATTTTATGGTATATTGTATCGATCACATAAAAATCGAATATAGACGTACATTATTGAATGATACACTTTTACAAGTATAAATAATATGCTGCTAATAGTCACTTCTAGGCTTAGGTTTTTGTTGATGTTTAAAGCAATGTGTGTTAAATACGGCTATTGTAAAAAAAATATAAACTTCTATCTACCTATTTTGAAGTATCAACAACATATCTACCCAAGATTTTGCCTTCTTCTAATAATTTAAAAACTTCTGGTAATTCACTCAATCCTACAATCTTAATTGGACATTTGACCAAACCTCTAGCAAAGAAATCAACAGCTTCAGCAGTATCTTTTCTGTTTCCTACATAAGAAGCTTTAATTTGAACAGACTTGGCAACTGCATCAAAAATAGGAGTATTAAGCTTAGCCCCTGCTGGCAAACCAACCAAAACAACAGTACCCAAAGTTCTAACATAATCAAGAGATTGATTGATTGCTTTTTCAGAAGTTGAAACATTAAGAACACCATGTGGTCCACCATTGGTTGCTTCTTTGATAGCTTCAGTAATATCAGCAACTTTAGTAAAATCAATGTATGTCTCAGCACCCAAAGATTTGACAAATTCACCTCTCTCATCTCCAGCATCAATGGCCAATACTCTATAACCCATGGCTTTAGCGTATTGAATACCTAATGATCCCAAGCCACCAGCAGCACCAGAAATGGCGATCCATTGGCCTGGTTGTATACCAGCAGTTTTCAATGCACGGTAAACGGTGACACCAGCACATGAGATCGGAGCAATGCTTGCCAAATCAGAACCTTCTGGAAATTTAGCAGCTTGGAGAGCATCGGCAGTGGCATATTGTTGGAAAGAACCATCATGAGTATAACCTGACATATCAGCTTGGTGACAATTAGGTTCAGCACCTTGTTGACAATATTCACAATTCATACAAGAGCCATTTATTAATTTGATTCCCGCATAGTCACCGATTTTCCAACCTTTGACATTTTCTCCCATTGCAGCAACAACACCAGCACCTTCATGACCGCCTACAACGGGTAATTTTGCAGGTGGTGCCCAATCACCTTTCCAAACGTGAATATCAGAATGACAGACACCCGAATACTTGACATTAATAAGTAATTCGTTTGCTTTTGGGACAGGAACTGGAATATTGGTATATTTCAATTCTCCGTGTTGAGATTCATAAATAACAGCTTTTTGAGTAATTGGAATTGACATGCTTATTGTAGTTTTATAAAAGTCAATTGTTATTGGAATTGATAAAACAAAAAAAAAGACAAACTATAATTAAAAATATTTCTAGTAAACTAGATGATTTTCATCCTCCTTTTATACCAGATATATTTGAAAATCTCCCCCACTGTCTTTATAAACTATATTGTAATTTATTTCCTATTCTTGTTCGATGTTTCCTATTCTTGTTCTACGTTTGCCTCCTTTTCAACATTGACACCCAATACCAAGACATTTTTTATTTTATTTTATTTTATTTTATTTCATTTCATTTTATTTTAACCTTATTAATCATTTTTGGGTTCCATCAATGTACGGATAATTTACAAAGTTCCCCCTTTTCAGGAAAGAAAGATAAAAAAACAAACAAACAAATCTCTTAACCAGAGTAAATGTCAAAACCATATATTACATTCTGTGCATTAGGTACTGTCCCTTATTGCCAATCCTTGTTCCAATTCTCGACTCATTGTAAAATGGATGTGAAAATAGCATTCTTCCAAGGTTTTCAAAACATGTTGAAATCAAATAACTTCTTGGTCTGTTTTTTCAATGTGTCGGATATTTTTTAGTCGGTTTCGTCCACTGGTGAATAAACTTTTTTAAATAACAAACACACCAAGTATAATTTAATTTTTTGATAAAGCACCTAAAAGGAAAATAAATGATTAATACAAGACAAGCTTTTATTCTTCTTCTTCTTATTGGTTTCCTTTAGTAAGAAGTGCCATTGTGTGCAATTACCAAAACAGGGATTAGCAACTAATTATCACTTCATATATAAGTGCTTTCAATTCTATCTGTCATTTTTGCAAATAATAGATCGCCATTAAAAAAAGGGGGAATTATACAAGTGATCGGTCTCTTTGATGTTGTTAAAAAAGTTGGATATATATAAATTAACGGATACAACATTCCCGGTTTAGGTTATTAAAGTTAGAGAAGAAGCATACATTACCACCATCCCCACCAAATCTTAATTTTATGTAACATGTAGATATCGATTATAAGTAAAAAAAATGAAACTCACATAGTTTGTTTTATTGTTCACTTTATTACCTTTGTATTCACTTTGGTTGAGTATTTCCTATGAGTGATTATTTTTTACTTTTTTTGCATTTATCCGTGACACTTGTTGATTATACTGAAAATTTCCATTAAAAGAAGTATTCAAGGGTCTGTAATATTATCCGGATATTAGACACTCTATCTTCCTATCTTGTTCAATTACTGTAACCCTACCCCTACCCCTACCATTTTCTGTGTTTTTCTTTTATTTTATTTTTACAAATACACTTATGTGGTTGATATTTTGTCACCCGTAGTAACAAAAGTGGAGTCATCGTCGTGCTATTATTAAAATCCATGACAAATGCCAGTTTTCTTTCTTTTGTTGTTAAAGTTAAGCATCCTCCTTGGTTATCTTGTTTCTATTTTCAAACAGAATATATGGAATGTTGGTACAATTGTGTGGTGTTGATTATCTTTTACTTGCATGATTCAAATATAAGTAATAAAGAAGAATCCACTTGAATTCTGAACAGTTACTTGGCGATTGTAGTTATTTTGTAGAACCATAATCAACAAGACACTTGCTGGAACAATTTACAAGTAATATTAATAATCAGGTCGTGTGTCGATTAGAATGCCTGATGGCACAGCTCTAAACTCAGTGGCAATGATTACGTAATTAATCATGACCAGAGAAAAAAAAATTAGATCTAACGGATGAATACACGCAAGGCAAAAGTGTAAGCCAAAAAAAAAATACAGAAAACAAATTACACTAATCTTTTGAAGAATTACTCCAAGTATTTGCATTCTCCTTATTGTTATTATTATCGTTATTGTTGTTTCTTGTATAGTCACCCCAACCTTGTTTTATTACTATCAACCATGTCCACCCCAGCCAAAAGAAGACTTATGCGTGATTTCAAAGTATGTTGTTATCATTAGACCAAAGAAACCTGAATTATTATCAAGACTTGCCTTTCTTTGTTTCTTGATAAAATCTTTAGAAATTTGAATATAAATAAATAAAAAAAAAATAGAAAAACTAACATTCTGTTTGTGAATAGCGTATGCAACAAGATCCACCTAGTGGAGTATCTGCATCACCATTGCCTGATAATGTGATGAAATGGAATGCTGTTATTATAGGACCATCAGATACACCATTTGAAGATGGTACATTTCGATTAATGTTACAATTTGACGAACAATATCCTAATAAACCTCCACAAGTTCGATTCATATCTGAAATGTTTCATCCAAATGTATATGCAAGTGGTGAATTATGTTTGGATATTTTACAGAATAGATGGTCTCCTACTTATGACGTGAGTTCTATCTTGACATCAGTACAGTCCTTGTTGAATGATCCTAATATTTCATCCCCGGCCAATGTCGAAGCGGCCAATTTATACAAGGACCATCGTTCACAATACGTGAAAAGAGTAAGGGAGACAGTTGAAAATAGTTGGAATGACGAAGACGAAGACGAGGATGAGGATGATGAAGATGAAGATAACATAGACCAGGATTAAAATCAAAATATTTCCTGTCCCCCAGTATTCATGAAACTTGTATAATTTGAATTTTAAATCTTTTTGAATTTTTTTTTTTTCTATTTTTACTTTTCCTTGATTATATACCTTAAATAAATAGTAGATTGGCATTTAATAAAATAAAAGTTTATGTACAAGAAACATATCTCCCTCGAGATCATACTACAAATCTATGTAGTTTTTACTTTAACCACAAATAGTACCATTTTTTCTTATTCTTTCTGGCTAGTTCTTCTTCAAGTTGTTTTTTACGTTCAAGTTCCAACTTCTCTTCTTCTTGTTTAATTCTATTCTGTCTTTCTATTTCATATCTATCTTCAATGATAATTTCTTTAGGTTTCCCACTTTCTCCAATATTTTTATCTCTTGCAATGGCAAATAATGAAATTAAAACTACCAAATAAATAAAAAATTTTGTAACTCCATCCATTCTTTTCACATTAAATTGATCTTTTCTAACTGGAGTTTGACTTAACAATAATTCAGGTAATTTTTTAATATATGTATGTGGTTTAGGATTTCTAGTTTTAATTTTCGACGGTACTTCAAACGGAAGATCTAAAGGTGGTTCAGTAATACTATTCCAATTTGTAAATTTTTCACGTACTCCCCAATCACCATAAGCAATAAAATATCCCAATTTTTTATCTTTTAAACTTAATTTATTCCAATTTTTGTCATATTTTTCTTGTAATTCTTTCAATACTTGTCCTTGATGTAATAAACTTAATGAAGCAAATAGTCGTGGATTTTCAAAAACTGGTGCAGTATTAATTGGTTGAGTTTCTTCTGAAGAATTTGATAATAATGATCCAAAATCTTTTAATGATTGAACAGCTAATTGTGTAGCTTGTCTTCTGGCTTCTTCCGGTGAAAGCTTGGTAGAAGCATTTCGTATAAATGTTCTTGAGATCATTTGATTTGTTTCCTGGTCTATTGGGTTCCAACTAAATGGTTAGAATGTAAAAGTTTTTCATGAACGATATTTGAACCCGATCTTGCACCAAAAAAAAAAAAGAAAAAAGAAAATTATTCATTGCATTGGTAGTGCACGTTGTCCAGATAACATCAACTCTGATCTATGAATATTGACAAAAAGTCATTACAATATGAATGAAGTAGGACCTGTCGAGTGTGATTTAGACAATATAAGCAGTACAAATTATTGTACACATTTGACAAACAAAGTTTATGTGATATTTGCTAAGTTCCTCTGAAAAATGAATCGCTCTTCAATTAGAATTAATGAGTAACTTGATCGATTAGAAAATATAAATAAGCTTAAATGTATATACATACTAATTACTATATACTTCACTTCTTCTTGCCTTTCTTCTTTCCACCTTTCTTTCCAGACTTCTTCTTGTTCTTTTTCTTAGGAGCCGATTTCTGGACAGTACCAACAGATGGAGAAGGAGATTTCTGTTCTTCATTACCTTCAGTTGGTGATGTTGCTGGTTCTGGACTCATTGATGGCTCAGTACTTTCACTTGGACGCGATTCACTATCATTTCCATTTCTATTTTCAACTTTGCCTGATTGTTCTGGTTCTGGCTGTGATTCGGTATTGGTAGAAGGCACTGACATATCCTCTACTGTCACTGTACTCTTTACAGCTTCAACTTGAGGTTCTTCTATTATATCCTTATTCTGATCAAGATCAACTTGAGTATCTGATGGTTCAGCTTGCTCTTCACTCAAAGGAGTTTCTTCTCTTGGTTCTTCTCTTGGTTCTTCTCTTGGTTCTTCTTCTCTTGGTTCTTCTTCTCTTGGTTCTTCTTCTCTTGGTTCTTCTTCAGTGATAGTTGGCTGCACTTCTGGTTGTACGTCTTCTTCCTGCTCTTCGTCTTCTTCAATTATAATATATTTTGATCCAGGCTCATCTTCAGATTTTTGTTCCGCTTTCTTCACTGAGGCCACACTATGATACTCAGTGCTACCATCTTCATTAGATTGTGATATCAATGGAGTAGATTCATCAATAGTAGAAGTTTCATTTTGGATGTTCTGTTCATAAATTCTTTCTCTAAGGTCCATAATTTCTTCTGGTTCATCAGTGACTTGTGTAGAACTTCCTTCAGCTGGCTCTTTGATTTCGTTTCCAATTTCAACATCCCCTAGTTCATTCTTTTCACTCATTTTATTATGTACAGCACTGGATCCAACCCTAACATTATCATTTGCTGCTCTTCCAAAAAAGTCCAATTCTTCTTCTGGGTATCTAGGTGGTAATTCTTCTCCTTTATCCAAAACTTTATCAACTCCATCTTCAACTACTCTATCGTATTGAGGTAATGAAGCTAAACCTCTATCACCAGCCAATTTCTTATAATCACTTGTAGATACAAATCCATACTTTCTTACATTTGCTTCAATCCATACAAAACCCAATTGTCCCAAATTAACTTGAAATTTAGCATTTGTTGAAAAACAACCCACAGCAGGGAATAAATCAACAAAACAACCCTTCATAACATCCAATACTTTTCTACCATTTCTTGTAATAAAGATAGTACCAGTAGAAATTACATAACCAAAACCAACAATATCAGATTGCTGCAATGGAGGTAAAACCAATGCATTATATTCACTATGTTCATCTTGATGTTGTTGCAATGGTGTTGGGAAAGGTTTGTTGATTTTCAAATTACCAGTACTTTCATAACCAATAGAAAATTTGTTATAACCAGGAAGTCTAAAAGATGACGGGTATGGTTTAGTAACCAAACCTATGGAGAAATGGGCATTTGGGTTATTTTCATTATTAAATTCAAAGATTTTTGTTTCAAAATAAACAGTATCTGAGTAAACACGGTTTTTCACTGGGAGAGGATAGTTTAAAACGGCAGTAGCTGTCGAATATGGCATATCATTATTATGGAAATTCAATTCACATTTATCAGCAACAATAAAACGTTGGTCCATAACATCATGGTCTGGTTCAAATTGAAAAGCACCAATTCCACATTCTTTAATTAATTTTTCATCATCAGCAGTAAATGTTTTACCTCGAACATTATTAAAATCAGGAGGATTATTTGTGGTGAACTCTTGACCTTTCAAATATGCGCCTTGTTCTTCTGGTGATAAATTTGTAAAATCAAAGGAATCTGCCAATTGTAACAAACTTTCTTCATCATTTAAGAATTCTCTTGGAACATCATTCAGATGGGATCCCAATAAATCTGAAGCCAAACTTGAATATTCATTTCTTTCTGAATTTTGACAGAATAATTTGTAAGCACAGATAGATAAGGCAATAAATAAAAATATCGATGCAAATACTAGCAAGAGTAGTATGCTGATAGGATCAGATTCCATGGTATTCTTGATAGATATTTTTCCAAGGGGCAACTGGTAGAATACGGATGATATTGATTAAATATGAGTTGAAAACAAACTAAGTAAAAAGTAGTTAATTTTTGTTGTGGTTAGATGATCTCCTCTCCCCGAAATGTATTGGGTTGTGTAAACAGGGAGAAAAAAAATAAAAAAAATTTTTGACTGAGAAAAAAAAAAAAAAAAAAAAAAAATTATGTGACGATTTTTTATTAACCGACTAATATGCTTAAGAAGAAGAAGAAGAAGAAGAAGAATAGACGAGTCAAATAAGGCACGGGAATTATTGGCATATTGTTCTTTCTTACTATTATCATCATCTTTTCATGGAATTGTAAAAAAAAAAGTAGTTAGATGCAGGAGTAATATACTATAATTGTACTTCTTCTTTGTTGGTTGTAGTTACAAACCCGTTGGTGAAAGAGAAGAAGAAGAAGAAGAAGAAGAAGAAGATTTACGCACACGGTGTTACATTTTCCTTTAATTATTGATGTGAACTTGGTAGCTTTTTTTTTGACTTTGCCAAGTTCTTGTACCAATATATATATATAAGCGTGATTTGGTTTATGTGATCTGAATTCAGAAGAACGTTACGAATGGATTATAGAGTGACTAAACATGAATCAGTATCTCTTTGGCCTCAACGGTTAAGGGTTATTAGGTATTGAACGGCAGTAAGCACGAATGAAAAAGAAAAAAAGAAGAAGAACTGGGGACAAAAAAAAAGAATTATCTAGACGCGTACTTTTTTTAGCGGGCCGATAACAAATTTTCATTCCACCTCCACTCATCTCATCAACAAAAACCCATACTTCATACCAACATCATGACAGTTGAGACCATTTGGAAAAAAATAGCCATATCAGAATCAGAAGTTAGTTTACATAAAGTTTTACGATGTGGTCAAACTTTCAGATGGAAGAGTATAAACAACGTTTGGTCATTTGCTATTTCTGATAGAATCATTTTATTAAAACAAGATGAGAGTAATATTTACTATTCTCATATTATGCAAAAAGGACGTTCTGGAAATGATCTGGAAACTTTGTCATTTATAAATGATTATTTTACATTAGGAATCAATCTAGGAGAGTTATACACTCATTGGAAGTTAAAACATCAAGTATATCAATCTAAAACCAAAAAATCTCCATTTGATTTGTTCACTGGGATAAGAATACTTAGACAGGATCCTTGGGAATGTCTTGTCTCATTTATTTGTTCATCCAATAATAATGTTAAACGTATTTCAAAGATGTGTGATAATCTATGTATTCATTTTGGAGAATATATAAATGAATATGAAGGACACAAGTATTATTCATTTCCTACACCAGAATCATTATCACAATCTTCAGTAGAATCCAAATTACGTGAATTAGGTTTTGGTTATCGTGCAAAATATATCCATCAAACTGCATGTAAATTCACTGATGATTCAAAATATCCCGATATAACCCTTGATCAATTGAATTCTATGAGAAATGAGAAATATATAAAAGCTCATGAATTTTTACTACAATTAACAGGTGTTGGTCCAAAAGTAGCTGATTGTATTTGTTTGATGTCTTTGGATAAACATGATGTTGTCCCTATAGACACTCATGTTTATCAAATTGCTGTGCGTGATTACAAGTTTAAAGGAAAGAAGGACATCAAGACTTTAAATAAAGAAACTTATGCTGCTATTAGATCTTTTTTTAAGGAAATATTCGGTGATTATGCTGGATGGGCTCAATCAGTGTTGTTTGCTGCTGATTTGAGTGATTTAAATAACGGTACTAATATAATCGATCAAGTTAAAGAAGAAGAACCCAAGGCAAAAAGAATCAAACTTGATAAAAGCATAAAAGTTGAGAGTTAAATACATCACAGTAGTTAAGTTATATCTTCCATATTCAATACATGAATTGTCCCAGTATCTATTCTACAAGTCACCTTTATTTCAATGAAAATAATTTAAATAAATGCAATTGTATTTCTTGAGAAATTTATTTTTTATACTATTATTAACATGTATTTGTTATTTTTGGTTATATTATTCTAATCAAATTATCCTCTTAATCAGATGAAATTCTCTAATCGAACAAACCGAAACCCATATCATCATCAGATTCTTCTTTTTCTTCTTCAGCAGCTTCTTCAGCGGCTTCTTCAGAAGAACCACCAGCAGCGGCACCAGCAGAAGCACCAGAGGCAGCAGCTGGAGCAGAAGCAGCGAAGGAGAATAATAATTCTTTCAAATCTTTACCTTCAACGGCTTTGGCGAAAACATCAGCCCAGATGGCATCAACATTGGCACCAGCAGCTTTGGTGATGGCCAATAATTTTTCAGCAGTGATTTCTTGTTCAGCGTCGGCTAAGATCAAAGCAGCGTAGGAAACGGAGGCTTCAGTAGACATGGTTATTCGTTGATTATGAATCAAATTAGTATATAGTAACTTTTACTCCTTAAATTTTTCACCTTATTTTACTTTTTTTCTTCCACTTTGTTAGTGAGAAAACAACCCCGAAAAGAGAACCAGAAAAAAAGAAAAATAAAAATAAACTGGTTGGCACACGCAAATTAGGGCTAATGAGCCCTAACTCATAGCACGTGATTAAAACATATAATCTCACCTCAAAATACTATTGATAAAGTCTGGATAAATAAAATTAAACTATAAACATAATAAGGAAAAGAAAAAGAAAAAGAAAAAAAAAGTAACTGATAACTATAAAACAAAAGGCATTCATATATACAAGCAAAATAAATTGACCAACTGAGTTGGTGATAATCAAGACGTCACACCTTCTTCGTAATCTCTTAGTATTGAAACTCTAATGGGAGATTTAGTTGAAGAAACTATTGACAGATTTAAGCCAAATTCTATATTCAGATTCTTCTTTAACATCACTGTAACCGAGGATAAACTCAGATAATTGAGTATTGATACCGAATTCAGTCAAGTAATTTTCAAATTCAGCTTGAAGAGCTTCATCTAATTCAGCAAATTTAGGACCTTGATAGTTAAATTTATCAACAAATTCACCTTCTGATTTAATTTTAGCAATAAATTCTTTAACATTTGGTTGATGATTAAAGAAATCAATAGACAATGCTTCTTCACTTGGTTGTAATAAAATATTGAAAAATAAACCTTCATTTTTAACAGGATCTTCAACTAAAACTTTAACATTACTGAAAATTTGATCAAATGATTCAACATTTTCTTCTAATGATTCAGGATCTAATTCTTGATCTGGGAAATCAGCAACTTCTTCAACATCAAAATAAACATGAACAATTTGTCCATCTTTAGTCTTTTTAATCAATTCAACCCCAGCAGTACCTGGTTTTTCAACAACTTCAAATCCTGAAGTTTCTAAAAATTCAGCATGGGCTGGATCTAAATCATTTGGAATAGTTTCAAGAATTTTGGTTTCTTCTTCAAGAACTTGTTTCAAATCAGCTTTGTTTAAAGTTAATGGAGTAGCATGGAATGAACGCAATGAAGTAGTAGCTGCAATTTTTGGTAAAGCAAAAACAACAGCTGGTTTTCTAGCAACTGAAGCAGCTAATCTCTTGGACAATTGAGAGCGTAAAGTAAATGATAATAATCTAGACATTGATTCTGGTTGTAGGAAATGAAATCAAGGGGGCAATTTTTTAATTTTTTTTGAATAAAAAAGATGTGGAGAGTGTTAACAAATCATCGATGGGATGATATTTTTTTTTTCTCTCATTCTTTCTCTCCGTGTAAGTCTGTGTGAAAACGAGGAGAAAACAAAAAATCAAGGGGGAATTTAATTGAGATGAAAAAATAGTCGTGCGCATGTGCCCTGTAGCACGTGGAATATTTTGTGTGACAATGAATATCTACAAAGTTTGATACTGTGGTTAAAAATAAAATATTTTATTTTAAGAAAGATAATAGAATAAAAACTAATGTACAAATTATAAATACTACTAAATGTGCTAATATAATATCTGAATAAATACCAGATTGACGTTTTAAAAAATAATAAAATAATGAAATTATGAAATTAAAAAAAAAAAATAATAAAAGAAGCAATAAAAAATAAAAATTTCAAAATGTAAAAAACTAAACATTAAAACCAATCAAAGAATAAAAAATAAAATAAACATATCGTAGAAATTAACATAAACCAATGGTGGAATGGAATGGAAGGGGGGAGGGGTAGTGGTAGTTGTAGGGGGAATGTAAACTGGATAATATCTATAATCTATCATGGAGACATCAAGGAATTAAAATAATCCTGAACAAATAATGCACTTTTTCTATACCTTCTTTCTTTATACTTGTCAAATATGGCTTTATGGTTTCTTTCTGCATATCGACAATTTTCCAATAATACTTCTGCCAATGGACGTACTTGTCTTTCTGTGAACCCACTATAAAACACATGCAATTCTGTCCAATCACCTCTTCCAAGTAATTTTCGAGACAAATAATGGGAACCAGCTGCAAGCCAACTAGGAGGCGATGCAACAAATCGAGAATCCATTATTGTGATTTCAAGGAAATATTTGGCTAATGTACGTGTTTCATAATCATAATTATCGGCTTTAGATATTCTTCTCAAGAATGACATTGGACCGGGCCAGCCCATGTCGAAATCCAACACATCAATCATAAATCTTTCAGCCTTTAATAAATCATCTATTGGATACGCATTGTCTGCCATATAAGAAATTTCTTGTACTGTTGGACAATTGATTTCTTCATATTTAGCAGCAATGAACAATGCCACTGCACCAACCAATTGAAATCGAGTCAATGATACTTGTCTTTTCGATAAGAATCGATCAATGTAATTCACAGTAAGGAATAAAGTTTCTGGAAGTAAATTAAAACGTGAATGCACTTGAACCACCCAGTCCATTAATACAGATCTCATTTCCCATTTCAATTCTGATTGGTGATCCATATAATACCCATCAGGAGTGTATTTATGTTCCAATTCATGCAAATAATTAAAAATTTCAGGAGCATATTCAGCAACCATGGTTGCATCATAAGTATCTTCATCATCTTCATCCAATGTAGTACGCGAATACTTTTGAATAACGTATTTGACTTCATTGACACAAGAGTTGCTCCATATTGGTTTCATAGGAATGTGTTGTAATTCCTCTTGAGGTTGGTAACGTTGCTCTTCTTCTTCTTCGTCTTCCTCATGTTCTTCTTGGTGACGATGATAAAGATGATCGTACTCCGGATTGGTATCTACACCCTCAGGGAATTGATCAATTTCATCTTGTGCATCAAATTCATCACCTGCCTCACTTATTCCTTTGTCATCAATTGTTTCAAAGGCATCACTTATTAGTTGGTTTTTACTATCATCATCATTCAATTCCAAATCAACGTATCTGTTTTCCTTGTCGTATTCTTCATCATGATCAAATTCATCATCTGTTGCTTCCTCATCCCGATTTTCATTCTTCAACAAAACTTTTTCCAATCTTGGTCTTTTAAATTGATGGATATTAGTATCTTGTTGTTGATATATTTGTATTTTAGTGACACTGGAAGAACTGGTTGTATGACGATGGGAAACATGGTGATTTGATTGTGAATGTTTTGCTCTATGAGAATGTTTATTTTCTTGAGTAGTAACATCTGATAATACTTCTCTATGCGATACTAAATGACTTGATGAATTGGTAGTAGTATTGGTGAATTCTCCAGTACTTTTACGAGCCATTTTCTTTGACTTTAGATGTTGGTTTAGTTCATTTTCATCTGTAATAGATGAAGACTTGTATGATTTCATAATGCAATTGATGTGAAGTTATTATGATGCAGATGTAAATAAAAAATGAATGAATGAGAGAAGCTATAACAACTTAACTTCCTCCTGAATCAATGCAAGTACTAGACCAAACTGTAATGAAAGTAATGAAAAAGATTAATTGTTGATTGTTTTCTTTTTTTTTTTTCTTCTTCTTCTTCTTCTTCTTCCACCTCCCAATAGCAGGATATTTTTTTTTCTTTCTTTCTTGGTTAGTGTATGTTTTGGTTTTGAGAATTGAGTTTTTTTTTTTTTGTTTTCTCCTTTCGTTTCTTTTTTGTTTCTGCTCTGCGGTGGGACGTGGTACTACTTGGGAAATTTAGTACGACAACGAATAAAAAATTCTGGCGACCGCGACGAATGAAATTTTGTAAATATTTTTTTTTTTTTTTTTTTTTTTTTGGCAACACAAACAAGAATTGCTGCCTTGAATCTTTCGCGTATTTTTTGTTGTTTACAATGTTAAAATGTGGTGATGATTTGATGTCAAATGATTAAACGAACGAATACCACAAGATATAGTAGATGATTAGTGACGGTGAAGTATGAACAAATGTAGATGACAATCCTTTTCAACTAAAAAAATAGGATCTACAATAAATCAAACTCAAGGGCGATACAAAGGGAAGGAAGGAGGGAGTTTGCAATTATTCTTTTCTGGTTGCAGTTTGTGATCTTCTGTACTATCGTGCGTATTGAACTGTTCACCACTGACTATTCTGTTCTCAATCGAAGTTGATATTAAAATGGCTTGTGAGTTATGACTGTGATACTTGTAGGTTGAGTTCCTATAAGAAAAGTAAAAGAAAATCTATGATGATGATGTTAATCCTACCTTGGAAAGAAAGTAAGTTTTACCACTTCCAAATTGTCAGACAAACAAAACGCAATAGAAAAAATTGTAAACAAAACACGAAAAACTTCACCACATAAATTATCCCTGACACATACACGCACGCACAGACAGTACATAATTCAGGTACAAAAGTGCAAATAACAACAACACCAACAACAACAACTACCAGCCAGCTGATTATCCAACACGCGTTGTTTGATGCAGATTCGTCTATAATAGCACTGTCAAGAGTAGCACACTTCGGTAATGTTCTTGTGTTTCTCTTAGTTGCTTCTTCTTTTCTACTTACATGAAAATGCTAAATGCAAGTCAATAGTCGGGTTTATCTATCAACAGAGGGGTTTCGTAATCACGACAACTTTTTAAATTAATAACAATACAAAATATACAGCTTATACCACACATTTACTCAATCTTTCATTTCAACGTCTTGTTCTGATTCCTTGGTTTCTTCACTAACTTTCTTTTCTTCAGGTAATGCCTCTTCTTCTACTTCCTCCTCTTCTTCTTCTTCCGGTTCATCACCCGGTAAGGTCTTTGGTTTCCAGATTTCTAATAATCTATCATTGCCAACACTACCAAAAAGATTTCTCACTTTAGTATGTATATCAAAATCATTGATTCTATTAGTATGACCACCATGGATATATTTCAAACAAGGATCCACTTTATTGACTTGTTTCTTCTTTGAATTAGAATCCTTACCATTAGAAGTCTGATCAGGATAAGTATAATCTTCATCGAGGCTTTCCAAATTCCAGAAAAGTACACGCTTATCTAATCCGCAAGATACAAGAAGGTTTGGATTGTATGAATCCCATTGTAATTGTCTAATGGTATCATTATGCCCATAAAACTTTCTGAATGGTGTCTTGTAATTTCTCATATCATATAGTGAAACAATATTATCTTTACCAGCTGTAGCATACATTGTGTGAATATCCGGATGGAATTGAATACAATTCTGGATATGATTATTTTCCACTGATATTACAGGATTAGCATCTATTGAACCGATTCTTCCATCATAGAATTGCGTTGTCGAATCATCACTAACAGACCCAAACAAGGTTTTCCCCTTTATCGATGATAAATCATTAATAGCACCACGATGTCCTTTAAATAATTGAATTGGAGTCGAAGGTTTATCTACTTGCCATAAAGCAATTTGAGAATCTTTAGCACCAGAAATAAAACTATTCTCATTAATCCAATTCAAGGCAGAACCTTCTTGTTTATGATATTTATAATCAACAATATCGTAATTCTTCAAATTAAATCCACGAATTATCCCATCAGCTCCAAATCCAACAGCAAGTCCTCCATTAGATGATACTTTCAATTTATTAATCTCACATGATTGTTTCCATTGGTTAATGATTCTAAAATTAGAAGTATCTAAATCTTCAGTTGGAATAGGTATACCTTGGGGATTAGTTGAATTTTCAACCAAAGTTGAAGGTAAGGTAACTGAACCCAATTTTAAATAATTTTCCGATTTATTGATAGTATTTGTTCCTATTAAAAATTTCACTTCTAAATCTGATTGAGAAACATTATAATCTGGTAACCATTGAAATACTAATGATGGACTATCTAATGCAAATGTATGAACAAAATCATACAATAAAGGGACTGTTTTCTTCCAAATTTTGAATTCTTCATTCACGATTTTTTCTTGTAATTGTTGTTCATTTGCTAGCTCTCTTTCAGCTTTAGCATATTCATTTGTGGTAGACGGCATAGCTAGAGATGTCGAGTTGTTCTTATTGATCAAATAAAAGAAGAAGAAGAATAGCTTTTTTGTGAATGATTATTTTTTTTCTCTTTCATTTTTTTTTTCCTTTTCCTGCCTCGTCGTCCTGACTTCTCGTTTGGTTGGACATTGAATTTCTCGGACATGGGGTTTTGCTCAAGTTGATGGGAGTAGGGACAACTGATAAGAGAATAGCTACAGATATCTACAATGAATACTCTTACAAATTCATAAACAAGGATCCATTTTTTTTTTCTTTATTACTCTAGACATAGTAGATAATTTTCTTTGCTTCGTTAGGTAGATCTTACAGCCGATGTTTAAATTACACCACCTCCAAGGTCGGCCAATTCATCTTCATCCGTTGGTTCATCAAAATAATGACTGAAAAGATACACAGTACCATAAATAAGTAATCCACCAATGATACTTAGAACCATAGCTGTTTTTGTAAGAATCAATGAATGATTCAACAATATTGGTAAATAAACACCAGTAACCAATAAAAATGCAGTTATAAATTGACCTGCTTCAACAAGAACATTAGTATTTGTAGAAGTTGAATCAAAATTGAAATCATAATCTGAACTACTAGAAACATTTCTAGTGATTGCCACTGGTAGATGAGCCACTGCAAATATAATACCAATTATTATAGGGAACCAATTTCCATAAATACCAGCTAAAATGACTAAAAGGAAACCCACTGCCAAAACAACTGAAAGACCAATGATCTTATTCAAAGGGTTCTTCTTTAGAGTAGCAAACGTCTGTGTGGAATTCATGATAACTATAATTTGACAGGCGAGGTTGTATCGGGAGGGAGAATATTGATCGTCCGGGGGTGGGGGGGGGAAATACTTCTTTTGTTAGTAAATCTGAAAACTTTGATTTGAATATCTTTGGTTAACTATGCCAATTGAGTTTCACCAAAGACTAACAACTATAACAGGAATACAACAATATGGAAATAACTAGGGGCAATAAAGGAAGGAAAGAAAAAATTACCAACTTCTCAAAAGTTGTTCGTCCCCCCCATTCGTGTCGTGTTCATCGTGCTAATTTTTGATCAAAGCCAAAATCATGGACACTTACAAAAAAAAAAAAAAGAAAAAAGAACCAGCCAAAATGAAACAACCAATTAACCAAACGGGACCAAAGTTAGATTCCATTTTCTAAAGTATAGTTCAAAATGAATGATTACACAGAAATACTCAAACCTAAAATCATACCTCAACCATCTTCCAAGAATGATTCAATTCCAGCACCACCAGGATATAGCGAATCTACAACAACAACAACAACATCTAAGACCACAACTTCGGTAAAGAAATCTAAACAAGATGAAGCTGAATTGAATTCATTAAAATCCAAGAAAATTTGGGAATTAGCTATTGCACCAGCTAAATCGGTTCCAATGAATTTATTTATGAGTTATATGACTGGGAATTCATTACAAATTATTCCAGTAACGATGACATTAATGTTACTTTGGAATCCTATCAAGTCAATCTTCAATGATACAAACCGTACTTTTTCTAAATTAACAACTAAGAATAATACTACTGAAATAATCCAAGCTAAATTGATATTTATAATTTGTCAACTACTTAATATGGCAATTGGGGTTTATAAATTATACAAAATGGGGCTTATACCTCATCAAGAAGCAGATTGGCTAGCATGGAAAGAACCAAAAGAATTTATAGAAAAATTATACTATTGAATCTAGTTTGTCTATAGGAAATGAAAAATACACATTAGTAAGTTATGATTATTTACTTCTTTTCATCTTGTTGTTTTTCATAGATTTGTTGTAAATTGAATCTACTAAATTTCAAAAAATCATCAGCAACACCAATACCAACACTATTTTTATAGCATTCAACAATAATTAATTTTTCATAAGTTTTCAAATCAACAGAATGTCCATGATTTTGTCCTACAGCTTCAGCTACAGCTTTTATAATTCCATCTGATTGTAATTGATTGAAATTTCTCTTTGATACTTGAATAGCAAATTTTATAGGTTTTTGATCTTTTTCATTATGAAAATGACGTGCTAATACTTTTTTAGCCAATTCTCTAATTTTATCCAATGGTTCATCACCTCCTATTGTACATGTATCCATTATTGGCATAAGTCTTTGAGTATATCTAGTTGTCTTTTGTCCTGTTTCATAACTTTCTTTACATATTTTATGTACTAATAATTCTGGATCAATTGGTTTTCTAGTTTTAATGAAAATTAAACATTCAACATCAAGTTCAATCGGTTGAAGTAATTCTTTTTTGGAATCTTTGATATCTTTAAGTTCTTCTAATTCTAATTTAATTTTATCTTCAATGGAGAGTTCTTTCTTTTCATCATCTTCATCTTCATCATCTTCGTTAGTTTTACTTAAATCAAAATATTCAGGGATTTTATCAGATAATAAATTCATTAGTTCTTGACGACAACTGCTTTCTTTACGACGTGGACAAGTTGCATAAATCCCTGAAGTATTAGGATCGATTAATTTAGAAACATTCTTGAATCTTTTCTTTGCTGGTTTGTTTGAATCCTCAGCTGCTCTTTTACCCATATTGTTCTTAGGTTATTGACGATAATCACCAGTGTTGTTGATGTGGAAAATCCAAAAGAAAACGAGATGGGCTGAAAAAGATTACAAAAAAAAAAAATATGCTAACGCCAACTTCGACGGGGCGAGCGAGTGTGTGAGCGTGTGAGTGAGTGGAGAGAAAATGAAATAATCAACGAGTTATCGACATCAGTTACATGTGGTTAATCTACACCAAGAACGCCTAATTATGCTGACGTTACCTTTGGACTTGATAGTTTATATTACCGAGATAGGTGATTTAAGCATCAAGGATATATTCCATTTGACACAAGTCAACCAACTATTAAGATTAAAACTCCTGCATCCGTATTTTTGGCACAATGTGTATAATCGACATTTAGGAAGGGTATTTGACACTTATGAGATTGATAAACTGGTTGAACCAAATGATTATTATAATGAATGTAGATCATATTATTGGAAATATCTTGAAATTGAAAAAGAACTACATGATTTTGATGAAATGAAAAATAGAAAAATTGATAAATATATTGAAAAATATAGTTTTGATGATAATTACCTACCACCTTTGTTATATCATTTACAACATGAAGAAAACAAATGGAGACAAGATATATTAAATTGTTCCAAATTCATTGAATTTTCTTCTTCTTCATTTTTAGCAAAATTGGTTGCAGGTCAAACATTTCGAATAGGATTGAATAAACTACTTGATTGTTACAAATCTCCAGAGAACCTAGACTCATTTGATGAGTTTAATTTTGCTTGCAGTTTATTACAAAAGAAGAGTTATAAGATTATAAATAATCGACGAAAGTTTTTCAATAAAATTAGAAAAGTTCTTAACCATTTCATGACAGTAAAGCATCCTTTACCAATCATCAACGATTCCTATTGTTTTCAAAATAATGCCGATTATTCCCAATACGTGGCAAGTCTTATTTATTCGTTGCTTTTAAAATTTAAGAATTGGACTACTTTTGATGCAGATTATATAGAATCTTATAACACGCTAACTGTGTCTTCTGGAATCAAAGGTCATCATCATATTATTACATCGATGATAGTAAAAGTTATTAAAGAAGAATTGGGTAAGTTGAATATTAAAATTCACAACAATGAAGAGAAAGATAAAATAAATTTAACTTATAGTGGTGCAAGAATTGGGGATTCATTAATTTGGTTTATTTTTGGGGAATTACATTTTTTTACAGTTGGAGATTTTGATAGAGTTGCATTAGAACGCTTTGCAAGTTCCGACAACTCTTTACTTTCACCATTATCCAATCATGGATCTTCGGACATGTATAAAATTGAAGATTCAATTATTGATCGACTACTGGGGAAGAAATACTTGCAAAAAATTTATAATCCGAATGCTTTTTGTGAAAACTATTCAGTTCTTCTTTGTAAAGTTTTATTTCCAAAATTAATGCAGGAATCTATGTCAAAATTTTCACTGTTTTTTATTTCAACTACAGATATAATCACTCGAGATATTAAAGAATCACTTCGGGTGTTTCTTTCTGGTGAAAATTCTTTTTACTATTCTTTCTTCAAACATGGTAAGCTTAACATATTACCAAAAGATTTTGTGCCTGGACCTGGTTTTCTTGAGACTGATTATAGTCCTAATGAATATCAAGGTAATATGGTTATGATTAAGAGATTAAGAATTCCTGCGGTTGTAATTGGACAAAATCCTGATGGTGTTACATACAAGAGTTTATGTATTGATTCAAAATATTCCATTAATAAGAGTACACTGTTTGAAGTAATGGATGATATTTCCCCTCAAGACATACTTCGGTTCATTGATTGTATAGGTCCTGCTAATTTATCATATCTGAGAATTTATGGAGTCAGTTTTGATGATGGTAAGACTCCAAAGTTTTTAATAGATTAAGTCGATAAACAACTAAATCATTGTACATATTCAACTATCTTAATAATACCTAGAACATGAATAAATAACATATATTAAAACGAATCGTATTAAGAAACAATCTATATTCTCTGAAATATCACTATAATCACCAATTAACAATTAACTTGAATCACTTCTTCTATTAATTTACGACCATCTTTGGAAATCACCATGGCACTCAATTTCTGTCCTTTATCACAACCAGAATCCAAACCTTTAGTAAAAGATTTCAAATTCAAACCTTTACCAGCATCATGACCGTAATAAACAATATTATCAGCGGGGTATTTCCCCTTCATTGAATTATAAATTTTACTCCAACGTTTTGCACCCGGAACATGTGGATCACTTGTAGTTTCATTAAATAAAGGAGGAATTAAAGCTCTCATTTCTAAATTATCTATTGGGTTTTGATTCTTTAATGATAATTGTGGAACTATACCTGCATGTACAGCAACACCTTTACCATTTGGAACATCTCCAAGTTTCTTAATTATTGAACAATTATTGATATATTTAATATGATGTGGTTGTAATTTTTTAGCAAGTAGAAATTCTGGATCGTCATTAAATGAATCTTTAGTTGAAATAGGAGTCGTCAATGATGATGATGATAAATCTATCGGATTATTAAACATAAATTCAGGTTGATCTAATCCATGAAATGTAGCATAGTATTGTAATACATAATATTCATGATTTCCCAAAATACATTCAATATTATTCTTAATCAAATAATCCAATACTTTAAAAGAATCAGGACCTTTAGTAATGAAATCTCCAAGAACAACAACTTGATCATCTTTAGGGTTATATTTCAATTTACTTAATAATTTTCTGAATTCAATATAGTGACCATGAATATCTCCAATAAGGATAATTCTTGAAACTGTGGCTTTATCATAATGGGGAAGTAAAGACACTTTCAATTCTGAAATGTTTTGAATCTTTGAAAGTGTAGTTGCCTCCGGTATGAAGTAATTAGGTAAAAGTATGGTGAAGAAATATAGGACAAATAATGAAATGACACCTGTTACGGCATAAATGATATATCTTGTAGTGGGGCTAAATGAGTATACGTCATTATATTCACCATAACCATAATCATAAGCATCTTCTACTTGTTGTTGTTCTTCATCATCTGAATATTTCTTATACTTTTTATTAAGTGAAGTTGTTTCATTCATTGTATACTCTCAAATAGTCTGAAGAAAGAGATGAGTTTTACAATTAGCTGTCAATTTTTTTTTGGTCTTTTCGTGTAGTGTTTTGTACTTTGCTGGTTATTATATATTTTTTCTTTGTTTAAGATTAATCTCGCAGAAATTGGCATAAAGTCACGTGTGATACACGTGTCTCATTGAACACAATAATAACCATTATAATTATCACTCAAAATAAAATGTAACCTTCAATAGATATTGGTCACACGAGGTTAGGAGAACATGCACACTTGGGATCACTCTTAGTACTATCATTACTATTATTATTATACAAGGACTAGACCACTCCAGTTTATGCAACACCATTTAATGCCAGACGGTAGTTACTTTATCTCAAACTGAGCCATCTTTGATTTTACGAAAAGAAAACACATGCACAAAGTGCAGAGACTATCTAATTGCATTTGCATAATGTTTGAGTAGTAGTGGGTGTGGTAGCAGAAATGTGCGATTAGCTAATCGTCATTAATCTTCTCAAAACGGGATCACTGGAAGGAAAAAGTTGATCACAAGGACAACAACCTTGACTTTATAGATTGCTGTTGGACCAATACCGATCTTCTCATGTGGTGCTAATTACACTGATAATACGAATGACAGTGCCAAGAGATAGAACCAACCTGTGAAGCAATCAAGTGGTTGAATGATTCTATTAAACAGTGTGGATCGGATAAAGGGTGAACAATTATAAATAGAAACGGCTCGGAATTCGTGTTTGGCCAGTTATACCCGATGCAGATCAACACGGCCGAAATTTATCTTGCTTAAAAGCGAGGCGAAAAAAAAATTTCTTTTTCTTTTTCTTCAGTTAATATGGAATTCATGGAGACAGAGCAAAAAATTCAAAGCCACTGCAAAATTCTAAGTTTATCTCAATATATATAAACCCGACTTGATTTCCTTGCTTTGAATAATTTCATATTCACCATTTTTTTGCTCTTTTGTTGAATTTCAAAAGTAGAAGAAACCATACCCACCATCACCATGTCAGTTGAATCAGAAGGCACTTTACTTACTCCATCTACAACTATAACAGATCCGGGATCTCCAAAAGTGAAAAAAGTTAGTGAATTTAATGATGGTAGAAAAACTCCAAATTATAGCATGTATCAAAGTACTGCTGATTGGTTTAAACAGAGTTTCTCATCATGTTATCAAGATGAAATGGTTGAAAGTAGATTATTATCATATTTACCATTCTTCCCTGAATCAGATGGTAAAAGAAAAGCCCGTATTATAAATACAGATATTGGAAATGGGAAATATATTCATGAATTATTGATTGAAAATATAGAAACCGATAAACCTGGATTATCAGGTACTAAAGAAATTGTATTAGTTCATGGATATGCTGCTTCATTAGGTTTATTTATTGATAATTTTGATTCATTATCACAAATTCCAGGCGTTAAAATACACGCTATTGATTTATTAGGATTTGGATTAAGTTCAAGACCCAAATTCCCTAATTTCCCATCAAAGACAAAACAAGATGTTTATAAAGTCGAGGATTGGTTTATTGATTCATTTGAACAATGGAGATTAAAAAGAAATATTGGCAAATTCATATTAATGGGACATTCATTTGGTGGTTATTTAAGTTGTGCATATGCGTTAAAATATAACAAGAATATCATTGAAAATGGTGTATCTCTGAATCTTATAGAAAAAATGGTACTTATGAGTCCTGTTGGTGTTGAAAGAAGTGAAGCTGCTTTTAAACATCCTAAAGAAGATACAAAACTTCAAAGACAAGTTACCATTGAACAAGAAGTTTTAGCAGATCAAGAAGAAATAGTCACCGGTCAAGCTGAAACTCCATCACAATCTGGTCCAGAAGTTCCAAAAACTAAAACAAGAAAATTGATTGATTATATGTGGGAAAGAAATCATTCTCCATTTACAATAATTAGAAATGCTGGTCCTTTTAAATCAAAATTAATTTCTCGTTGGACTTGTCATCGTTTTAGTCATGTTTATTATCAAAATCCTGAACATTTTAATAATATTCATAATTATATTTATAGAATTTTCAACGGTGCAGGTTCAGGTGAATATGCTATAACTAGAATTCTTGCCGTTGGTGCTCTTGCTAAACTTCCTTTACTTGATAGATGTCCTGAAAAATTCGTACAATTGAAATTACCTACTTTATGGCTTTATGGTGATAAAGATTGGATGAATGATGAAGCTGGTTTGGAAATGACAAATACTATCAATGATTTATCTAAAACTACTTATTCTGAAAAACTCGCCAATTTTAAAATAATTTCAAATGCTGGTCATCATCTTTATCTTGATAATCCTCCGGAATTTGCTAAAGTTATTTACAAGTTTTTAGGCTATACTAAAAAGATATAGATATACACTCCCCGCCCACTACATAGAGATAACAATAGATTATGCATACACATGTACATAAACAACAAAACTCGATAATTCATAATCAGATATACTTTAATATGAGAATATTTAATATACATACGTCTAAACAAAAAAAAAACAACATACATAATTGCTTCTCATTTCTTAACTGAAAAAGCCCAGCTTATTTCCAGAAATCAGTCAAGTTACCACCAGCACCATTGAATGCTAAAATATTTGGGGTATCGGCTGGAATGTCTGACAATACATCTTTAGTACCATAAGCAATCAAATTCTTCTTCAATTGGTTTGGTGAAACACCATCACCAGCAACAAAGAATTCAGATTCAGCACCTGGTTGTAAGGAAACATAGTATGACAACAAACCAGCAATGTGTGGAGAAGCCATAGAAGTACCAGACAAGTAGGCAGTAGCAGAGTCACTACCAATATAAGTTGATAAAATGTTCAAACCAGGAGCAAAAATATCAACACATTTACCATAATTGGAAAAGTATGCACGGGCATCAGAAATAGTGGATGCACCAACAGTAATGGCATTTTCAGCACTGGCTGGAGATGTGTTACAAGCATCTTGGTTTTCATTACCAGCGGCAACAGCAAAATGCAAACCAGTCTTGACAGCAGCATTAACAGCCAAATCCAAAGCTGGAGATTTACCACCACCCAAAGACATATTGGCAGTAGAACCCTTGAATCCCTTTTTACCAGCCTTGACAGCATCTTGATGTGACTTGGCAGCAAATTCAACACCCTTGACAACATCAGACATGGTACCAGAACCATTAGATCTCAAGACTTTAACAGCAACAATGTTAACTTTTTTGGCAACACCATAATCTTCAGAACCAATAGTACCGGCACAATGAGTACCGTGACCATTGCCATCTTCATCAGCATCACCTTGAGGAATAGTTTTACCCCATTTGGCTCTACCACCAAATTCAACATGTTTGATGTTAACACCAGTATCAATGACATATGAAGTGACACCTTCACCAGCATCATCATTATACAAATATCTGTCAAAGCTACCTAAAGAAAGTGGTTCTCTGTGACTGACTCTTGATAAACCCCATGGAGCACCTTTTTGAATATCAAATTCGTTAGCGTAAACCATAGAATCCTTTTCAACAAAAGCAACCAATGGGTTTTTTCTAATTAAATCAATGGTTGAATCAACAAAATACCCAGTGTAACCAGACAAGATGTTACCAATATCAAAACTGTCAATGATACCACCTTCAGCTTTAATATCTTTGGTGGATTCAAAGAATGGATCTTGTTTGTCCAAACCAGCCAAAGAATTAGTATGAGTTAAAGCAACCCATTCTTGATGGAAGGAAATTTCATCAGCAGTGACACCATTTTTGAAGACAATAATATATCTATGTGGAATAATATCTCTAGTTGATTCAGCATTAACAACTGGGGCCAATTGTTCATTCAACTTCATGCCCAAATGTTCAGCAGCATGATGAGCAGCTTCTTTCAAAGGTTCCAACTTATTGTTGGCAGCTTTACCGAGAACGTCGATGACATCACCTACTGAAGGGATAAGCAAACCTTGAACACCAATAAGGGAAGTCAAAATGGAAAGAGCAACAGCTTTTGATAATCTCATGATGATATCTCGTGGGAGTCAATTATAATGTAGTAAAAAGTAAAAGTAATAGTAATAGTTGTAGTATCTAGTGTATTTCTAAAAATTAAACCTGATTCCTCCTTTCAATAGTGATACAAGATTGAAGAAAGTATTAGATTTTGGTTTAAAAGAAAGAAAGAAAGAAAGTGTGGTGTGTAATGGAGGAAAGATTTTGCTAGTGATAAGATTTTTTTTTTATATGGAGAGATTTTATTTTTTTTGGGGGGCGACAAAGCGAGAGAGAGAGAGAGAGAGAGAAAGAAGCTCTCAACAACGGGAAACTTTTAAACAGTGGCGATAAGAGATTACGTAAGCCACCAAGCCAGCAAAACAAAACAAAAGAGAAATGCGAAGTGTGGAATTGAACACACATACACGACTACATGCACACACACACACACACATTAACAAACTGTGGATGGGGTTACATTATTCTTCTCGAGTTGATGCCGTGGTAGTAGTGTTACACCCGTAACAGGGAGTTGGTTGGTTAAAACGTTAGTCTATTTAGGGCAGAATACTGATGACAGATTTTAGTCGAAGGAATACCATACAAGAGGCGGGGGTGGGGGTGGGAGGACCCGATAATGATGTCAACATTTCTCTTATCAGCAATCAATGACTGACACTCCTCGGGACTAAATTCCTGCACAAGAACCCCTAACCTCGGTTATCTCGGTGATAACTCTCAATGGATGTTTGAATATTATCATCATATATATATTATATATATATTAACTCTATCTACCTGATGATGGTTTACTATTCTTCATCAATGATCTTGAACCGTCTTTTACCAAATTAGCATAATGCTTATCTAATAGAACATTTTCCCATAAAGTAGCAGCACCACTATTGCTTCTTTCTATATCGACATCTTTATTTAATCTTTCAATACCTAAAACATAATTCCCTTCACCACTGATTCTTTCTTCTGTATTCCATAATCCTTTAATTCCTTCATCATATCTACTCACTAGTTTCCCAACAAATTTCAATGTGGCCAAGGAAGTCTTTTCTGGTGTTTGTAATGTCAACATATGCAATCTTTTAATGAATGCTGTTGCACGAGGAATAGTACCATTTTTAGATCTAAAGAAAATAAAATCAAGACATCTTAATAATAATTCGGCTTTCGTTGAAACATTAACTGCAGGTTTTTCAACTTCATTAGACATTGGATCAGCTAATCTCAATGTCTTATAACTAAATTCTAAATCTGGATCTAAGGATAAATCAGCCAAAATTAAATATAAGGTGGAGACAAATTTACTCAAATCAACAGCCATTGGTAATTTACCCATTGAATTATGATTTAAAACAAGGGAAAATGAAGTTGCAATACATAATAAAATAGTTCTTAATTCTTTACCAGTATATAAACCTCCTTCGTTTTCTCCTTCTTGATTAAATGAATGTTCATCAACTATATCTCCCATGATTTCACGTAATACTTCCAAGAAATCTCCAAGTAAACGTAAATGAGACATTTGACCAAATTTAGATAACCCTTCCAATACTGATCCCATCAATAATGTAGCATCATTTTTCTTGCCATCACTGGACATTTGAGTACCTGCTTTTAAAATCTCAAGATATAATGTTAAAATCATTTTAAGTACTTGTTCTTGATATTTCTCTCTTTCTTGCATAGTAACTGCTTGTTCAGCTTTTCTCATTTCTTCTTCAATTTGCTTTCTTTCTTTACGAGCTTTTCTTTCCTTTTTGGATAAATGAACTCTATCCTTTTTCTTTAATTTTTGTTTAGGCTCATCATCTTTATTATTATTTGGATCATAATCTTCTAATAATGAAAGTGATAAAAACACATTAATTACTGATTCATCAACTCTAAATTTCTTATCCCTAATAGATTTGGTCATAACTTTAACAACATCAAATGTAATATCCCCATGTTCTTCATCATCTTTCAATAAAGTTTCTAAAACTCTTAAAGATTTAGTGAAAACTTGTAAATCTTTTTCATGTTTTGGTTTTTTATTTAATCTTTTAACAACAATAGTAAATAATTCTTCACGATAATTAAAATGTTTTAAAGAACTCATACATAATTCAGTAGCTGCTTTTAAAGCAATATTTCCTCTTTTCAATTGATCAGTAGTAATCTTATTATTATTCATGGAATTTGAATAGGAAATCTTCAGGGATTTAGTTAATAAATCGATATAAGATTTATAATTAATAAGTAAAGTTTGTTCAAAATTTCTTAATCTTGCTATATCTTTACTAACTTTTTCTTTCTTTTCAGAATCAGTTAATGATCTAATTTTATAAGATGGTGCAAGTGATTTGAAAACATTAACTAATGCTAAAATTGCCAATTGTGATGTAACAAAATTTTTAGATTCAGACATTTTACGTAATCTTGTAAGACATGAAATGTTTTCTTCCGGATCTTCAATTAATTTATTTGCCAAATCAGAGATTTCTTTCTTAGTTTGAAGTAATCTTTCTTCAGGTGTTAATCCATCATCTTCCTCTTCATCCTCTTCTTCTTCTTCGTCATCATCTTCTTCATCTTCCTCTTCTTCAACCTCTTCTTCTTCTTCCTCCTCCTCCTCCTCTTCTTCGTCTACTTCTCTGACAACTCTTTCAATAGTCCCATCAAGGTTTTTAATAGGTAATGCTTCAACAACTTTTTTAGAATTCATAGTTCTTGGAACTAATTCATAATCCATTTCTTCATTTTCCCAATCAATTTCCTCATTTTCTCCATGTTGTTCATTATCGGAATTTCCATCAACTTTGTTGAACAACCCAGTTGATAATTGTGCATCTTGGGCTTGTTTTAGTTTTTTTCTCTTTTCAATATCTTGTTGTTTTTGTTTTCTTTTAGCCATTGTTGATAGTTGATGATTGATGATAGTTTGTAATTAGAGGATTGATTTTTTTTTTTCAAGATTTTTTTTTTTTGAAGAGATGAGGTTTATACACTGAAAAGTTGCAAAAATAAAAAAAAATCAACCATACAGAATTAACCTGTGTTGTTCTATATTCATAATTCGTAATTAATATACAAAAATAAAAGATACTTATATATGATTATTATTATTATTATTACTGTTGTTGTTGAGGTGGTTGTTTTTGCAGTTCACTAATGTTTGATAAAAGTTGAGCTAAACATCTTTTAGTAGCCAAATCATCCTGTAAAATTGTTGAAAATGTACCATCACGTAAAGGTTCTGGTAAAATATTAGCTAACGCATTTCTTGCTTCTAAATTATCTGATAATCTCATATAACATCTAACAACATGTTTTAATAATCTTCCTGAACTATTTGATGAAGATTGTCCTTGCTGACCTTGTTGTTGTTGCTGTTGTTGTTGTTGTTGAGGATTGGCTTGTTGATTCACAGCAATACTTAGTTGCTCAATCATTTTGGATAAAACTGAAGCAACAGTATGAAATCTTTCAAATGTAGTACACACATAAGACAATCCTTGATCATCTAATAAAATTTTCTGTAAAATGAAAATAGCCACAGTTTTAGATAATTCTGAAGAAATTTCCATGATATTCAAACACAAAGGAACAATTTCAGTAGTTAATAAGAAATTAATAACTTCAGGAGTATCATTTTTAACTAAAGCACCAATAACTCCTAAACTGGTTAATCTTAAATATTCAAAAGATCTTTGACGAGCATTAGTTGATAAAAATGGATATAAATATAATGGAAGATTAGCATTTAAAAATAAACTTCTAGTTTGAACATTTGATGCAACACATTGTAATAATGCTAATGCATTACAAACTCTATTACTTATAGATGCACTTAAATTAGGTGGATTCAAATATGGATAAACTGATATAATTTCTTCCAATAATACAGTTATAACACCAAATGAATTCCATAAAACTAATGCTAAATCATCATATTGTTCTCTTTTTTTACCCAACTCTAGTAATGCTCTTTCTCTATTATTACCAGTGACTAATTCAGATATCCATTGATAAATTTGTTCATCGTTTAATGCTTTATTAGTCATGGAATCACTCGATGGCACAAGCTGTTGTTGTGATTGTTGTTGTTGGACTGCACTAGACATTGTTGGTTGTGTTAATTGATTTTGATGAGGATAGCTTGGAAATGACTGCTTGTTATCCTGAATATGATACATTTACTTCAGACAAACAAGATGAATACAAAGTTCAATTGGTTCTTGTTGAGTTTTTTTTTTTTCTTTTCTTCAACAAAATTTTTGTCCCCGTGGATTTTTGTCTTACTCTCGCACTTTTACATTCACTACACGTGACACGATGATATAAAAAAGTATATCTATTATGAATTATATATTAATCACAATTTTAACAAACTTACATACCTCTAAACTTATTTCTTGAAGCCATTCTACGTCCTTCAAATCTTTGTTTAGTTCTACCACTATCTTTTTTCTTTCCTTCATCCTCCTCATCATCATCATCATTATGCTTTGGTTTATAAGTTCTTTCTTTCTTTTTTGGAACAAATGTCAACTCAGCTTCACCTCTAGCATGTCGTTGTAATTTAGAATCATTATTTGTTGATGGTTTTGAGACTTTATTCAATTTATTAACTTGGGATCTAAAAGATTCTTTAGCTTTTGAAGATTGTTTAACTTCATTATTTTTAGATAAAATCTTCATTTCATTCTTGAATTTACGATCTTGCTCTTTCTTCTTTCTTAATTTCTCTAATTCTTTTTCAACCTTAGCTCGGTTTTCTTCTTTAACTCTTTCATCTTCTGAATCTTCTTCTTCTTCTGACTCTTCATCTTCATCATCATCATCATCAAGTTCATTATGACCATTCATGTTCATTCTTTCTTCATCGGATTCTTCAGCAGCGGTTAATCCTCTTTCTTTAGTAGATGTTATATCTTTAGTAGCTGATTTAACAGGATTCAATTGTTTATATTCATGAGATTCTTCATCAACTTGGAAATCAGGATTTTCAAACATTTCTTTGAATCTATCATCATTAATAACACTTTCAGCAACATCACCTCCAACTCTTTCTTGTAATCTGTTAGCCAAATCTTTATTAACTTTAATCTTAGTATTCTTAATACTTCCACTTGATCTAATTCTTGATTCTCTTTCTTGTTCAATCTTCTTTCTAATTTCTCTTTCTCTTTGATCACGTAATGAATTTGGATTTGCAATTAAATTGACTTTATCATATAATTCAACATCAATGAAAAAACCATGCATATAAGAACGTAAAACTTTTGAACCAATCAAATGAGTCAAATTTAATTTAGTAACTTCATCACGAGTAATAAATCTATAATTAGAATAAATGGAATCATTTGGTTTTTCTTCCAATTCTTCAGTAACATTATCCAAGAATGAACACCATGATGGTGCTGGACCCAAATTTGGTATATAATAAGTATGCATTGGAATACCTTCATTTGCCATGAAAAACATTCCTGAATTTGGAACTTGAACAATATCATTAATATCAACAGTTGGTTCCATTGAAGCAAATGGTTTACCACTATCTTTATCCCATATTTTAGCAATTCTTTTATCACTAGTTAAAATCATATTTGAATGTAATGAATCTTGTAACCATAATATTTTTTTAATTTCATATCCATAACCTTGATCTTTAACTTGTGATGGAATTGAAGTACGTAAATCATATAATAAAGTTTTACCATTAGATGTACCACAAGCAAAATTTAATCCATCATTTCTAAAAGAAACATTTGAAACTTCTAAATTTTCACCCAATTGTTCATTTATAAATAATTTCCCTGCTCTTTGTTTAGATCTAGGATCCCAAAATTCAACAGTACCATCTTCCAATCCAGCAGATACTAATCCATGAACATTATTAATGTCAACTGAATTACAACCTAATTCAGTTTCTAATTTAAAAGGATTTAAAAATCTTCCTTGTTCTAAATTCAATCGATATAATTCATTTCCTGATGCTCCAATCATTAAATCACAATTAACTTCATTATAACTTAATGATCTACCAAATTTAGGTATTCTAGATCGATAATGAATTCCTCCTTTAGTTTGAAATTCAATGCTTCTATCATTTTGTAAATGTACACTTTTAGTCCAATCTTTACTTAATATTAAAAAATCAACATTTTCACAATCTGTATGACGTTCAAATTTTAATGATAAATTTTCAAAATCATAAACATGGATTTGTGGTTTATAAGTACCTGTAGCCATACAAAATTGTCCATCTGGTGTAACTTTGATCTTATTTGATGCTTCACTAAATTCAAAATCTTGAATTAATTCAATTCTATTTTGATATTCCAAATCTTGTTTTAATGCACGCTTTCTCTTTTTGGCTATCCAATCTGGCAAAGATCTAGATACATTGGTACCAGATACTTGATATATAGAAACGTTCCCAGCTGATGTTGATTTTAAAACCATGGTTGTATTAGTTAGGTGAACTCTATAGAAAACATATAAAAGAAGGAAAAAAAAAAAAATTCATGAAAAAAAAAAAAAAATTTAAAATACAAAATATTAACAAAAATCGCGATGAGCACGACGTATTATCGCGGGAACTTTTTACTTTTCTCTCTGTGTGTGTGTTTGACCTGTCAGTACTAATTGGATGTATACCGTTGTTTATTATTCAACAATTCGGGATAAAGAAACTTGTAATCATCTAATGATACCATGCATTCATTCTCATCATCAGGAATTTCATTAAACCATTTATGATCCGGGCAAAACGTTTCTATAAAGAAGCATAACCCACTATTAATCAAATCATCAGATAAGATTGAAGTACTATTATTATCCAACTGGAATTGAAACATGTTTATAAACAATTTGATATAACGTAAATCAGAATAGCAAATATCATTAACAGTGTTTATCAAAGTAATCCATATTTGATTTGCCTTTACTGTATTGTATTTAATATTCAACAATTTATGGATACATTCATGAACAGTATTGCTTTGATGCAGTTTGATCATTTGACTATCAAATTTATGACAAAGAATCAATGGAGATAACAAACTAACGATGAATATTTCATGATAAGATAAAATGAGCTTTTCAGTTAATTGACTACTACAGACAATGTGTTGATTCATAGTTTCAATTTCCAAACACTCGTCTTCCATGTAAGTTTTAATAACTGATAGGATTTTATGTTGAATCACGAGAAATATTTTGTAACTATCATTTATTTCCATTTTGTACAATACTTTCTCCAAGTCATTTTTGTTTTCAGGTTGCATAAACTCCATAGGCTTTGGTAGTGGTGGTAAACTAAATAACAGGAAATGATTAGTCATACAAGTAGGGAATTCATCCATGAATAGATTCTTCATAATTTGTTTTGAAATGATATAAATTAAATAATTCAAAGTCATGCAAAGGGATAATTTTGGGTTGAGGTTGTTATAACATGTGATTACTTCGTGTTTGTTAGATTTTTGAAGCACCTCAACGCAACAGTGTAATCGATGACACACAGCAGGAGTTAATGTATTTGTTCCACTATGATCAAGAACTTGTAGGATAAATTTTAAACTGTTTTGAAGAGACTGTGGTTGTTGTTCGTATAGTACCATTCTTTTGATGTAATTTACAATTATTGAATTGGGAACCAGAATTATATATCCAAGGATTTCTGGATTGATCTCGAATAATAATTTCCTTAATAATGCATGAGATTCTTGTGTAGATATTTCCAAAAGATTATTTAAATCAGCTAGATCATTAGTCCAAGTGGAGACCATTGTTTTGTATTGTTTGATAAGTTGACAAGCAGATGATAAGAAACTGACATAGTTAGTTAATTCGTCTTGTTTGTTAGAGTTCATGATGAAGTAATGTTCAACATAGGTTAGTTTCTTATGAGGAAGATTAATTAGTTGAAGCAGGCAGATTTTGTCCAACAGATTTACCAATACACTTATTTTCAAATAAGGGTGATGAATATAATTCCATACTATTTTAGCCAAATATGGTATCAACAGAGAATCATCAGTTGAAGGAAGGTAGTTTAATATTGGAGTCATCAAATCAATAGGTGTATCTTGTTGGTGTCGTCTAGCTAAATCATCATTTTCAATTTCTTGTTCCAAACCATATTGAGAAAGTGTTGCAAGAATACTCCGGTATAGTTGTATAAACTCCAGTAATGGTATTCTATTTGCAACATTACCATTAATGATCCCTCCTCCACCACCACCACTGCCAGCATGACCAATAGTTGAAGATAGTTTCTGAGACAATTGACCGAGTATCTGTCTTGCATTCATCTGGAAAGATTACTGGTCTCAATGGGTAGGTAGTCAGTAAACCAACAAAAGAAAAATGTGGATAAAATTCTATAGAGAAAAAAAAAATCTGGGTGATACCTTGGATGTAAGAAATTCATCAAAATGTGGTGTGTATGTGTACAGCTGTGTGAGTGTGTGAGTGTGTGTTGCAACCAAAAAAATCTATTGGACAACATTATCAACATGGTGTACTATTTTTTTTTTTTTTTTACAACCAATTTGGCTGTTTCGTAAAGCAATGAATCACCATTCACATAGAGTAATGGGATCAAATTAGCCTTAAGTTTTAGTTCCATTAGCCAAATTACTTACATTACTCCATCTCTTTCTGCAACAAGATCTAAATAAACAAATGTTCTCTGGTGTTTCGTAAATGTATGGCTAAATCCACACAATGATTTCATTCTTACAGTAAAATTAGATTAGGTAAGCGCACAATTTAAAAAATAAAAAATCTCTCACTACACATACAGTGTGGGTGGGGGACCCACTTTTAATTAAACGACAGAATTATGATTTTACAACCACACTAAACCCAGTTGCTGGAAAAGTTTTTGATGGTGGTGTATTGAGATCAACATCTTCAAATACTGGTATTTTCATAACCTTGTCAAAACAATAGGGGTATAAAATCTTGAAGGGGCTCTTGTTCTTAAATACTTTGCATTAGATAATCGCTTAAGTTTCTTGGTTATTGTAATTTCATTTTATTGTCACTGGGATATGTTTGTAATTTTACGATTTCAGTTGTGTTGCCATCCTACTTAACCTATGTAGCTAGAATGAGTTTTGGATAATCCATTGTACATTGGAGTATTCGGAAGTTAACAATTCTTTGAGAACTAGAATCAAAAGCCCATTTCATAAGTTTTGTTCATTGTCTATTTTCCCTTTTTTAGTTTGATGAAGAACCCCTTTACCGTATAATTCTGTTTGATTTCAAATTTGTGATGAAATCATCCACTTGTTTCAAGATGTAAATATTATCAACTAACATATTATTTAAAAATAACTACCAAAACGATCTGATCTATAATACCAATTAATTTTTTTTTTCATTAAAAAATATCATTGATTTAATCTTAGACAATTTCATTTCATCTTATTTTGCCTGGTTATTGATGCAAAAAATCTTAATACACAAACATTAAAACAGACTCAACAAAAGGATTTTTTTTAGAAAAATAAGAATGCCGTGTCGGTTAAAATATGATTAAGATGTGAAACTATGCATACAAGGTGAATCTAAGACGATGAGGGGGGAGCGAGCCAGGAATAATTACCACGAAGAGGAGTAAAATACAAGGGTCTAGACTTTTGATATTACTTAATTTAGTCAATTTTATCCTCGAGGTTGATCTTCTTCGCATTTCTTGACATTGAAAAACCAAATAAAAGATCCACCATGGTTTCATTAATTGATTTAAGATTTTAATCGGTCGATTATTAAGAACGGAAATCATGGAATTAAATTTCCAAGTATCCCGTTAATCTAGATTTAAATGAACTGATTTAAAGAAAAAAAACAAAATAAAAAATCAACTACATATAAAGAAAAAGAAACATCCTAGACATGGAAATGTGCCCCAAGGTACGATGACATTAGATATTCATCATTATTAGATAAATGTCTTATTAAACATGAGGGGTTCTTACAAAACATCGAAGAGATGAGTGGAGTGATTCACCAAAATAAAAAATACTAAACAATGTTTTATTATATTTGGGTGAGAATTACGTCTGTGATGAATGTGTGGGGTGAGTAGATGAAAATTAAATCGAACTGTTAAAAATGATTCATCGTATCCAATCATCCAATTGAAATCAATACATGTGTGGAGTAATAGAATCAACAAGAATAACAATAATAATCAAACGTATCCTTTTCTTGTTCATTAACTTTTCTTTTCCACACACGCAATTTGAGAGATTATAGTAAATGTATCTTTTCTTAATCCCTTTTTTGTTTTTTGTTCTTTGATTTGTGGACATTGCTCATAATACCACGATGGGTTTTGTTATGAGTTCTCCCGGATTCTTGTTCATGATTGTGATGTGTTCTATGGATCTGAATGATAATGATGATAATAATAATACTACATTGTGCTATAGAGTATTATTTTATTATAGATGTTATTTATAGTTAATTGACGTGGAAGGAAACAGAGAGAATGAAAGCAAGTAAAGAACTGCCCTGAAAATCCATGTGTATGTATGCATCTACAAACTAACAAAGCTAGATTTGGTTAAAAATAAATAATTTCATTCTGGTGGATGCACAACCACTTGTTTTATTCAAGTGTAGGACAGAATAGATTATGTTAAATTAAAATCAAGAATTAAGATTATGCACCTAGCCAACCCAACCCAACTTAACTTAACTCAACTCAACTCAACAGAACACTTCATCTACTAGTTGATTCAATGGATGGTTTTTACAATAAAAAGGGGAGAAGCCGCCACAACTACAATGCGCAATATACTGTATATGTATATGTACCAAAACGTATGAGACTTTGTTTAAGTGAACAATCTATTCATATTGCTTTTTTATATATGTATGGTGATGAAAAAGAAAAGTGAATATCTTTAACAAACCATCTAGCCAACCAAAGAAAGCAAAGCGGAGCAATACAATACCAGACATGTTAGCAAACAATGACGATAGTCTAAAAACATTTCTTTTTTAGATTGGTTACTTTTTTTTTTCTCTCTTTTCGCCCACAATGTTGATTTCATGTTGATTGCATTTTGTGCAACACTTTTATTTTAAATTTCCCTTTTTTGCTCCCATTGTAAGATGATGTACATGTATAATGATAGTCGATGAATTATTGGAAATATATATAAACCTCCCTTTCGTTCCCCTTTCTTCATCTAAATTAAATTTATAGTTCTTCTTTTTTTTCTTTTATTTATTTATATATATATTTACTACAGTTTGTCTATTTTCTTTCATTCTTAATACCTTAATTTTATATTAATCTTATTGCCATTTCATTCCTTTCTTGCACAACATATCAATATCCAACTGGGACTTAATAGACAGATATATACAAATATAATACGAAAATGATCAACTACAAATATTCGTTAACGGAAGCATTGAACAACTCATCATCTTCAAGTTCTATAGGCCATCATAAAAGATCAAACTCTGTTCATCTTCAGCAATCATCTCCACAACAACAACTGCATCCTACATTTGAAAGAAAAAACAGTCAGGAATCTTCCGTGGTTTCATTATCTGATAGATCAATAACTTCACCAATATCATCATTACCAACAACTCCACAAGATCATCAAAATACTACCATTAGACAAAGAATGAGTGAACCAATTATAGATTTAAATAAAATCACAGAAGAGTATAATAATTGTCAACGAAGATTATCTATTGCATCTATGAAGAAAGCAAATGAATCTTTGGTTCATTGGTGTCAATTTTTACAAGAGGAGGAAGATACTAGATTTTATTCACAAGAATTGAATCAAGATGGATTAAATTCTTCTAGTTCGGTGACCAATTTACCAATCACTTCAGAAATATTATTAGAAAGTTTTAATGAACATAAAGATGATGATGATAATAATAAACAAGAGGGGGAAGGTGAAGATAAAAAGGAAGGAATGCCTAGAAAGCATAATAATATTCAACTTATTAGAAATTTGAGTAGGATTACAAGGAAGAATAGTTTATCAATGATTAAATCATCAAGAAAATCAACTGCAAGTGTTTAATCTTGGTATGGTAAAATATGGTTTGTTCGTTTTAGTTTTAGTTTTTTTTTTGAGTCATTTTTGGGACATTATGATTATGTATACCTCTTTTCTTTAGTTCTTCATTATTTAGCATTTTGCATATGTTTGTATTTTTTAATTAATTTTTAATTTTCTTGAATTTTTTTTTTTACCTTGTCGTCTTGTACAGATCATAAACGAATAAACGAATTCTTGAAAGGATTTACTGAAATCCCAAAATGTGTCAAATTAGAATGTATCAATGATTTTTAGGTTTCTCTACTTTTATTTTCTTACCCGTTTTGCTTGATTCAGTGTATTTTGCATTCAACAAAAATTTGGAAGAAAAAAAAGATAACGATACTTCTGATTAAACAGTTCAGTTACAAGAACAACAAGGGGGCGGGAACAAATAAATAAAGAAAATGAAGATTATTATTGTTGTTAAAGTGGTGGTGGTTATCACCATGGTTATGTAATATTGTGCATTTGGTTGATGCATAGTGCATGGTTGTACAAAAAACCCATCACTAGAAAGAATTTAATTTAAAGCCATGTACTTTCAATTAAAGTCCTCTTTTTATTGTTATTATTAGCTCTAGATACTAACTTAGAGTTGCTTGTGGAATGTAATTTGCACACAAATGTAAGTGAAGATATAATTTGAAAATAACTTTTCATTCTTCTTGCACCGCTTTACTTTGCTTTTGCTTTGAATATTGATTGTTGATTGTTGAAAATTATCATTCGATTATTTTGCTGTTCTCTGATGTTATTCGTTGAAAAAGGGTATTGGAACACAATAACTCCCCACTAAATAAAAGAGCACAAAAGACGTTTCTTGTGGGGGAGGGAAACTAGAGGATGACACGGATACGACTGAAAAAAAAAAAGAAATAGCTCATACTGAACACCCGTGGCATTGGTTAAATGCTGAATCATCTTTTCTTTTTGGCTCAAGTATGGGTGTCTCGGAAATTCCAAACAATCATTAACGATGATCATATTGGTTCACTTTTCTTTTTTTTTTTAGTACTACATGTTTGGATTCACCATGGCTTATGGGAAAACTTCCTTGTTAGAAATAACATCTAGACCCACCCATTGTTGTTATCGATGTGTGTATATGTTCTGGAATAACAACAACAACCACAACAACTGCCCAATACCTTCAAAGTCTAGTTCTTTGTTAGTCTTTTTCGGCACTCGTCGGATTATTATACTTTGGTGTTTTATAGTTTGTATCGCATTTGAGGCAACTCATTACTCCTTTCCTTTCAGGTACCAAAAAAAATAAAAGTAAGGTACAAACAACGAGTCATAGCAATTATTATTATTATTATTGTTGTTGTTGTTAATCCTACCATCACACGATTGAAGAATATCGGTTTACCCCTTTTTGTGATCGACGAGGGTGAACAGGGACAGAGACAGGAAGGGACAAAGAGAGCTCTGCCATTTTCAAGTGAAACCCCTACATACATTTAATAATTATAACAGATGACGTATTGTTGTTTATTTGTATATAATTTTCCTAATTGAAGAATTTCTAACCGAATGATATGAAGGAGGGGGGAACAGGAAGGAAAGGGCTAGAGAGGGAAGGAGAATGAATGTATTCTAACTTAAACTAGTTTTCAAACTTTGTAATTGTTTCAAAACTGCACTCTTAGCAGTACCTCCAATAGCATCTCTTCTTTCAACACTAACTTCAAAATCAAAAGTATCCATTACATCTTTTTCAAATCTTTGATCAATTTCTTTAAATTGTTCAAAAGTTAATTTATCAATACCACTTAATCCTTCTTCTTCAGCTTTTCTAACACATTCACCAGAGATATGATGAGTTTCTCTGAATGGAACCCCTTTTCTAACCAAATAATCAGCCAAATCAGTAGCCAACATGTCCATAGTTAATGCATTCTTCATATTTTCGGCATTTATATTCAAAGTTGAAATAACCCCTGTGGCAATTAAAATAGAATGTTCAACAGTAGTAAGAGCATCAAATAATGGTTCTTTGTCTTCTTGCATATCTTTATTATAAGTTGAAGGAATTGATTTAATAGACATTAAAAACCCAGCCAATTCACCAAAGACTCTACCACTTTTACCTCTTAATAATTCCAAAGAGTCAGGGTTCTTCTTTTGTGGCATTAATGAACTACCGGTTGAATAAGCATCAGCTAATTTGATAAAACCAAATTCTGCACTTGAATAAAGAATCAAATCTTCAGAAAATCTGGAAATATGATTCATAAATAAAGTACACCAAAACAAACTTTCCACCACGAAATCTCTATCGGAAACAGCAGTCAATGAATTCCCAATAATTCCTTCGAATTCTAATCCAGTAGCTAATAAATCTCTATCAATTCCATAAGGATGACCAGCTAAAGCACCACAACCTAATGGACTTTGATTAACTCTGGTTATAATTTGTTGTAATCTTTTATAATCTTCAGTGAAATAAGTAGCATAACTACTTAACCAATGAGACCATCTGATTGGTTGGGCACGTTGTAAATGAGTGTAACCAGGCATCAATACTTCAATTTCTCCCTCGGCTCTATTTAAAATGGTTTCAATAAAACCTTTTAATTTTTTGGATAAATCTCTTAAGGATTCACGGACAAAAATTCTCATATCAGTTGCAACTTGATCATTTCTAGATCTACCAGTATGAACTTTACCAGAAATATTTTTACCAATAATTTCACCCAATCTTCTTTCATTAGCAGTATGAATATCTTCATCACCTGGTTTTTCAATAAATTTTCCTTGTTTCCATTCTTCACGAATTTCTTCTAATCCTGAATGAATAGCTTTTAATTCTTCATCATTAATTAATCCAAGTTTATTCAATCCAATTGTATAAATTTTGGTACCAGTTAAATCAGCATCATACATTACTTTATCGTAAGGTAATGAAGCATTATATAAATCCATTAGTGGATCAGTAGCTCCAGTAAATCTACCTCCCCATAATTTATTTCCACTTGGTTGTTCAGATGACATTGTTGTTAGAATAAGTTGTTGATAATTAAGCAAAGAAAGAAAGAAAAGTCGACGACAAAAAAAAAATTTTTCACTTCCTCTATTTATAGAAAAGAAAATTTCATTTTGTCGTTATTTGCTTAAGCGCGCTTAGCAAAAAAATGTGTTTCCTAATTCGTCCATCGGCTCAATGAGTCACGATGGCTGGAAATTTCCCCTTTTTGTAACAAAGTTTTTGGGTTCCTTTTGATGGGGGCGGTTGGTTATTACTCACAGGTATATGTCATTGTCTATGTTGATGATCAGCCAATGTATGTGAAATTGCCAATAATTACACATGAAAGTGTTGTGCCGTATGGTAATGACACGAGCTGTTTTTATTAAGTGGTTTCAATAGTAGCTAGCACATTTATATTAAAGTCCATTGTCACTTTCATTCTGTATAACCACAGATTGGAAAGAGCATTTCATGTTCAAGTGGTTCCCCACTAATTTGTGAGATGAATGCAAAAAAAATATGGATACTTTATACGGGTTCCAGTCAGAGTATGTTTTCAGAAAGAGACGACGTCTAGTAATATCAAATTATAGTTACTATTATAATTCAGTAGTCTTATATTCATTACAGTCTAGATTCTTTATAAAATACTGTGTCTATCAGTTGTCCAAATCCTACAAGTTAGTTGTTGTTGTGATTTTACATGAGCAAGTTCAAGGACAAATGATTTCTGGACTTTATTAACTATACAACAATCTGGGAATCATCCTCCTTGTATATTTGTCTAAGTCCAGCAGCTTTCTACCCATACCATCATCTTCACCTCGCGATGATTAGCCTCATCTAAAAAAAAAAACTATACGCAAAAAAAAAAAAAAAATTATTCAGGTCCCATCTCTTTAACCATCACCACCAACACATTCATATAAAACAAAACAAAAAATGGGAAAGATTTCAGTTAGTGATACCAAGGGTAAACAACGTCATAATCCATTGTTGAAAGATATTTCATCACAAGGGGGAAATTTAAGAACAACACCAAGATCATCAACTAAATCCCAATCATCAAAAAAGAAAAATAGTCGTAGAACCAACAATAATGATGATGACGAAGAAGGTGAAGGATTTTTAGATGCTTCCAGTTCTAGAAAAATCTTACAATTAGCTAAAGAACAACAAGATGAACTTAAAGAAGAAGAGGAAGGTATTACAAAGCCTACTTTTGCTCAATCATTTAAAAACCAAGAAGTTGTCAGTGATGATGAGGAAGAAGAGGAAAGAGAATATTCTGATTTCGAAGTAGAAGAAGAAGAGGAAGAAGTTGTATATGATGAAGAAGAAATTGAAGTTGATGAAAAAGATGCCGAATTATTTAATAAGTATTTCCAATCAAACGGTGAATCCATGTCTCAGGGACAGAGTATAAATTTGGCAGATAAAATCTTAGCCAAAATTCAAGAAAAAGAACTTCAACAACAACAACAAGAAAGTGGTAAACCAGTTGAAGATGCTGTTTTACTTCCACCAAAAGTTATCTTAGCATATGAGAAAATTGGACAAATATTAGCCACTTATACCCATGGTAAATTACCTAAATTGTTTAAAATTTTACCAAGTTTGAAAAACTGGGAAGATGTGTTGTATGTTACTAATCCAGAACAGTGGACTCCTCATGCCACTTATGAAGCTACAAAATTATTTGTTTCTAACTTACAAGCCAACGAAGCTCAGAAGTTTATTGAAAAAGTATTGTTAGAGAAATTCAGATCCTCCATTGAAGATTCCGATGATCATTCCTTGAATTATCATATTTACAGAGCATTAAAGAAATCCCTATATAAACCAGGGGCTTTCTTCAAAGGGTTCTTGTTACCATTAGTTGATGGGTATTGTACTGTTCGTGAAGCCACCATTGCTGCTTCTGTATTAACCAAAGTTTCTGTTCCTGTTTTACATTCATCAGTTGCATTAACTCAATTGTTACAAAGAGATTTCAGTCCTGCTACTACTGTATTTATCAGAGTTTTAATTGAAAAGAAGTACGCTTTACCATATCAAACATTGGATGAATTGGTGTTTTATTTTATGAGATTCAGAAATGCTGCTCAAGAGCATATGGATTTAGATAATGAGAAAGAAGCTCCTCAATTACCTGTTGTTTGGCATAAAGCATTTTTGGCATTTGCACAACGTTACAAGAATGATATTACTGATGATCAAAGAGATTTCTTATTGGAAACTGTCAGACAAAGGTTCCATCATTCTATTGGTCCAGAAATACGAAGAGAATTATTAGCTGGTAAACCAAGATTAACTGAAAATTCAACTAAAGAAGATGGTATAATGATAGATGCTTTTTGAATAATATAAGTGTGTGTGTGTGTCAATAATAGATTTACAATTTCTACCGAGTGTGAAAGTTTCTATTTACAATATTGTAGGTAGTCCTCTATTCGTAGTCATTTAATGTAACAGCAATCAATAACATACTAAAACAAATTTCAGTTCTTTCAAATAATAGCCTACAAATGTGGGGCTTTGTTCAACATTAATTTCATATGGTAATTATTCACACCCAATAAGTATCATAAATTATTCGTAGTTTGAACTTTCTAAAACAATAGGAATTGTCATCTTCATATTTATTACAACTAGTTTTGAATTACAAGGCAGTTAATTGCTTCAGGGGATGTGACAAAGTTAACCCCACCACCCCTTAAAACCTTTTCACTCGTAGTTACATAATACCCCTCCCCTCCCCTCCCCCCACATTTGGCTCTCAGATGATCATTTATCATTAATAATAGGCACATATGGAATTACTTGAATGGTACTTTTATAGTACCAATTATAAATCATCGCCTTAAAAGTGACATTTTTATTTGAAGTATTGCTGCTGTATTCACTTTTGGTATAGTTCTCTTGGCATATTGATAATTCTATAATGAAACATAAACTTCATAAGTTTCCTCTATAAACTTACGAGTTTCCAATGTTCTACTAAACGTATTATACTATTCATAGTCTTTCCAGAGTATCCCTTACGTCATTGAAATCCTACTAACGGATCAGGAGTCAAATATAAATTAACCATGAATTCTTTTTCCCAAAGCAGATAAACTAAAATAACTGCCACACACATCAATTACAATGATTACTTATTACTTATTATTACTTAGTTCATTGAAATTTTGTTTCTCATTGACATTTACCAAGTCATTAATAACTGGTGGTCCATTTACTACGGCACCACCACCAGGAATTGCTGTTTCTGATACATGCTTAGTTACAATTTATGATGGTACTATTCCTGAAACATTTACTTTAATTCCATGTCCATCAGATGTTAGTAATATTCCAAATGGTTGTACTTATACAAGACTGAAAACATTATGTCCACCAATGGATCATTGTGCATGGATTAATAATCCAGAATCTAGTTTAATTTGTGATACTACTGATTGTTTCCCTTGGGGTGCTTCTGGTGCAGAACCAACTTATTTTTGTAGTGGTACTTGGGAAGCACCTACTTTTGGTATTCCATGTGTTGAAACAATTATAACATCTTCGGTATTTACTAGATATTATACTTCTTATATTACTCATCTGGAATGTATCTCTACTCCAACTACTAATTCAAATAATGTTCCAACTTCTAAATCTATAACAGGTACTTTTGCAACCAGTACCCGTACTTTATCCAATGGATGTTTAGAAATTTCAAAACAATATTTTGACGTGATTGAATTTTCAACAACTTGTCCTGATTCAGACCCTACTCCGACTCTTTTAACAACATCAATCCCACCCGAATGTACAAATTATGAAGAAAGTGTTTATTGTCCAGACTATTGTGTAACATATATTAAGTATCATGGTAGTGATGGATTTATTGGACTTGGTAAAGGTACAATTTGTGAACCTAATGGTACTAGTTGTGATTTTATAACCACTGAAGAAACTCCATGTTTTATATGTACAAAACAATAACAATAGTTGACAACTGGTTAAAGTTTGTGTTTTATTTTGAATTATCTACTATCGTTATGTAGCTTATAATAGTCGTTCGTTAAAATATATGATCCTGAGAATATTCATTTGCAATTAGATCACAAACGAGATTGATAATTTTACAACAATATTTTTGCAAAATTTGTTTGAAAAAAAGAAAAAATCCCTACAAAAGAATTACAAAATATTACTAACAACACTCCAAATTTGTTAATTGGACCAAATCCTTTCAAACATCATCAACCTCTGACTACTTTTTATTCTCTGGCAATTTGTAATAGTTTGTTAATTGACCAAATGCAAAAATCGTGTCCTTACCAATTACCTGCTTTACAGCCAATAGAAAAAATCTATTTCCTTATTACCCAAAAATAGTATGATCCTGCATACTGCCCATAGTTAACTTTCATGAAAAAAAAGAAAAAAAGAAAACCTTGAAAGAAAACCTTCTCAGCCAATCAACAAATCGTTTATAATCTTTTCTAACCAGGTCATTCTATTCAACTTCAATACCAAAAAACAGAAAAGAAAATAAAGACAAGGAGAGAGGAACAATATCCAATTATCTATTCAATCCATATTCACATTACTATCATTGTTAAATCATTTTATTTATAGAAATCAATCCTACTTTTTTTTTTTATTTTTATTCCCATCTACCACCCAATTGAATTTATTTTGAATAGTATTCACCGAATTTATAATAATGTTAAGAATAGCCAGTAGAAGAACTAATAGCTTAAGAACAGCATCACAATTCATAAGACAATCAGTCAGATCATATGCTGCTGTTCCTAATGATTCACCAGAAAACAGACCATTGGTTACACCATTAGGTAGACAACCACAAAAATATTCATCAGAAAATACTAGTTTTGGACCAACTACATTTACTGAAATTTTAGATAATGTTAATATTACTTGGGATAAAAATGATGATCCTGATAAATTATCTAAACAAAATACTAAAATTCGTCATTTTACTATAAATTTTGGACCTCAACATCCAGCTGCTCACGGTGTTTTAAGATTAATTTTAGAATTACATGGTGAAGAAATTGTTCGTAGTGATCCTCATGTTGGTTTATTACATAGAGGTACTGAAAAATTAATTGAAACCAAAACTTATATGCAAGCATTACCATATTTTGATCGTTTAGATTATGTTTCTATGATGACTAATGAACAAGTTTTTGCATTAGCTGTGGAAAAATTATTAAATGTTGAAATTCCATTAAGAGCCAAATATATTCGTACATTATTTGGAGAAATTACTAGAGTTTTAAATCATTGTATGTCTGTTTTAACCCATATTATGGATGTTGGTGGTTTAACACCATTCTTGTGGGGTTTTGAAGAACGTGAAAAATTGATGGAATTTTATGAAAGAGTTTCTGGTGCAAGATTACATAGTGCTTATGTTAGACCAGGTGGTGTTTCTCAAGATTTACCAGCTGGTTTATTAGATGATATTTATATGTGGGCTACTCAATTCGGTGATAGAATTGATGAAATTGAAGAATTGTGTACTGATAATCGTATTTGGAAAGATCGTACCATTGGTGTTGGATATGTTTCAGCTGAAGATGCATTGAATTATTCATTATCAGGGGTTATGTTGAGAGGTTCAGGTGTTCCATTTGATGTTCGTAAATCTCAGCCATATGATGCTTATGATTTAGTTGATTTTGATATTGCTGTTGGTTACAATGGTGATTGTTATGATCGTTATTTGATTAGAATGGCTGAATTTAGACAATCTTTAAGAGTTATTTTCCAATGTATTAATGATATGCCAGAAGGTCCAGTTAAAGTTGAAGATTATAAGATTTCTCCACCTTCTAGAGCTGTTATGAAAGAAGATATGGAAGCATTAATTCATCATTTCTTGTTGTTTACTAAAGGTTATGCTGTTCCAGCTGGTGAAACTTATACTGCTATTGAAGCACCAAAGGGTGAAATGGCTGTTTATGTTGTTTCTGACGGTAGTGAAAGACCATACAGATGTAAGATTAGAGCCCCAGGTTTTGCTCATTTAGGTGCTCTTGATCATATTGCTAGAGGTAATTTGTTGGCAGATGCTGTTGCTATTATTGGTACTATGGATTTGGTCTTTGGTGAAGTCGATCGTTAATTTACTCTATCTTCATGTCTGCCTTATAGTTAGTTTCTTATAAAAAAAAAGCAAAAGTACTCATTAAGAAACACACACACGCAAATGTATATTATTTAATTTATTATTATTATTATTATTATTACTATTATTATGAGATAATCTAAGTTTTAGAATACCGTTCTATATAATAAATATAATGAACTTGCTGCCCCACCTAAAATAGCAAAAGTTCTAAACATTGAACCATCATCATCTGGATGTTTTGGAGGACGTTGATATAAATTTTGATAAGTTGAAGCACCAGAATAAGTAGTATGAGTACCAAATTTTGGGGAATTTTTATTAATTAAATTTTGATTATGTCTAATCATATTAACATGACGTAATAAATGTTTAGTTTTAGTTTCTTCCAGAATTTTATCATGATTATTACGATTTATTTGATTTAATATTTTAATTTGAGTATTTTTATCAAGGACTTTATTAATTAAATGTTGTTCAAATTTTAAATTTCTTTGAAGATGTTTTTCATAATCAAAATGTGGTACATCAAATCTATCACCATAATTAACATATTCCCCAGAAAATTTTGAATCTTTATTCATATGATCATTATGATATTTAATTTTATGTCTTTTAGTATTTAATCCCAGAGCAGTATAATGATGAGCAGAAGATGGTGATGAACCAGAACCTGATTTTGAATAATATTTAGCCTCTCCATAATATTTATTATTCCATTCTCTTTTATGATTTATATTTAAGGATTGATCATATGCTTTTTTCTTCTTGATATCTTTTAAAATTTCATAAGAATTTATCATTTTCATATATTTCTCCTTCATCACTTCTCTTTCATCGTCAGATAAATGTTGGTTTAAATCAGGATGATATTGTTTCAGTAGTTTTCTAAATTGTAATTTAATCTCTCGAATAGATGCACTAGGAGAAACATCTAGAATTTGATAATGGGTTAGATTATTAGAAGTATGAGTAGCAAACAGCCGTATAGTATTAACAATCATGACTTGCCTTTAGTTAGTGGTGATACTAGTAGTTGTAGTGATAATAGTTGTAGATAGTTGCTTTATCTTTGACATTTTTTTTCTGTTTTTCTGTTTTTAAACCCCAGGTTAAAGAGGTACAGATTTTTTTTTCTTTTTCTTTTCGGATTAAGAACGAGAACGGTATGGCAAAGTCCATTATCGGAGATGATGCAAGCTGTGGTGATAGTTGATTCGTATGAAAGATAAACCACAAATGAAGGTTATATTTGATCACAAAACGTTTAAATACATGTTAGTACCTTAATTTGTTTCACACACACACAGAAGGACAACAATGGAAATAACCATCGGTTGTTGTTTGATGGATAATTCGGTCACAAGGATGAATAAAACAGGACATCTGATGATGGACTTAATAAAAAATAAAAGATAACCTACAAATCAAGAAATAATGATTTATTCAATTAAGTGCGAGTACATAAAAGTCGGGATGGTTATAAATTTACTCTACTCAACCAATCATTTGGTCGTATTCCAATAAAAAAAATACATCATGAGCCATGGTTATCACTCGTGTGTGTGTGTGTGTGTGTGTGTGTGATTGTGTGCATAATGGAATGACGATCATCAGAAGAAAATTGTGGCCGCCGGGGGTTGTCTCTGACTCACGTGCTCTATTCTCCGAGATAACTCTTACATTCCTTTTTATAAAAGAGTTATTAATACAGCAGCAACATTCTCCTTAAAAAAGATTATCAACAAATTAGAATGCAAAGGCGGGATAAGTTAATGATGTGTGTGAATGATTAGTAGTTTACCACTGAAATAAAATGAAGCAGATCAATACACGTGATTACTCGTCATGTGCGTTACATAGTGATGAGTAAGTGAGTGAGTTAATATTAGTTAGTTAGTTAGTAATCATCATCATCATCACTATCATCATCATAATGAAAAGAAATTTTAATTTATTTAAAAGGGTGGGTGAACAGTGATGGTCGTGTACACGTTGACAGTGAGTTTCTTTTTTTTCTCTCTCTTTTGCTGTTGTCTGGGAACTTTCACCACACACGCTTACACACACACAACACTTTACAAGTTCCAATGGCTGACAAACAAGACAACAAAAAAAAAAGTGGAAACCCACTCACAACAATTTTTTCTTTATTTTTATTTTTATTTTTGACAACACTTTTTCTTACAAATCAAATCAAATCAAATCAACAAACCCAGACAACCCAGACAACCCAGACAACCAAGTACTTCTACTGCTACAACATTAGAAAGGAAAGTATTCAACAAAAGAATCAATACGCAAACTCATATTTACAACAAAGTGCAGACAAGATATTTTGCTCACTTTGACATCATTTCCATCATACTCCTCCTCCTTTAATCAATATCAAGACAACAGCAACAACAAATACTACTACTAATACACCATCATGTCATCGAAATCAGCAGCAGCCATCTTACAACGACAATTTAAAGATTTAACTGATCCTAAAAAAGGAATCCCATCATTCCATATTGAATTGGACGATGATAACATTTTCTTGTGGAATATTGGTGTTATGGTATTAAATCCAGATTCATTATATCATGGAGGTTATTTCAAAGGTCAAATGAGATTTCCTCAGGATTTTCCATTTTCACCTCCAAGTTTCCGTTTCACTCCTGCATTATATCATCCAAATGTTTATCGTGATGGTAGATTATGTATCTCTATATTACATCAAGGTGGGGATCCAACCAGTGATGAACCAGAAAGTGAAACTTGGTCACCAGCACAAACTGTTGAAAGTGTTTTGATTTCAATCATTTCATTATTGGATGACCCAAATGGTAATTCTCCAGCCAATATCGATGCTTCTGTTGAATTTAGAAAAAATTTCCCAGAATATAAAAGAAGAGTTTTAGCTGAAGTTGAAAGAAGTAAAAAAGATATTCCTGAAGATTTTGTCATGCCAGATGATGCAACAAACGCTTATTCTAATAATTCAGGTATTAAAAAAGATGTTGTTGAAGAACAAGTTGATGAAGATTTTTGGTATGAAAGTGATGAAGATGAAAGTTTTGATGAAGAAAGTTTAATGGATGAAAATATGGATGATGATCAATTTGATGAAGAAGAAGAAGAAGAGGAAGAAGAACAAGATGAAGACATGGGTGGTAAATAATACATCATAATAATATTACCCACAAACTACAATCCAAATTCATATTAAAAAAAAAAAAAAAGTAAATGATTATTATCAATGGGGTTTTATTTTCTTTTTCATTAATGATTTTTTTTTTCTTTTATTAAATTTAATTTCTTATCTTTTTTCTTCCATCAAATTGCTTATTTTTGGAGGGTTGATACTTTAATACCCTTTTGTTTTGAAGGTTATTTCCTCCTACCGTTTTGTTTAACGATTTATTTCTCTATTCCTTTGGTCATATTATATTATATTATTATTGTTATTGTTAATTGGTTCTCATTATTGTTTGAAGTTATTTTTTGCATATATTCTTTTTTTTTTCTTAGTTGTGGTATACATATATATATATATATCTGTAAATCAATATACTATTCTTGTTTCTTAAATAAAGATTCGGAGGTGGTTGTATATTTATTCATCACTATAACCTTTTAAACCATCTTTTAAAACCAGACATAAATTATCCAGTATAATTTTAACATATTCATCAGGAATTTCATCATTATTATAATATAAAATCAAATATAAATCTAATACTTTATGAATTAAACATTTCAAATCTTTTTCAAATTCAATTATATTCCATTCCAATTCACTTTCAGATTCATCTTTATTATCTTTAGTATTTTTTAATGAATTATAACTTAGTATAGAATATATTTTATAATCTTCTTTACTTCTCGATGTACTCCTTGTTGTCGTTGTTGTTGTTGATGATGTTGTTGATGATGTTGTTGATGATGATGATGTAGCAGGTTGAGATATTGTAATTAAAGGAATTCCTTGATTTGATAATAATGAAATTGTATTTATTGAACCAGTAGATAATACTTCATCTTCGTTTTCATTAGTTCTTCTTCTTTTTTGTGGAAATTCAATTGGTTTTAATCCTTGTTCAAGTATTTTGGATATTTGTCTCTGTTGTAACATTTGTTCTATTAGATGATGATGACTACGATGATGATAATGATAATGATAATGATAAAGATTTATTAATCAAGTTGATCAACAGTTGGTGATATTTTTTTTTTTGGTTCTTGCTGTGTTGATTCTTTTTTTTCTTTTGTTAATCGTCAATTTCATTTTCGTGTATACTCAAAAGGTGACGCCGCACCGGAAATAGCCAAATTAGGAAAATTAGGAAAAATTAGAAAAAAAAAATCCGGAAATACACATAAATAATAATCAAAAAATGATTGTGAAAAATCAATATACAAGTATATATATATATACATCTATAACTATGACTAATGTATATTGATATCCACTTGGTATATATTGTCTATAAAGCGAATAACCCAGTTCTTCTTTTACCAAATGGATAAACTACAATAGCAGCAGCAAATAAACCAACACTAATACCAATGGAAACTTCAACCATTGAAGCACCAAAACTTAATGAACTACCATCACTTAAACTATCACTAACAGTAGTAGTAGTACCATTTTTATTAGTAATTTGATCAGCAGTTTGTAAACCTGAAATTAATGTACTTTTTGATGCAATACCTGAAGGAACTTGTACAAAAATTGCTGGCAACATTGCACTAACTGCCATACCTTTCCAAATTCTTGAATACATATTACCTAAAACTCCAATAATAAATGCTCCAATACATGCAGTAAATTCAGTAACTTGAGAAAAATGTTTCCCAGCAAAATAAGTTCCAATATAACCAATCCCAGCAATTAAAACCATTATTGGTAATTCTGTCCATCTTGCTTGATTTAATAATCCTAATAATGATGCATATAATGGAACAAATAATATTCTCCATTTATCATTAATATTGTGACCAGATTCACAGGAATTATCCGAAGTTGCATTATGATCTATCCATCCATATAATGCAGCACCTAAAGTAATACCAAAACCTAAAAATAATGAATAAATAATAGCATAAAACATTCTAACGGCTCCAGCAACAAGATTTCTTGATTGTAATTCTAATGATCCACAAAGAATAATATAACCTGGCAATATAATTGCCAATGAACCTTGAGTTATAGCTGAAAAACAAAACAAATCACTATTAACACGAACTGAAGCAATACCTCTTCCAATAAATGAAACAACAATAGCTGAAGAAACTTCAAAAATTGATGAATATAATGTTGACATTGGTGAAACATAATATAATAAATATCCAACACATAATCCAATACCAAAACAAATTGGAATATCTAACCATCCTCCATCAAATGCCCAAACTGTAACTGCTCCAGATCCTAATCCATAAAATAAAACACACAACCAGGCAGGATATCTATTTTTACTTTTTAATAAATCATCAATTTTCTGTGCAGCTTCTTCAACACCGATTAAATCATGAATAACCGATTTATAAATCTTATGAGTATCAGCAAGCTTTGATAAATTTAATCCTTGAGCACATCTAACTAAATGAACTTCAGAAGTTCTTGTTGCTGCATCACCAAATGAAACCAACATACAACCAGGGAAATAAATAAATTGTCCATCAATTTCCAATACTCTTGAAGTCATAATCATATATTCTTCCAATCTATGAGTAGGAGCTCCAAATAACATCAATGCTCGACACATATTCATGATAAATCGTTGACGTTGTAAAATATCAGCTATATGAACAGTTATTCTTAATCTTTCACCTTTACGTTTATTATGACGTAATTTTTTCAATTTATGAACAGGATCAGGATTCTTCTTTTTAGGAACTTTAGGTTTTGCATTTTGAAAGGAAGGTAAATGACCCATTCCATCAAGTTCAACATCACCTTCTTCAAAATCACTACCTTTATCTTCATACTTCTCATCAATTTCATCCAGATTTGACGATGACATTTTAGTTTCAACAGTATCTGATCTATTATGATGAGGATGTCTTAAAAATTTCCCAGCTTTATTAAACATATTTTTTGGAGCATCTTTAATATTCAGAGTGAATTTATTCATATCAACCATTGAACTTCCTGCATCATAATTATCAAAACTGTCATCATAAGAAGAAATACCAGTATTTGTTCTACTTAATGAACTGATAGATTTTTCTTCTTGTGGATTTTGATATAATCTTAACAAAGATGATAAAACCCCAGCTTGAACTTGTTTTGGGGGAGCTATATAATCATCTGAATCAATATGCATAAAATCAGTTTCTGCTTCAATTTTTGGATTATTCATATCTTCAGAACCTCTAATAAATAAATCTGGATTTGGTGTATAAAATTGACCATTTTTTTCCTTATGTCTTTGACTTGTAGTACTTGCTCTTCTATTATCATGTGATGGGTGTTGTTCTTGATTGTAGTCATCAGCAGCAGCGTCACCATTTACCGGAGTAGAAGTACCAGGAGTTTGACTTGGAGTCACTTCAGTACTTGTAGGTATACTCTGAGATATACCAGGAAGATGTTGATTAATTAACTCTTTAGCTTCTTCACTAAGTTCATTAAAACTTAATGGTTGCATTTCAATGGCATTACCATCATTGATATCTTCAAATCCAACTCGTTTTTCTTCATCATTACTAACTTTACTTGCACCTGGAGCTAATCCTCCACCACTAATACTTTGATTATTACTAGTACCAAAATTTAAAACTTTTCCTAAAAATGTATCATTATGAGAAATATCTTGATTTAATGAATCATTAGGATATCTATCAACTAATGACATTTTTCTTAATATTCCTTTGATTCCACCTCCACTTCCAGATATACTCTTTTTACTTGAACTAGCACCCGAACGAATTGAATGAGTTGAATTTCTTGACATTATTGGAGGTACTTGATCTCTTGATTCTGAATGTATTGGATCATCACTATCTTCTTCTTGATTTCCACGATAACTACTTCTCCTTGAGTTGCTTCGGCGATCATCCTCACTTCCATCATCATCATCAGAAGAATCAGTTTGATAAAATTGTTGAGGTGGATGATGATTTAAATTTGAAAAATCAACATTTGTTTCATCTTCCAAATCATCACTATCCTCTTCTTCCTCATCATAATTGTCTTGATTATATTGATAAGATTTATGATTATCATCAAATGGCAGAGGATTTGCTGAATTAAATGTAAAATTCTTCATTCTTTGATCTTGTTCAGTATTTATTTTAAATTCATCTTCATCACTATCATCATCTTCTTCATTTTCATAATTATTATTATTCTTTAATCGATCGCCACCATTTTCATCTTCATCGCTATCATCATTTTGTTTATTTCTTGAAGGAATAAAGCTTTTTGTAAATTCAGGATTTTTAGTTCTTGAATTAATTGGAATATTTCTACCAAAATTTTTATTTGTCCCTGTGGTTATTTTTTTAGCTTTTGCAAAATTATTAGCAGTTGTTTTAACAATAGCTGGTTTTTCATGTTTCATATGATTTTGTTTTCTTACTTCTTCTAAATTTAATCTAGTTGTAGGTAATTGAACATGAAACATTGGGTGTTTTGGTCCTTGTCCAATATCTTCATCAGATGACGAATACCCGTCATTATAATTCGTCGACATGATACCCGTTGATACTGAATGGCTTTAAAAGTAGTAATAGCAGTAGTAACAAATACGACTAACTAATATAATCAAAAACAGGTATGTTCTTATTATAACAATCGAATAGGAAAGAGAAAGAAAGTAAAAAAGAGAATAATGATAAATGATAATGATTCACCTTTATATTTATTTATCTATGTGTTTGCATAAGGAAAACCAAATTCTTTTTTTTTAGTTACAGTGTGTCGTGTACATTGGCACATAAATTTCTTTTTTCTTTTTTTTGGTGCACTCTACACAATTTGCATCATTACATCAGACACGCAGTTTAATCTTTTTTTTTTCAAAAGGGGGCAACAGTAGTGCACAATGACACAATAATTATCATCATAATCTTCAACAACGACAATGACAATGACATCACACAATCGACAATTAACAATCTACAATCAACAATCAACGAAAGCCAGTTGTAGGTCGATGATATCCAAATGGAGTTGTTCAAATTATCAATTGGTCATAGTAATAGTCTTTTAAAACCTTAGATACCCAATTTATCATCATCTTTTCGTATACTCTAATTCACTTCTTGTCATTCATTTAATCATACTTCATATTGCATCAAGTCAATAATAAACTTGTCAAATATACAATTAGAGGGAAAGAATTTATTCTAAACTATAAAAAAAAAAAGTTTCATCACAAAATCATACTACAAACACTTATCGATTATTGTGACACGAGAATTTAAATGATAATTCTATCGGCTATTGTTTATCAACCCAATTTTTTTTTTTTTTTTGTATTTTGCTTTCATGTTTGAAACTTATTACTAAGTTACATAACCCTCCTCCTGTTCCTGTTCTGTGTTCATTTGTTCATCACTTTTGTTGATTTGTACTAAAAATAAACCAACCACAGAATGTATTCGCAATGATTGCTAATGTTTCTCTTTCTCTCTGTGTGTAAATGTGTCTCTGCTTTTACCATATCGGCAACAATAGAATCAATTTCAAACAAAGAAAGAAAAAGAACACGATAATGTCGAAAGGGTTTATCAACTAAAACTAAGGAAAGAGCATCGCCTCATATAAACACGTCGTCGTACCTCGCTGACGTAATTCATCGCCTATCTTTAGAATTTTTTTTTTTTTTTTTCAACTTTGGTAAATCAAAGGAACCCGCCTGAGACCAGGACCCACGACCAATGTTGATTCACAATTGAGGACAACTATTTTAAATTAATATACACTGATAAACAATACTATTACTACTACTACTACTACTACTCTTCATCATCACTTCCATCATCTTTATATCCATGTTTTCTGATCTCACCTAATCTCTTTCTGGCAGCAATTAAACTATTCTCCAATTTAAGAATCTCAACTTGTTGTTCCATTTCAAGTGTTTTACCTTCATATGGGGTTAATTTACTTAAATCAACATCATTAACTCTTTCATTTTCTTTAGTTAACAAACTTTGAACTTTATCAACTAATGATTTACATGCTCGAGTAACATTTCCTGATGAATCTTCTAAATTATCTTGAGCTTTAGAAACAAAATTAGCTTTAACTCTAGAAGCAGCAACCAATTGAGCAGTCGATGCAGCAACTTCTTTAGAGGCAACAATCAATTCTTCATGAGAATTACTTTGTTTAAGTACACCATCTGCAGTATGAATTAAAACATTAGTAGCTCCAGCAACAGCTTTAGATGCACTAATTAAACCTTCGGTCCATCTACTATTTTTCTTATAGAAATCAGTAACTGATTGAGTACCTTTACCTTTGGCAACAATTTCTTTTTGGGATTCAACAGATGCCTTAATTAACCCTTCAACAGCTTCTGTGACAAGTTTAGCTGATGCCAACAACATTTCATGAACTTCTAAATTACCTCCATAAATATTGGCATTACTCATTAAATCATTCAAGAATTGACTTGCTAAACTAATAGTTTGTGCTGTTTGAGCCATTTCATCATTAACCAAATCTTCCAAATTACCCTTGAATTTCATAATACCGGTATCTGATCTCAAAGTTTCAACAAATTGGATTAAATTCTTCAAAATAGTTTGAAGCTCAAAATTACCATCGATAACTGCGTCAATCTTGTCTTCAACATCTTTATATTTATTCAATGATTCAGATTTCAAACTTTGGAAATAAATAACCGTTTCATCCAACACATCATTAGTCAATTCCAAAATTTTAACTTCTTGTGTAGCTGGAATACTGCTGGAAAGACCTTTTGCATTCAACATAACATCATTAATCGAAGCAGTTAATCTAGAACTTGATAAAATGATATCTGAGAAATTAGATTCATCTTCATTTCTATCTTCTGCAATATATCCATTGAAGGTGGTGGCAAAATCAGTAGCAGTATCAGAACACATTTCAAGAATAGACAACAAGTATTCAGGGGTTGAATTCAAGTTACCGGCTTGAATTGTGGTTGTCAATTCATGTTTTGTGTCCAATACACTTTTAATATTATTTTCCAAGAATATATCAATAAGATTCTTAAATTTCTCAACATTAGAAAGTAAAATATGATCAATTTGAGCATTAATGATATCATCTTGATCTTCTTTGGTACGATGCAACTCTGCAAGTGCATTATCTAATGATTCATTAGTGATTTGTAATTCAATTTCAGTTTCTTTCAATTTATTTTGCAATTCTTCTGAGCCACCCAATGATCCCAATTTCAATTCTCTATCAGCCAATTGATTCTTTAATTTATCCAATTCAGCTTCATGTTTAGCCATAATTGAAGAAAGATTCAAGTTTTGTAATTTTCCAGATTCTTGTGCTGACATATTCAATTCTCTAACCTCGGCTTCAAGTTTTTCGATATCTTGGTCTTTACTAGCTCTTAATCTATCCAAATCCAATCTTGCCCTATCTCTTTCTCTAATCAAATCTGCCAATTCAACATTCTTGGCTTTCAAATCTTTTTCAAGTTTTTCCTTCTTCAATATAGATTCTTGAGCAGAGCTGATTTTTTGTTGAATCTTTTTGAATTTGGCCAACAAGTTCAAATGTTCTTGACGTAATTGAGAATACAACTTGGCAAGAGATTCATATTTTTTAGTCCAATTACTAATTTGATCATCCAAGTTTTTAATTTGTTCATCTTTAGAAGCAATTTGTTGAGTTGCTGTACTATTGATGGCAGTCATTTCATTTTCCAAACTTCTAACTCTAGAATCATATTGTTGTAAAAGTTGTTGATCATTATCATATTGGTTTTTAAACATCAATAAATCATGTTCCAATTCTGAAACTCTTCCTTGCTGTTGTTGAGTTTGTTGCATCTGAAGAGCTTGTTGTTCTTGCAAAAATCTTGCTTCTTGCTCTTGTTGTTGTTGTTCAAAAAGTCTTTGTTGCTCTTGTTGTTGTTGAAGTTGTTGCTGACGTTGTAATTCCAATTGTTGTTGAATTCTTTCTTGTTCTTGCTGTTGTTGGTACAAGTACCCAGTTTGTTGAGTAATCAATTGTTCAACTGGTGGTGGGTTTGGAGGTGGAGCAAAATCTTGCGTTGGTTCAGATGAGATTTGCTGCGGAGTAACACTACGATCACTTTGGTTAATTGAAACTGGTCTACTAATTTCTTGACCATCATCAGTAATTTTAACATTTGGTGCACTATTTGGTAATCTTGGAATGGTAACCAAACTAGTCAAAAATTTAATGGCATGACAATCAGTGTAAAAATCTCTAAGCATAAAATGCTGAGTATCAAAACGTTCAACCAAACCTGTCAATGCATCATCTTCTCCCAATTGTTGATACATTGCTCTAAGCATAGAAATACAGAATTTATAAATACCATATGATTCAGCAATCAATGGCACCAATGCACTAACTTTACATAAATTACTACGACTTTGGTTAATAGTTGCAAAAACAAGTTTCTGCAAATCATTAATCAGGTCTTGAAGATCCATCAATTGTAATAATGCCTCATAACCTTCATTTGGATCACTTACGGTTCTTAATGATATATATTCTTCATATTCGAAAGTACCGTTAAATCCGGGATTGTTACGATGGAAATCCAATTTTTGAAGAATATATTTATCATATTGATTAATCAATCTACCATAAGAAGAACCCTGACTTGGAAACACAGTAGCTAAAGAAGCAATGAAATCACGATTTCTATAACCATCTTTCAAAGTATTTGGGTGACCTTCTTGTAAAACTTTATGAATCATAATCAATGCTTTAAATAATTGAACTTCATTACTTTGCAATGGTTGGATCTTGACTGCATTCCAAAATGCACGGGAATTTTTATGATCCCAGGTATAAACGATACATGCTCTAACATGTTTTCTCTTTGGTGGGACTTCATCACTGTTACAAGCTTTCTTGACACTTGTTTGTAAATCGACTTCAGCACGACTCATTGTCCGAATAAATGTAATTGAATAATTTTATAAACAACAATTAAGAATTGTCAATTGAAATCAATTGTTGTCTAAACTAATGGGGAAGGTGGATTTAGGACGGATAAGGGAGGAGGAGAAATAGGAGTGGACGAGGTTCAGCAAAAAAAAAAAAAAAAAAAAGAATGTTGGAAATTCACCGCAGGCGAAATCAAATTTGAATTTCGTTGACAATTTTTTTTTTATTTTCCGGTGCGGTCGTAGTCACGTGTTCACCGTCACGGTTATTACTCCGGCAGCCTTTTGGGTTATCAGCAGATTCTACACCCACTGCGGCACCAGCTGGGATTCTGATCAGTTTAACACGACCTACATAGTGAAATTTTTCATTTAATATCAATATGTCTACTATGAACAAAATTCATAAAAGAAAAGAGCTTTATTAATTATAACACAGTATACCTATATTTAATATATATTTATCACAATAATCATTATATCAAAGAAAAACAGCAGTACACCAACCAGTAAAACCTCTTGAATATATCTGTCTAATTTTTATTTCTCAAATGTTCCGAATTATTGACTTCTTCTATATTTGGTCTTACCAAAATCAAATGGAAGATATTTATATTTAATCATATGTTGTATTTGTCTTCTCATGGTTAAAGTGAATAAAATAATAAAATACATGACAAGAATTGGCCAAAAAACAGGAATATCAAAAATATTGAAAAATGTTAAAATTAAAGCAATCAGAGTTGCTCTAACTGCATTATACCAAAATTTAAATTCAGGTAATCTTCTAATAAATGGTCTAAATTCATCATCTTTATCATTATCGTCAATATTAACATTGGATTCATCTTCAAGACCTTCTTCAATAGATTCGTTTTTTAATTCTTGTTCTAATGATGGATCAAATTTAGGTGTTAAAAATGCTAAAAATAAATTCAATAAATATATACCTAAAGCATAACAGATGATATACCATCCTTGAGCAAATATAATTCTTAATAGAAATATTGAAATTAAAATTCCAAATGAAATCCATCTACCTTTGGTATGTGGAACTGATTCATCAACAAATTTATGATAAGTAACTAAAAGTTTATTAAACGTTGAGACAATTGGATTGTCTGCTGGAAGTTCAAATGGTAATCCCATGGTGACACTTTGAGTTTTGGTTTGAAATTGATACAGAAAGAAAGAAAACTATATGTAATCAAAGATAATATAATTCGTTGTTCATTCAAAGAAAGGAAGAAAAAACTTTTCTCTCTCTCTTCTGCCTTCCTGTTATTTTTTTTTTCTTTGTTGTTTTTTTGTTTTCTGTAATTTCCCAGGCGCGTCGATCGTTGTCGTTCCAGCTGTACTACCACGCAAGATTCAATCAGTTCAATCAATTCACTTGTGTAATGAATGATGAATAATGAGTAATGAATAAAGATAATATATTTACATGCTCTTCTATGTACATAAAAATACTCATGAGGTTTACAAAGTAGCAAAGGCTTCTTTTGGTCTACCCACAAGCTTAACCTTTCTATTGGCTTCATCATAAATACGTTGTATCACAAGATCCTTTGGTGCGTTCTTTGCATCAGTAATTTCAACAACAGATCCTGGAACATCAAGTGGTAATACTTCTGGCAAGTATTCCAAGGTAAGTTCTTTTCTTTCTTTAGCTTCAAATATACCTGGGGTATTGATAAGTTCACTGGCTTGTTTTCTGTATTCTTTATCAAGAGCATTTTCTTTATAAAGTTTGGCCAATTTCTCACTGGTTTCCTTTCTCAAAGATAAAGTTTCTTCTTCAGTCAAATTCTTGTAAAGTAAACCATTGCTTTCAACACCAATGGCGGAATCTATTTTGTTGATGAATTCTTTGACTTGATTTTGTAATTCTTTAACTTGATCTTTAGTAATTTCATTTCTTCTGACTTGTAAGTTGATGTCATAAAGTTGATTGAATGTAACTTGAGTTCTAGCTTCAGATAATGATTGTCCAACGGAACGTAATTGATAAATATTGTATAATCTTTCACTGGCATCTTCTAATTGTTGACCTTCTAATCCCATTCCATAAACTGAATTCAATGCTTCTTTACAGGAATTAATGAAAGTTTCTTTAGCTTTCGATTTAGTTTCTTTAATTTCATTCAATTTATCTTGTGCCAATAATTCCTTTCTTGACATACTAGCTTCTTCTTTTTCTGCTTCGATTGGATTTTCAATTGGAATGTAACCAAATCTTCTCAATCTTGGTTCAAAATGTGGTTTTGGTAATCTAACATCTTTTTTCAATGCAACACCAACATATTTTCTTAATGGATGGAAAGGATCAAGGTAAAATCTAACATAACCTGGTTCAGTAGCATAAATAGTATGATCTACACCAATACTTGTATTTTCACCTGGATGAATAACAGTACCTCTTTGTCTCATGATAATTTCACCAGTTTGAATGAAATGTCCTTCCTGTTTCTTAACACCCAATCTTCTACCAGCTGAATCTTTATTGTTGGTTTTGGAACCAGAAACTCTCTTCTTGGCAGTACGGATTTGAATAGATATATTGAGAGGATTCGAGGACAAGTCAATAGACTTTCTCGTGTTACTAAACAACCCCTTGACTAATGATGACATTTTGTTGACGTGGTTGTATATGTGGAGATGTTGGTTGTTCCGATTGAATGGAATTGTACAAGAATTGAGAACGAAAAATTTTCCCTTCTCATAATTTGGTGAGAAGAAAGTGAAAAATCACCACTAGTCGTGTACATGCCACCAAAATTGATTACATTTTTTTACCCGGAGTAGTCATCCTGTTAGAATAATGTAATATTTACTACTTACTAGAGGTGGATATTTGTTCTAACCTATCTAAAAGTATTTGAATTGTACTCTTCCATTCTTCAAAGTATTCAGTTTCACTCCAAAGGTCACTTGCTTCACTGGTTTTTGGATCAAGATTACCGCGTAATGCTTTACCAGCCAATTGGCTGATATTCAAATCTTCTTGTTCTTCTTCAACACGATAGAGCTTTGATTTGTACTCGTTGTCCCATTGTTGTTGATTACGACTGATGAAGTTATTAATTTCTTCTTTGTAGAATTGTGGAATCTGTTTATCATTGAAAGATTCTTCAAACCATTTCTTTGAATCAAAAACAATAACAAGTAATGATGAAATAGTAGCTGCTTCACAATCTGATATATCAAGATACCCTTCTTCATTCATAATGGCAGTTTCCAAACTGTCGATGATTTCTTGCAATGTGTTTTCTGTATTTGTATCCCTAACGCGTGCCCAAAAGTCACACGCCAGATCACTTTCAAAATATCCAGAACCCCAAGCACCCATAATGATGATGATCAAAAAGAAGAAGAATAAAAGAAGAAGAATACGTATGAGGATATTTTTCTTTGGGTAAAGCTATTGTTCACTTTTTAGTCGAACGATGTGTATTATTATTCCTATGGGAATGTATTCAGTGTGCGTCTTGGCACTTTGAGAATATAAACAAAAGAATATGTGTGTGTCTATATGCGTGTGGGGGAAGGACACATCTACATATGAAGAAAAGTTTCCAATATTTCAATTGCAAATAAATGATCCTCTTCTTGAGCCAAACCACTGATTGTCAAAGCACCAATAATGGAATCAAAATTAACTAATTTCAAAGGAACACTACCACCATGACTTGCATAATCAAATGAACTTACAAAATTAGCATCTTCAATAGATTTTTCTTTAATTCTTAATTTTTGACCAATATAAAAACTGGATTTACCAAATCTTAAAACAGTATTAATTTTACGTTGTACCCATTTATCATTATCTATTGTAGTACCTTTACCAACCGCAGTTTGAAATAATACATGACCATCTGATAATGTAATATTTATCAAGATGGATTTTCCAGGATATTTTTCGTTGGCTAATTTACGGGCACAGCTCCCTAAATTCCAAGCGGTTTCGGAATTGAAAGTTTGAAATTCAAGATTCTTTTCTAAATTGTCTAATTGATCTAATGAATAGGAATAAATTTCGTGAACCATTGTAGTTTAATCAATTGCAATTAAGGATATACTTATAAAAGGTGTTCTCCTTCTTCTAATTTTTTTTATTCGTTTCCTCCATTTATTTCGCCGACTTGAATTCGGAAAATATTGCTCCTTATTATTAACATCAACATTTGGGGGATCACAACCTTGCATATGGGGGATCCAAAAAAAAAAAAATTTAATCGGGTGACGGTGTAGCAAAAATTAGTGGTTATACCAAAATTGAAATCCTGCTTGAAAGCCATGAGATAGTGTGTTATAAAGGAATAAATACCTTCTATTGGAATAGTAATCTTGGTAAAGAGTAGTGTCTTACAAGTGTTATTACTCCTGGATGATTATAGGTGAAATACTGTTGATCAGTTAAAAATAGAACAAATGCGGGAACCTTTTTTCACCACTATTCTCCACATATGTTTTCCTCACCAGAAGATTATTGCCTGAAATCTAAATTTATAATTAGATATTATCCCTTAAAAACAGAAGGTTGATCTGTATAGGGAAATATTATTACTCTTTTTGAATAATACAGGTCAAATAGGGGCAATTCAATACAGAAGAATGTTATATCTACGATTATAAATAATTTCCAGAAGTTACAATTTGATATCACAAATAGGATCAACATAATACAACAACGCTTCCATTCGTATGATCATTCAATATTGCTAATGTTCCTGAAAATAAACGTGCATAGCAACCAAACATTATATCGTATCTGCAATATTGCAAACGTCCTTAAATAGATATCTCACCATTTTCAAGGGAAAACAAAATGATTCGTTTAATAAGAAATGTACGGAAACACGGATATCTGAACTATCTCCAAACAATAAGATAGTCTAGATTGAAAGGAGAAGAATATCTGAATTGTGTTTCTCAACATGTAACTCGTTCACGCATGAGTCTATTATAGAGAATTTAGCAAATTTTGGGGAAAGCGTGTCTTGCATATCTAATCATACGAGGTGGAATGTTTTCCTTACCATGATTTTTCCTTGGCCCTGTGTAAACATTGGTAATAATTTTAGTTAGAAATGGCTATTTATGGAAGTTTCTCTAGATATGAAGCACCAAAGGGGTAATTGATGTTTTGCAAGAATAACATGGTTAACAAAATATTCACATTTAGCGTTGATAACCCCACATTTCACGATATTATTCAGTAATTATGCCATGCCGTTGATTATCCAGCTTAATTTTATGAAAACATCCAAAGCCACCACACAAAACATAGATTCCATTGTGTTGTAAAGATTTTCCACTCGTATACCAGTTAGTAAATTACGTTGAATCGTGATTTTGTTCTATTATTTATTATTATTATCTCTTTCTTTGTCAAGTGTTTTTGTTCAATTAGATGGAATAGCTGCAAAAAGTGGTAATTGAATATCAAAACACTTTGACCGCGTCTTTATTTCTTTTATAATACGAACAGTTGATTACATACTTGTTTTTGTTTTCTTGCTGACTAAGTGGTGGCATGAACAATGAAGATACACTTGAATTCTGCAACTCTTCCCAACCCACTAAATTTAGCAACCATTTGTGTGTTATTCAATAATTCCAAAATGCCCCTACTCTCATATAAACATACAAACCATTTGACTATAAATTCACCTTTATTTTCCCCTAAAAACTGTAATGACCATCCTGGTATGTATTTATTTTTCTTGTTTATGTAATCATCAACTACAATGATTTCTAAATTATTACTATTCTCGCTTTTGGGTTGTTGTTTATCAGTAACAATAACCTCAACTATTGATACCTATGAAACTCCTGATTTGGTCGCCACTGTTGCTGCTGATACTCATGAAACTGCTGCTCCTCAACCTGAAGCTACTGACTTAATTGACCTTTATAAGGATTCTTGTGTTCTTAGTTTTTGGGATGGATCTGAATTATTTTACTATACCTTTTTTAAGTGTCCTGAAGTTACCACTACAGTTCCAGAAGGATGTACAGAACTTGACCTGAGAACCTATTGTCCACCTAAAGAATTCTGCTCCATTGAATACCGTGATACTAATCAGGACCATCCTGTATTTGCTTGCAATACAAGAGATTGCCATCAAGTGTACACATTTAATCCTTTGTCGGGACCAAGTTATGTCTGTACTCATAGAGATCCAACTATGTGTTATGTGACTATCACTAGTACATCGTTGTCCGGGCGGTCATACACAACTGTTGTTCCAACTGAATGTGGCGATGATAATGAACCTGTTGAACCAACTCCTTGTACTAAAACCTTCAGTCATGAAGATCTTACAACTACCATCACATTTGAAAAATGTCCACTGGGTGAAATCACACCTCCACCTAATTTAACAATTGAAAATACAATTGGTTGCACCACCTACCAGAATGAAACATATTGTCCTGATAATTGTATTCTTATGGGAACAGTTGTTAATTATTATGGTACTATATATAATTATGTCTACAGTGTCTGTGATGCTGGTGATTGTGAATTTGTAACTAGTGATACACCAAGATATAGTTGTCCTGGTGATTCTTATCCACCTGGTGAATCTACTGCTTGTACCAAAACATTCAGTGATGGTGAGTACACAACCACTATCACATTTGATCATTGTCCACTGGGAACTATAACTCCACCACCTCATTTGACTATTCCACCTGTTATTGGCTGTACTACCTATGAAGACAAAACTTACTGTCCCGAAAATTGTGTCTTATCTGGTACTGTATTTGAGTACTATGGTACTATGCATAACTACATCTATAGTGTTTGTGATACAAGGGGTTGTGAATTTGTTACAAGTGATACACCATCATTCAGTTGTTCTGCCACACCAGGTGAGCCTGGCGAGAATGGAGAGCAAGGAGAGCAAGGAGAGCAAGGAGAGCAAGGTGAACATGGTGAACATGGAGAGCAAGGTGAACATGGTGAACATGGAGAGCAAGGTGAACATGGTGAACATGGTAAATCAACTCCATGTACCAAAACATTTGTTGACGGTGATCATTCTACCACTATATCATTCCATAATTGTCCACTGGGTACTATAACCCCACCTCCAGATTTTGGTCATTCGTTGACTGTTGGATGTACTACTTCTGATGATGAAACTATTTGTCCTACACCTTGTATTGCAGCTGGTTCTCAAGTGGATTATTACGGTACTCCATATAATTACGTATACATGGTTTGTGGAACTGATTATGGGAAGTCTTCCTGTCTGTCTACTACTACAAGAAAATGCTATACGTATACTTACACATTGATGGAAGCTACTACTTATGTGACAGTTGTTTCAGATTGAATTTCTAATTGTTTTCTGTTTTAAGGAATAAACCATAAATATTTTTTTTTTGAAAAACATATATAGTATAGTGAATACATATCATATTGTTTCGATCTCTAGTAGTAATTTTTGCATACGAAGGGTCAATGGTAACTCTTGTTTTATTGCAATGACTATTTATAGATATCTCATAATCTAGTTCATCACAGAATGTAACAGTTGTTATTATTCCCAAATCCAAAAACTCCACAACAGTGTAGTTGTGGGGATATAAGAAAGACTGGTGGATAGTGAACAGTTATCTGATCAACTAGTTAAATATTATATTTCTGAGTAATTTGTTTGAACTACAAAAAGGGCCAAAGTAGACAACTTTTTAGAACCAAAGTCGTCTCTATCCAAGGTTATCACCCTTGTTGTTAAATGTCAATTGTATATTAAAGAATCTATAAATGGAAACTCCAAACGGGTTTTTCTTATCAGAATTTGTGACTAAATAAAATTGAAATTCACACAGGAAGATGTGTAATAATAGTTATCAACTATTAAAAAGTAGAAATGACTTGCGGGGTTAATATTTCTAATATTACTACTGGACCACCATTGGTGACACACGCTTCAATTGTTAAAAATAGAACAAACGCAGGAACCTTTCGATTACTGAAAGGTGTGTTTTCATTCCTCGAAGTATATTTCTTTCAAACTTTATCTATAATTAGATAGTGTTGTGTTATAAAATAGAGGGGTTACAGTAAAGTGGTATTCCACCGGAGAAAATCCTTAGCAGATTGAAATAGCCTTATGGAAGACAAGTGACTACTGGTGGATTTTAGACTAAAACCTAAATTGGGGAATCCAATATAGAAAAATAGCTATAGAATACTTGGTGGTACAACTATAAATAACTTCCAGAAGTCACAACAACTTGCAAAGTACAGGGTCAATACAATATAGGAACACACTCTTTCGTATGAACATCCAATATTGTGCATGTTCCTGAAAATAAATGTGCATAGCAACGAAAGATTATATCGTATATGCACGATAGCAAACGTTCCTAACAAAATATCTCACCACTTGAAGGGGAAAACAATCTGATTGGTTATATATGGAATGTACGGATAAGCGGAAATTTCAACTATCACCAAAAACACTTCCTGTTCGCGGGGATAGAACAAGGAATATGAATTGAGCATCTTAAAATGCATATTCCACATGCACGAAAATAAAAGAATTAGTAAAACTACCAAACGCGTCTCTTGCATATCTACTCACTTACGAACTATATTTCCAAGTCGACCTCCCTTGTTTTTTTTTTTTATTAACTCGATCGTATGCATGGTCTTTTTTTTAAAAAAAATTCTTATTTCGTGGTTATTTATGGAAGTATTTCAATAAGGATGTTGCTCAACAACTATAAAGTGTTGAAACCGAACTCACACACAACTTCAATGTTCATTCACCCCACTATTACCCCCCCAAGGTTGATCATCCCTTTTAATTGAGACATACTATTGACTGCGAAACCAAATGAGAAAAATAGTACATAGCTTAGAAAAATGACATCATTCAAAGCCACCAATCAATGGCTTGATTTCTTTGTTTTTGATTAAATCTTGCTCGTATGTTAATATTGTAATTACATGCAACTGTGATCTTTCTGATATATATCTTTTCTTTTTCTATTACTAAGTCTTCTTTTTCGTTCTTCAATACTTGCATAGACAAAACTGCAAAAAGTGGTAATTCCTCATTGAAACATCATGACCTCGCGTCACTCCCCCTCTTGGGTTCATTATTATTACCAACGATGAATTACATGTTTAATTTTGAACTCGTGCCTTTGTGTTCAGACTATAAACAAGATTAGTTCTTTATGCATCTCTTGGTTAGCCGCTATATTTAGCAACCACCTTTAATTTTATTGTGTTTACCACTTCCCGACCCGAATAACACACACATACAAATCTATCAACTATAAATTAACATGCATTCTCCCAAATAGAATTAGTATTATCGTTGATATTCTTATTTTTTTTTCTTTCCACCCTATTCATCAACTACAATGATTTCTAACTTTTTACTATTTTCGTTGTTGAATTCTTGTTTAGCAGTAACAATTACTTCAACAACCGATACTTATCAAACTGCTTATCCAGAGGTTAGTGAAGGTGTTGTTCAATATATTTCTCCTATTGGTTGTGTTGTGACATATTATGATGCAGGCATTCCAAGCTCTACGACATTAATTGATTGTCCAACTGATATTACTAACATTCCAGAGGGTTGCCAGTTGAGTGGTTGCTGTAAAACAGTTTGTCCTACAGGTGATTTTTGCTCTTGGGTTACTACCGGATCTGCACCTGGTGAATCTACTAAAAGATGTGATACTATCAATTGTTTTCCTTGGGATGCTTCTGCTGCTGAACTAAGATATATTTGCAGTAGTAATTCTTCAGATCCTTCTTATTGTTATGAAACCATTTCTACCGACGGTACGCTTACAACAGTTACCACAACAGATTGTGGTGGTGATGATGATGGTGGATCCGTTCCTTCTGGTTGTGGTACTCTTACTTCCGTTATTTCTAGTACTACACATACTTGGACAACTTGTACTGGGATCTGTGTCACCACCGCCAGGTTGTGAATTTTCAACTACTAGGGAACTCACTAGTCTTTTGGTTTGTAGCAGTGAATGTACCAAGACATTCTCCACTGATGATCGCACAACCACGGTGACTTTTTCAAGCTGTCCATCTGGTGAAATCACTGCTCCTCCAGGATTCTATCCAGAACAACCATCAGGTTGTTCAGCCTATTCAGGAACTATTTATTGTCCAGATTATTGTGAAACGTATGTGGACTATCCATTCTACTATGGTATGCAATTTACAGTTACCCATACAAGCTGTGATGGTAGTCAAAGTTGTGACTTTATAACCACTGGTGCTTATCCAAGTTTTGATTGTCCAGTGTCTTCAGGTGCAGCATGTACCAAGAAATTCACTTCAGAAGGACAAGTCACCACTGTTACATTAGATCCTTGCCCACTGGGTGAAATAACTCCACCACCAGGATTCCCAGCTGAGATTATTGGATGTACTTCATTTTCAACCTATTATTTCTGTGGTGAAAATTGTCAATACTTCACTACAAGTTGGTCATATTACAATCAAGTCATTAGTAAATGGATCACTTCATGTGATACAAGTGGTTGTGAAATAGTTACAGATAATGGTTATCCAAGTTATAGTTGTCCAACTGCTAGTGATGATTCTGAAGCTGCTTGTACTAAAACCTTCAGTCATGAAGATCGTACTGTTACTATCACCTTCGATGAATGTCCACTGGGTGAAATCACACCTCCACCAGATTTGACTATCCCACCCGTTATTGGTTGCACCACCTATCAAAACGAAACCTACTGTCCTGATAACTGTATTTTGTCTGGTACTATTTTTACCTATTATAACACTATAAACAACTATATCTACAGTGTTTGTGATACTAGTGGCTGTGCATTTGTAACAGGTGCCACACCATCTTTCATCTGCTCTGGCACTCCAGGTGAGCCTGAGGAACCAACCCCTTGTACCAAAACATTTAGTCATGAAGATCGTACAACAACTATCACGTTTGATCAATGTCCACTGGGAACCATAACTCCACCTCCAGATTTGGCTATTCCACCTGTTATTGGATGTACTACCTATCAAGATGAAACTTACTGTCCTGATAACTGTGTCTTATCTGGAACTATATTTACTTATTATGGTACTATAAATAACTACATCTACAGTGTTTGTGATACAGCTGGCTGTGAATTTATTACAAGCGGAACTCCATCTTTTAGCTGCTCTGCAACACCAGGTGAACCTGGACACCCTGGTCACCCAGATCATCCTGGACACCCAGATCACCCTGGTCATCCAAATCATCCTGGTAAACCAAACTCATGCACCAAAACATTTGTTGATGGAGATTATTCGACCACAGTATATTTTGATGATTGTCCACTGGGTACTATAACACCACCTCCAAATTTTGGTCCTCTGAGAACTGTTGGATGCACTACTTCTGGTGATGACACCATTTGTCCTACACCATGTACTGGAACGGGATCTCAAGTGGATTATTATGGTACTTCATACTATCAATTATACACAATTTGTGGAACTGATCATACTAAATCTACTTGTTTGTCTACTACAACAAGAAAATGTTACACTTACACTTACACTTTGATGGAAGAAACCACTTATGTAACTGTCGTTCCTGTTTGATATTATGAACATATATGCTTTGAAGAATAATCAAAAAAAAAAATCTTTTAAAATACTTATATAGTTTAGTGAATATATATTTTATCTTTCGGATTTCAAGTGCATGTTAAATTGTATGGATGGATAAGAAATCAAATCTAGTTTCTAATTTGAATAAGTGTCTACTGCAAGACATTGGTAGAGTAGGCTTATTTCATCAGATTTCCCATCCCTTATAATAGCTTCCCAATCTGAAAATGTTTACAAACCAGTAAGCTATGCTTGTAGATATTGGCAGGAGCCGTGAATATTGTTGATAGCGCGATTACGTCATATTGTGCAAATGCGCACACCTCCTCATATTTCCATTTCCATACGATTTGCATTATCAAGAAAAAAGAGAAAACATCCAACAAGGAACAATTTTCTTGGAACCAAAAACTTGTATTGTTCCGAAGCACTAGATCTCTCTCGCCCCCCCCCCCCTTGATAGTTAATGTCAAACGTATTCTTGCTCAAGGAGGAATAGTACTTATCCAGAATAGGTGTTACAAGAAAACTCAAGCATACTGATATTTCTTGGAATGGGTTTGTTGAGTTCTGCCGTGGAGGATGTGAAAGAAAGGTGGGGTTGAGAGAGAAAGATATGATGGAGTTATTTATCCGACTGTCGACCTCGTGACGATACCCATAGATATAGACAAGGGATGTGTTATAGTTTGTCAGCATCTTGGAGGGAATGTATGTGATTGAGCTAGCTAAGAGATAGACTTGGCGATAAACAATATTCTATAATGTTTTCTAACTCATTCTCAAGGCTTGTGTAATATCCATCAACATAAACTTCATAAAGACACTAAATTTTGCATTCAGTTGCTTGTCGTCGAAAATTAGTCGTGTCTATTCTACATGTCAACAATAGAATAACCTTGCAATATAGTTTTACCGAAACTTTGAAACAATTACATTTACAACATGACAAGCTCAAAAGCAACTAACAATTCAGTTAAACAAATAGTCAAATTTTTTTTTCTTATCGAGGCAGATACATATTCAAACGTGTGATATATAGTTGTTGTATGTCACATTTATATACACTTGCGTGGCTAATGTAAACTATAAGAATATACAGAAAAAACACCTCTCTTCTTAATTGGAGTGGTTTGCACAACAGCCAATTTTCCACAGAAAGATTGAACATCGTTCACGTGTCAGAACCCAATAACGCAACTTCTTCATTGCAACACTTCCATCAATTGATACTTTAAAATAGCAAGAAACTTTTTTTTCTTAGCACAAATTCCATTTATCAACATCAATCCCACATCCATAATTCATTCCCAAATTGACCAAGAATATTCCTGTGGTTTTTATTTTTCTTAGCTTTATTTTCCTTGTGGAGTTTGAATGTGGGGGAGGGCAAGGATAATAATCACTTTCAAATATGAATTACCTCAGTTAGGGAATACTGTTTCATAGAGCATTGAGAGACTGTATATCTTCAAAAAGGATATTTAAAGACATCAATATCCTCTAAAAGTTTGTTTCCTCGTCTTCTTTGTATATGTTAATTTCAGTATAATTTTGCAGTTTTTTTAAACTAAATCAAAATGACCGAAAAATCACCACCACAAGAATCATTCACTTCTAAAGTTTCAGAATATGAAACGGATATCAAAGAAGAAGAATCAGACTACACCAATGTTCTTACTAAATATTCCCAAGAAGAAGTCATGGGTATGGGTAAAATTTACGCTCAAGAACATGGTTTAGATGAAGAATTGTTTGCTCAAGGTGCTGCGGTTGCACAATTTCCCCAACGCTACCAATCGTTTAATTTCTTAGATGACGAGCAGAAACAAGCACTTGAAAAAGAATCAAAACATCGTTGGAGACTTTCAAAAAAACTATATGAAGTTGTTGCTGCTGGTGCCGTATCAGCTGCTGTTCAAGGTTGTGATCAAGTCGTTATTAATGGTGCTACATTATTTTACCCTGATGCATTTGGAATTACTCTGATGAAAAATGGTGATTTGATACAAGGGTTGGTTAATGGTGCACCTTATTTATGTGCATCTTGTATTGCTTGCTGGATGTCAGATTGGTGTAACCAAAGAGTTGGTAGAAGATGGGTTATATTTTGGACATGTGTCATTTCTGCTGTCACTTGTATTTGGCAAGGTTTTGTTAATAATTGGTGGCATTTATTCATTGCTAGATTTATGCTTGGATTTGGTGTTGGAATCAAATCAGCAACAGTTCCACCTTATGCAGCTGAATGTGCACCTAAACAAATCCGTGGATCATTAGTTATGTTATGGCAATTCTTCACTGCTGTTGGTATTATGTTTGGTTATGTGCTTTGTTTAGCATTTTATCGAGTTCCCGATTTATGGGTAACCACTGGTTTGAATTGGAGATTAATGCTTGGATCAGCTGCATTACCAGCATTTATTGTTTTGGTTCAAGTTCCTTTTATTCCAGAATCACCTCGTTGGTTAATGGGGAAAGGAAGACACAAGGAAGCGTTTGAATCATTGCAAAAATTACGTTCAAGTAACATTTCTGCTGCTAGAGATTGTTTCTATCAATATATTTTACTTAAAACAGAAGGCTCATACAAAATTCCTACTTGGAAGAGATTGATTGAAATGTTTACTGTTCGCCGAAACAGAAATGGGGCATTAGGTGCTTGGATTGTAATGTTTATGCAACAATTTTGTGGTATAAATGTCATTGCTTATTATTCATCTTCTATTTTCATCGCCGCTGATTTTTCAGAAATTGATGCATTGTTAGCTTCGTGGGGATTTGGTATGATTAATTTTACATTTGCTATTCCTGCTTTCTTCAGTATTGACAGATTCGGAAGAAGACCATTGTTGTTATTTGCTTTCCCCTGTATGTGTGTATTTTTGTTAATTGCTGGTTTTGGATTCTTGATCGATGATATGAATGGTAGATTGGCTATGGTTACAACTGGGGTTTATCTTTTCACTGCGGTTTATTCCAGTTCTGAAGGTCCAGTTCCATTCACTTACTCTGCTGAAGCTTTCCCATTATATATTCGTGACTTAGGTATGAGTTTTGCCACGGCAACTTGTTGGTTTTTCAATTTCATGTTGGCATTTACTTGGCCAAGATTACAAAATGCATTTAAACCTACTGGTGCTTTTGGATTTTATGCTGCATGGAATTTAATTGGATTTTTCATGGTGTTATGGTTCTTGCCAGAAACCAAAGGATTGACTTTAGAAGAATTAGATAGAGTGTTTGCTGTTTCTGCTTTCAAACGTGCCAGATACCATACAAGAGCTTTCTGGAATGGAATTGAAAGGAAAGTTTTCCGTCGTAACATTGAACCATTACCTCCTTTGTACAGTGAAAAGGAAGGTGAAGTTGAAGTTCTGGAAAAACCACAAGTTGAACATCTTGAATAGGATGTTGATATTATTTTGTATTTCTTTTAAATGTATATCTATTGATTTTTTTTAGAAACTATTTTAAGCTAATTACACAGCTTTCACAGGTTTTGTAGGTTTCTTTGTCAATGGTAAGATAACCCATTTAGTAAGAATCCACATGAAAATTATAGATGGGAATACAAGTGTGTGAAAATCACCGTTGGAAGATCCAGAAATTAATTCCTTAACAGTTTGATATATGTTAATACCTGCTACTAAAAATAATACAAGTTGAAGAACAATCAGAATAATTCTACCAGGGCAAATCATGACTAATTGGTTGAAGATGATTTGTTGGGTTTATCTTGATGAGTAACAAAAAAAAAAAAAAAAAGAGAATTAAAATGAAGAGAGATCTAAGAAACCGCGTATCATTTGATTTAAATCGTAACCACCTTTAGATTTTTTTTTTTTTTTTTGAAAATTTCTATATTTACATACGTAACCTAATGACAAATATCCGTGAATATTCAGCCATGCTTCTAATAAGATCTACCAAACATACAGTAAGTAACAGCATCCTTGTCACATCTAACACATTTTTGTCCTTGTTTCAATTCAGGTTGTTCAAATGGAATACACAATGATTTGGCACCCATAGATGGAGCCTTTTCATCAACTTCTTCATCTTCACCATCATCTTTCTTAGCAGATGAGTCTTTAATATCATCTTCACAATCAGCATCACCACACCATGGGGCCAAGATAACATTCTTTTGGTTCAAAGTTGGGACAAAATCTTTCCATTCGTCAACCTTAACACGATGTTCGTCGAATTCTTTTTTGGCTTTAGCATACAAATCATTGTGCATGTCATCTAAGATCTTTGGAATTTCGGTTTGCAATTCGTCCAATTTAACAGTGTACTTCTTACCATCGTTTCTTCTAACAACAGTAACTTGGTTACCAGCCAAATCCTTTGGACCAAATTCCAAACGTAATGGAACACCCTTCAATTCCCAATCGGCAAATTTCCAACCTGGGTTATAAATTTCTCTGTAATCACCAGTAGCTCTGATACCAGCATCTTGTAAAGTCTTTTCAATCTTTTGAGCACCTTCGTTGATGTCCTTTCTTTGAGCATCAGAACTCTTGGAAGTAAGACCAACTGGGATAACAACAGCTTGGTATTGAGCAATTCTTGGTGGCAAGACCAAACCTTTATTATCAGAATGAGTCATAATCATGACACCAATAACTCTAGTGGACAAACCCCAGGAGTTTTGGTAAGCAAAAATTCTTGGTTTTTCTGGACCTTCTGGACTTTCAACAGAAAGGTTGAACATCTTGGAGAAATTAGTACCCAAATGATGAGAAGTACCACCTTGAATACCTCTACCAGTGGCAGCAATAAAACCTTCAACAGTGGTAGTGTAGTCACCACCAGCAAATTTTTCATTTTCAGTTTTCTTACCTTTAACAACTGGAACGGCCAATAATTCTTCATAAACACCTGCATAGTAGTCCAAGATTTGCAAAACTTCTTCAGCAGCAGCATCTTGAGTCAAATGAGCAGTGTGACCTTCTTGCCACAAAAATTCTCTGGTTCTCAAGAATGGTTGTGGGTGCTTGAATTCCCAACGAACAACAGAATTCCATTGGTTCAATTTCAATGGCAAGTCACGGTGAGATCTGATCCATTTGGCATAGTATGGGTACATGACAGTTTCAGAAGTTGGTCTAATAGCAATATGTTCATCTAATTCAGAACTACCGGCTCTAGTAACCCAGGCAACTTCTGGAGCGAAACCTTCAATATGGTCCTTTTCTTTTTCTAAAACTCTTTGGGAAACAAACATTGGGAAATAAGCGTTTTGAACACCCAATTTCTTGATTCTAACATTAAAGTAGTCTTGGATAGTTTCCCAAACAAAGTAGGAGTTTGGTCTAAGAATATAACAACCAGAAACATCATAGTAATCAAGCATTTCACCCTTGGTGACAACTTGGGTGTACCAAGTGGAGAAATCTTTTTCTTTGTCAACAGTAATACCAATCAATTTAGCGTCTTCTAATTTGGCATCACCTTTCTTTTCCTTTTTAGCAGCTGGGGTAGCAGCAGCTGGAGCTGGAGCTGGTTCAGCTGCAAAATCTACTTCAATGATTTCAATACCAGTTGATTTCAAGAACTCAACAACGGTCTTCGCTGGTAAAACAGCAGCAGAACTTTCAGTGGATAATTTCAACAAGTTTCCACTTTCGGCAGCTTTCAAGACATTGTCATCAAGGACGATTTTAATTTTACCTTCCAATTCTTTAGACAAGTTGGCAATAGAGACTTCTTTAGTTGAGGTTTTGAAAAATTCTTGGACCAAATCATCTCTAGCCAATCTTGGTTCTTTAACACCAGCAGCCTTAGCAATCAAGTTTGAAGGAGTGGCGGTTTCATGCAATGCAAAAACGAAAACAGGAACTGGGGTGGCAGTTTTGGCGGTTTTTGGTTTAAAAACCAAAGATTTGGTTGGTAAAGCCTTTTCACTTTCTGGGGAAGAAACGGTAGCCAAAGATAATTGGGCCAAAGATTGTTCTAATGCCATGATTTATAGGTGGTGAAATATTATTCTGTTTGTTTTTTGGTGTTAGAATGGTTTGGTTATCTTTAAAAAGTGTGTGTGTAAGTTAGTTACGAAGAACAAACGAAAAAACTTTTCAATGTGTTGTTTGTTGTTTTCGGTTTGCCTCAAGCGAAAAAAAAAAAAAAAATAAAATGTGAAGAGATCTTGATACCGCACTGTATGCAGTCCATGCCAAATGTAAGGAAAAGAAAAATTTTCATGAGTCAACCTCTTGTGTGATTTTCAACCATAAATTCTTGAAACAACTTTCTGTTTATTGTCAAGAGGGTACACACAACCGACAACAATTAATAATGTCACAAACTATTTATGTTAACGAAAAGACAGGTGTAGACAGTGCCGAAACCAAGGGTACTCAAGAACAACCATACGCCACCCCAGCATTTGCATTGTACTCCCAACCAGAATCTAAACTTTTTGTCTACAAACAATCCGAAGAAGATAAGGAAAAATTCGAATATGTTGAAATTTCAGCCTCTGCTTTAAAGAAAGCCAAGAAGGGTGTTGAAGGTTTAAAGAAGAAAGCCGAAAAGCAAGCTAAGTTGGAAGAACAAAAGAAAGAACAACAAGCTGCTGCTAAGTTATCTGCTTTGGACTTGTCTTCAATTGAAGAAGATCAATCTTTACCACAAGCTAAAAAGATCAAATTGAGAACTATTCAAGAAAACTTGGATACCAGAGTTCTTGTTCAAGGTTGGGTTCATCGTTTGAGAGTTCAAAAGGGATTGGCTTTTATCACTTTAAGAGATGGTACCGGTTACCTTCAATGTGTTTTGACTGGTGACTTGGCCAAGGCTAGACAAACCCAAGAATTGACCATTGAATCCACTGTTGCCATCAAGGGTGTTATTTCCAAATTGCCAGAAGGTAAAACTGCTCCAGGTGGTGTTGAATTAAAGGCTGATTTCTATGAAATTATTGCTTTGGCTCCAAGTGGAGATGACTCATTCACCAACAGAATCCAAGAAGGTGCTGATCCAAACTTGTTGTTGGACCAACGTCATTTGACCTTGAGAGGTGAAACTTTATCTGCCGTTATGAAAGTCAGAGCCGCATACCTGGCTGCTATCAGAAGATTCTATGCCGAAGAAGGTATCACTGAAGTTACTCCACCATGTATGGTTCAAAACCAAGTTGAAGGTGGTTCCACTTTGTTCAAATTAGATTACTACGGTGAAGAAGCTTACTTGACTCAATCTTCCCAATTGTACTTGGAAACCTGTTTGCCAGCATTGGGTGATGTTTTCTGTATCCAAGAATCTTTCAGAGCCGAAAAATCTCACACCAGAAGACACTTGAGTGAATACACCCATATTGAAGCTGAATTGGTATTTATTACATTCCACGATTTGTTGGACCACTTGGAAAGATTGCTTACTAAAACCATTCAATACGTTTTGGAAGATCCAGTTGCTGGTCCAATTGTCAAGCAATTAAACCCAAACTTCAAAGCCCCAACTACTCCGTTCAAGAGAATGGAATATATCGAAGCCTTGGACTGGTTGAACGAACATGGTATTCCAAACGAAGATGGTGAAAAATTCAAATTCGGTGACGATATTGCTGAAGCCGCTGAAAGAAAAATGACTGATACTATCAACGAACCAATTTTATTGATCCGTTTCCCAGCTGAAATTAAATCTTTCTACATGCAAAGATGTCAAGATGACCCAAGAGTCACCGAATCTGTTGATGTTTTGATGCCAAATGTTGGTGAAATTACTGGTGGTTCCATGAGAATTGATAAATACGATGAATTGGTTGCTGCTATCAAGAGAGAAGGTTTGAACTTGGACAGTTACTACTGGTTCACCGATGTCCGTAAGTATGGTGGTTCTCCACACGGTGGTTACGGTATTGGTTTGGAAAGAATGCTTGCCTACATGTTGGACAGATTCACTGTTCGTGACTGTTCCTTGTACCCACGTTTCAGTGGTAGATGTAAACCATAGATGTGTCTATTAATCCGTGTATTTAAATTTTTTGAAACAACGATATATGTATATGTATATAAATAGTTTAAGCGTATAGAGAAATATGTCCGAATAATAAAACCACTGTGGCTAACAAGTACAATTGGTAGTAGATCTATTGTTTTGCACTCTGCGGAGAGATGTTTTTTTTTTTTTTTTTTTTGTTTCTTAGTCATTTTCATTGCCCCTAAAGATTAGTGAGAGGAGAAAAATTCTATCCCAATATCACCGTTCTTTTCTTCAAAGCAACAACCAACCACGATGTTAAGAACCAATATCAATAAACTACTATTCAGAAGATTTAAACATACGGTTCTAGGAATTGATCTCGGAACAACAAATTCTGCCGTGGCAGTTATGGGGTCTGATAAAGAACCACATATTCTTGAGAATGAGGAAGGAAAACGTACAACCCCTTCAATAGTGGCATTTGACAAAAATGGAAAACCATTGGTTGGTTTGCCAGCAAAGAGACAAGCAGTGGTTAATCCGGAAAATACATTTTTTGCAACAAAAAGATTAATTGGAAGAAAGTTTGATGATCAAGAAGTACAAAGAGATTTAAACAACGTTCCTTATAAGATTATTCCAAATACCCACGGAGAAGCTACTTTAAGTACTACCACCGGAAACACTATGACTCCTTCGGAAATAGGTGGATTAATTTTGCAAAAACTACAGAAAGATGCAGAGATACAATTGAAGGAAGATAAAATCGATAAAGCCGTTGTCACTGTCCCAGCTTATTTCAATGATTCTCAACGACAAGCAACAAAGAATTCCGGGAAACTGATTGGTTTGGAGATTTTAAGAGTGATTAATGAACCAACTGCTGCAGCATTAGCCTATGGATGTGATAAGACAAGAAAAGATGGTATCATTGCCGTGTTTGATCTTGGTGGCGGTACATTTGATATTTCGATTTTAGAGATTGACAATGGTGTATTTGAAGTCAGAGCAACTAATGGTAACACTCATTTAGGTGGTGAAGATTTTGATATTCAGATCATGAACCACATTTTGAATAGTTTTAAACAAGAAACTGGAATTGATTTAAGTGGTGACAGATTTGCCGTGCAGCGTATTAGAGAAGCAGCAGAAAAAGCCAAGATTGAACTAGATCATTCAGATGAAGTTGAAATCAACTTGCCATTCATTACTGCGGAGAAGCACATCAAACAGAAGTTGACTGCTAAAGAATTTGATGACATGGTTATGCCAATAATACAGAAAACCATTGATCCAGTCAAAAGATGTGTTCGTGATGCAGAGTTGAAATTTAAAGATATTGACGAAGTTTTATTAGTTGGTGGAATGACAAGAATGCCAAAAATCAGAAAGATTGTAGAAGAAATGTTTGGAAAGAAACCTAGCACTGCTGTTAACCCAGATGAAGCTGTGGCATTAGGTGCTGCAATTCAAGGGGCGGTTTTATCTGGTGAAGTTAAAAATGTTGTCTTGTTGGATGTTACACCATTATCACTCGGAATTGAAACATACGGTGGTATATTCACACCATTGATTCCAAGAAATTCTGCTGTACCGATTAAGAAGGAACAAATGTTCTCCACTGCTGTTGATGGTCAAACAGGTGTTGAGATCGGAGTATACCAGGGTGAAAGACCATTGGTGAGAGATAATAAACATATTGGTCAATTCAGATTAGCAAATATTCCACAAGGTCCAAAGGGATCTCCCCAAATAGCTGTTTCCTTTGAAATTGACGCAGATGGTATTATTAACGTCAATGCAACTGATAAAACAAACTATCCAGAAGACCTGCCTCATTATGGAAAGCCAAATAGTGTTTCCATTCAAGTAACTGAAGTTGGTTTAACCGACTCTGAAATCGAAAAAATGATACAAGAAAGTAGTGAGAACAAGAAAGCTGATGAAGAAAGAAGAAGGTATTATGAACATGCATCTAGAGCTGAAATATTGTGCACTGATGCTGATAATGCTATCACCCAATATGGTAAGTTTATGGAAGAATCTGAAAAGGAATCTGTAAGACAACATATCGTTGTTGTCAAGACTATGATTGATGATATAAGAAGCGGTAAAACTTTACACAGCCCTAAAGAACTTAATAAAAAGGTCAATGAAATGCAAAACCAATGTATGGAGGTAATTAAAAACGTTGCTGCTAGACAACAAGCAAGCAAAAAGTAAATAGATGAAATTGCATATTGTATATAGCAAATTACATGAAGATAATACCAAAGTAGATTTGTGTGTGTTACTTGTTGTACATGTATTAACAACTATAGATCTATTCATCAGTTTCCATTCTGTCATCACCTGGGGCTTGCTCTCCTTCGCCTTGTTGTGCACCTTCTTCGGTAGTTTGACCGGTTTCTCCTTCTTCTTCTTGTTGTTGTTCTTCATCACCTTCTTCATCGCCATCGTCTCTATTTCTAGTGTTTGATACTGAATCTAATTTATCTAACCATTGTTGAACATTTTCATCATCATATGATACAAACTTTTGATCTTTACCTACGATAGAAACACTGGTGTTTTTAAATGTCAATTCAATGTCTTGAGACAAAGTATCTCTCAAGGCATACAAACCATGAAGAACCAACTGTTCAACATCATCACATTTTTTAATTTCTTCCAAATTTCTTTCCAAATATGTACGAGCAGCTTGAGATCTTGCACCTATAGCAGCACCAAAATATTCCAATACACTTCCACTTGGTTGAAATTCAAAAAGATGAGCACCAGTTTCATCATATCCAGCAATTAATAAACCTACACCATAAGGTCTTGAACCATAACTTTGAGTATTTTCTTGTGCTTTATCAGCAATTGATAAAACTGCTTTATATGTTTGAATTGGTCGATTAAAAATCATTTTACATTGCATAGCTTGTTTTCTTAAAAAATTAGATAAAACTCTTGCATCTGGTGCTAAACCAGCCAATGCTACACCCATATGATCATCAATTTTAATGATTTTCTTTTGATATGATCCCAATTCTTCAGCATTTCTCTTTAGAGCTACTAAAACAACATAATCATTGGAAGTTAACCCAACGGCCGCACTCCCTTGTTTAATAGCTTCCAATGCATATTCAACTTGGAATAATCTACCTGTTGGAGAATAAGTCACTGAATCGTTATCGTAATTATTTCTAAACATTTATTTCAATTGGTGTGGATTAGTTAATGATAAGGTGGAATCTCTTGAAATCGTTGGAGGAGAGAATTGGTTGGAATAATTTCTAATTCCATTAATTCATAGTTTGGGTTTTTTTTTTTTTTTTTTCTATTTGTTGCCACTGTTGACAAAATGTTAGTGCGCTGAATTCAAAACTGAGAGAACGAGACAAAATTCAAATTGGAAAGTACGTGCATTTACCAAAACCAGATTATTCATTTTATTTTTATTTAATATCTAAATAACTAAACTTTATAATAAAAAATGATTACAACAATTCCTGTAATTTCTCTATAGTATAACTATCATTTAATTGCATTAAGGTGTTGAATTCATCATTAGTTAACCTATCTTTTAATCCAATAACACATGTCTTTAATAATTGCAACAAGTTGACGGAATACACTTGATCATATTGATTCAATAACTGATGATATCTTAATTTCTCTCCATTGGCTTTAATATCAGGATCCAAATAGGAATAGTCATCGATGTCTTCATAAACTAAATTGGAATTATATGCATCACAAGTACCATTGGTATCCTCATTGACTTCTTCTAGGAAATACAACGTGTTTTTGATGACTTGCGGAGAAACTTCCCATAAAACTTCGACTTTTTCTGGAATACCATACGAGATTGCAAAAAGTAATCCCATTAAATTGATTTTCTTATTTCTTGGACTACCATTGTGACCATAATATTCTAACCATCTCTTGAAAAATGTTGAAATATCAACAGACGACATCCCTAAAAGTTTGAGGAAGTAATCTTTTCTTGCAATACGAGATAATAACAAAAACATCTTAGTGATGAGAAAATTATTCATATCATTGTTCATCACATATGCAACCATAGAATTAAACAATCCACTGGTTACAACTTTATCAATCATTTCGTCTTCAGGGTTGATCAATAATATATCCATCAAAGAAATGAAAATAACATATGCATCGTCTCTCATAGAGCTCAAATACTCTCCTAATACTTTAAATATCTCAGTGGAGAAGACTTCTGAGAATATTTGTGGGGAATACAATGCATAACTTCTGATGATTGACAAAATTGTAGGAAGAATTTCTGTTGAATTTTTTAACCCAAATGGAATCATTTCAAAAAGTTGCACAATCTCCGGATTTGGTTCAGCTCGAGGAGGACAAAATTGTAACAATGCTAGCCACAAATCATATCCATCTTCAGAAACAAGTAAATAAGCATCCAGATTCTCAGAGCAACATGCTGTAATTAATGGTATGGCAATAGCATGGGTTTCTGGTGAATTTTCGTTCAATGAAATTACTAAACTTTTCAACACTCTCAACAAAGATGTTTTAATAATTTGTTCACTTTCGCCTGTTTCCCAATTAGGAGGTATAATTTGTAAAATGTCAATCAATGTTTGATAATCAACCAATGGGTTACATTTTTCGATTATATCTGCCAAAGTGTTTAAAATGTATAACTTTGATTCCGTAAAACTGAACTCGTTCAATAAGCCTAACATTAATTTAACAAAATCATTCAAGAATGGTTGGAAATCGGTTTTGCTGAAATCCCAATCATCAACTACAACACGGAGTGCTTGTACCGCAGATATTTTCACCACCTTATCATTAACTTGGTTGTCAGAACGCAAGAAATTAAGTAATAGTTTATAAATTGCAATACGCAGTTCTCTCGAACATTGAATGCTAACCCATTCGGTAATAATTAAGCAGACTCTTCTCTTTATGATTTTATTTTCAACCACATCATTTTTCAACCCTTCTGGGATAAACACGGTTTCCAACAAATTATCAAAATTAACATGCTCATTAATAGCATGGCCAGAAAGTTGAAATATGCACAAAATAGAATCTCTAATGAGAATTTTATCAACAGTGGCATTTTCCATTAAACCTGAACTGATTTTGTTCAAAACAAAACCTGCTAAAAAGTCAGGGAAATATTTGATTAAATCTTGATAAAAGTTTTCTGCACATGGGCGTACTTGGTACTCCCAACTGCTTGATAACTCTTCATTGCACCATTCTTCTGGTTCTAACAACCAACTTTCAAGATCAGAAGGTTTCAATCGTAGATACCAAGTGATAATCAAATTACAAAGATTCTGAACCAAGTCTGCAGTGAAAAATTGTGTTCCCAATTTGTTAATTGCAGTTTGAACTTCCATTTTATCATTTCTTTGTTTCAATGTGATTGCTCCCTTACGATAAACGTATGCCATAACTTTCTTCAATATGCTGAAACTTCTTAATGCCAATATTTCCCAAAAATCGTTATCCTCTGTAGAGTTATAAATAACCTCAGCTTTTTGTTCCAACAATGACAAAAACGTAGTAAGAATCTTTTCACAACACGGTAACAATACAAAACTGGTTGGGTTGTTTCTAATCAATGCAACATATAATTTGCTGTAACACTTGACATATCTTTCTAAAAGATCAGTATTGTACTTTTCGTTTTCCAGAACTATAGCTTGTAAATGATCAATTGTGTTGCTCAAAAATTCAACCACATCATGATCTTTATGTGGTTGGTCAAACCCTTCAGGGATTATTCTTCTTAAATTCTTTAAACATAAATAACAAATCTGCATGACAGTATAGTCTAAATTTGAAGTCCAAATAGTGAAGAACTTGGAGTATAATTTGATTAATAGACTTACAACAATTGGTGCTTTAGCCTGCATTGCATGACGGGAACGGCCAATTCGGACTGTTGACAAAGTTTTGATAATTCTATTTAAAATAATCAACATGTTGTTTGTAGCCACAAGATTATTCTCAACAAAAACATACTTCTCCAAACTATTGACTATATCGTCAAACAAATTTGGCCAGTCCAGTGGAAAATCAAATCGGGCAATCTTCGATATCGAATGGGCATTTTGAATCATCAACTGGTTATTCTGTTCGTTTATCAAGTCCATAGTTCTCGCTATAATCTGACGTTTTTCATCTTTCTGGATTGAATTGGCACGAGATCCACGCCAATACTTGTCAACACCATTCTTGAAACAAATAATAGCTAACCAACGAATCTGTAATGGCTGGTCGGTATTTAAATACACGTCCTGTAATAAGTAATGGTACCCTGGTACAACTTCCCATTTCTTCAATTGAGAATCAGCATTTTGTTGTTCTAAACTTCTTTCTGATTTACTGGCACATGTTAATGTAGATACCAAGTTTTCGTAATTCAAATCCATGATTCTGAGTGTGTTGGATGGGATGGGGAGGGGGGTGTGACGAATGACTAGTGAATGGTGGATTTGTAATTGCGTGATCAAGAGAATGAAAATAACAATTGGAAATTCAATCTATGATAATAAAAATGTTCTTTATTTATTACAATTGGTTGTATATACTCTGCTTGACACACCAGAGACGAATGAAAATCCAATGAATACAAGTAATACTATCTGTATAAAAGTGAAAAGCAAACAACAGGGAAGAAGAAGAAGAAGAAAAAAAAAGACCTCATCAAATAATCATGCCCTGTTTCAGCCGAGAAACCTGGTTCACTTGTTGAATGTTTGGGTTGTACACGACCTGTGGGTGATATTACTTACCATTGGTCCATCTATGAGTTTCGTCTCCTTCAGACCAAGATCTTTCAGTGTATCCTAGCTCTTGTTTCACTCTTTCAACAGTTGCTGCATCACCCATGTTCTTGCCGATGTTGTCGCTAATTTTAATGGCTGGTTTACCATTGGCTTCTTTAATTTTGATAACAATGTTTAATGGTTGTGATTTTTCACCAGTCGACAATTTCTTAAAATCATTGGTGAAGAAAGTACCAATACCAAAAGTACTAATCAAACCCAACAGGTCGGACTTTTGTTTATACTTGAAACATTTCTCCACATTCAATGAATCACTAAAACAAATAACTTTGGTGTTTGTTGGAATTCCTAACTTTTCATAATGATGAGCGATCTTTTCGGCATATAATTCTGGATCTCCTGAATCTTGTCTAACCCCAGTGTATTGGTTGACATATGGAGAAACAAACATTGACAAGTAATTATCAGTACCAAAAGTATCAGTCAAAGCCAAACCAGCATGCTCGGCGCCAAAAGTATCGATCCAATAATCCATAGCCAATTTATTTGCATGTTTGTAATCTTGAGTTATCGATGCAATCCCCATATACCATTCGTGTGCAACAGTTCCAATAGGCATCAAATCGTATTTCATGGCAAAATACACATTGGAAGTACCAGCAACGTATTTGGAACCAGTTTGACTTTGTACATCTTTAATTGCTTTGATGACAACTTCTTGTGTTTCATATGATCTTCTACGTCTAGTACCAAACTCACTGAAACTGCATTCATGTCTTATCAATGCCTGAGCTTTATCCACCGCAAGTTCATATTGTCCATCATAATTCCAATCAGTGTCAACGAATTTAAAGTAAGCTTCGGAAACTAAGGCTAATATCGGGATTTCATATAAAATCGTATCATTCCACTTTCCGTGTATTTCTAAGGTGAAGTCTTCAGGAGCTACATCTGAATATTTAATCTGTGATTTAGGATCCAATTTGAAATTTTCCAAGTATTTCAAATAGTCAGCTGGTAATTGTGGCAAAGCGGTGTGTAAATATTTGATTTCTTCATCAGTGAATCTTAAATTCCCCAAAGAGTCAATTTGTTTCTTTAACCACGCAACTGCATCGGGCGTCAATTTCAAATGTGGGGTTCTATTGGTATATTTATAAGTTACTGGAACATCAGGAAAATGTTTGTTCACTGCAGCATGCATGAATAGTTTATACAAATCAGTGTCCAATAAGGACTTGATTACTGGTTCGCTATTTATTTCACCCATAGTGCTGATTGGTTCTATTATGAAGGAACAATGACACTGGTGGTACTTTTGATATCGACAAATCTATCTAATTAATCAAAAAAAAAAAAAAAAAACATGCAATCTTTTGGCATTTTTCTTGTGAGTATTGAAAATTTGACCCGAGATTGGGTTATCTAAAAGTGCCACCCGCGGAAATGGCCAGCACATACACAAAATAAAGCAAATTGAAGAATAGAGCAACTGGTAAGAATCCCAATTCGAGTCACCGCTTGCTAATAACATTCACAACCCATTGTAGGCTACTTCTAAGTTGTCCATGAAATATGTTGAGATTAAAGTGTGTCGTGTAGGAAGGAAAAATGTCGCGATCTTTTTGTCCCTGCTTTTTTTTTTTTCTTCCCAACATTTATACGACATGCAATACACAACAGCGTGTGAGATTTTTCATTTTCTAATTTTCTTTTTTTTTTTTTTTTTTTGATTATCAATTTATTAATCTTTTGGTATTCGTGATTCATTTCTATAAATTTTTCATTTTTTTTTTTTTTTTGGGAAATCATCAAACATTCAGTATGTCTTCGTATACTAAAGAACAGGAGTCTATCGTTTTAAGGGTTTTATCCTACAAACCTCACCAATTTTATGAAATTCTATCTGTTGAAAAAACAGCAAGTGAAGGCGACATCAAGAAATCATATAGAAAATTAGCCATCAAATGTCATCCTGATAAAAACCCACATCCAAGATCTTCAGAAGCATTCAAATCATTAAATAAAGCATGGGAAGTTTTAGGTGATCCACAGAAAAAGAGGATTTTTGACCAAACTGGGGCAGACCCAACATCAAGAATGGGAGCCGCAGGTGGAGGTGGACCAAGTGGTTTCAGTAGTAGTCCATTTGGTGGTAGAACAGGATTTGCCAGTGCTGGTGGTGGACGTAATCCATTTGAAGATGAACTATTTAATATGTTCTTTGGTGGGGGAGGTGCCCATGGCCCAACATTTACTTTCGGTGGTAATGGGTTTTCTTTCCAAAGTTTTGGAGGACAAAATGATCCATTTATGAGACATAGAAGAACAACAAGAAGACCACGAGCACAATCTCCTAATAGGGCTACACAAGAGGAAGAACAACCTTCATTGCTTGAGGGTTTGAAAGGATTATTACCAATATTATTGTTATTGATTGTGCCTGTATTATCTGCCCTTTTCTCGAGTGACACATCCCCAGAATATTCATTTGTACCAAGTCATGAATATAACATACAGCGTAACACTCCAAAGCATAATATACCATTCTATGTCAATGAAAAATTCGAACAAAAGCATGGCTCAAAAAGCAAAAGACAATTGCGTAACTATGATGCTAAAGTGGAGAACATTTTCATATCCGATAAGAGAGCTAAGTGCTCGAGAGAACAAGTTCACAAGGATCAATTAATAGAAGACGCGTACGGCTGGTTCAGTGTAGATGAAGCTAAATTGAGAAAAGCTGAAAACTACCCTACACCAAACTGTGATGTGTTGAAAGCTTTAAATTTGATTTAGAGTATTTATAATGGTTAAGTAATATTTTTTTTAATTAATACAAAAAGTGATATTTATTACTTGTTAACATAAATTAGGTTTTTCTTTGGTTGTAAGAAACGGCAGTGTGTTGCAAAAACAAAATCTTCCTGACCCCACTACATGTGTATAAATATGATAAACCCTTGAAAAAAAAAAAAACTAGACCCCAAGGATCAACGCCACCAACTTCTTTTGTTGAAAGCTTTGAATCATGATTGTGGATGAGTTCAGTGTCTCCTTTGAAAGTTTTGTTACACGTATTACTGATGGTACACGGACGTTGTCGTCTCCTCCAATATACAAATTGGAAATGCAGCAATTAAATGGAATGTTGCTTACCTTGAAAGACACTGAGATTGAACTTGCAACCGAACTGTCAAAATGCATCATCCGGAAATGTAACGGTAAATTATTTGAATTTGTTATACTGCTAGATTTTATTCATGATAACCTTGCATGGTTTTTGATAAATTTATACATAAACAAATTTGTGAGACTTGTATACCCTGAGATAAAGCTATTCTGGCCCATATTAAACACCCTACGTGTATACACCACTGATATCAAGGTACTTCATGCACTTATAGAGAATTCTTTAGTTGAAAAATCGACTATTTCATGGTTAACTTCTAGAATATTGCTACACATAGTAGAAGAGGTAAGTGTCAGTGATTTGGTAAAAGAGAAGATAAACACCAAAGAAAATGTCAAGAAGTTCAGAAATATTCTAAGATTGAATCATGATATCACCACAGAACTAAATCTAGTTCAACTATTCGTATCCTTGCATTTGGAAAGTGTTTTCTTAATAGACATGGTTGTGCCTTATGTTTCGTATATTCAATCAATCAATTCCAATTTTAAGAGATTCATTCCATGTTCAACATCCTCAAAGGACTCGTTGGCGTTAAACTGTACAAATTGTTTTATGCAACCTGTTGATGGATATTTATTGGTATTGTGGTTCCAGTTAGATAAGACCAAAATAGACATATTCTATATTAATCTAATGACATTGAATTCATTTAGGGCATTACCAGATGGTGTGATTAGATTAAATTTCAAATGTCACGATAAAAGAAAGTTGCGTTCAGATCCAATGCTGGTTTACAAGTACATGTCCAAGTTTTCCTTTCGAAATGATGCAACGGAGATACCAAGCTCAACTATTGAGTTTAAGTTGTCGCATCATGGGCATTACAATTGGCTTGTCGGTTATTTAAAACGTAATGTTCAACATAGAAAAATATCCCTCAATTCAACGATGCAAGTACCTCTGAGTCAAATGGAAGAAGTACATGTTGATTGTGAAAAACACTTGGTGCCTATTGTTGCTATTCAAAAGAGAAAATTCTCCCAGTATGGATATTTTGATGATGATGATGATGATGATGATGATGATAATGGTGATAACAGTGTTGTTCCGAATAGCGTCAAAAGAAGAAAAACAGCAGCTTCTCTAGGTAGAAGTAGTAATTCTTTGTTGAGTTCAAATATTCCTGATGTATCAATGCAAGAAACTACCAATGGGGGAAATGAAACTTCCATATCAAGTAAGAATGGTATTTGTGACAAGGATGAGCAATTTTCAGAACAAAATTTATCTATTGATATTAATACAACTATATCAGAAGTCACAAGAGATGATGCTGATCCAAAGAATCTGCCTAGTGACTCGACAATTAGCGAGCAGCAAACAAGTACTACTATATGCATTAATGAAAGTCTTAAATTATTTACTACAAGCTTAGTACTGAAATTGCAATTGCTAGAATTAAGCATACTGGAGAGGAAAAACGAGTTACAGCAACAACTTGACAGAGAATTTGCAAAAATTGAAAGTATGCAAAAGGAAAAGTTAAAAGAAATCAGCAAATACGTAACTGATGAATTGAATAAATTTATGTAGAAATATAAAATACCTACTAGATAGCTAGTGGTCGATATCTAATGTCCTAACAAACCTTTAATGAAACTGATTTTCTTTCCAATAATACCACCAATACCACCTGAGTAACTACCAGAATAGCCACCGCTACCACCACTAACGACACAACCGCTATTTTCAACACAAGGTTCAGGAGTTGGAGTATCACATGGAGGTTCTGGTGCTGGGGTTGGAGTATCACAAGGAGTAGTTGCAACAACACCTCCATTACCACCCCAACTACCTAATTTATGTAAAAGAAGACCACCTTCAACGGAAGTAGAAGCAACAATAATAGCAGTGAAAACAGTTGAGAATTTCATAATGTAATGTTTGTAAGATAATTTGAATGGATTTAAAAATAACTAGGAATTAGAAAGTTGAATGGAGAAATAACCTCTTATTTATAGCTCAATATTCATATACGTGTTTCACCTTATATGGGCTTGCAATTTTGCAATTCAATAAAATTTTTAATTCAAAAGGGGGGTCGTTGTTTATTGCTTATGTTATTATTCTTGAGTTTCATGAAGGCATAGAACAACTCTGATATATTCATATTCAATAGATGCAAGTTATTTTGCGTGAATGTAATTTCGCCTAAAATGATGATTATTTTGATTTTGATTTCCTTGGCAATTCATGCAACCAATAAAAAATGGAACATCCTGATGATGTGAAAGTACTGGAAATCTTTACTCAGGGATTAATATTATAAATCAATTACATGATTTACTCTTCAAACTGATCACAAGCATTTATCATCTTCATCCCTTGACGGATAGTACTGGATATATCGGTGTTCTTTCGCAGCCAGGGATCAAAAGCAAGGAGACTTGTTCTCTTTTTTTTTGCATTCAAAAGTGAAACTCAACTATGGGTTAGGAATAATATATCAAATATCTTTTGGTTAGTAAATTTTAGCAATATGATTCATTCCCATGTACAATTTGTGATAGAATATACCTTTAGTTACCCGTTCCGGGCTAGATAATTGAAAAAAAGAAAAAAACTACCATTAAATATGTATAACAGGCTATTTCATATGTAGGGGTCAACAAAAGAGAAACTAAAGGTGGACTCAAAGAACACACAGCACTTGATATCACAAAAGAAAAATGTATATTCTGCCAAAGTCATATACTAGCTGTTAATTGAAAAAAAAAAAATGAACTGTTTTAATTATTGGAACTCTCTGAATTATCGAAACTTAGTGACTAATTGCAAGGAGCAGGAGTAGGAGTAACACAAGGAGGTGGAGCAACAACAGTTTCACAAGGCTGAGGTGGAGCTTGGGTAACACATGGTTGAGTATTAGTAGAACCACCAGTAGAACCGCCCCAACCCCAGTTTCCCCAACTGGAACCACTTTTACCAGTAAAACAGTTTAATAATGGGAGAATACAAGCTTGGGAAGTACCGGCAATAGCTGCAGCAACAAAAATGGAGGTGAATTTCATATTGTAATAAAGGATTGAATATACTTAATGACGTTGAATGATAGAGAAAAAAAGGAAAATAGAAGGTAAAACTTGCAGATTTGGAACTTTTCTGGGCATATTTATATTCTTTTCTTTTTTTCCATTTTACTTGTAGGTTTTAATTGTAGTGTGTTTCTATTAAGGTTTTAATTCTTTCGCAGCAATTGTATTCCATATTTCTGTGAAACTTTAGGTATGGAAAACGATAATTGTAAACAACTCGAAAGGAGTGTAAGTTCCCATTTTGGAAATAATATTTATTCAAATTGGAGAAATGAAGATAACCTAAGCCAATTTTATTTTGTGTGTATATAGTACATTTCTCTTACAAAAGATCTGCATTGGTAGGAGGTTCAACGACAGGCATGACAACAAGTTGGAGAATAATACAAAATATTATTATTTATGAGTAGTCTTGCCCCATGTTTGTTACATTCACCAATTTGGAATTCCTTATTGAGAGAAGTTTAAATATCTTTTGCAACTTTTGTTTGATTCTTCTTTCATTGCCTACTACTCTTCAAACCTTGATCCGCTATTATATCAATGATGCCATGAGATGAGCATCCTATGAATGATTAGCAACGTACCCTTTTTCTTTAAGCGATTACCCAGATCAATTAATGTGATTTTCGATTAAGAGTGCTGATCATGAGGATTGACATCGCTACCAAAAGAGCCTTATTACATGCATATTCTATTAATAACTAACTATACAAAAAAAAAGGAAAAAACCGAGAAGCATTCCTTTTGTTGCATTTGATCTTGAAACAAATGCGGGATTAAATTCGTAAAGATAATATTTCCTTCGGTTTTATCATAATCTTCAGGCTGTAAGCCATGAATAGGCGGTTCTATTGGCAACTGTCCCAACTATTTTTGAAACACGAAAAAAAGACTATAAAACATAAAACTAAATATACGTCAAAGTAGGGGCTCATTTTTTTGCATCTATATTTAAATGGGTAGTACCGGTTTCTAGTCTTGGCAACATTTTCCAACAAAGCCAATCATTGAATAGGACCCTTTTTTTTTCAAAGGGTATATATAATGGTTCTATTTCTAATTAACCCTATCGTCTCATTATGAAACTGTTCTCTGGAGTGTTGATCACATTGGATGCCCTTCGATAATTAATTAATTAATAGAGATAGAGAAAAAAAAACATACCTTTGTAAAACTGAAAATCAACAAGTGGGAGAAAAGAAATAATAAAAATTAATTTCGACGATCAAACTTGCTCGCCTCTAATTTGTTTCCCCCTTTTGGTGATTCTATGATATTATTATTATTATTCATGGTGATATCATGGAGAGAAAAGAAAAGTGGAGTTGTTTTAGTTTTGAAATTGAATGAAAATATAACTTCTTGAAGTCAGTTTGTCGTGTGTACTTAATATAGTTGTTGATGAAAGGGTGGTTATACACTGTTCTCCCGAATTGATCGACAGAATAATCATGGTATATCATCATGCCCTCCCCTACAATGCAAAACAAGCGTTGATGATGTAAGCAGTGGGATTGATGGGAGGTTGCAGAATTAGAAAAAAATGCAAACATGTTTATATTTACAGTTACATGCAAGTCTGATGTGTGGGGTTTGTATATTCACGTGATTACTACCTGTGATGACATGTCAAAGCTGGAAGTGGTGGGATGAACCAAGTGATGGTGGGTACCCCCTCACCACTTACCACCTCTCCTAATTAAAGGAGAGGGACGAACTGGGCCCACTGGTGTAAGTGGGGCCGACCCAGCCCGTCTATGGCCCTCTTCTTGAGTTGCCATATCGCGTCCCCCTACTGGCCCAAGGGGGAATTGATAGAGGCCGAACCAGGAGGAAAGGGGACTGGTCGACTGTCCTCTACCTGGTCCTCTACAAGTGTGGTTTGTAATAAACCGCCACTACTACTCATCGGGATTTTCAACTAGCCTATCCCGATGAGTAGCTTTTAAAGATAGTGATGACCAGTCACTATCTTTTGAAGAACCTTCACTAATCAACATCGCTCCTTTTTTGTATATGTTGATCCCTTGTGTAAGGTTCAAGATAACATGTGTTCCAAGTTGCTATCTTATTTGGAAGGTTCTTCTTATGTTTGTGCATCATACTAAAGGAGCTATCAGTTGGTGACTTTCTTTAAATTGTGTTAACCAAGTGACACAAACAACAACTAGTGAGGGAACACATAACAACAAGTGATGGGAACATATAACCTTTGATTCTTGGTAAACTTGTTATGGATATAATGGATTGTAGTTCCTTATATAGAAGTTAGTATTTGCAGCCATGAATAAAACACATCAATTGATACTCACTTGTTAAAACTGATATCATATATAGTGAATAATATTAATTGTTGATAAAACAAAAAGAAAAAAAAAAGAAAGTGGTGTAAAAAAGCTATTTTTTTGTAAGCTAGTTTGTTGTCCTTTTATAGTTGAGTCTTTTTGGGGTATTTGTGTATGTATTTTTGTTGTACTTTATATGTTCTGTGCTACCAAATGTGTGGAGATCAAACAATTCGGAGTGTATCGTTTCTCTTTTGTGCAACAACCTATTTAATTCAGAAGTACGCATGACTATTGTACACGTGTTTGCATTCACGTGTGTGCTGAAACGTATTTTTATCCAATTCTAGATCTACGCACGCGACATGAAAAAAAAAATCAAGGGGGGTGAATTATTATCAAATGTGGGATGATTCTGGTGATAAATGAAGGGGGGCTGACAAAAAAGAAAAAATTGTAACTGAAAGTATTACTTGAATCAACAGAGATTACAGAATGACTAAATTAGCATTGGTAGTTGTTGACTTACAAGAAGATTTCCTTCCACCTGATGGATCATTAGCAATTAAAGATGGTCGTTCAATTGTTCCAGATATCAATAAATTATTAATTGATCCAAAATATAAATGGTCGTTGGTTATAGCTACTCAAGATTGGCATCCAGCAAATCATATTTCATTTGCGTCTCAACATAATGTGGATCCATATACTGAATTGACGTTCAAACACCCTAAAGGAGAGATTGATCCAACTACAAATGAAGTGAAAACTATGAAGCAGTTTGTTTGGCCTGATCATTGTGTTCAGAATTCAAAGGGGGCAAGTCTTGAACCTACTTTTGAGAAATCCTTTGGGTCAGTTCCTACACCTCTGGCAAATGTGAAAAAGGGGTATTTGGAAGATCGAGAATATTATTCATGTTTCCAAGATTGTTGGGGCTTACACCATACTGAGATTTTAGATTTATTGAAAAAAGATGAGATTACAGATGTTGTATTTGTTGGTTTAGCTTACGATTTCTGTGTATTGAATTCTGCTATTGATTGTGCAAAAAATGGGTTTAATACATTTGTTTTCAAACAATACACCAAAAGTGTTTATCCTGATAAGGAAAAGGATACTGATCAGCTATACGCAGACAATGGGGTAAAGATAATTGAAGATGTATCACAGTTTGTTACTAATCCCTAGTTTGGCTAGTAGTTCTTGTCTTTTTTTGTTGACTAACCATTTGGTTACCATTTCGTTTGTAGGTATATCATCAAAATTTATGATTTTATTATGTTGTGTATCATTTGTATCTTCCAGTAGTTCTTTACTTCTTTGAGACTCGAATTCTAGTAATGGATCTGAAACAGTGGATTTCTTTTCAAATCCAATGATATCTAGGGGTAGTTCCTTCTCATCGTAGTATCCATAATAAGCGAATCCGAGTCTTTCTTCTCTAGCCTTATCCTCATTATAATCAATTTGTTTAATTTTAGTTCGCTTTCTCTTTTGTTCAATTAAGGCTTTCACATCAGGTAATTCTTTAGCTCTACCAAAATATCTATATCCTTTAACACTATTATCATCACGATCAACTAAAACCCCAGTATTCATCAAATCTTTTCCATATTTAATGTAATCATTCCCTTTTAAATTATTTCGTATATGATATTCCCATGACTTCTTCTCTTTGAATAATAAATTCAATTTATCATTAATCTCACGAATCTCAAAATCTGTCAAATTTTCATCATTAATTTTAGTTAAGTTTATAGATATTTCTGATATTACAATTGAACGCCATTTTTCGGCTTGAGGTAAAGAAGTAACTTTATTGACATTTTTGGGACGATTTTGTGAATTGGAATCAAGTACTCCCAGTACCCGATCTTTTTGTAGATAATACTGATTTAGATTTGACTGTGCTTTCTCTTTGTTTCTTGACATTTAAGTTTGTTGCTAGGGTTGTCGTGGTGGTTCCGGTATGATTAATCTTTTGTTTTTTTTTTTTCCTCTCTTTTTCGGCCTTGCGTTTTGTATCGCGATGCTTGATGCAAGTAAGACAAAGGTGATAGTCACCGGTCAACAGATGGTTTGCTACAGAAGAATACAAAAGATTCTTAAGTTGACGTGTCAGTAGTAAGATGTCTGACTATTCTTTCAGTGACAATAACAACGGTCAATTAATATTTATTAACCCTTTTTGTCAAGAATTTGCACCAATTTTTGTTAAAAATCTCCTACAACTTTTAAAATGTTCTGGAAATCACCTACAATATTTTGTAAATTAACGTTTTATCTATACACACTCATCAACCATACTATATATATAATACAACCGATGTCATCGCCTTTGGCAATAAATTGGCAATAATTCAGCACCAACTGTGGCTCTATACCTTAAGCGGCAATCAATAACCTCTCAGTAACTAAAAAAGCAATTTTCCTGCAGACAGACCCCTTCTGCCGGTCGCAATTTCTTTTTTTTTTTCACTCGCCGCGTTTCAGGCCAAACTAAATTAAATTGATGCGACGGAATGACAAAGTCAATGACAATGACAATGAAAAAAAAAAAAAAAATGGTATGAAAATTATTCTACTTTATCATCTTGATTGTTTTTATTTTCATATACAATTCTACTTGATAAGAGCCATGTCTTCACATCACGATAGACGCCATCAATTTACTCATTCAAATACTCAAAGAAGAGCGTCTGTGGTATATGGATCAGTAGGTAAGGGAGGGTTATATTTACCTTCTGATTTCATACCACCATCATCCAATCAAGACCAAAATGTTTTTGACGAAGAATTGGAAAGAGATAACCAAGTTCCAGAATCGTCCTCTTTACCAAATGAATCTCAACCTTTATTATCACCAAATACTTCTGCATTTCAATATAATAAACAAAGAAGAAGACTGAGTGTTGTTGCCCATGAATTAGTTGAAGAAGAACGTGAATTATTAAAAGCTCATCATATCAGTGTCCTGGAAGATAATGGTAATAATGATGATGAAATTAGAGATGCTTTTGAAAGTGCCATAGTTAATAAAAATATCGCATCTACTACCGCAAGTTTTGAATTAAAATCTTTAGTTAAATCATCTATACCATTAGTTGCTACTTTTCTATTGCAAAATTCTTTATCCACTGTATCCGTTTTCAGTGTGGGCCATTTAGGTGCTACTGAATTAGCAGCTGTTTCTATGGGAGCCATGACTGCAAACATTACTGGATATGCTACTATTCAAGGTATTGCAACTGCATTGGATACTTTATGTCCTCAAGCATTTGGAGCCAAAAAATATACATTGGTTGGTTCTTATTTACAAAAATGTACTGCATTAATTTTCATGGTTATGTTACCAGTTTTATTTGTATGGGTTTTCTTTGGATATGATTTGATTTGTTTAATTTTGCCCGATAAAGAAACAGCTAAATTATCTGCTGTCTATTTACAATATGTTGCATTTGGGATCCCGGCTTATATACTTTTTGAATGTGGTAAGCGTTTCTTACAAGCACAAGGTATTTTCCATATCTCAACTTATGTTTTATTAATCGCAGCTCCTTCAAACTTAATCATGAATTTAGTATTTGTTAAACATATTGGATATTTAGGTGCCCCAATTGCCGTGGCTATAAATTATTGGATTATGTTTATTGGATTAGTATTATTTACTTTATTCTATGTCAAACCAGAAGATACCCCAACTGGATTACATCCAATGAAATGCTGGGGAGGTTTTAGCTTTAGTGATACGTTTCATGGATGGGGTAGATTAGTTCTGTTGGCTATTCCAGGATTAATTATGTTAGAAGCTGAATTTTTAGCATTTGAAATTTTAACATTAATGGCATCATATCTTGGAACCACAGCATTAGCTGCTCAAGCTGTTGGTACCACTATGGCATCCTTGACTTATCAAGTACCATTTGCTGTTGGTATCGCTGCATCTACTAGAATTGCCAATTATTTAGGTGCTGAATTACCAACTGCTGCTAAGATCACCACTCAAGTTAGTTTATCATTTGGATTAGTCATTTCAATGTTGAATTGTTTTGCATTAATGATTTTCCAATGGCAAATTGCTAATTTATTTTCAAATGATAAAGAAGTTATTGACACTGTGTTGGATATCATGTGGTTAATTGCCTTAATGCAAATTTCAGATTCCATGAATGCAACTTCAGCAGGTACTTTACGTGGTCAAGGCGCTACTCGTATTGGTGGTATTGTCAATATAGTATCTTATTATCTTGTTGGTATTCCATTATCTATATATTTATCATTTTACTCACCATGGAAAGGATCATTGGACGGGTTATGGATCGGTAGTACTGTGGCTTTAACAATCATTGGATGTGTTCAAAGTTATTTTGCCCTTTTTGCTGATTTTGATAAACTTTGTGACGATGCAAGAAAAAGAACTTCTGCTCCAAGTCATGTATAGATAGCTCAATAGACATACTTGTTACAGGATAGTCAAAGAAATTATTAATATAGATTTTGATATACATACACACACTTATATTATTCAAAAAGCATCTATCATTATACCATCTTCTTTAGTTGAATTTTCAGTTAATCTTGGTTTACCAGCTAATAATTCTCTTCGTATTTCTGGACCAATAGAATGATGGAACCTTTGTCTGACAGTTTCCAATAAGAAATCTCTTTGATCATCAGTAATATCATTCTTGTAACGTTGTGCAAATGCCAAAAATGCTTTATGCCAAACAACAGGTAATTGAGGAGCTTCTTTCTCATTATCTAAATCCATATGCTCTTGAGCAGCATTTCTGAATCTCATAAAATAAAACACCAATTCATCTAATGTTTGATATGGTAAAGCGTACTTCTTTTCAATTAAAACTCTGATAAATACAGTAGTAGCAGGACTGAAATCTCTTTGTAACAATTGAGTTAATGCAACTGATGAATGTAAAACAGGAACAGAAACTTTGGTTAATACAGAAGCAGCAATGGTGGCTTCACGAACAGTACAATATCCATCAACCAATGGCAACAAGAACCCTTTGAAGAAAGCCCCTGGTTTATATAGGGATTTCTTTAATGCTCTGTAAATATGATAATTCAAGGAATGATCGTCGGAATCTTCAATGGAGGATCTGAATTTCTCTAACAATACCTTTTCAATAAACTTCTGAGCTTCGTTGGCTTGTAAGTTAGAAACAAATAATTTTGTAGCTTCATAAGTGGCATGAGGAGTCCACTGTTCTGGATTAGTAACATACAACACATCTTCCCAGTTTTTCAAACTTGGTAAAATTTTAAACAATTTAGGTAATTTACCATGGGTATAAGTGGCTAATATTTGTCCAATTTTCTCATATGCTAAGATAACTTTTGGTGGAAGTAAAACAGCATCTTCAACTGGTTTACCACTTTCTTGTTGTTGTTGTTGAAGTTCTTTTTCTTGAATTTTGGCTAAGATTTTATCTGCCAAATTTATACTCTGTCCCTGAGACATGGATTCACCGTTTGATTGGAAATACTTATTAAATAATTCGGCATCTTTTTCATCAACTTCAATCTCTTCTTCATCGTATACAACTTCTTCCTCTTCTTCTTCTACTTCGAAATCAGAATATTCTCTTTCCTCTTCTTCCTCATCATCACTGACAACTTCTTGGTTTTTAAATGATTGAGCAAAAGTAGGCTTTGTAATACCTTCCTCTTCTTCTTTAAGTTCATCTTGTTGTTCTTTAGCTAATTGTAAGATTTTTCTAGAACTGGAAGCATCTAAAAATCCTTCACCTTCTTCGTCATCATCATTATTGTTGGTTCTACGACTATTTTTCTTTTTTGATGATTGGGATTTAGTTGATGATCTTGGTGTTGTTCTTAAATTTCCCCCTTGTGATGAAATATCTTTCAACAATGGATTATGACGTTGTTTACCCTTGGTATCACTAACTGAAATCTTTCCCATTTTTTGTTTTGTTTTATATGAATGTGTTGGTGGTGATGGTTAAAGAGATGGGACCTGAATAATTTTTTTTTTTTTTTTTTTTGCGTATAGTTTTTTTTTTAGATGAGCGTAATCATCGCGAGGCGAGGACGAGTCGATCAATGGGCAATAATAATGGGAAGATAATTCTTAAAATAATATCTCATACTCCAGATTTGATAGAAACATACCAGCCTGCTATATAGCCAAGAGCATATCACCCGTGATAAGTATCAACAAATACAACATTAAACCAGAGGCTCATCGCTTCCTCTCCATGGTTTAAGTACAGATAATGATGTAGAATATTACGAGAAGCAAATAAATGTGTATATTCCTGCTTGATATATTGTCACTAGGTTTGGATGAATGTTTCCTGGTAATATAAAATGACTGTATAAGAATTATAGAATTTTCAACCGTGTCACGTGACCGCATCATATTCAATTTGTAAATCCTGTTGTTGCATAAAGCAAACATAGATATTTCTATCCACTAACCCAGACAGAATGAATACACTAATCTGCTCACTGTAATACAGACCTAGCTAGCAGGGGACTTATGTAATATCTGGTTGTAGTCGGTTGCTGCACGACATTGCATGTTCGTATTTTTGCACAAAATCCACCCACACTATAATTTCACTCACTCACTTAAAAAAAACATGATCTACGCCTCTTTTCTTTGCTTTGCCATCAATATCTTTCTTTTTCCAACACCACCTACCTATCATTATTAGTTCAATGCCTCAAAAGACAATACTTCCAGGACAGGTGGAGCTTCTCTTTGTCAAATCGAAAGTATACCTTCATCCTTCACCTTCAAAGAAAGATAATATCCCTGGATTTTTAGCCTTATCACGACCCCTGAAAGCAACCAATTTGGAGATCATTTTATCTTTCACACCCGAATCACAATTATCAATTGAGGAACTAAAAATATATCAACAAGTAGATGTTGAAGATATCCAGTTAAATTTAGATTCCTTGAATTACAAACATGGTAAAGCACTGAGTTCCAGAATTGTATCGAAGCCAAGCCAGTCGTTACTTCTGGGATATTCCTTCAATACACCGCTTCTTTATGTTTATTCTATTCAGTTCAGAAAACCTTCACACGGATTTTGGCATGGATCGATAATTATCAATACACAAGATGGTGAAAAACTCCCAATATTATTTTTCCACGATAATGAAAGTGCCCTGACTTTGAAAAATCAGAAATTACAAAATCAAAGATTTGACCCATTTGGGAACGATGGAGATTTATATTGGGGAGGTACAGATTTCTTAAATGCATTGGAAGCTTTGATCAATGTACAAAGATCTACAATTGAACCTTCAGTGTATTTGATCAATCCTGAATCCAATGATTTGCGCAATTTTGCCCCCTTCAAACTGAAAGCAGAACCACCGAAACCAGAAACAGAACCATTTAAGTTACCTGATGTGGGAAAGTTTTTTGCTAACGCCAAATGGAAAGTCTTGGAGACCGTGGCTACATTTTCAGCTAAGACAAAGAATCAAGTGTTGGACTTGATTGACGACAATGCACCGGCACCCGTTAAGGAAATAATCAAGAAGCCCGAGGTTGCTAAAATTGGTGATGATTTTGATTCAGCTAGAATTTATTTAGCTAAATGGGCCCAACAAGTTAAAGAAGAAGCCGAGAAAAGCCAAAGCAAGTATATGTTGGATGATCAACTTTATGCTAGAATCAACAAAGAACTAGGATCCAATGAGATGTTAACTCCAGAAGAGATTAGCAAAACTTCAAGAAGAGGAATTATCTCACCACAGGAATGGAAAAGCTTTTTTGATATTAGTGGTAGATTGATGATCACTTCTGACGAGGTTAAGAATAGAATTTTCCATGGTGGATTACATGAAGATGTTCGTGCTGAAGCGTGGTTGTTTTTATTGAATGTGTATCCTTGGGATTCTAGTGAAGAAGAAAGAGAAGCTTTAAGAGATTCATACTCCACTAGATATGACGAGTTAACTATGAAATGGGCCGCAGTTGATGAAAGAGAAGACATGGATTTCTTTAAAGACCAAAAATTTAGAATTGAGAAAGATATTCATCGTACTGATAGAAATTTGGACATCTTCAAAAACCAAGTAAAGAAACCACCAGCTGCTGCTCAGAGTGATCAAGCAGGAACTGAGCGTGAATCTTCTCCAGAGACTCCTGACGAAGATAGTCCAGAAGACGACGGTTTCCTTTTTACTAACATTCATTTACAAAGAATGAGAAATATTTTGCTTACATACAATGAATATAATGTGAATTTGGGATATGTCCAAGGAATGAGTGATTTGTTGTCACCATTATATGTTGTTGTTAGAGATGAACCATTGGTTTTTTTTGCGTTTGCTAACTTCATGGAAAGAATGGAAAGAAATTTTGTCAGAGACCAATCTGGTATGAAGAAGCAAATGAGTACGTTAAACAAGTTATTGCAATTTATGTTGCCAAATTTGTACAAGCACTTGGAAAAATGTCAATCCAATGATTTGTTTTTCTTTTTTAGAATGTTATTGGTGTGGTTCAAGAGAGAGTTTGAATGGGCAGATGTATTATTGTTATGGGAAGTTTTATGGACTGATTATTATTCATCACAGTTTGTTTTATTCATCTGTTTGAGTGTATTGTCTGATAACGAGAGAATCATTATCCAGAATTTAAGACAATTTGATGAAGTGCTTAAATATTTCAATGACTTGTCTGGTAAATTACATTTGAATCCACTTTTAATCAGATCGGAAGTTTTATTCCTCAAATTTAAAAGAACAATTACCATTTTAGATAGGGATGACAGTTTACAAGCTTTATCAAGCGAACCATACTCCACTTCTTCCACAAATACCACTGCCAGTAACTCTCACGAGGAGTTGGGTGATTTACGAGAACTTTTGCGAAAAGATATCATAATCCAAAAAGAGGTTGAAAGACCGGAAGGTGTTGGTGGAGGCTAAAACATAACTGTATTGCATTTATATTTGATTCGTTATTGTGCTGTAGTTTGTCTTTATTTTTTTTAGGTTTCATTTATCTACTATTTTATATGTTCCGTTGATGTTTATATATATATATATATATATATATTTAACAATGATTTTCAATTTCATGACGAGATTATATCAGTCCACGATATTCAACTATTGAAAATCTTCATAATCTATATACATAAAAAGTGAAGAATAAAGCAATTGTTCACCTAATAAATCATAAATTGGAAGGCAACGATAACCTTTTTTAAGATGATCAATTTTAACTACTGAAATACCAATTGGAGTCAGTTCACCAAGATCAGGATTTAATGCTGATGTAGTCGCATAAACTACTAATTTCATAAATACTAAATCATTTTGAAGTGTCATAACACCATTGAATTTTGCATTAAAAATTGGATTGAAACCATTTTGGGCAACTATTTTTGTAGTTTTAGGAATACTTGAACTTTTCCAATTAATATCATCAGCACCAATTATTTCAAACGTTATAAAAATATTTGGCGGTGTTGTATCTTCTTTTGTCTTAGGTTTAGGTAATTGATGTGCACTTATGATTTCAAAATTGAACTTTGATTTTGTTAATTTTGATTGAATGAATGTTGGAAGTTTTGATGATAATATTGGTCTTCTAAGGGAACTAGATTTCAAAATATAACCTTTATTAGAATTCGATGAAAACATAGCCAAATTTAGCAATTGTCCTTGATCCATAGTCTGCCAATTTGTGGCAACCAATTGACATCCTACTCCCCAATATGGAAGTGGCAGATAATTCGTTGAATTTATTCTTGTGCCACCAGGATAAACACGCATCAAAAACTTTCTATTGTGCTTTAATAACTGATTCTTGGTAGATTCGTCCTTGAGAATTCTATTGATAGTCTTTTCACCTAATGAAAAACAATGGTTGTACGTTTTGGATTCCGGCAAAGAAAAGTTTCTAAATTTCAAACCCTGGGCATAAACACCTAAATCACTTAATTCGTTGATTACTTTGGGTGTTTTGTTCTTTCTTCGGAGTATTATCGACGTGGATTTAGAAGAACTGTTTGTTCCGTTGTCTTCACTTTGGGAAGTGGAAGTAGATGTTGATGTACTTGTAGTGGAAGTGAAACTTCCATTATCCATTTCAATTAAATTCTCAAATGCAGTTGTTTTCTTTACTTTCACAATGAACTTGTGTTGTAAATCATTAGGTGATGGCAAGACTGGCATGTCATCAATTGGAGCAAGAATCAAATCCTCTTTTAGAATGTCCTTCAAGATTGCAACTACTTTCAATTGACTTGGTCCCGAACAGTGAATTTCCAAACTTAAAATGACTGGGAAGGGAGAAGTTATAAATGCAAATTTCTTTATTGTTCTAATAACGTTAGTCAATCCAATTGACTTGGTAAAAGTTCTCCCATGATTGACCACCGGTTCAGACTCATTGGGATCATCACCATTCCAAATATCTATCTCGACACATTTACATCCACGTTGCAATGCACGAATATACCCGTCAACTGACGATTCTCCAACAACTTGCCGACCAGTTAAATACGTGTTATGTGATGATGAAATGTAATATTCGTTCAACGGATGTTCATAGTAATGCTTTGATTCAAAATTACGGTATGGTTTAGAATAACTTGACATAAGAAAATCGTTTAAACTTTCAGCGGTCCAGACACCGTCTTCATTGCAAAACTTGTCATAAATCTGTTGTATAGATTCGCTATCAAAGTCATCTTTCTGTGTGTGTTTGATAAACTTCTTTACATCATCATAACTCATGTATTTCTTCCCATGACTTTTATCTTCAACAATGCTTTGGACATCCTTTCTCTCCTTTAATATGAACACAAACCGCTTGAATTGATCAAAATTCAACCCATGTTCAAAAGTACCATCACCACCGCTCTGGGATGCTTGGTCAAAAATCTGTCTCAAATGATTGGTGTTGACATTGATATTTAATCTTTTGACATACTTAAGAATATCATTAAATGAAAGAAATTCTCTTATTTGTTTACTATGCTGCTGACTTTGAAGCTCTTCATTTAGTATCACTTTCATATAATTTTCATTAAGATTATTCAAATCAATTAAAAATTCCTTTGCCAACTCAAACCTTAAATTTCTTAAATTCTGCACAGCCGTATTTAGTTTCTTGAAGTCATGTTCAGAATCCGCAATTAAATGTAGTGATTTCAAAGTCCCTTTCTTGTGATTAAAATAAATAATAGTTATCCATTTATTTTCAAACTCTTGTGAGATACGCAATTCTTCTCGGTAAGAACTGCCATGCTTTTGTTTGTAAACAGACTTAATGTCATCAATATTGAACTCATGTAGTGAGCGTCCAGCAGATATAGACAATCTATGAGTACCACCACTAGCATTACTACCACTACCGTTTGTACCAGCTGAATTTGATGAAAGGGAAGCCGTCATGGGTGTATTTGGGCTGGATGCACTTCCAATATTAGATCCAGTTGCAACCCTCCAGGTGAATTTAAAGCTGGTAGGGTCGATGTAAAAAAGAATTCTTTTCTTTGATTTGTGAGAAACTTTAAGTAAAGGTAAACCTTCATTGCTAAAGGTAGGCGAAATCTTGATATGACCTATAGATTTGGATATATCTGGATGTAGGTCAACCTGTTCCCCAAAGTACTCCACATCAGAATCAGTATGCTGTAATGCCTTACTTCTTTGAATACTTTTACCTCGTTTTAAACCCTTTGACGAAGATGACGACGACGATGATGTTGGTGTTGATGTTGTGGTTCCATTTGTCGAGGGAGTAGATGCCGCAGGCTGATCACCGATGCTATCAGAAGATCCGTTTATTCGTAGTAATTTCTTTAGAATATTGCGTCCATGACTTGATTTGGTAGGTGGCTCAGTATCAATAGCTCGAAGATTACTATAAATATTTGGTAGATCTGACTGTATAGGAGATGATGATGATTTTCGTAGAATTGAACCAGGATGTGGGGGCAGATCACAAGATGAATAATGTAGTTCAGATGGACTGAGCTCTCCCGCACTATCGATTGAATTACGTCGTTCTTCAATTGGATGAGCCAAACTTTGTGACATATTATTTCAGCACCTTGGGATTATTAGCCAAAACTAATAAAGGAAACAAAAGTTCAATGAGTTGTTGGTAGGGTTTTATAATGAGAATTGAATCCGTTGACAAGTAGAAAAAGGGGAGAAACATTCTTGTATTACGAACTTGATTCTCGTGCACTTCGAAAAAAAAAAAAATTAATTCCCAAGAAACACAACAATTTGGACTTGGTCTTTGTGCCATGACATTGCCTCAGGGATCACAATTAACTCTACGAGTACTGTGCTCCGCCACGTAAAGAACAAACGCATATTTAACAATTACCATACTCTTGGATTATTTCATCTATCATGTTGTATGTAACATTGTTAAAAGTGCAGAGTTTACTCAAGAGTCACGTGAGTTACTTTAATTTGATTATTTCCAAATATAGATCAAAAGACAAAGTTGTAATAAGGTTTAAACATTACAGAGCCCATAACGAAGCATAAAGATATACAATCCGGTGTTATGCTAAAAACTATAATCTTTGGGCTCGTTGATAAAAACTCTAAATAACTGAACGATGTAACACTTTTATGAGGGACATAAATGTTACTTGAGATTCTGAGTTACAATCAAATTATGAATTCATGAGATTTGGTAAAAGTTTTAAAAATATTAAACCTAAAGTAGACATCATTGATGAAACTGCATAAAGAATATATATATACGTATAAATCTATGACTTTTGCATTTCTAACGCCTCTTTCTCTTTACGTCTTTGTTCCTTGGCAATCCGTTTAGCTCTTCTACTTGCCCACGCTGTTACAAACACCAAGATAATATTACCAACGACGATCCAAATAATCAACACACCAATGTTTCTTCCAAGGTGACCTTTCCACGTATTGAAAAACACCACTTTTAACGCTTCGTACGCATTGTACATCGGCATCGCGTATCCGTATCTATAGAACCCCGGCAGCAATACAAACGGCGCAAATGTGGGAGAAACATTACTGACAATGTTGAACACCATCCAAGGAGCAATTAGTTCTTTCTTGTCGTACGCTAGGAAAATCAGAATCACCACTTCATTTACTACCCCAACAGCACTGATGTACAAGTACACAAACATCCATAGCACCAAGAACCCCAGTTTCCCAAACGTCACACTGGTGGAGATCCTGAACGCTATTGCCATGAGTGAGTAAACCAATGCCAAAACCAACGCATGCATTTGCGATATAAGGAACTTGTAAAACAAATAGCTCTTGTAAACAATGTTTTTCTTCATATATGCATATATTTCCACGGAGAAATTGAAACTGTAGAAGGACACCAACAAGGCATAGATGAGTTGGACTTCACTTGGTGCAAGAACCGCTGAATCTGGAGCAGGTCGTTGATCGTCATATGCAAATGTGGGAAATGTGGTGAATATCAGAATGGTCTCATTTGACGATAGTAATCTCTCTCGCTGAGTGTCACTGAGTCGAGCAAGAATAGGTTGATAGATTTCACTAGATACGTAATTGCGTACCCAAGATTCACTAATGGCATTCAAGTTTCGGAATATGTATTGTGAAAGTGCAGAGAAGTGCCGTCCTGTCTCATAAACCAAAACAATGGTCAGATTAATGGCGCCTGATGTCACAAACGTCGAGTTGGCAGTATAGAAACTGTTGTAGATGTTTTCGGTACTTCCCGGGGCAATGTAAATGCCACCCCAATATTTCTGATGGTGGATTTGTCTCTTGACCTCTTCAAATGGGGTATTATTGTGACGGGCAGCGAGTTCCTCAAAGTCAGTGAGGTTGGCTATACGGAAATCACCCAAATTGGATATGGTTGCATTATTGGTAAACATGTTGATCACGGCATTCCCTAAATACGGTTCAATGGTATCACCGTTGTATTGGAACTCAGCATCCTGGTTAACCACTAGATATTTTACATTCCGATACCGTGTTTCTCTTCTGTATATGGACCCCCAGTAAAGGGACAACACTCCCAAGTAAATACAAAACACTTGTAGATAAGCAATGGAAAATGCTGGCACGGCGGGCCAATATTCTTGATACTTTTCTTTCCAAGTAAGTGGTTTCTTGGTCAGCGATGGTTCTGTGGGGACTTTTTCAATTAGTGCATTGGGTCCACTTTGAACCAGCTGGGCTCGTTTCCTTTCTTCGGTTTCATACTCGGTGGTTTGGATTCTTTGCATTGCATCAGCCGCGATACCCCCAAACCCTGCTAAAGGCGCAACTGAATTTGAATCTGAACTCAGCTCCGAGTCAAGTGGGTCTATTGATTTGTCCTGGTTAGATTCCGACATGGTTATGTGATGATAGAAAAGCAGAATTGTTATAATTAATAACAAGTGAAGAATGTGAATTTTTATTTGGAGTTGGGATGGGGGGATGGAAAAAACCGATGATGTTCACCCGAATTGGTTATTTTTAGGTTGAGCAGTTACGGCGGTTAGCAATCATAACCAACATAATCCCTCCGCTGTGAGTACAACCACAAAGCAAGCATCCCCTTTGTTCTTTATTGTACATAAAACAATGGAAGAAGACTAGTCGGAGGACCGATAATATAACAACTGGTCAGCATTAGTTCTAGAACCGACAAGAATCGCTCAACAATACAAATTGTCTAAGCCAAGCCGCTCGAAACTGGGCATACGTTCATTGGAGAGACTGTTACTAATCATTCTTTAAAAAATAATTCAATCATCTCAATACCAAGTATTTCATATCACTTTTTTCTTTTGTTGATTATACCGTTATGAGCAACAATATGCCACCACAAGAACCACACGAAGACCATCACGACAATGTGTCAGATTTGTCTTCAGAAGAACACCCAGTCCCATTCAACCCCACAGAACAAAATGCAAGCAACAGCAAACGTCCATCAGTCGGAAGACGACTTTCCAGTGCCGCCAGTACTTTCTTTAGTGGTAGATTAGAAGATGTAGACGACGATGACGACAATGATGTTGATACACTAGAAGGACAAGATTTCAATGATACATTATATGCCACGAAACAACTAAGCCATGCGCTTACTCACAAGAACCAAGATGAAGAAGAAGAAGTTTCGAAGGCATCTGAAACACCGGGGAAGGAAACTTTAGGCGATTCAACTGAAAGCAGTGACAATCTTCCACCCTCACCACCTCCAGCACCACCAATACTGAGACGAAAATCTTCAATTGCTAGTTCCTTCGAAAAGGTTGAAAAATTCAAATTCTGGGATAAGGAGTTCCGAAGTGAACGATTGAAAATCGCTACACAGATTCTTATCAATTACATCTTTCTTGTTGTTGGATTTGCTGGTATTTTGTGTATCTACACCGGGTCGTACTACCAAAGAAGCACCAGGTACAAGAACTTGAAAATGGCCGTGATTATAGCGGACCAGCCCGTAGGCGAGTTACCCAACATTGTGGGTCAAACAATCGAATACTATTTCATCAATGTTCCCACAGTTCAAACCGTGGGTGATTTCCATATTTGGAACTATACCAAAATTGCCGAAGTAGCAGCTAGTCATAAGAACACCATCACGGAAGAAGTGTACCGCCAGATTCACCATCAGAAATTCTGGGCAGCTTTCTATGTCCACGAGAATGCAACTCTTGATTGGTACCAGGCCATGTTGGCACAGTCGCAGACATTCTCTCCTGTTCAGTCACTCATGGAAGTTGTTTACGAAACAGGGAGAGACTATAACGCGGTGGTGAACTACATCACTACGATTGTCAATCAATTATTGATTGGATACAATAAGTTCATTCCTCAAAGTGGGTTGGTTGGTCACATGCTAGAAACTCTCAACTCCACGCAGGCCATAGGAGTGCTCAACAACTCACCCCAGTTGATCTCCACGATACCCACATTTAGAGTCCATGATTTGCATCCAGTGCCGAATGCACTCTTTGCGGCCACAATGCAATTGGGTGGTGTTTACATCATCGTCATGACATTCTTCCTGCAAATATTCACCCTTCGTATCAACATGTTCTTAGCTTCCAAACTATCTGGTGCACAATTTATCATAGCCAAACTCGTTACTACGCAAATCGCCTATTTCATCATTTCATTAGCATTTGTCGTACTCAACACGGCGTTCCAAATACCGTTTAATGTCACATTTGGACATTCTGGATTCCTAGTCATCTGGATGTTTGCCTTTTTATTGATGTCTTCCATAGGAAGTATAATTGAAGTTCTCGTGATGATTGCCTTTGCGGTGAAACAAGCACTTCTTGGATTTGTCCTTGTTTATATTGTTGTGTTGAATTTAGCACCAGTTCTTTCCCCAATTGTATTGTGTCCTAAATTCTATCGTTATGGATATGCTATGCCATTAAAGAATTTTTATGATTTACTACAAGTTGCATACTTTGATGCGTGGAAAGGTCATATGGGGAGAAATATAGGTATCCTAATTGCGTGGATCATTGTCACAAATACAGGATTGCCGTTTGCTATGAAATTGCTAGCTCGTCAAAAGGCCAAGATGGAGAATAAGGAAAACAAGTAGAATTCAAACTAAACTATAAATACACGTATATTATTTAATGAATCTTAATTACAAATTTGTTATCCATGGATTTCCACAATTACAATTTCTTTGGAACAACATTGTCCATAACCCAACATGTAAAGGAGCATCGAAAATACTAATATCAGTTACTGAAGAAATAGCTCTACATCTAGTACATTGTCTCAATCCTTTCAAATCTTCACCTTCATCATAAATAAAAGTCTTTCTCAATGCATCAATATGCTCTGAATCAAGTGACCATCTTGGAATTATTTTTCCTGGTGTTTCATTGATTATTTGTCTTGGATCAACTCTTAATCTATTCCTCATTACTCCAATATCTAACCATTCAGTAGGATACAGAATCAATTCCGCAACTTTGATTTCTCTAGAACTGGTTAATGTGAATCTATCAAGTAAAATCTGAGCAACTTCAATAAATTCATCAGGTAGTTCACCTTGACATACTAATTTTTGTTCACATCGCAAGGCATGTTCTTTGTTTTTAAATTTGGCTGAAAGCTCTTTTGTACATAAAGCATCACATTCACGAAGAAAATTTTCAAATAAATTGACAGTTATTGGAGCTGTATTATATATGGAAAAATATCTATTGAGTGATTCCTTCATTGGTGTAAATAATTTATTTGAATCAGTCAAATCCTTATGTAATTTCTTCAAAATTTCATGAGTTCTTCCCATGGAAGTAATTGCATACACAAGGAATAATCGAGGTACTTTCCCCATAATTATTGGAATGGCAAGGGAATTCTTCAATGTTAATTTACTGTTACTCAAATTGCTATTCTTCATATAGGTTAGCTGTAATAGTTCCTGGTTTAGATATGCAAGTAAGTCAATCAACCATTTAAAACTACCCAATAAGGATATAATACATTCACCACGATTGATTGAATCCTGTAAAGAATCTTCGCTTGGTTTCTTTTTAGATATTTGTCGGTAGATATTGGATAAAGAAAACATAATTCCAAGACTTGTGCTACGTAAGTGAAGAATAATCATGTTTATATCTGATGCTTGGTGGTTCTGTTGAACTTCACCAAGAATAAAATGTAATGAAAGCAATTTATGTAATGATGCATTGTTGCTGGATAACAACTTTTCAATTCCGTCTTTACTATACCCATCAATTTGGAAATTGATAGCTTTGTGACATTCAGTTATAACAATACCGATGAATTTCCTAATTTCCAATTCTAGATCTTTGTTATCATTATCACCAATTAATTTTCTCAACCTTTCCGCTTCCAGTTGTATCAAAATAATCAAATCATCAGATCCAGTACTTGAATATAATGCAAGAGCGTGACAATATGCAAAACCCACTGCTGTCGTATACAATTCACCTTGCTCGTTACCCAAATTCCTGGTTCGTTCAAATGGCTTGAGTTTCAAGTTTGGGGAATCAGCAAAAACTTCTGTGTATACCACTGCTGCCAGATTAGGCGATACTGCCATAATCAATGGCTTTGTATGATCAAGCTTAGGCACTTCAAATCCGATATCGAAAATTGATGAAATTTGACTTGGTTTTGTATCCTCTGTGATTTTATTTTGAATTTTCAAAGTACGCGTATCTATAACTTCGATTGTACCATCCTTGTAAAGAATTGAAAATGTATAATCCAAAAATCCAGCTGTAACAGATTCAATTTCACCACTTCGAATCAATCTATCCCTCAATGTGATTGTTCTAGACTCTCGACCTTGCCATTGAACATTTTTTTGAAGACCTAAACCGGTGAATACATCTGACACGACGGCATGATCTAATGAGTATCTATAAATAACAGATGAATCATATGTTATCAATATACTCAACTTTGAGTTTGAATCTGGATTGGCTGATATGATATCTATTGACGATAATTCTGTGACATTGAACAGTTGCCCATATTGCTCTTCTCCTTCATGGTAAAATTCCTGTGGTTTCATTTGATGGATTTTCTTAACTGTCAATTTAGGAGGTTTCTGGGATTCCTTTGGAGTGTGATAATGAGCATCAACTTTTTGCCTTTTTGCAGATTCTGTCAAGAATCCCCAATTGATTTCAACTGAATATGTGCTGATATTATTAGTCACTGAATCCCAAGTGGTTATAATAACCTGCTTGTCATTAGTAAATCCAATACCTGCTTTATCAACAATTTGGAATTCTTCAGTTAAATTATGAGAAATCTTGTGATATTCCACTTTATGTTCCCCTTGATAATACAACATCAATTGTCCATTTTTACGCAATACCAATATTGCTTGTTTAGTTGCTATGGGGTGGCATACTCCATGTGGTTGATATTGATTTACTCCATATGCGTACATGAATGAATTGCCATCACTATTTGGATAATCTAAATTAACCCTAGTGGCTGGTTTGTTCCAAATTTGAGGTTTTTCAATATTTAACCATTTATAAGCTATAACTGAAGCTCCGGGGTTTACTGGTGAATTAATATCATTGTTAATGATATCTCTATAAATCATTTCCATATGATTAAAAGAAGTCAACTCAAAACTTGGTGACATTACATCTTTACTTTCTAATAATCTAACCCCAGCTAATAAAATATAGAAATTCCCATAAATATCACAGATGGCTAAATCGGTACTTAAAGTACTCCATGAAACCAAGGATAATTGTGGTAAGAAATTATTACTATTATCTATTTTAATATTAATTGGTAATGGTTTAGCTAATTGCCAGGTGACACCATTAACATTTTCAATATAAGTTAATAATAAATTCGTGTTTGATGTTGAAGTAGGTGGGATATATGCAATAGATCCATTCCTTGACCATGAAATAAGATCAGATGTTCTGGTGATATCTAATAAATGTTTATTAACAACTTCTTTCTCCATGGTGATAATGGTAGTCAAAAAGGAGAGGGGCAACTTGTTGTGATAATGATGTCGTTGTTTATTAGCTGAAAAAAAAAAGTTTCAACAAAACCAAAGCGGAAGAAAAAAAAAAAAAATTAGTATAAGCGCACTCTTTCAAACGAGATATATTACTATATAGACGGTTTCTGTAAGATTAGAGATACTTATTTTATTATTGGATCCTATACAAACTAGACAATTAAGAGAAGGGAAATGGAGTCCTATTTATAGGCAATCCATTCCAGCATTACATGAGGATAATACGATTGCATGTATATGACAACACACACACTTGAAGAGGAGACTACACATTTAAAGAGGGGACTCCCTTGTGTAGATGGATGACTAACACCTGTGGATCCAGTGGACCCTAGGTAGCTAGATATTACCTCACAGTTTCCTTATAAAACGAATAGTTTTGTTTTCTTTTATTCTACTTTGAAAGGTTCATAATCTACTATACATTTAAACTACGACTAAATCTTGATTATTACAATTCACCTGGGACAGGGTATTTGCTGACCCAAGAGACAACTTCTTGATCCAATTCTTTAACTTTATCACTTTCATCAGCCAATTTCTTGAAAGAAGCTAACAATTCCTTTGGAACTTTACCTTGTTCTTGAGCTTTCAATTCAATGGCAATGTTGACAGCTTTGTCAATGAATTCAGCAACTTTGTCAAATTCTTCTGGTCCAAAACCTCTAGTGGTCATGGCTGGAGTACCAACTCTCAAACCAGATGGGAATAAAGCAGAAACATCACCTGGAACGGTGTTCTTGTTGGCAGCAATGTTGGCTCTTTCCAAAACAGCTTCAACTCTAGCACCATCAATGTTTCTAGATCTCAAGTCAACCAAAATTAAATGGGTATCAGTACCATCAGAGACCAATTTGAATCCTTTGGAAACTAAAGCATCAGCAAAATGTTTAGCGTTGGAGATAACATCTTGTTGGTATTGTTTGTATTCTGGAGCACTACATTGTTTCAAAGCAACAGCTAATGCAGAAATAGTGTGGTTGTGTGGACCACCTTGGTGACCTGGGAAAACAGAAAAGTTGATTTTTCTTTCCAATTCATATGGAATTTCTTTACCCTTTTTGGTAACCTTTCTGATACCTTTTCTGAAGAAAATCATGGCACCTCTTGGACCTCTTAAGGATTTATGGGTGGTGGTAGTGACAATGTCAGAGTATGGGAATGGAGAATCAGTGACGCCAGCAGAAACCAAACCGGAAATATGGGCCATATCAGACATCAAGTAAGCACCAACTTTATCGGCAATTTGTTTCATTCTCTTGTAGTCAATAACTCTTGAGTAAGCAGAGGCACCAGCAACAATAACTTTTGGTCTGAATAATTGGGCATTCTTTTCCAAAGTATCATAATCAATAATACCAGTTTCTTCATTTAATCTATAAGGCATAGTTTGAAAATATTTGGAAATGTAAGAAATTTTAGTGGTGTTGGTTTGGTAACCGTGAGATAAATGACCACCGTGTGGTAAATCCAACCCCATGATTCTGTCACCAACTTCCAAAATAGCACTATAGGCATACAAGTTTGCTGGAGCACCGGATAATGGTTGAACATTGACACCCCATTCGTTTGGATCCAAATTGAATGCTTCCAAAGCTCTCTTTTGACACAATGCTTCAGCCTTGTCAATAATTTCATTACCACCGTAATAACGTTCACCAGGGTAACCTTCAGAATATTTGTTTTGCATTTCAGAACCCAATAAATCCATAACGGCTTTGGATGTAAAATTTTCAGAAGGAATCAAAGTAATTGAGTTCTTTTGTCTAGTTCTTTCTTGATTTAAAATGTCAGCCATTTCAGGGTCAACTTCTTCGACTGATTTAGAAATCAATGCTTGAGCTGTTGGTGAAACAGCATAAGTTCTAACAAAAACAGGTAATCTCTTAGATTGAGATCTAACTGAACGTAAAGTCGAGGAAAGCATTTCAGGGTTTGTTGCTGGTTGGATTTACCTTGTCTTTCTTGATAGGAATAGAAGAAGAACAAAAAAAAATTTTTTTTTCAAGTTCTTATTAGAGAAACACAACTCACAAAAAAAAAAAAAAAGATTTATGAATCATCCTTGGTTGCATCTCGCACTATTGTTCATACACGTGATACAGGATTTGTATTCCCGTCCCCGCCCCTGGCTAAGAAAAAGAAGTCAAAAAATGGTTTATGTTCTCTTCTCCCGACCTTCAAGAAGTCAGAGTTTGTTGCTTATCTGCTCTATAAACTTTTGTATATCTCCACAATTGACTCTAAGTTGTGGGTTAGGTTCAAGAATTTGACTCGTTATTTGAACTAATGATGGTGGGTATTCATTATCAAATATTGCCGTGCGATTTGAGGAGGAGGAGTATTGTTGATACTCCGGGTTATTCCATGTGGCCAGACTCCATGGTAACTTCCTTACTAGGAGATAATATAATATAATCCCCAATGACCAAACATCGGCAAGTTTTCCGTCATATTTTATTGACGTGTACATTTCGGGCGAGGCATATTTCTCGGATCCAACCAATCCAACGGACTCTGAGTTATCATTAGTGAGTTTCTGAGCCGTTGCAAAATCTATAATCTTGATTTGACTATGACTTGAGTTGAACACGATATTTTCTAGTTTGAGATCTCGATGACAGACATTTTCATGGTGAAGATAACTTACTCCCAGTACTATTTGTTTCCAAATATCAAGCATTTCATTGATATCAACTGGTGGTTTTAAAAGCTGGAATAGGTTCAGTGATCCTGCCTCTAGAAACACTTTGATGATTGAGCCAGATAGGGAAACATCATAATCATATGCCCGTATTATATTTGGATGACTTATTTGGGATATAATATTATATTCATGAAGGATTCTAACTTTATAATCTTTCTTGTTTTCATAAGATTCTCTACTATGATATATTTTCACTGCATATTTGAATTCTGGATTTGATTTTGATTGATACAACTCCACTGATCCTGATACTCCTTTTCCTAGTATAGATACTTTGGTGTCATTCTTGGAAAATTTGACTTTGTCATCACGTTTGAATATATTCTTAAGAACCATCGGCTTCTCAGTTCAACGATCCGTCGGAGATATTTTTTCCTTTTTTTTTTTTTTTCAGATTAAATTCACGCAAAATTTATAAGAGTTTATTACACTATAAAACTACATCCATTTCTATTCCAAATCCTTGAATTCGTCGTGGAAGAAAACACGATGTGGGTTTTCTTTACCAATTTCAGCAATTTTATCAAACTCTTCCTGGGTCAATTCAAAATCAAATACATCCAATGCTTCTTTAATTCTATCTTCTTTTGCAGAAGTAGTAATTGGCAAAATACCTCTTTGCAATGTCCATCTAAGTAAGATTTGTCCACCGGTTTTGTTATATTTCTTAGATAACTCATCCAAATATCCAGTTAATGCATTCTTTTCGACTCTGGAAACAGGAGTCAATGGGGAGAATGCCTCTACCAAAATACCATTCGCTTGGGAATATTCAGTGATCCCCTTAGATTGATCTTGAAGGAATGGGTGGCTTTCAATTTGATTGACAACTGGATAGAATTCTGGTTCCAGGATCTTTTTCAATCTTTCAATATGTTCTTGGGCGAAATTAGAAACACCAATTTCTCTAATCTTACCTTGTTTCTTATAATCAATCAAGACATTCCAAACATCTTCTAAAGTATATCCATGGGTACTCTCTTCAGTGAAAAATGGTTGATGAATTAAATACAAGTCAATGTAGTCAGTATCCAATTGTTTCAATGCCTTATCAATTGAAGCGCTTGGACTGGCACTGGATGCTGATATAGTTCTCCACCCTGGATTATATTTAGTAGTTATCCAAAGTTCCTCTCTTGGAATACCCAGTTGTTTAACTGCTTCACCAACTTCGGCCTGAGTGTTGTAAACCTCAGCAGTATCGATATGTCTAAATCCTAATTTAAGTGCTAATAAGATTTGATCAACTAATTCTTGATTGATATCGTCGTCTTTTGCATCTTTTTTCCATTTGGTCCCGGTACCGGTGGCAATTGATACGTCAGAACCTGATTTAGTCTTGAATTGTTTGGTTAATTTAACTGGATGGGAAGCTGTTGTCATTTTTTTTTATCAATAGGTGTATATTTTTGAATTTATTAAAAAGAGAAATAGGGGTAGAAAATAAAGTAAGGTTATTGGTGGGCGCATGTGGAGTGGTGGGCGGAATTGTCTCGCTTTTATACCAAATTTCAAATTATTATCTCAAGAGCTGTGCGCTGACTAATGTGTCGAGCACATTAATTAACTACTCACCACATTGAGAGCATCCACAGAAACCGAGTTTTAAGTTTTATGACAAAAACCATAGATAAGAGAAGGGAAACTAGTATCTAATTTAACTATTGCGATGTTCCTTACATACAATCTTATAACAGTTGTTTGGTGCCACAATGGGCATAAAGTTTCATCAACGTGCGTCAATTTTATTACCCACAGTTCAATGTTGTCCCAGATAAGTTTAATTCTACCCGTCAGGGTGTTTACTCAGTGGTTTCACATGCCCTTCTTATATACGTTAAAAACATCATAATCACATCTCTACTCGACTTTTTCTGGTTTCTCTTCCAATTGATATGAATCAAGCAAGGTTAACCTTTCGTTCAAAGTCGGTTCCGAATTATATAACGTGGAGTATAACCAATCAATATCGCTCTTAGTTAAGTCGTTTTCCTTCTTTGAAGATTTCAACAACAATGTACCTAAATCTTTCGAGTATCCACAGTCACTTGTATATTTATCTGCTTTAGTTATACGCATCCTAGTAATCAATTTTCTTATAAATCCCAGGAAACATTCAATAGGTAATATTATATCAACCAATAGGAGAAGTCCCACTGCACTTGGCTGTTCAGTAACAAATCCAAAGCTACTATAGAGTGATCTGTTATGAATCAAAGCTGCATATACCCAAATTAACAACAAGAAGTAAGTTCGCAACAATAGGAATGTTGCAATTGAATGGCCATGTTTCGAATATTCCATTTCATAAGCAAAAACAGCAAGTATTTCCCTGGTTGTGTAAGTACTAATCAAAGTATCATATAGGACAAACTGTTTCCTCCATGGAAAGCCAATGAAGTAAGCAGTAGAATATTGTGAAAGAAATTCTGGACCCTTTCGAGAACCGTCGACAGTATAAACATGCAATCTAGATAATGGAAATTGCTCCTGAGATGCCAAATTTTCAATTGCCATTTTCAACTCCCCATCTTCCAAAGTTTTGAAGGATTTCACAAATGACATAAACAATATGGGGAAAACGGTTTCACCAAGCAAGCTAACCACGGCATTGAAGCACATTACACCTAAAAGGGATTCAACAATTTGATGCTCCAAAACCACCAAATACACAACAATGGCAATTGAACCACCCACAAGTGGTATTGGAAATCGCATTATTTTTTTACCCATAAACTGTCCAATTGTTTGCTCATTAAATCCATAACCTTCTTGTAAAGCAAATTGTTCATAGTACTTGAAAGGGAGTCCAAAAATAAAAGTAACAATTAGTATAATATTCATAAAAATTACTGACTGGGGGATGATATTTCCCATTGCTTTCTCTGGTAAAAAAGATACTAAACAAGTCATTATGTATTCACTTAGTATCCATACTTTGTATAACAAGTCAAACTTGATAATAATCAAACCACGAAACAAGTATACAGATTTTTTAACGAAATCAAATCTGAGTTTAACAATATTATATTCATAGTCTTGAGATTTTTGTTTCTGAATTTGATGATTGGATGCTATTGATGATTTGAGTACTTTATACTGTCGATGGTCTAAATAACTCTCGAATATATATTGAAGAACGATTAGTGCACTCGTGACGGATTTCCAATTAATGTTTAATTCTTCGGGTATGGACAACATATCTTTCAATGGAAGCATTGCGTAGTAGATACAAATGAACTAGGGAATGAGCATGATGAAAATATTGAAAAAGGTGGGAATGAAGCTTAATATATAACACAAGAGGTTGGGTTAGTTTCAACTTGAATAAAAGTTTATAATTTTTTACCACGGGTTATATTTAGTTCTGTGCAATCGTTGAAGTTTTACTTGGCACTAGTGCTAGCATAATTTTCAGATCAACGAGTCAAAATTATTTGCACTATTTGCAAAGAAAAGTTCATATAAAGGCGGCCAATAGTTTTGATACTAGTGTGCAAAAAATGTTCATATTACGTGACCTCTCTTTGTTCAGACTAAAAATGTATGATATATCATATGAACAATTAATCTCCCTTACTATGAATTAAATTGTTGCATTGTTATTAATAATTTTTTTGAAAGTAGAAACGCTGTAAGCAGAAAAAAAAAAGAATCATTTACGACACTCTTGATCATTTCTTTTTGACATATATTCTATAATCCATTTGAATATAATGGGAATCAATCAAGGAAATCAGTTTGACACAATTCTGAATAAGGAAAGACAGATAACAGTGGATTATATTCATCAATTTGATGGCGGTAACTTATAAATCTATATTCAGAAGAAATATATATATATTCAAATATTCCACCCTTGAAACCATATTTTTGAATGTCACTTTTTGTTGCACATCTATATGTTCCAGTGATTGCGCCCTATATTGGTGTATCACAATGTTCCATCCATTAAACCATTGATTTTTATGTTCCTGATTTGGTGCGCATTTGTATGTACAAATTTTCCCTCCAAATATCCGTATATAGAAATGTTCCGTTCCATAGATCCATAGATTTGTATCTTCCAAATTTGTGGAACATTTGAATGTTCCAGAAAAAAGTAGCATTTATATCTCTGTTTTCTATGTCCGTCACAGTGCGACATACAAATGTTCCACGATTTGCAACATTTGTCACTATTAGTACGATTTTTGCAATTCTGAAAAGCGCATATGATTGACAGTAATAAATTATCCTATATAAATTAATTCTGAATCAATTAGATAAGTATTGGTGTAGTTAGATGTCAATCTTACTCTTGCAATTTGAAAGTATCTTTTTTTTATCGGGAATAATAATTTTTCTAAATAGGTCAGCAATCACTGTATTAATACAGCTCAAATTGTATTCATTGGAATATTCATATAAATATTATCACTAATATGCTATCTTTATATTCTATTTCCAGGTTTTAGACTATCTGGTGTTTCCAAAGGGGTTGATCAGGAACCCAAGTGGTTTATTTCCGTAGTTTTCAAAATGGTTCACGCACGAAAAAATCTCCAAAAATGACTTAAATCTCTTTTCCCATACAAAATATAGCAATTCGTTTGTTTTCAGTTGTATTTGTTGGAAACGTGATTCATTGTGGGTTTTATGCATTTAAATCGGTGATATAATAAAATAATAACATAATAGATCGTCCTGGTAAGTACTAATAGTGGTATTAATGGAACAGAACCAGATTTATAGATTATATATTTCATTCTTTCTGAGATTTGAACTTTTTTTTCTTTTTCTTCAGATTCTTTTGTACGAACCATGGACCTAAATTCAAGAATTTGCAGAGATTTTGCGTCGAGAGTAGGCATTTGAAAATATTTTCAGCATAACTAATAGCCAATTTTATTCTGCAAATATTCGTAATGCTAATTTAATTCATACCATCGACTACTAAGAGTTTATTCAAAAGGTAATTTTTTTCTTTCAGACTTACTTACAGTCTACCTCTTTGGAGAATGAAGTTTAGCCTGTATTTTTATATCGATACAGTAGATCTTGTATAGTTTCAATAATTGCCGCTGATGTATATTTGTCGATATTTCATATGTAATGATGGCCTATAAGAACATTCATAGTATTCCAATATATTGTTTATCAATATTGTCGTGGTCTCCACTTTTTTCAAATAACAAAAATATGATGAAAGCTGTTACCAGTCACTTGATGTTGTTGCAAGATTTTGGAAAAAAGGTGAATTAATAAAGTTGCGAAAAACTTTTAGAAATAACCAAAAGTGAGAAATCTCAGTATTCTTTTTATATTGCTGAAAACCTCATTAGGTTTTTGAAAAGTGGCAACGTCATAAGGTTGCCCAAAGGTTGCCAAAACGTGGAAAAAAAGAAACCTCAGTAATTTTATGGCAATTTCCAAAAATGCGACGACAAAAAATTAATTTGCTTATTTTTAAAACTAAAGATATTTCACGAAGTTGCATATGTTTCGCTAGATCTATCAATTCTAGCTCGATTCTCGTCATTTTGGCAATATGATATTATCTGTATCAGTGTTTAATACTGTCACACTAACTTTTGAGCCACAACAATGAAAACTGGTGGAATTATCTATCAAACCTTACTTTTGAAAAATCAAAGTATCTTTTTTTTATCGGGAATTACAACTTCTCTAAATAGGTCAATAAATATAAGTTTTACCTAGCTGAAACTGTATTTATTAGAATATTAATATAAATAGTAATCTTTTCATCCTATTCTTATTTTATATTTCTAATTTTTAGGGTATCTGGTGTTTCCTAAGGGGTGCATCAGCAACTCGATTGGTTTATTCCCGTAGTTTTAATATTGGCCCAGACACGAAAAAATCTTAAAAATTGACGTGAATCTCTTTTCCCCATACAAAATCTAGTGGGTTTCTAATATAGTGAGAATAGATCTTTGATATACAGAAAAAAAAAGAAGCATTTTAGACACCAGTGATATAACCTTTTTCCAATATATATTTTCTAATCCATCTGAGTTTAATAGAAATCAATCAAAATAATCTGTGTCAAGGTAATGGAAATCAATCAAAATAACCAATTTGTCAAGATTCTGAAGAAAGTAAGACAGATGAAGGATGATTATATTCATGTATTTGATGGCGTTATCTCATTTATTCAAATATTCCGTTAATTTAATCATAGGTTTTAAGTTCCTGATTTGGTGCGTATTCGTATATTCCAATAGATGTGTCATGTATATCTGTATATTCAAATTTTCAGTGCATTAATTCACGGATTTTCAATGTCCTAATTAGTGCGTATTTCTATATTCCAATGGTTGTTCTCTGTATTATAAATGTCCAAATGTTCTCTCCAATGCAGCATAGATTTGTATGTTCCAAATTTGTGGAATATTTGGATATTCCAGAAAAAAGTAGCATTTTGACCTCTGTTTTCTATGGTCGTCACAGTGCGACATGCAAATGTTCCACGATTTGTAACATTTGTCACATCTAGTGGGATTTTTGCAATTTTAAAAACGGCATATTATTTGCAGTGATAAACTATCCTATATAAGTTTATTCTGGATCATTTGGCTAAATATTGGAGGAGTTATCTATCAATCTTACTCTTGCAATTTGAAAGTATCTTTTTTTTATCGGGAATAATAATTTTTCTAAATAGGTCAGCAATCACTGTATTAATACAGCTCAAATTGTATTCATTGGAATATTCATATAAATATTATTAGTAAAATACTATCTTTATATTCAATTTCCAGGTTTTAAACTATCTAGTGTTTCCAAAGGGGTTCATCAGGATCTCAAGTGGTTTATTCCCGTGAAATTCAAATCGGTTCACACACGAAAAAATACCAAATTTTGACGTGAATCTTTATTTCCCATACAAAATTTAACTGATTATGTGTTTTCAGTTGTATTGGTTGGAAACATGATCCATTGTGGGTTTTATGCACTTAACTCAAATGTATAATAAACAGATAACATAATATATGGCTCTGGCAAGTACTAATTGTGGTATCAATGGAACAGAAGCCAAATTATAGATTATATATTTCATTCTTTCTGATATTTGAATTCTTTTTTTTTTTCTTCAGATTCTTTCGTGGGAACTCTGGGCCTAGAATTGAGAATCCGCAGGATTTGTACGTCGAGAATAGGTATTTCAAAAGATTTTCAGCATAACTAATACCCAATTTTACTCTGCAAATATTTGTAATGCTAATTTAATTCATACCATTGACTACTGATTGTTTATTCAAATGATAAATTTCTTCTTTAAATTTACTTACAGTGCACCTCTTTGGAGAATGAAGTATAGACTGGATTTTTATACCGATACAGTATTGTTTCATTAATTGCCGCTGATGTATATTTGTCGATATTTCATATATAATGATAGTCTGTCTGAATATTCATAGTATTGCGATGTATTGTTTATCAATATTGTCGTGTTTGCCACTTTTTCGTATTTTCAAATATCACAAATATGATGAAAGCTAGTACCAGTCAATTGATCTTGTTGCAAATTTTTGGAAAAATAGGTGTATTCATAAAGTTGCAAAAGACTTTTGAAAATAACCTAAAGTGAGAACCCCCGATGGTCTTTTTAGTTTGTTGAAAACCTCATTATGTTGCTGAAAAATGGCAACATTATAAGGTTGCCCAAAAGTTGCCAAAAGGTGGAAAAAAAGAAACCTCAGTAATTTTAAGAGAATTTCCAAAAATGCGACGACAAAAAATTAATTTGCTTATTTTGCAAACTAAAGTAATTTCGTGAAGTTGTCCATGTATTGCTAGATCTATTGATTCTAGCTTGATTTTCATCGCTTGAACAATATGATTTTATTTATATCAGTGTTTAATACTGTCACACTAACTTCTGAGCCAATACAATGAAAACTGGTGGAGTTATCTATCAAACCTTACTTTTCAAAAATCAAAGTATCTTTTTTTTATCGGGAATTATGGTTTTCCTAAATAACTCAATAATTATGATATCCAGACCGCTCAAATTGTATTCATTAGAATATTCATATACATGTTGACAGATATATACTATTATTATATTCATTTTCTAACTTTTTGTTCATCTGGTATTTCCAAAGGGGTTGATCAGGATCTCAAGTGGTTTATTCCCGTGAAATTCAAATCGGTTCACACACGAAAAAATACCAAAAAAAGACGTGAATCTCTTTTCCCCATACAAAATTCAACTGATGGCATATTTTCAGTTGCACTAGTATGATATCATCAATTTGCTGTCACTTGAATTTATTGTAGATGTCATCAAAGGTGAAAATATCCTTCTATTATTGTTTAAATATCCTTAAAACTATTAATTGTGTTAAATTAGTAGATATGTATCAGTATAGCATTTTCATGATTTATTTTTCAATTTTTTGAATTTTGCAATTTTTTCGCGGTAATTATCGACTAAAATTATTAAATTATCGACCTGTTTACGTCGAGAGATAAATTTCCAAGGAACATCCCTGGAGATTTTCACCTTTGAGACCCCATTTCTTCAAATCACTAGATAAGAAGAGGAAAACTGTTTCAATTGGTGTTATAACTACATAAAACTATTACTAATGATGTACAGGATTAATCACATATAGAATCTAATAGAGCTTGTAATTATTATGTCTGTATCACTATTAATTCTATTTAAACCATACATTCTGTTATACTATGGCATATTTTTTGAGCAGACACTAAAAAAACTTGATACAATTATCTGATAACTGAAAAGCACAGCTATTTTTTCAAATATGAACAAATCACACTACCAAATATTCATCTTGTATGCGTTTCTGCTTTTTGATCCTACCAAGTTCAAATAAATTATTAATAACAATGCAACAATTTATTTCATAGTAAGGGAGATTAATTGTTCATATGATATATCATACATTTTTAGTATGAATAAATAGGGGTCACATAATATGAACATTTTTTGCACACTAGTATCAAAAATATTGGCCGCCTTTATATGAACTTTTCTTTGCAAATAGTGCGAATAATTTTGACACATTGAACTGAAAATTATGCTCACACTAGTGCGAAATAAAACTGGAAGGACTATACCACCATTAGCTTGTATTATTTCAGGCAGTGCAACATCGGACTGTTTCTTGGTGCAAGTTCATGCAAAGTGACAAGACCTGGGGAATGCAATAATCTTATATCTTAGATAGCTATCTGATTCTCGTATCTTTATCACTCTCATATCAATACCCAACAATGTACCAGTAACCATAGTTTCATTCTCCAATACAACCTAGTGGTGATAACCCCTATAAGTATTATTCCACATCCGGCGTTTATCGGATTTTACAGCCTGTGGCAATAGTACACGACTTGTGCCATACGAAAAAGTGTGCATCTACCAGCTGTTTTTGCTGGTATTCTACATTTTTTTTTAGTCTTATCATTTATGTCATCGTGCACTACCAGCAAAAGTCACATTCTCCAAAACTTAATTGCCATTCCCTCCATCCTTAATCCGATAAAAAAAAAAAGTTGTTGAGCAATAATTTAAATATCTATTCAATTGCCATTCTTTCTTTCTTTCTTGTTATTTTCTTACTGAAACTACACAAGTTAACTTCATATTTATTTTAAAATTATAAACCATGAAGTTTTCACAAACCGCTTTAGTTACTGCTTTGGCAGTTTCTTCCACCAACGCTTTAATCGTTCAAAATCCATTCAATAATATCCAACAAGCATTACAATTGGATTTATCTTATGATAAGTTAACCACTAAATTGAGTAGTGCCTTCGAGTCTGGTAAAGATAACGTTATTTCTACCATTGCTAAAGTCTTGAATGAACCAATTGAAGGTTTAACTCCAGAAATTAAGAATGTTTGGTCAGAAATGATGTTGAAATTCCCAAGCTCAATTTCTGAATTGAATTTTAAAGCTCCAGGTAAGAAGAGCGGAATTACTAAACAAAAATTTGACTTCCACGTTACTGATGCTAGTTTACCAAACCATCAATTGAGAATTAAAGCCACCCCTGAAGATTTAGGTATTGATTCTGTTAAACAATATTCTGGTTATTTGGATGTTGAAGATGAAGATAAACATTTCTTCTACTACTTTTTCGAAAGTAGAAATGACCCAAAGAATGACCCTGTTATTTTATGGTTGAATGGTGGTCCAGGTTGTTCTTCCTTGACTGGTTTATTTTTCGAATTGGGTCCATCCGGAATTGACCAAAAATTGAAACCAGTTTATAACCCACACTCTTGGAATGCCAATGCTTCAGTTATTTTCTTGGACCAACCAATCAATGTTGGTTACTCTTATTCTTCCCAATCTGTTTCTAATACCGTTGCTGCCGGTAAAGATGTTTACGCTTTCTTGCAATTGTTTTTCAAGAATTTCCCAGAATATGCTAATTTGGATTTCCACATTGCTGGTGAATCTTATGCTGGTCATTATATCCCAGCTTTTGCTAGTGAAATCTTGACTCACAAAGAAAGAAACTTTAACTTGACTTCTGTCATGATTGGTAATGGTTTAACTGATCCATTAGTCCAATACGAATACTACGAACCAATGGCTTGTGGTGAAGGTGGCGAACCAAGTGTTTTGGAACCAGAAGAATGTCAAAACATGTTGGATGGATTGCCAAGATGTCTTTCTTTGATTAAATCATGTTATGAAAGTGGTTCTGTTTGGTCTTGTGTTCCAGCTACTATTTACTGTAACAATGGACAAATGGGTCCATACCAAAGAACTGGTAGAAATGTTTACGATATTAGAACTATGTGTGAAGGTTCTAGTTTGTGTTACAAAGCCTTGGAATACATTGATGATTATTTGAACTTGCCAGAAGTCAAAAAAGCTTTGGGTGCTGAAGTTGATGAATATCAATCTTGTAACTTTGATATCAACAGAAACTTTATGTTTGCTGGTGATTGGATGAAACCATACCAAAAGAATGTTATTGACTTATTAGAACAAGAATTGCCAGTTTTGATTTACGCCGGTGATAAAGATTTCATTTGTAACTGGTTGGGTAACCAAGCCTGGACTGATAGATTAGAATGGAGTGGATCTAAAGGTTTCAGTAAAGCCCCAGTTAGATCATGGAAGGTTAATGGTAAAGAAGCTGGTGAAGTTAAGAACTATAAACATTTCACCTTTTTGAGAGTATTTGGTGGTGGTCATATGGTTCCTTATGATCAACCAGAAAACTCTTTAGACATGGTCAACAGATGGGTCAGTGGTGATTATAAATACTAAAGGCGGGTATAGTTTATTGGTGTATTAAAAATATTTTATTTTCCACTCAGGAGTCTATTACCCTTAAAACACGTTATTTCAAATAAATAAATAAATAAATAAATAAATAAATAAATAAATAAATAAATAAAGAGATAAAATAAAAACAATATTTGATAGTTATATATAATATTATAAATAACATGGATTATATTTGAATGAAAAACACGTTCGAGGTAATATTAATGTGACATTGAAATCGTGACCTGCACGTGATGTGTTGTAGATAAAAAGATTTTTTTTTTTCTTTTTTCTGTTCCCCTTCTTTTTCCACTTTGGTTGCCAAATCAACACAATGTGAGAAATTTCCCAATTGAGAAGAATCAATAACAACACACTTGAAATGTAAATAAACAAATAAACAAAAGACAACCAAAATAAAATTTCCAATTTTCTTTGGCAACAGATGGTTTCAGATCAACATCTCAAAATTTTTTTTTTTTATGTTTTGCATAACCAGTCTTCTTGAATTGCTGTTGCCAGATTGGTGTTATTCTTAGATAGACAAGTTACTAGATTCATCAGCTATTGATCACATTCATGGATTGAAGAAATCTACAATCATTGCATTTATTCATTAATTCATTCAATATACTATTCATTTATCAAATATCGTATACAATGATTCGGATTAGAGATCTACATATATTTACAACGCTCATATCAATATCATTAAGTATAGCCTTGGGCATTCTTCTACTTCTATGTAATTATAGAAATAATGTTTACAACTATTTGATATCCATTGGTTCTTTTGTACTAGCAGGATATCATTTGATTGAATTGTTATTACTTGATAAGAATTGGATAAGTTTAGGAATTCAACTATTGATTAGTTTGTTCAATATAATATCTGGTATATTATATATCTTATTGCATTCAAGTGATAATTATAGAAAGAAAGAATTGCATATTGCAGGAGTTGTATTATTTATTGTTAATATTGCATTTATGACTATTTGTTTTATGTTGATTTGTGTTCCAAAATTACTTGTTTCTGTAAATATTGAAGATGGAGAATTGGAAATGGGTAAAGAGACCAATGGAGTATTTGATTTATTAGCTAAAAAAGCATCAGATGCTACATTATGTAATGATCAAAAGAAAACCAGTAATGAGAAAATTGAATATTCAATTGAAAATAATTGGATAAATAATCAAGATCATGGTCATATTATTCCTCCATCTTTATCAATAAATAGTAATTTAAATCAATTAAACCAACAACAACAACAGCAACAAAGACAATCACATTTACTTCATTCAAGTTCGACAAATTCAGATTTGGATAAATCAAGAAATATTTCAATAATGAACATTGATGATGAATTAATTACTCACCAACAACATAATATCAAGACTAATAATAGTAATAATCATATTAATAATAATAATAGAAATAATAGTAACGACATTAATGATCATAATAATTGCAGTAATAAACACCAAATTAGAAAACAAAGATGGAAGTCAATTCACGACGAAAAGGCAGTATTGGCAAATATCAATGAGAATTTATTACCTGGAGTTTTAAAACAACAAACATCTCAAAAATTTCAACGACCTGTTTCAAATATATACCAAGAAGAACATCACGAAGAAAAAGAAGAAGAAGATTATAGGAATGCTTTAGTTGGTTTAGAAGATATTCCAAATTCTACTCATCACATTAATCAATTTGATATAAATGATTTTAATAAACTAAGAAAAATATCAGGATATAACATATTACCAGGAACTTCAAATATGATTAATGATGAGAATCTTTATAGAGAACAACATGAAGTAGAACAATATCAAAGTAAGGATGATTTAGAGTTATTACCATTTAAGGAAACACCTGTGGAAAATATAGATAATTTAAGTGATGTGATTAAAAGACCAAGTTTACTGACTAGAAGTTTAAGCGCTCCTTCAGTTTATGATATCCAAAGTGGTGATGCACCTTCATTGTATACATTTAGAAAGATAAGCAATAATTCACCACCACCTAAGGAGGAAGAAGAATTACCAGTTACTCCTGTATCTTCATCACAATTACAACAACCAACTACTCCACCAACAAGAAAGAAAAGTTTTATTAAATCACAATCTGCTAAAACTTCACCAATTAAGAAATTTTTCCAAGAAAGTCCAAAAAGAATATTCAAATCAAGATCTTCTTATAATAATAGATCTTCATCTATAATACCAGGTGAACTTACTCATAAACATTCAAATTCTGTAATTTCAAATAATAATTATTCAATATCTTTGAAATCTTCATTTAGTTCATCTTCAAGATCATCACCTAAGAAATCATTAATGACTAAATCTTCAACAATGTCAAAATTACATAAATATAGTATAAGTGTTCCAAATTTTAATATGAACAACGCTACTGTACTTAACCATTATTATAATCATCATCATCATCACAATCCCACAAGTTCAATAAATTCAGATAGATTTATTTTCCATTCGGCAGGACCTCTGAGAGTTGAACCAATTGATTTATGGGATATTCAAACAACTAATTTTGATATTGATAGTACTCATCGTCCAGACTATGATGATTATGAATTTGGTAGAACCGCTATATCAGATGATACTGCCACTAATTGTAGTACTAATGGTGATAAAGTTAAACCTACCACTAGAGGAGGAGAGGAACAAGAAGAAGCCGGTGGTGGTGGTGGTTCAAGAATAAGTAGTTTACCAAGTCAAGTGTTTGGTGAATATGATAAAGAAAAATGGATGACTTTGAAAGTTTTACAACAACAAGAACAACAACAGGATATGATTCACCTGAATGAAAACTCTCAAGTAGAAGTTATATAGATGGATAGATTTTAATTTGAAATAATAGGTGGTTATTAAATATTTGTCTATTGTAGTTCCATTATGTCTCTCTCAACCAGTTTCATGATCGACCGATGAGATGCCAACCACAAGAAAAAAAAAATCCGTGAAAAAAAAAAAAAAAACTATCAACTGTATGAATTATCAACAATCAACAATCAAATAACCATGGATGATTTGTTTGATGTTTTTGATGAAGCTCCTCAAACAGCTCCACCAAAAATAGAAGAAATTAAAGAGGATATTCCAGCCAGTACAACAACGAGTAACAAAAAAAGATCTCGTGAATCTGATGAACAATCAAAAAAAGAATCTAAAACTAATGATATTAAGAAAACTAAAAAACATGAAGATATCAAACCAGTTGTATTTGATTCAGTTGAAATTGAAACATCAAGAGAAGTTAAAGCAAGTGAAGGATTATTATCTAAACCAAGTACATCAGATGCAGATAATAAATTAAAACTTAGACATCAAGTTAGACATCAAGTTGCTATCCCACCTTCATATCCATATATTCCAATTGGTGAACACAAAAGAAAAGAAGATGCTAGAACATATCCTTTTGTATTGGATCCTTTTCAAGATACTGCTATTTCATGTATTGATAGAAATGAAAGTGTTTTAGTTTCTGCTCATACATCAGCTGGTAAAACTGTTGTTGCAGAATATGCCATTGCTCAATCATTAAGAGATAAACAAAGAGTTATTTATACATCTCCTATTAAAGCTTTAAGTAATCAAAAATATCGTGAATTACAAGCTATTTTTGGTGATGTTGGTTTAATGACTGGTGATGTTACTATTAATCCTGATGCTGGTTGTTTAGTTATGACTACTGAAATTTTAAGATCTATGTTATATAGAGGTTCAGAAGTTATGAGAGAAGTTGCTTGGGTTATATTCGATGAAGTTCATTATATGAGAGATAAATCAAGAGGGGTTGTTTGGGAAGAAACTATTATTTTATTACCTGATAAAGTTCATTATGTTTTCTTATCTGCTACTATTCCAAATGCAATGGAATTTGCTGAATGGATAGTTAAAATTCATAATCAACCATGTCATGTTGTTTATACTGATTTTAGACCAACTCCTTTACAACATTATTTATTCCCTGCTGGTGGTGATGGTATTCATTTAGTTGTTGATGAAAAGGGTACTTTTAGAGAAGAAAATTTCCAAAAAGCCATGGCAACTATTGGTGATAATACTGGTGATGATCCAGCCTCTGCTGATAAATCAAGAAATGGTAAAAAGGGTAAAACATTTAAAGGTGGAAATAAAGATGGTAAAAGTGATATTTATAAAATTGTTAAAATGATCTACATGAAAAAATATAATCCTGTTATTGTTTTTTCATTTTCTAAACGTGAATGTGAATCATTAGCTTTAAAAATGTCAAAATTGGATTTTAATACTGATGAAGAAAGAGAAGCTTTAGTTAAAATTTTTAATAATGCTATTGAATTATTACCTGAAAATGATCGTGAATTACCACAAATTAAAAACATTTTACCATTATTGAAAAGAGGTATTGGTATTCATCATTCTGGATTATTACCAATTTTAAAAGAAATTATTGAAATTTTATTTCAAGAAGGTTTTTTAAAAGTATTATTTGCTACTGAAACTTTTTCTATTGGATTAAATATGCCTGCTAAAACTGTTGTTTTCACATCTGTTCGTAAATGGGATGGTGTTGGATTTAGATGGGTTTCTGGGGGTGAATATATTCAAATGTCAGGTAGAGCCGGTAGAAGAGGTTTAGATGATCGTGGGATTGTTATTATGATGATTGATGAAAAAATGGAACCTCAAGTAGCTAAAGGAATGGTTAAAGGTCAAGCTGATAGATTAGATTCTGCTTTCCATTTGGGTTATAATATGATTGTTAATTTAATGAGAGTTGAAGGTATTTCACCTGAATTTATGTTGGAAAATTCATTTTTCCAATTTCAAAAAGCTGCCAGTGTTCCAGTTATGGAAGATAAAATGTTGACTTATAAAAAAGAATTGGAAGATATTCATATTAATGATGAAGGTATCATTAAAGAATATTATGAATTACAACAACAATTGGATAAATATAATTCAGATGTTCAAAAAGTTATTACTCATCCAGGAAATAGTTTACCATTTTTACAAGATGGTAGAGTTATTAAAGTTAAGATTGGAAATCAAGATTATGGTTGGGGTATGGTTACTACATTTGTTAAAAGAAATCGTAAGAGTCAGCAAGAAGAATTTACACCTCATGAAGCTTATGTTGTTGAAGTATTCATTACTTCAATGTTTATTGATTCACCAGTTAATTTAATTAAAAAATTCAATCCATTATTACCTGAAGGTATTAGACCTGCTAAATCTGGAGAACAAACAAGAGCTGAATTTATTAGTATAACATTAGATTCAATTGAAAAAATCAGTACTGTTAGATTAAGAGTACCTGATGATTATAAGAGTTCTACTGCTAAACGTACATTAGTGAAAACATTAAAAGATTTACCAAAAAAATTACCTGATGGGATTCCATTGATTGATCCAGTTGGAAGTATGAAAATAACCGATGAAGATTTTAAAAAATTATTGAATAAAATTGATATTTTAGAATCTAAAATTTCTGCTAATCCATTACATAATAGTGCCAGATTAAAAGATTTATATGAACAATATTCTTATAAAGTTAAATTGGAAACACAAATTAAACAACTTAAAGAGAAAATATTCCAAGCTGAAGCAGTTGTACAATTAGAACAATTGGGTAATATGAAAAGAGTACTTAAAAAATTAGAACTTACTGGACCAAATGATATTGTTGAATTAAAAGGTAGAGTAGCAGCTGAAATTTCTACAGGTGATGAATTAATGATTACTGAATTGTTATTTTCTGGGTTTTTCAATGATTTAACTCCACAACAAATTTGTGGATTATTATCATGTTTTATTTTCCAAGAAAGAGCTAAAGAATTACCAAAATTAAAACCAGAATTAGCTGAACCAGCTAAATTTATTCATGAAACAGCTAGTAAAATTGCTAAAATTAGTAAGAATTGTAATTTAGAAATTGTTGAAAAAGATTATGTTGAATCATTTAATTTAGCATTAGTTGAAGTTGTATTTGCATGGTCTAATAATGCTTCATTTAGTTCAATTTGTAAAATGACTGATATTTATGAAGGTAGTATAATAAGAGCATTAAGAAGAGAAATTGAATTATTAAAACAATTAGTCGATGCTGCTAAAATTATCGGTAATCAAGAATTAGTTGATAAATTTGATAAATGTACTGAATTATTAAATAGAGATTTTGTACAAGTTAGTTCTTTGTATATGTAATTATAATTGTTATTATTATATGAATATTTGGTTCCATAGTTTTTTTATTCTTTTTGTAGTGTGCACGACTTTGTTGAAAATTGAGTTTTTCTTTGGTGAGAAAACCCAAAGGCAAAAAAAAAGAAAAAATTATAAGGTGGAAACATCGTTGTCGTTTCTCTATTGCCACTACTGTTATTCAACCATCACAAGAACTCAATTACTCACACTCACACACACTTATACATATATATACTAAATCATCATGTCAGATCCGTTTTCAATTAATGGGGGAGCAGCCGTTGCTATGATTGGAAAAGAATGTATAGCAATTGCAAGTGATTTAAGATTAGGACAACAATCACTTGGAGTTTCAAATAATTTTGAAAAAATTTTTGAGATTTCACCTAAAACTTATTTAGGATTAACAGGATTAGCAAGTGATGTATTAACATTAAAAGAATTATTTCGATTTAAAACAAATTTATATAAATTACGAGAAGATCATTCAATTGAACCTTCAACTTTAGCAAATTTAATTAGTTCAAGTTTATATGAACGTAGATTTGGTCCTTGGTTTGTTAGTCCAATAGTTGCTGGTTTAGATAGTAAAACAAATAAACCTTTTATTTGTGGTTTTGATTCAATTGGTTGTATTGATTATAGTCATGATTTTATTGTTTCTGGTACTGCAAGTGATCAATTATATGGGATGTGTGAAAGTTTATATGAACCTAATTTAGAACCTGAAGAATTATTTGAAACTATTAGTCAAGCTTTATTGAATGCTGTTGATAGAGATGCTTTGAGTGGTTGGGGTGCTGTGGTTTATATCATTACTAAAGATAAAGTTACCAAAAGAGTATTGAAAACTAGACAAGATTAAGGAGTTAATAATATACATATTATTCATGATTAGTTAACTATGATTCAATTGTAGTTCATCATATGAGAAGGCAAGTAATTGATATAAGTACCTGTTGAATCACGTGGTTTAGCCACGCGTGGCACTATGTTTTTTTGTTTTGCAACAGTTTTTGCAAATCTTGATAGTCGGCAGGCAACACCAAGTGTGGTAGTAGGGACTGATCCAAATACTTCATTTGTCAATTCAAAGAGTATTCGGGAGTTCTTGAGAGTTCTTGCCAGACTTACTAACAGTTATTGTCTTGTTTGTCTGATCCATACATGATTCTTCAGTAAGATATTTCGTGATATTATATTGATTTCTGTTCTATTTACATGTATAAATAATTTACAAAATATCTCTGATGGTTATGGATTGATTGCGTTTGCAGGTTGTACATGATTCATGAGATTCTTAAAAATGCTGGGGTTGTAATTCAGATCGAGGGGTGGTTTTCATTTAGCAACACATCGTTATTCATATGACGATAATCACTGTCTATGGGCTATATCATCACCTTATTAGTTGTAACATATCCAAGTATTGCTAATTATTAATTTCTCTCCAACGTACTTACTTGTTCACTTCTTGGATTCAAGTTCTAATACTTTTTTAAGATATCCATTTTTCCCATAGGTTTCTTCTTCTATTTGTTTTTTATGATCTTCCCAAGCTTTTTGTCTTAATCTATTTTGTAAAATTTTAATTTTTGAATCTTCAACTCTTTGATAATGTAAACATTGTACCAATTGTTCTTTTTCAAAATTACAAACACCTAAACATTGTTTTAAAAATTCTTGTCTATGACACTGTTCTAAAGCATCCATTAATTTCTCACATGTATTGAATCTATTCTTATCTAATTGTGGATGCATCTTGTTGTTAAAATCTAATCTGGTTTCCAAATGGCTATGGGGTTTGAAAATTGGAAAGAAATTAGTGTGAGTGAAAATAAATGAGAGCTCTTTTTTTTTCTTTGATTTATGATTTCCTTATTGAGAATAATTGATCAATTATACACGACTATATATATAAATAAGAGATCACGAACTCGCAAGGAAAAACAAGGGTGAATTAACAAAAAAAAGGACACCTTTTTACTAGAATCCTTATATAAGATTAAGATAACCAATTAGATTGACAATGAGTTCAAAACTGGGAAACACTAAAGATGATGATGTTTTAGATTTCATCAATTCATTACCTGATTCAAAACCATCCACACCAAAACCAACCAATAATCAAAAAGCTACTAATTCAAGTGGTGATAATAAAGAAGATTTATTTGAATTTTTGGATGAATTGGAAGAACATGAAAAGAAAAAGAAGCAAAATAAAGTATTGGCACCTAAAGTTACTACTAATCAACAACAACAACCTAAGAAAAATGATAGTTCAAATGAAGAAGAACCTACTACTGGTACAACTACTGATAAATCAGATACTACCAATGAAGATATAATTGATCAACAAAAAGAAGCAGAACAGGAACAAGAGGAAGAAGAATTGCCAAATCCAATTAGTTCAATTACATCATGGTGGAATCTGGAAGGATCTACTAAAGTTAACTCTTTATGGAAAAATATTACCACCAATGCAGAAAAGATTTCAGAACAAACATATAAATTAGCTAATGAAACAACCAATCAATTGAATACTAAAAGTAAGAATATTAATTCAGAAGAAATCACCAATACATTAAATAATTTATTTTTAAATATTTCTAATCAAATTAAACAAGGATTAATTGAAGAAAATGATGAAGTTTTAAATATTTTAATTGTTTGTGATTTATTTAATTTGAAATATTTGAAATTTTTAGTTTATAATAATTTCTCATTAGTTATGAGACAAGTTGAAGGTAGTATTAGAACAAGTGTTAATGAATTATCAAACCATCACGATGATGAAAAGAAAGGTGAAGAAGATAAAGTTCAATTGAATATGTTTTATGGAAAATTAATTGATGGTGAAAAATTATGTTTAGCTAATTTAGAGAATGGAATTAAAGATTATAAAAAATTAGAAACCAAACATGAAGAAGAACAACCTAAGGAAGATAAGGAACAACAAGAAGAAGACAAAGAAGAAGAAATTACTCAATCAAATATATTTATTTCAATTCAACCAGTTAGTACTAAAATTGATCAGGGTAAAGAACAAGATAAGGAAGATAATAGAATTGTCATTGAAAGTAATAATGAAGAATCATTTTCGTTTATTATTATATTGAAAGACATTAGTAATGATATTACAATAATTACCAAGAGTCAACCAATGCCATTGAGATGGGCTCAATGGTTAGATGGTGAAAAATTGAAATCATTAGAAGCTTCTGACGAAGAAGAATCGGTTGATCCTAAAGAATGGGTCAAGGATTGGATTAAACAAAGTTTGAATTTAAGTATTGGTGTATTAGCACAAGAATATGTAATTAAAAGAATGGGAGTTTAAAGTAATATGAATATATATATATATTGTTGTTAATATTAATCTATAAAAGTAATTTGAAAACAAAAAAAGCAAACAAGTAAAAAAGATCCCAGATAAGTTAGTAATAGTAGTAAGAATTAAAATAAATCAGCAAATTCAGCAACATGAGGATGAACCAAATCATGATTTTTCAGTGAAGAAGTGTAATTAGTTGTATTAGTTGTGATATTAGTATTAGTATTAGTATTAGAAGGAGGTTTAGTATTGGTAGTTGATTGGATACCACAAGTTAAATAATTGACTAAAATTCTATCAATTGTAGCATCATCATTAGCAATTAATTTACTATTAAAATCAATAATCAAAGGTAATTGATTACCATTGGTATTATTAGAATTAACATTAGACAAGTTATTATAATCATAAATTAAATCATGTAAAGAAAAATCACGAATTAATTGTGATTTACAAACTTGTTGTTTTGAGGGATGAAACAATTGCAACATTATAGATTTGTTATCAGGATGCATAGATAAACATTCATCAATTATAAAATTATAATCTTGCTGAGACAATTGTTCATTGTTGCAAACAGTAACATCCAAAATATTGTTAAAATTGGTCAATTTAGTCAATAAATTCAAAGAATATAATGAATTGGTGTTGTGATAGATCTTGATTGGTTTGATAGTTCTTGTTGATGAAGAAGAAGCAGTTGATGTGAAGGTAGATGGTTTGAATGATTTAATGATTGATCTTAACATTGTTTGTTTGATCTGTTGAAGAATATATAAAGATAATGTAAGAAAAAGCTGTTGTAAAAAAAAAATGAATAATTATGACAGGAAAGATAAGGATTGATGGGTCTGTATTTATATTGCAACAGACAATTAAATTTTTTGCAGTTGAAAAAATTGTTGTTGTTGTTCCCCTCCCTTGTTGGAATAGTTAGATAAGCAGGGCACATAGAAATAGTTACTGAGATAGAGATAGAAAGTTATACGATGGGAAAGAGGAGAACTGAATGTTGACCTGTCGTACTCTAAAAATAACTATGAACCCATCTACATTCACATTGTCAATCTAAAAGAAGTAAAAATCCCCTCCCTCTTACAAACACAGCCAGCTCGGTTTGTTGTCATAAGATTGAGCAAAAGAGGAGTAAAGTAAATTTGCTCAGGCGGCGGCAGCAGCGGTGGCAGTGGCGGCGGTGCCCCCCCCCATGGCAGTACCAACTTAAACGTAAACGTAAAATCTGACTCACTGTAGTATTTTTGGGAAAGAGGGGAATTTTCACCAAAGCACACGCACACACAACAAAATAAAATTTTTTCGTTTCTTTTTTTTTGGGTTGCCACAAGTAAATTTCCCCTCCTTTGAAGTCACGTGATTCACATTGCTCAATATTATTATTGCAATTCTAGACGTGTATTGCCATTCCACATTCTATAGCACAAGCGGATTAATTCCTTCCTTGTTCGGAATAATACAATCTCAATATCTGTCTGTTTGTTTGTTTGTATTCCGTTTCTCATCTCACGTGGCTCAAATTCCCAACAAATTATTACTAACTACAAAAAGAGGGGATTACTCTACTCCTATTGCCATTACTAGTGCTAATAATCTACTCCTATTCTTTATTCATCTGTCTATGTTCCTGTCTCTTCGCCCCCCCCCTTTTAGTTCAATCTCATCTTATCTTTCTGTTTTTGACTCGTCTCCTTCTCTGAATTGCTCTTCTCTTCTTGTTATTCCTTCAAATTTAACCTTTTTGTGTACGTGTAATAATGTAACCAGTGTCTTCCTTCTTATCTTATCTATTCTTTTTTTTATATTGTTTATCTCATCTCATCCCTTAGATTGACATCTTCTAAGGAAAAATAAAAAATACCACGTTGGTTGCTTGGCTGGTTGGTTGATTGATTGATTGGTCGACCTTATTTTCCCTTCTATCCGATAAGGTCACGTGGGTCATCCCTTATAATTGTTACATTTTTATATAGCAATGATTATTCCTTTAGTTAGATTGGGGAGGGTTATAATTCTATAAGGAAGTTAGAATAATCTACACTACTTGTTGATGCAATATCGCAGGATGATTATTTTTTTGAACATCCCCTTGATTTGCTTTTACTCTCCTAGTTGACTGTATATCCCCTGAATAAACTGTACGTTCGATCTATGGGAATCTCTAAGTTGTAACTTTGGAGAACTCAATTGCATATTAAATGTTTCCGCAATTAGATTTTCTATACGAAGTCAATACAAGAAGAAATCATGTGGTATGGCTAGCCATGTATATTGATTAAGGTCACTCCAAAATATGTACATTTCATGCATGGTTTGGTTTGTTATTTATGTAAGGAGGAATTTCATGCAATTAAAATTTCCATCTTGTATTAATAACAAAACTAATCAAATAAAATCATTCATTCTTTCATACATACATAAACCCCACCAATTATCAATTACAATACACTAATGAAATATAAACAAAACAAGACCTATTTTTAAACTTTAAAGTAGATCTCTTCAATTGGAATTTTTTTTTTCTTGTGGTTACTAATATCCACAAAGAATTATTCAAAAATAACCTTGCATATTCTCGTAATTTATTCATTACTTTACTTGGTAGCAAATTTAAATCACTCCCTTAAAAAACAATCTGGTGATTTCTTCCCCTTTGATTATTGATTCGTTTATTCTTTACATACGTTAGAAACACAACTTAATCGTATATGTATATATACAGCCTTATATGGAGCGTTTGTAATATATCAAGGGGAAAAGGAAGGACAAGCTTTAATAATGAAAAAGGGGGTATTTCCTATCGTTACCTCCAATAGAAGAAGTAATGCTGAATGCACTAGAACCAAAGAACAGTTCACTGAATGATCATCAAAGATGAAGATGTTTTATTGAACATTCTATTTAGTTGTTGATTAACGGGGTTTGAATCTTCATGGTGATTTCCATCTTTCATCATGTGCCTTTCCTATTCCCCCGTTAATTGACAACCTGAGTTATAATTGGACAAATAACATATATAAAAGCCTACAATCCATGTAACGTTATTTATAGATCTCTAATATTTTAGTCATGTTTATAATTCTTTATTGAAACTTCTGGTGATTATGTAAGTGGTGCTAATTCAACTACGAATTGGATTTTTTCTTTGGGCTTGGCAATTATCAACACCTGTGCATTTTTATATTTAGCAACCACTTTTATTGTGACCTACAAAAGAAAGTCGTGTATGACCCAACAATATCTAGAGCTAATGTTAAATGGCAATAAAGGTCATTCGATTCATCCATTGATAATTCAAGTATAAATTGACCCAAATGTTTCTTTAATTAAACTCTACTTATGATTAAATTATTATTATTATCCAATAATTAACAAATAATGAAATTATTTATCCTAATTACTGCGCTATTATTACCTTTTATTGATGCTTATGAATCTTATCCATCAGATTTTCCCGAACCAACAGTTTTCCCTGAACCAACCAATTTAGAAGAATATGGTAGTTATATTACAGGTGAAGCTTCGATGGTTTATCCGGGTGGTACTCCTTGTGTTTTAACATTAACTAAAACATATATTGAAGTGGTTACTTATGATCAATGTCGTCCATCAGATTATGAACCTCCAAGTTACATTGATTCAGGTTGTACTACTTATCATGATAAAGAATATTGTGGTGGTTATTGTTTTGTATATGCCGATTGGATTGATCAAACTGCATTGGAATATAAAACTCATTGTGATACTTCTGGATGTAAGTTTGTCACCAATGATGGTGAACCTCATTTTGATTGTGCTGAAACTAAAACTTTATCAAATGGTTGTTACGAAGTTTATAATCAACAATATGATTATATTATGATTGAGACTATATGTCCATCTACACTGAATCCACTTCCTACTGGTTCAATTTCAGAATCATGTTCGCTAGTCACTTTACAATATGATGAATCTACATACACATTAACTTCCTGTCTGGAATCAATGGTTGCACATCCACCAAGCGGATGTGAATTCACTTTAAACTCAATTTTTTCTCGAAAGTATTTAACTTGTCGTGACCAATGTACAAAGGTCGGTGCATCCTCATTGAATAGTAATTCACAGATTATTATGTCACCTTGTACTGCACCAACTGGAGTCCCAACTGGATGTATGGAAAAAGAAAGCACTACTTACTGTCCTCCACAAAGATTCTGTACCAAATATGAAACTTCTTCTTATTATTCTTCGGGTAATTACTACTTGTATGGTTTAACTGAAAGTCTGTGCAGAACTAATGAATGTAGTTTCACTACTGTCGGTTCAGGTATTACAATTAATTGTGCTCCTTATACAAGTACATTATATAATGGGTGTTTTATAGTTGAAGAAACAACATCTGGTAAAGTTACAACTTCAACAATCTGTGAAACTGACTCCACCGCTTTACCAACATATTTGAGTAATTGTACTATGGGTACATATTTCCCATCTCATACTAATGATGAAGATTTTACTGGGTATACTGTTTGTCCATATAATGTGGTTCTACCAGAAGGTTGTAAAACTACTGATTGGCCTTACTTTTATAGTGAAATAGCTGTAACTTGTAATCCACCATGTACTTCAACATTCACAAGTGGTTCTTCCACATATACAACCGTTGTTGATCCCTGTCCTACATATGAAGATCCATTAATCACTGTATTCCCTACCACTACTGATTATGATGGTTCCTGTGCTTTATACAATGGAAATATGACTTGCCCAGATCATTGTGTATTAACAAGTTCAGATGAATATTATGGCGATACCATGTATGTAAAAGCATCTTATTCTTGTGATCCAAGATTGAGTTGTCTGTTTGTTGGTTATTGGGGACCTACTCCATCATTTAGTTGTATTACTTATTCTACAGAATCAATAAGTGGTCTTGAAGATTGTTTTACTAGTTTGATTTATCCATCTTACACCAGTGATTATAGTACTATATTTACATTATGTCCATGGCATGTATCCATTCCAATTGGTTGTCATACTACAAGTTGGCCATATTGTTCTGCTCAAGTTATTGAAACTTGTAATCCACCATGTACATCAACTTATTCAAGTGGTTCTAATATTATCACTACCACTCTCAATCCATGTCCTACAACTTCAGATCCTAGTCAACCACCGTTTGAAAGTATTCGTTATCCTACGGATTGTGTGTCATATAATTCATCAATGACTTGTCCTGATCATTGTGGAGAAGGTTGGAATTTTGAAGGCACTGGAGAAACTATATATATGTACCGAACATTCTATTGTGATTCTGATACAACATGTCTGTTTAAATCAGAAGAAGCTACTCCTACATTTAGTTGTTCCAGTAAAACAACTCCTGCTCCGCCATTTGGAATTGATGGTTGTTCCACCAAAATGTATACTTTGGGTTCTGAAGATAGAATTATTACTATTTGCGATTATGAAGTTTCCATTCCTGAAGGTTGTCAAACTACAAATTCACCATATGTTTCGGGATATCGAGTTATTGAAACGTGTAACCCACCATGTACTTCAGTTTATTCAAGTTATACTGATATTAGTACTATCACTTTTGATCCATGTCCTACAAATCCACCTTCATCACCAACTGATGACATCCGTTATCCAACAGATTGTGTTTCTTACATGTCAACAATGACTTGTCCTGATCATTGTGGACTTGGATGGAATTATGAAGGAAATTCTGAAGGTATCCAATTGTATAAAACTTATTTCTGTAATCTGGGTACAGCTTGTCTGTTTATAACTGGAGAAGGTTCCCCTTCGTTTAGTTGTTCAACTGTTTCAACTTCTGATTATTCACCAATTTATTCATGTACTTCACCATATTACCCTTCTTCTACTAGTTCTTAGTTAGAGTTATATTATCTACAAAAATAAAACCATGTTTTAAATATGTTTATATGATTTATACGATTAAAAAATGATATGAGTTTGCTTTTCTTTCACTGTGGAAATTTTCATGTATTTTGAGGCTTAGGTAGATATCAATAACAATATCCCCCACAATAGAAGTTGCATATCATGTTTATTTATAATAGGCTAGACATTGTTAACATGCAATTGTTTCAGCCGTGGGGGCTTTGTACAATATACTAGATTGTTTATTTATATTTTTTGCTTCCAAACCGTGTCAGGAATGACAACTCTGTCCATCACAAGATGGATATGATATCAGTGGCGGGGTTTAAAATTTATAATTGCTTTAAACTTATCAGATTCTCGTAAACGTCAAAAGTTTGATCAACGAGATATCCTCAGCCTCATTTATTTGCACCACCTTTGGTGGGGGAGCTTACAACTATAGAACTACATTATTTACTTTGCCGTTTCACCCATAGACCTACAAAAACTGTAGCAAGATTAAACTAGGTTCAACTTGCGGTTATTATTATGCTTAACCAGGATTTATACCAGCAGTGATCAATTTCTATCCCCCTCTTAGTTATACACTACGATCTTCTAGAGCCTTCGTAATTGAACATTGTTAACAATTGGTCATGAATTTTGTTTTTTTGCTCAGTCCTTTCAATTGAAACAATAACTCGATTATTGTCCATTCACCCGACTCTTTCTGTTGATAATTATAAATAATTAACAAATTTCATAACCTCTATTGCTTTCAGGGTTTTGACATGCAGATGTGAGATTACATATCTATAGTTAGTAACATTTTTAAAACCCCCATCTATTGTCTCACACTATATCTTTTTTTTATTTCACCCTTATCCCCTTCGGGAACTATCTACTAATTTTACACTATAGAATAACATGAATAGTTGTATGTTTGACAATTCTTTGCTGAAACATCCTTCTTGGTTCATTCTCATACATATACTTACGAATGGATTCAAATATCAAGAAACGAACTAGCCATTCATGACAAGTCCGTTCTTCTTGGCACGTCACCTAATTTTAGCAACAAGCGACAATTTTAACTTAAAACTATATTGGGGGTTTATATTAACCTTCAACTGTTGGCCTCTGCCCCCTCTATTTAGCCAATTATTTAAACTATAAATAGGACATGATATTTTCTTATTTTCCACATCAGATATACCTCTACTTCTATTTGTCTATTATCAAGAATAAATAATGAAATCACTCACCCTTTTTGCTACTTTATTAAGTTTAATCACTCTTGTTGTTGCTGCTTCACCACCTATGACGTCAGCTCCTGCTGTTTTTACTGAACCAACGGCCGATTGTTCAGATACGGTAATTTATGATAATGGTGCTACTCATACATTCAAAGTTTGTAGTGAAGGACAAACTGCTCCACATGGATGTGAATATAGATCTACATCTATATTATCTCAATCTTATTTGACATGTCAACCAAGTTGTATAATTTTACATGGTACTGGTGCTATTATTTCAACATTTACTACAATGAATACATGTCCTTATTCAATTACAAATACCCCTGGATGTACAAAAACTAATGATCAAGTTTATTGTCCACCATCTGAATATTGTTCTACTTCTTCTACTTTAATCAGTTATGGAGGTGGGTTTTATCTTGCTGGATTAATGGCTGTTGAATGTAAAACTGATATTTGTTCATTCACTACATCTTCAGATATAGTTGGTTATGATTGTGCTCCATATACAACTTCATTAGATAATGGATGTCAAGAAATTATACAAATGGAAGATGGTTCTGTTGTAACATCAACAATTTGTGAAACTGAATCCACTCCTCCACCATCAAGTTTGATTAATTGTACTACTGGTTCATATTTCCCATCTCATACTAATCCGGATGATTATACTGAATATACCCTTTGTCCAGATACTGTTACCTTACCAGCTGGTTGTAAAACAACTGATTGGCCTTACTTTTCAGGTGAAGTTGCCGTAACTTGTAATCCACCGTGTACAATGACAGAAACAACTGGAGAAGTCACTTATACTGTTTCATATAATTATTGTCCTACCAGCTATGATTCAGGTACGACTCCAGAACTAGTATATACCACAACTACAGAATATGATGGTTCTTGTGCTACTTACGATGGATACATGACATGTCCAGACCATTGTATAATAACAACTTTTAGTAGATATGAAGGTGCAACATGCTTTTTGACAGAATCACATTCTTGTGATCCAACTTTAAGTTGTCTGTTTGTTGGTTATTTGGGTCCTAGTCCTTCATTCAGTTGTGTTCATGTTTCCACTATGCCTCCTGTAACTCCTGTAACTTGTACTACTAAGACTTATACTACAGTTACGACTATTGTCAAGACTGCCACCTTTTGTGAGCCAGAAATAAGTATTCCACCTCGTTGTCCAACTTTATACTCCCCAGCTACAAATGGTCATTATATTGGTACTTGTGTTAGACCTTGTCAAAGAACATCCACATTTGACGGTACTACAAAAGTAGTCTCTTATTCTGTTTGTCCATTATAATGTGGAAATTGCTAACTTCCAACAATCATTCATCCTCACATTCCTTTTATTTGTAACCCCTATTTGTTTAGTTATGTGTAATTACTTATTAAAAATTATGTACTGTATTTAAATATATATATATATATATGTATGTATGTTATCTTCAATTCACTTCGCAACTGTAGTGCTACCAACTGTCAGAATTTCATGTTTTATCTTTTGTATCATTTCTCGTAAACCGTTACCCCAAATTTGTTTCTTTTCTTTTTTTGGACCGACGGTTTCTTATTGGTGGATATTTATAGAACTTTTGAAGGGAAAGGAGGTACGTCACCAACTGATGATCATCATTGTTTCATTTTCATTGAGAACCTCAAATTGGTTGGAGTTCATAAAGAGATTGTTGTTGTTTCACTCTAATTTCTTGTCCTATCACTACTGGTCCCTAGTCCTACCCACCCCCTGAAGCCACCAAGAAAAAATGAAAATAATAATATAAGATTCTTAGCCATGATGAGGCTTAATTGGATGTTCCAAAACCAAATACAAAAAACCCCTTTATTTGCAATTTGCAATTTCCGTAGAAGAATTGATCCTATTGTTCTGTGAGTTTTTGTCCATATTCTTTCTAATTGCTATCTGTATATTATAATCGAACGGGATAACGGGAAGGATTTAAAAAAAAATTTTTATCCTGTCATGTATATGAAATTGAATGACTATTGGTTTGTATTTACGAACATTGAACTTCAAAATATGATTGGTTGCAATCAAATATTAATTCAAACGTTACAACTTGCAACTGAACTCTAAATATAGAAACTACTCTAGTACTGAAGATTGCTTAATGTGAATTATCATTAGATCCCTTCCACTGAGATGTCTATAAATACACACTGGATTAACCTTACCTAGGTTGTGATTTCATTTAATTATGATAATATCAACATCAAATATGATTACTATTATTCTGTTAATTCTTTGTTATTATTTAACACTCTGTTATGCTATTACAGTTACGGTCACGGCTGATTGTGGTGCAAACAATGACAGTGAACATCAATATTCATCTGAATTTTCCCCATCACCAACACCACCACCATCGTTACATACTACCAGCTCCTATTCCTACAATTACCCATCCTCACTGGATACTGAAGGAGCTGTTTCATATTATGTTGGTAGAGGTAGTTGTATTTTCACAATTTATAATGGTGAAAAACCTTATGTTCAAGCATTGATTCAATGTCCAGCTAATATTGAAACCGTTCCTACTGGATGCACAAACATTGGATTTAAAACGTATTGTCCACCAATCAGCCATTGTTCATGGGTTTATCCAAATAAGAATTCTTGGTACCGACAATTGGAATGTAATACAGATGTTTGTACTTTAACTCACCTTGACAATGGAATCCCAAGTTATGCATGTACACCAAGTGAAGGTAATCATGCTCCTGTAACAACTGGTACTCCATGTGTCATATCAATGATTACTACAACCATTATTACTAGTCGTATCACTCAATATCTTACTTATTATGGTAATTGTCCATCTACAAGTTTGGCTCCTGGTGAATGTACTTCCTATGCTGGAAGCGAATATTGTCCACTTCCAAGTTGTCTTCCAAATAATTCAACATTATCTCATGGTCATAATGGAAATACTACGCACCATAATCAAACAATATGTGGAACATTTTCTTGTTCTTTTGTAACTGAATCTGGTTTCACTGGATTTAATTGTGATCCATCAACAACGACTTCATCTGATGGTTGTTACACAACAGAATTCAGAGAATGGGGTAGTCGTTATTTTTCATCCGGTTGCTTAACAACAACAACAAATTGTAATGAAACAATATTCACTCATGATAAGAAACCATATACTTATACAACTTGTGGAGCTGAAGTAACAAGTGTAACTGGTTGTAATTTCACAGGTAATGACTTTTTCCCTGGTTTATTCCTAACATGTAATGAACCATGTACTGAAACATTTTTAACAGAGTCCCCCCTTCATTCATTAACTCTTACATTTGAACATTGTCCAGGTCCTTATATTACTCCACCTCCAATATTTTTCACTTCTGATCCACATGATTGTACTTCTTATAAACATAGTCTTTATTGTCCTTATTTCTGTACAAGAACTGTCACATATCAAGAATATTATGGCACTCTTATGCTGGTTACTCAAACTTTCTGTGATACAAAATCAACATGTTCGTTTTACACTACAGATGAAAAACCAAGTTTTGTATGCATAAACCTGTCTGATTATTGGTATGAGTCCACAGGAACTACTTATTGGCCAGAACAAAACAGTACAACTCTGTGAGATATTTGTTGTTGTTATTGTTCGTTTATGTATTTCAATATCACTCTCATTTATAGTTCTATATATGTTTTATCATTCAAATGAAGATTTTCTTCTTTCTGTTGTTATAATACAGTGTTGTTTACCTTTTCCATCAACTGGGAATAAAACATAGAATATCGTGCAACCAAAAGTAATTTTTAATTACGAATTCGTGTATGAACCATATTTGATGCAACATTGATTTTCATCTATTAGATAGTCGTGCAAATCTTACATGGGATTGAACCAATCTGCAAAGTTGGGAAGATATGTACGTACTCCTCTGGAATAGTTGATTTCTATACCTACACTGATCACTGATTTGACAGTTCGCTTATTATAAGTATTGAGAGATTCTTAGAATTGAAAATCTTTTGTGGAGAGCATTTTAAATATTTAAACGGGGTGCATGGTTCAATTTTCATCAGGTGACCAATTTAGTCAACGATCTATATAAAAGTGGAATGTTTCTAAAAAGTCAATTACACCTACATAGTTTCTTTTCTTCTGTAAGATACATTTTTAAATCCATTATCTTATCATAAAACAGTCCTATAACAAATGTCTATCCCAACTACTCAAAAAGCTGTTGTGTTTGAAACCAATGGTGGTAAATTAGAATACAAAGATATTCCAGTTCCTGTGCCAAAACCAAATGAATTATTAATTAATGTCAAATATTCCGGAGTTTGTCATTCTGATATTCATCTTTGGAAAGGTGATTGGTTACCACCTGCAAAATTACCATTAGTTGGTGGTCATGAAGGTGCAGGTGTAGTTGTTGCAATGGGTGAAAATGTCAAAGGTTGGAAAATTGGTGATTATGCAGGTATAAAATGGTTAAATGGATCATGTATGAATTGTGAATTTTGTCAACAAGGTGCTGAACCAAATTGTGCTGAAGCTGATTTATCAGGATATATGCATGATGGTTCTTTTCAACAATATGCTACTGCTGATGCTGTTCAAGCTGCTAGATTTCCAGCAGGTTCTGATTTAGCTAGCATTGCTCCAATCTCATGTGCAGGTGTCACCGTTTATAAAGCTTTAAAAACTGCTGGATTAGAACCAGGTCAATGGGTTGCTATTTCTGGTGCTGCTGGTGGTTTGGGATCATTAGGTATTCAATATGCTAAAGCCATGGGTTATAGAGTATTGGCCATTGATACTGGAGATGATAAAGGTGAATTTGTTAAATCATTAGGTGCTGAAGTTTATATTGATTACATGAAAGAAAAAGATCTTACTGCTGCTGTCAAAAAAGCAACTAATGGTGGTCCACATGGTGTTATTAATGTCTCTGTTTCTGAAAAAGCTATTAACCAATCAGTTGATTATGTAAGAACTTTGGGTACTGTTGTGTTGGTTGGTTTACCAGCAGGAGCAAAAGTATCTGCACCAGTATTTGACGCCGTTGTTAAATCAATTGAAATTAAAGCATCCTATGTTGGTAATAGAAAAGATACCCAAGAAGCTGTTGACTTTTTCAATAGAGGTTTGGTCAAGTGTCCAATTAAAATTGCTGGATTAAGTGAATTACCAGAAATCTTGAAATTGTTGGAAGAAGGTAAGATTTTAGGTAGATACGTTGTCGATACTTCTAAATAGAATCTAGATTGTAGAGTCTATATACTTCTAACTATGGTACTTGTATATTTTTACCAGAATGGATGTTTTTCTAACGAATTAATAGTCTCGCTTTTGATAACCACTTTACTATCTTCTAGATCCAAGAAATAAAGTCGTTCAAGTCCCAAAGACTTGACGTATGCCAATGTTTTATCATAATTTAATCCAACTTGAGCCAAAGAGTGGGCATCATCAGATAGACAAAACCTTGCTCCTCCATGTTTAATTATAGCATTGGCAATATCTCTCTTTGGATATGATGTATTCCATCCTTTTCTCAAAGCAGAAGAGTTCAATTCAAATAAACCACCATACAGTTTGACAAATTCAATGTTTCGAATAACCAATTCCCAAATTTCCGGCCAGTCTTTTTCTAAATCAATATCTGAGGATAACTTCCCTGTGGTAGGATCAACGTCATCTTCAGGTTGTAATAATCTAATTAAATCAAAATGACCAATTACCGTTGGTTTTAATCGTGAAATAACTGAATATTGTAATTCAAAATAATCGCGATATAATGCCCTGGTAGTGTTTTCCTTGGTTGATTCTCTTGCTTTTAACCATAATTCTTTTGAAAAATCAATTGGTATTTCATTCACAAAATGAACAGACCCCACGCTCATTTGTACTTTATCGAGTAATTTTTGGGAATATTCAATATGTTCAGCATTTATACCTTCTACTTCAAAACCAAGTATTATTTTCATATCTTGATATCTCATTTGTAAATCAGTAGCATGTTTTATAAACTTATTGAAATCGGAATTTAAGTTACAGGTGGTATATGATTTTTCAATTTCCTCGGGATATAAGAACCTATTTTCTAATCGTGGCATATGTTCTGTTAAACAAACTATGGCAAATTTCTTTTCATGGTATAGCTTTACCATATCTTCTAAAGGATCCACAGCATGTGAGACATAATCTCCACTGTGGGAATGATGTGTGTGCATCTAGTTGGAGGTAGTAGACTTGGTTATTGAATTTAACTAAAAGAAGATAAGCGGAAATGGTGAAAAATGAGGAAAACCAAAAACCGAAAAAAAAAATCCCGAGAAAAAGAAAACTTTGAAACTTGAGATCTCTGAGTCATACCAGATCAACCCCCATTCATGCTTCGTCGTTCAAATAATACTTTTACAAAACTTGTGAGGTTCAAGTCAGACTATTTGAACCCTACTATCAAACAGCAGCTTGGATCACCAGCAAAAGTTGGTTCCATAATAGAAGCCCGTGGCTTTGTCAAGAGCATTAGAACATCAAAAAAAGTTGGATTTGTTGATATTTCAGATGGATCAATTCACAAGAACTTAAACATTGTTCTCCAGGGATCAGAACAACCTAAGTTTAAAGTAGGTCAAAGTATAATTGTTAAAGGAGAATGGTGTCAAGGTAAGGGTACTCAACCTTTTGAATTGAAATACAATCCAAAAAACCCAGATCATAAAATTACAATCTTGGGAGATGTCACAGAAGATTATCCATTACAAAAGAAATCCACATCAATGCCATTTTTAAGAACATTCCCTGAATTAAAACATAGAACTAATACATTGGCATCATTCTTGCGTTTAAGATCTCACATGGAATTCAAATTGATGGAATTTTTCCAGCAACAAGATTTTATCAAAGTCACACCCCCATTGATTACCAGTTCAGATTGTGAAGGTGCCGGTGAAGTATTTTCTGTGCATAGTGCAAGTGATAAACCAAATGAGAAATTCTTTGGTAAGAATGCATATTTAACAGTGTCGACACAATTGCATCTTGAATGTTTGGCATTAGCATTGAACCGTGCGTGGACATTAACACCTTGTTTTAGGGCTGAACAATCAAATACTACAAGACATTTAAGTGAATTTTGGATGTTAGAAGCTGAAATTTCTCACGTTGATTCTGTTCATCAAGTCACAAACTTTATTGAAGATATGGTACGATATGTCACACAATCGTTGATGGATAGTAGTTCTGAGTCTAGTGTTAATAATATCAGTGCTGGTGATGGGAATGATTATTTGAATGGAAGTTATATTGACAAGGAATTGGTAAAAGAAAGATGGGCTAAAATGTTAACACCAGATAGATGGCCAAGAATGACCTATACGGATGCTGTTTCTCTATTAAATAAGACCCTACCAGAAAACGAACAACTTCAGTGGGGTGACTCTTTGCAATTAAAACATGAACGAATGTTAGCTGAGAATAGTCCTATTTTCATAACAGATTATCCGTCTGCTCAGAAACCATTCTATATGATTAAATCTGCAAATTTTGATCCAGAAAAGCCTACTGTTGCGTGCTTTGATTTGTTGGTCCCAGAATTTGGTGAGTTAGCTGGTGGATCATTAAGAGAACATGATTATGAAGTCTTGAAGAAAAATTTAGAAGACCATCAAATGGATATGCAAGACATGGATTGGTATTTGAATTTACGAAGACAAGGTACTGTTCCACATGGTGGATTTGGTCTAGGATTTGAGAGAATGATCACATTTTTGGCAGGTTATGACAATGTCAGAGATGTTTCTGCTTTCCCAAGAGCTCCTGATCTATGCAATTGTTAGTGTTAGTGTTGGCTGAAAGATGTATAAATAGAAAAGTGGCATGTAAATAGCAAGAATAGAACGTGACTATACAAGAAGATGATGATGATGATTGGTTTTCGTGGGGTTGAATTTTGACTGTTTGTACACGACCAATATTAATGCGACGCCGAAACTCAAAGAAGACAAAAAAAATAGCAAGGGAAAATTTTTCAATATTTGCCATTTACTAATTGGATCCATTAGCAATTACCCGTTTCTTACTTTATTGCAGTTATTACATTATTATTCACTCTAGCACATCATGGATCAATTAAACGTTAAAGAACAACAAGAATTCCAACAAATCGTTGAACAAAAACAAATGAAAGATTTCATGAACTTGTACTCAAACTTGGTATCTAGATGTTTCGACGACTGTGTCAATGATTTCACTTCAGGTAATTTGACTTCCAAAGAAACTTCATGTATTGCCAAATGTTCTGAAAAATTCTTGAAACACAGTGAACGTATTGGTCAAAGATTCCAAGAACAAAAGTATGTATCACTAGATATGCTTCGATATTCGTTATTCAGTTTGACAAAAGTACTAACCTTTCTTCTAGCGCTTTATTGATGCAACAAGGTCAAAAATAAGTGAATAATTTTGAAAAGTAATGAAACGTTGACTAATATAGATCACTGGGGATAATAGATATTTCCTTTTTTTTGTTTGTTTGTTTGTCCTGATTTCTTATCAGCTTTTAAGTATAAACTCATCGTGTGTGATACATTGTTGGTTTTTTGTTTTCATATCAAGATTTTCGATTTATTTATTTATTCTTCCACAAAATACAACTGTATATATTATTAAATATTATTTATCAAACAAATAATACATTATCTGGTTTTTAATGAATGTAATGTAATGAAATCTGCTCTATAAACTGTGCTTTTCCTGTAGTAGTTCTCTTCATTTGTCTTTGATGGGAATGAATCAAACTTTCACTCACTCACTCACAGCAAACCCTCAAACCAAAAATTTCCCTGAAAAAAAAAAACAACTTTATGGAATAAACAATCATCAACCATCAACCATCATAGTTCCCACTAGTATACCGTATGACAGAACAAGTTAAGATTAATCCCGATTTGCTGATTATATTAGTTGGTTCAGTGATTAACAAATTCATGACCAACTATCAAGGAGATTATAAAGAATGTCGTGCAACATTTCCTGTTGATCAATTCATTCACGATTTAAATAAGATAACTCAAGAATATACTTCAAGATTTCCCAATGTTGATATACATTTTCCACAGATCGATTTAAAATTACTTTCATTTATTATAACTAGAACATTATATCATAAGTTTGTCACTGTTACTCAGGATCGAGTGATTATTGATGTATTACCTCATGTTTATGAAAACTTTTTGAAAAATATAGTGGCTACATCAACACTAAGGTATGCTAAATATCTATTGAAAGGTGCCAAGGATTTGTATGAAGAGGATAAAAAGAAAGTTAAAGATAATTCAGAAAAGACTATGCCAATATCAGCACCAAATCTGCTGAAAGAAAAGGAACCTGTTGCAAGTAAACCAAGTGAAACTAAAGATGAAAAACTAAAAGAACCATTGGTTAAAGCTACAAAAGAGGTCAATGACGAAAAAGAAACACCAAAAGAAGACAATAGTCCTGTTAAAGATGTATCAGATTCATCAAAGAAAGACGCAATTGAAGTTCAAACAGAGAAGAATAATGATATAGTTCCAGAAACTACAAATGAAGTAGCAGAAAATGCCAAAGATGTTCAACAAACTAAACCTGGACCAGAACAAGAAGTCTCTAAAGACGAAAATTCTCATGAAGAGATTAAAAAAGATGATGAGAAAAAGGAATCTGAGGAAGAGAAAGAGAAAGATACTGAAAAGAGTACAGTGAATGAGGAAGAAGATAAAATGGATGAAAATTCCAAAGAGGAAGCAGAGATTCCTACTACAAAAGAAAAGAGAGTATCACAAGAAAATGAAGTATCAAAAGAAGATGAAGAAGCAAAAGAAAAGGAAGTAGCAAAAGAAGATGAAGCAGCAAAAGAAGATGAAGCAGCAAAAGGAGATGAAGAAGCAAAAGAAAAGGGAGAATCGGAAGATGTTGAAATGGAATCGGTGGAAGAGCCGAATACATCTAATGACAATGACGATATGGATGTTGATAAAGAAAGTGATGATAAAGAGGAGGAACAACCTGCAGTTGAGTCAACTCCGAAAGAGAGTGTATCAGAAGAAAGTGAAGTTAAAGAATCTGTAGAGAAAGAAGATGACGGTAAGCAGGTCGCTGGGGAAAATGTTGAAGAAGAAGTTGTTGAGAAGGAAGTTGTTGATGAACAAAAATCGGAAGAACCAACTGAAGAGCAAACTGAAAAATCTGTTGAAGAAAAAGAATCAACCAAGGAGGAATCTGAAGCAGCACAAGATAATGAACTAGAATCCAAGTCAGAAGAATCATCGGTATCACCTGAGAAATCAGAAACGGAAAAACTGTCATCAGCACCAGAGACAAAGACAGAGACAAAGACAAAGACTGAAGAAGTGTCAGTGCCAGATGAGGAGGAACCTGTTCAAGAAACTGTTCAATCACGTAAACGTTCAAAATCCCCAGCACCAGGACAACAACATAAACGTTTCCAGAATATTGCTGTCAATTTGATCAACTCCATTCAGGAACATAGATTTTCTTCTCCATTCTTGCAAGCAGTCAATACAAAAGATGCACCTGATTATCATAGTATTATTTTTGAACCTCGAGATTTGAAGAATATTCTCAAAGCAGTGAAATCCAAACGAGATCCTCCAACATACCAATCTGTTAAAGAATTAGAAAGAGATATCATGTTAATGTTTGCCAACTGTATAATGTATAACCGTTCTGGTGATGATTTGATTGAATTAACGAAGATTATGAAAGAAGAAGTTAGTGAGATTTTCAAGATGTTTGAAGAAGCTGAAGAAGAGATCAAGTAGGTTTTGTAATTATTTTATTTTAAAGTATATACTATATTAATCTTGTTTCTTTAATGGATGTTCTCTCAATGATTGTGGATAAGTCTGCCTAACCCATTTCACCAATAGAGTGATCTATACTTCACTACAGAGCCATAAACACTTGTTGATTGTATATACCCACTGTAATCTTGTTTCCCACCCATCACACAAAGCATCGTGCCAGCGGGAGGCGCGAAAAAGAAAAAATTGAAACGAAAAATTTTCGTTCTCTTTCATTTTTTTGTTGTAGTTGTTGTTTGGTTTGCTGATATAGTTAAAGACGAATATCTGGGATAACCTTTGTAAGGTGTTTATTTTCAATTTCTACATTTATCATCCATAATTTTACAACTCAGTCGTTTATTTCATAAAAGGGTATTGGATGGCGTAAACATAATGACGAAATTTAAATCCCCATTCATCAAACAAACTTCATTTGATGTGGAATATGCTCCTGCCCATATCACTAAATGGAAATCAGAAAGAACAGGATTACAAATCACGTATATTGATCAACCTTCCCCAATAGTCAATGGGTATTTTGCTGTTGCTACAGAAATTGAGAATAATTCTGGTTCTCCTCATACTTTGGAACATTTGGTATTCATGGGATCTCAGAAATACCCATATAAAGGTTTGTTAGATAATTTAGGTAACAGATTATACTCATCAACTAATGCATGGACAGCAGTGGATCAAACTGTATATACATTAACAACTGCAGGTTGGGAAGGATTTAAAACTTTATTACCAATATATCTTGATCATTTATTGAATCCTACTTTAAAAGATGAAGCATGCTTAACAGAAGTGTATCATATCGATGGGAAAGGTGAAGAAAAAGGTGTTGTTTTCAGTGAAATGCAAGGTATTGAAAGTCAATCATGGTTTATGGTTTTTCAAAAAATGCAAGAAACTTTATATGCTTCAAAATCAGGATATTCTTCAGAAACTGGAGGTTTAATGTCGGAATTACGTCATTTAACAAATGAACAAATTAAAGAATTTCACAAGAAAATGTATAGACCTGATAACTTGTGTGTTATAATTACTGGATCAATAGATCAAGATGAATTACTTGGAATAATGACTGAATTTGATAATGAATTACCAGAATTACCAGCTACACCAAACAAAAGACCATTTGTTGATTCTAAACATGATGAACCTTTAAAAGAAGTCGTTGTTAAAGAAGTGGAGTTTCCTGAACAAGATGAATCTATGGGTGAATTGTTAATTTCATGGATTGGTCCTGATGGAAGTGATACATTGGTAAATGTTGCTCTTGACATGGTGGGTTCTTATTTCACCGATAGTCCAATATCTGTTTTTAACAGAAATTTCGTTGAAGTTGAAGATCCATTAGCTACTGATGTGGATTATACTACTGATGATTACTATAGAACCGCTATTAATTTCAATTTCAATGGTGTTCCAACAGAAAAGTTATCTGAATTGGATACTGAAATTAAAAAAGTCATCAAAGAACAATCTGACCCAAAGAATATCGATTTGGACTATATGAAACAAGTTGTTAATCATCAAAAGTTAAAATTTGTTGCTAGTACTGAAAAATCCCCATCTAGTTTCTCAAATATTGCTACTTTAGAATTTATCTATGGGAAACCTGACGGATCAGAATTAGAAAAATGGTCAAAAGATTTAAGTGAATTTGAAACCTTGTTAAGTTGGACAGCTGAAGATTGGAGTGGAATAATTGATAAATACTTGGTGCAAAATAAATCTGCAACTATTCTTGGTAAACCATCTGCTAAATTGAATGAATTGATGCAAGAACAAAACAAAAAAATCCACGAAGATATTAAAGCCAAATATGGAGAAGATGGGTTGAAGAAATTGCAATTAAAATTAGATGAAGCACAAGAAAAGAATGATGCTCCTATTCCAGAAGAATTGTTAACAAAATTTCCTAAACCAGATCCATCAAAAATTGCATTTATTCCTACTAGATCGTATAAAGCTGGATACACTCAAGGAATTGTCGATATGACAACAAATAATTATATTACAGATGATAATCTTAGCAAATTGTTGCAAAATGATACCCCAAAGGACTTCCCATTGTTTATGCATTTGGAAGATTTCAAATCACAATTTGCTACTATTGAATTAGTGATGTCGTCTACTAGATTAGACCATGAACTTTTAAGTTATATGTCTATTATTGAAGAGATTTTCTCAATGTCAATTGATAAACCTGATGGATTCATTTCATACGAGCAAGTTATTGCTGATATTGATCGTGATTTAATCGAACATAGTTTAGATAATGGTTTTGATAATCAATTTTTGGAATTGATCAGTATTAAAGTTAAATTTGAAACAAAGAATTATTCCAAAGCAATTGATTGGTTGTATAATATTACCAGATATGTCAAATTTGAAAAAAAGAGAATTTTGACCATTGTTAACAAGATCATAAATTCATTACCAGACAAGAAAAGAAATGGAGAATTGATGATGTATTCTTCACAATATCGTCACTTGTTTAATAAAGCTTCATTGAGAAAAGCACAAGATTCTGTTTACACTGAGACATTTTATCAAGATGTATTGGCAAAGATCAACGATGGAAAGTTTGCTGAAATTGAAGATGATTTAAATACTATCAAAAAACAATTATTCAGTTTAGATAACATGAAGATTATTATACTGGGTGGTGTATCAAATTTGAAAAATCCAATTAGTAGTTGGTCTAAATTTGTTGATAATCCACCTAAAGAAATGGATTTGGTTCCATGTAAAGATTTACCAAGATCATATGAATTTAGATCACAATTGGGAGAAACTTGTTGTGGAGAAGCATTTTTAGTTAATATTCCAGCTGCTGAATCAACACATTTAACTTCATTAACAACCATTCCTACAGATTATTTAGATGACGATATTTTCCGAATTGCTTTAGCTTCTGAATTTTTAACTGCTGTTGAAGGTCCATTTTGGAGAGGAATTAGAGGTAATGGATTAGCATATGGTTGTCATATAAGAAGAAATGTTGAAACTGGATATTTAAGTTTTAATATTTATCGTGGTTCAGATTCAGCACAAGCATGGATGAAAGCTAAAGAAATTGTTACTCAATATGCTACTGAAGAATTAATTATTGATGATGTTAGTATTGAAAATTCAATTGCAACTATTGTTAATGAATTAGCTAATAGTCAAGATAATACTTATGATGCAGCAAGTTTTAAAATTAGTGATAATGTTTTTAAACGTAGAGGTCCAAAATATCAAGAATATTTCCTTAATAAATTACAATCATTTACAAGTGAAGATATTGTTTATGCTTTAAAGAAATATTTTATTAAATTGTTTGATTCAAATAAATCAGTAATCTTTACTAGTGTTCCACCTGCAAAATTAGAAGATTTAGGTACATTTTTCAACAAACAAGGATATAACATTAATATTGAGGATATCGGATCTGAAGATTGTTCAGATGAAGAATACAGTGGATCTGAAGAAGAAGAGGATGAGGAGGAAGAAGATTAGAGTATAATATAGAATTTAATAGTAATAATAATGTATGAATAATTTATTAATTATAAATCAATATTGATTATTTACAAGTAATTTCATCTCTATGTTTGATCTCATGAGTATATGGGTGTGCATAATAAAGTGTCTATTAGAATGAATAGATTTATCTATATAAAAACAAACAAAAAAGAAGAACTCATATTTAATCGAAATCTTGAGCTTTGTCTTCTTGAACTTCAGGATTTGAATCAACTATAGGTTCTTCTTTTGGTTCTGAATTTTCAATTTCTGAGTTTTTATCAGTTGTTTTCTTTCCTAAAATTTCTAATTTGGTTCCTTCTGGATCAAAAGTATCTTTCTTCAAATACTCAACATAATCACTAACTTTTTTACAAACATCTGAACGACTTTTACCAGCAACTTTTTCCCAATAATCAGAACTTGTTATACCTTCACATGCAACCCATTTAGATACTGTATGAAATCTTAATTCCCAATCAATGTCTTTGAAAAGTTTACGTACACTATCAGCAGGTCCCATATTTCTACGTGAATAAACACCAAATTCACCATCATCATAATTTTTAACCGGGTTGATCTTTGGATGATTACAATGTAAGAATAAAATTTCAGGAAGTTTATAATCAATAACTCTGTGAACCGTATCTTCATCCTCAATTTGTTTATCTTCAATGGTCTTCTTTTTATATTCTTTGAATTGTTCCATTAATTTGGATGTATAAGTACCTGATTGGAATGGATTAAGTCTAGTATCCAATTTTCTTGATTTTAAGAATTTCTTCCAATCAGCATAAAATTCAACATTATCACGAGGATCAGTTTGACCTAAAGTGGTTTCTGAAAATTTACCATTATCGGCAGTGTAACCAAGTAAATGAACTTTTTGATTCTCCAAACTGTATCTTTCATTCATAACATGTAAAGCTGGAGTGATTGTTTCTCTGTCACCTTCACCAAAAGCACCTTGATAGATAAGATTCATATACAAGTTTTTCGAATTGATGTTATAATACAAAGCCAATAATAAACTTCTTAAATGTTCACGTTTGGAGAAAACAATTTGTCCAGTTTCTACTGATATTGGATTTGGTAAGTTTGCTAAATCATGATAATGAACTTCCAGTTCCATATCTTTGGCAATATATTCAGAAAACGAATGATCATTAGGGATACCAAATCTTCCAACAACTTCACCAGGTTCAACTCTGGCAATCTTGTAATACAAAGGACTGGTTAATTTGACCCATAAATCCGGCCACAAGATCATCTTGGTTGAAAGATAAGGTTCAGTGAATAATAAACTATCGACATTTTTAATTGCCAAATTATCAGCATCCATGGCAATGGTATGATCAAAAGTACTGACCAATAACCCTAAAATCTTTCTCGAAAACTTTTCACTAATCCATTCAAATATTTCTGTACCCACTTCTTCTTCAATAATAATACATCTACCGTTCAATTGTTTTGGTAATAATTCTTCACAAATTTGTTTATCATATTCTTCTTTCTTGTCAAGAACCAATTCAACAGGTAATGTGGAACCACGTTCTCTCAAGTTTGCAATAGCAGTTAAAGCACCAGCCACCATATTACCACCACCATTGATAACAATACCATGACCTTTGAAAAATTGCAGTGGTGGATCACCCAAATTCTTTAAAGCTTCAACTACTTTATCATGTGCATAACGGATGGCTCTAAATTTCTCACCAGGGATATTCAATTCACTTCCACGCAAATATTTCTCTGAAATGACTCTTGCATCCCATTGGTAGGTTGGGTTAAGATTTCTACCTCTTTCTTCTTTTGTTAATGGTTCACATTGAGGCTTATTATCCAATAAAATATCCTTCAAGAGATGAACGAAATAGATTTGACGATCGAAATATTTCTCGGTAGCTTTAGTGACCATATCTTTAAATTCATCTGTTAATTCGGCATCTTTCAATACTTGTAAGAAAGCAGCAGGTTCAAATTTTTCTTTATGATCAGCAATAAACTCATCAACTAATTTTTCAAAAAGTGTATAAGAAAATGCAGATTCTTTATAAATTGCATTGGTGTGTTCTTCAGTAACTTCCTCTTTGATTTGTTTTTTAATATCTTCAAGGTATTTGATTCTCAACTCGGTTTTCAATTCTTGGATCACTCGAGGCTTTTCTTCCTTTGTGATCTTCTTACGAATTTCGGCCAATAATTCTTCTTTCTTGGTAGTTTCCAATTCATGCATTAACGATTTCACGTATTCTTCACTATCTAGATTACTGACATGAGATTGGACTGTAGTTTTATCACTGGTGAAATATGTGGCTCCCTTTACCGGACGGGGTTTGTTTGAGGAGGATAAAACGGAGATGTTGAATACAACTACCGTGAATAGCAAAACTCCTAGTAATAGGTACAGGAGTGATAATCTTCTGAAAAACATAATTCAAAAGGAAAATACACGAGGGTAAATGGGAAGGGAAGCGAAGGAAATTGGTGGCTTTGTAATATTATTAATAAAATAGAAGTTTTCTTCTAGTATTGTTCGTAGTGGAATAACTTTACCAGTTGATTTGCAAAAATTCCTTGCGAGATACGGCTTCGATTGGCGATGTTAATAGATAAATAAATAAGATCTAATTAGCAAATAAATAAAACGCAAAGGATTGTTTAGTGGTAGGCTGATGAGGACAGTATGTTTATTAAAGTCCAATTTAGTTGATTTCCTTTGAAGATTGAATCAGCACAAGGGTATAATCAACAAAAACAAGTAATCAAATCCAAGTTGAAATTAATAAATAAATAAATTAAATAAATAAATAAATCGAGTTCTTTGAATTTTGGTTTTGGTTTGTTCGATGGAAAAAAAAAAAAGAAAAAAAAAAAAAATCGGACTGCATATAAACCGCGATTTTCTTATTTTTAGAACATCGCCAACAACAACAACAATAAGGCATATACTCACATAGAGAGAGACAGAGAGAGACAGAGAGAGACAGAGAGAGACAATTGCTGAACCAAATATCGAACTGGCATGGTCTAACCCTTTTGGGCATTGTTTGAATTTGTTGTCTTTTTCCACAAGAGACGTGTTTGGATAATCACGTGTAGGTTTGTTTTATTTTTTTTGCATCCCTAGTAATTCTAGGATGATAAATAGGAAATCTAATTAGTAAGATCGGCGTTCCTGATCTCGAGATTTGTGCCAATCTTTTTATTTATTTATTATAATTCTCCCATGCCAATGTCTATACTACTAACATTAACAAGTCACATGGAGGCTGTTGTGGTGGTGGTGGTGATAGACACCGATAGAACAATAACAGTACCAAGGAGTAATTGTTCAATAATACTCTGCCTTTGTTTTGTATTTCTGTTGGTGGATGGATCTCAAATCTATTGTGAGAAATTCACGTGTTTGTGTAACAACACGTACTGTGAGATACCCATAATTATTCATCTTTGGATCAACCACTATCGCTATAACAGTGAAGTAAGGTACTAAGTATGTTTACAACGGCTTGTATCGCGTGCTGTATGATTTGTGCTAGCTTTGAGAAATCTTTGTTGTAAAATGTATCATATCTTCCCATGTTGGAAATATTTACTTGAATATCTGAGCAAATTTATTTAAAAAAGGTAAGCAGTGCAAAAAACTGTTTGCTCGTACATTTTCATAAAGTAATCTTATTCATATGGTTGATTGTTGTTATCTAACATACTTGTATCCATGTCGTGCTGGCTCTCACGTGATGTAACAAAAAGGTAGTGTGCCGTGTGTCAATGATCAACAACAACAACAACTGTCACGTGAGAGAGACAGCCAGCCAGCCGAAGAAAAAAAAGACCAACAACACCGGAACTCAGAATTGTCGAAAACTTTTGCAAGTTCACTAGAATCTGAAACAACAACTTCTACTACTACTACTACAACAACAATAGAATTGAACCCACTCAAAGGAATACTATTGCAAATATGAGGTATGTGACCATCTAGTTTCAATTGTTGTCTTGAGATATACTTTTGTCTCCATTTTATTGTCTGGATCACTAACTCTTATCATGATTGTAGTGGAAAATTTGTCAGAGCATCCAAATATCGTCATGTATTTGGCCAACCAGCAAAGAAAGAATTATGTTACGAAAATTTAAAGATAACCAAGAATGCATGGGACTCCAACATTATTCAAACCAACGGAAAGTACATCGCTGTTAATTGGGATGCTTCTGGTGGTGGTGCTTTTGCTATCATTCCAATTAATGAAGTTGGTAAAGCTCCAGATACTGTTCCTTTATTCAGGGGCCACAAAGGACCTGTTTTAGACACTGCTTTCAACCCTTTTAATGAAAGACAAATTGCCAGTTGTTCAGATGATGGAAACATTTTGATCTGGGAAATCCCAGAAGATTATTCATTCCACAAATATGTTGATGAAGAAGATAATATCAAAGATATCACAGAACCTGTCAAAGTCTTATCAGGACATAGCAGAAAAGTTGGTTTAATTGAGTTCCATCCATGTGCGGAAAACGTCTTGGCATCATCTTCATTGGACTACTCTGTCAAGATTTGGAACACCGAAACTGGTAAGGACGAAATCACTTTACAACATAAAGATTTGGTTACTTCATTTGCCTTCAATTACAATGGTTCCTTATTAGCTACTTGTTCAAGAGATAAGAAATTGCGTATCTGGGATATTAGATCTGGTAAAATCATTTCTGAAGGTCCGGGACATACGGGTGCTAAACCATCTAGAGTTGCATGGTTGGGAAACACAGATAGAATTGTTACCACTGGTTTTTCAAGATTATCAGATCGTCAAGTAGGTATCTGGGACATCCATAACATTGACAAAGGTCCAATTAACGGATTTTTGGTTATTGATTCAGGATCTGGTGTTTTGATTCCTCATTTTGATAATGAAACTTCAATTTTATACATTGCTGGTAAAGGTGACGGTAACATTCGTTATTATGAATATGATAAAGATGATTTATATGAATTATCTCAATATGGATCCACTGATCCTCAAAGAGGATTTGCTGTTGCTCCAAAACACGCAGTTAATGTCAGAGAAAATGAAGTTGTCAAATCATTCAAAACGGTATTTGATCATTCTATTGAACCAATTTCTTTTATTGTTCCAAGAAGATCAGAACTATTCCAAGCTGATATTTATCCAGACTGTCCATCTAGTGAACCAGCTTTAAGTGCTGAAGAATGGTTTGGTGGTAAAGAAGTTAATGGACCTTTGCTTCTTAACATGGAAGCTATATTTGAAGGTACTAAACCTGAAATTCGTGATTCTAAACCTGCAACTGTCGTAAATGATGTCAAAAAGGAAGCTGAAAAGACCAAACAAGAAGAACAGAAAAAGAAGGAAGAAGAACAAAAATTAGCTAAAGAAACTACAAGTAAAGCCATTTCTAATGGCAAGAAAGAAGAATCCGTGTCAAGAGAAGGTACTCCAGGTAAGAATGTCGATGATTTGTTGAAGAATTCTGGACAAGTTAATAGTTTACTTTCTAAAGTTGCTGATCAATCTGATGACGAAGATGCACAAAATGATGATGATGATGATGAAAATGGAAAAGATGATGGTTGGGAAGAAGTTAAGAAACCTGAAGTTAAATCATTGTCGTCGTCCGAAACCGAAAAAGCTGAACCAAAGAAGGAAGAGCCAAAGAAAGAAGAGCCAAAGAAAGAAGAGCCAAAGAAAGAAGAGCCAAAGAAAGAAGAGCCAAAGAAAGAAGAGCCAAAGGTAGAAGTCAAGAAAGAAGAGCCAAAGGTAGAAGTCAAGAAAGAAGAGCCAAAAGCTGAACCAAAAGCTGAATCAAAAGCTGAACCAAAGGTAGAAGCAAAGACTGAACCAAAGGTAGAAGCAAAGACTGAACCAAAGAAAGAAGAAACCAAAGAAGAAACCACCAAATCACCAAAACCAACATTAGGTTCAACAATTGAAAAATTAGCTTCTTTAGTTACTCAATTGGAATCACAAGTTACCAAATTAACACAAGCTGGTTTAGAAAAAGATGAAAGATTAGCTGCTTTGGAAAAGAAACTTGATGAACTTTTGAAAAAGTAATACGAATTATAAATATCTATCTATATATATATATGTTAGATTATACTCAATAAAATGTAACTATTAAACTCATACCATTCACAATTGTAGTTTCTACAGTATTGAACAATGATAATTAAAAAAAGGTATACTTAAAATAGTTTTTATTAACATTACTATACTATACAAACTATTCTTTCTTGATATCATAGAATTTTCTAAATATCAAAGCCATAAAATTATCTAAATCAAATGTCACTTTACCATCAAACATATCAAATTTTTTCTTATTTTCATATTGCATTCCTAATAATTCATCTAATGTAATTGTATTTGAAGCACCAGGAATATTTACTGTACCACTTGCTACTTCAATAGTGAATTTACCAGCTTGATGACAACTAAACATGAAATCTAATTTAGATGCACTTGAAGAAGCATTTAAAGCATAATCAACAAGTACTTTCTGATCCATTAATTTCTTTGCTGAATATTTATAAGATCCAAATTTAGGTAATCTATTTCTTTTACGTAATTCACGTAAGTAAAAATATTGTTTACTAAACACTGGAATAATATTGAAAATTTTCTTATTCTTTGGTTTAGTTTGTAATTCATTTAAAACTGAATCAACATGTCTGTTATAATCACGTAATTGATTACGTAAAAATTGTTCCTTTTGAGTAAGTTTGCTAATTGTTTTCTCAGAAGCTTCAAGTTGTTCTTTACGAAGTTTTCTTTGAGTATCTTTAGTTTTAATATCCATGGCAATTTGATTAAGTAATTCTTGGAATGAATTACGTCTTGTCAATTCACCCATTGATTCTAATTTAAGAATGATTTCCAAACACATTTTCTTCAAATCATGATAACTTAATTTTGAAATATCTCCAATTGATATATTATAAAGTGATCTATCTTTACTTTCAAACATACCTAAAGCTGCTTTTTCTTCTTCAAATCTTTGTTCGTGAATAGGTTGAATTCCAGCTATTAACAATTCTAAAAGATCATCACCATCTTGGACTCGGATAATATAAAGTAAACATCTCTTTGCCTGAGTGAAAAGTGCTCTTGTTTTGGAATCAATAACTGGTTCTTCAACAGTATTTGCAGCAAGATTTAATACCACAGTGGATAATTCAGCAAAAGCAATAACATCTTCCGGAGTTGAAATTAAATTATTCAATTGCATGCAAATCTTGTATAATTGATCATCATTACCAGCAGTGATGATATCGATATTTTGTTGAATGATTTTTTCTAATTGACTAATCGAATTTGTACTCATGGTTAATTTTGGTCTTTGATGAGTAACTATATCATCATAATCATTGAATTCATAAACCAGTTCAATTTCATTATCAACATCAATGACAATTCTAATTATAGATTCAACTCTTGTAGTAACAGCAGAAATATATTCATTCAAAGGTTTCAAAAAATCATCACTGAAAACTTTCATAGAAAACAATTGCAACATGACACGATATAATTGTCTGAGATTATCCATATTTCTAGAAGATTGTCCAACATTAATACCAAATTTTCCTGGAGTTCTTAATATAGTTCCAATATAATGTTTCAAGAAAATAACCCCAGCAACTGCTAAATGTTGTTGATCAGATTTATCAGGGAATTGATATTGTGACATCAAATAACCTTGACGAGCAATTAATCTTACATGATCAGGAATCTTGGTAGCATTGATTTCTAATAAATCAAGCAACTCAGAACAATTTTCTCTAAGAGAAACCAAATTGTTCACGAATCTATTACTAACTTCTGGTAATTGAATAGCAGCTTGTGGTGAAATATCACGTGGTCTATTGCTAAAGCCATGAACTTTAACTTCATGAGCCACGATACTTTCATAAATTCTACTTGGATCAGATTCAAAATCTAAATCTTCACTATCAACAAGTCTAATGACAAATTTACCACATAATGATTTCAAATGTTGTCTTTGATACGTATGGTTATTAAAATCCATCAAGAATTCAATCCAATGTGTCAAATGAATTTTAGTTATATCTCCAACATATCGTGATTTTGAAATATCTGATTTCATCAACAGGATAATCAATTTGATAAAAAAATATTCTTCACGGGAATGTGCAGTTATCGAGGAATCACGAACTGGGAATAATTGAACAATTAATTGAAACATATCTTTGTTTACTTTAGTATCCTTGTTGTTATAAGGAATTGAATTGTATAATTTTGTTAAATAAACTGGATTTGTTTGAAGGAAATAAAAGAAACTTTGATATAATTCAATTCTTTTTTTGGAAGATTTGGTTAATCGTTCTAAACTTTTAACATTTTCCACAACTGGTCTATAAGATTTGGTAGTTGGTTTAATAAACTCTTCAATACTGATTTTATTCTTATCCAACAATGCAAGTTTCATATCCAATTGTTGAATTTGATTTTCCAAATCTTCATTAATCTTACACTTGTCAATTATTGAATCTCTAATGCTTGAAAGAGCAACTTCATCTTGAAAATCACGATCTCTGTTTGATAACAATGGTAAAAATCTTCGAATGACATCAAGGGATGGATTTTTGCTTGAAATTAATGATCTGTATGCATTTTGATCAAATATTCTTTTTAATATAGCTTGGGCTCTAATAACTTGATTGATATTTTTTCTATAATATTCTTCAAATTCATAAATTTCTCTTCTCATGAATTTGCCTCTAATGATTGACTGTAAAGTTATGATTGAATCAACATGGGTATAAATTTCATCCATGGTGGATACTTTTTTAACACGAGAAAGTAATCCTCTGCATAAAGATTGTATAGGAACAACACATGATTCTTCAATTCTTAATAATTCTTGTTTATTGACATTGACCAGTCTTCTCAACTTGTTACCTCTAACTTTTGCAAAAAGTTCATTTAATTTACCATCTTCATAAATCAAAGTAACCAAAACATTTTTACACAACCTTGTTCTAGTAATTCCACCTCTAGCAATACTTTGTAATTCAATAAACTGACGTTTGTTGGAACGAACTTGAGAAAGTTTAATGGTAAGATCTTCAAGAACAGCATTTCTTCTTATAATTGATTGTAAAGCAACAACTGGTTTTTCATCAATATCTTTACATAAAGCTGATCTATGATACAATTGTGTACGTGCAATTGATTGAAGTTGTATCAATGAAGGTAAAATTTCATCAATATGAGATACAAGTCTACCACTTGTGCAAAAGATTTTCTTCATTCTTACCAAAGATTGTAAAGATGTAACATTTGGTATAGATTTTTCCAAACTTTCATTAATTTTTTTAAGTTTACTTCTTTGTAATTGACCTCTTATAACAGCTTGGAATTGGGACATCTTGATTCCAGTAAGATCAGGTTTCTTTTTGGTAACAAATTTCCTTCGGATAATTGATTGTAATTCTGTAATTTCAAAAGCATATGCTCTCAAATCGTCCCTATGTTTATGAACAGTCTTTGCTCTGATAACATTACCACGAATTATTGAAAACAAGTCTGTGAATTCTTCTTCATATGATTTAAGCAAAATTCTATCAACAAACATGGAATATCTAAACACAGCACCTCTTGCTAAAGATTGAAATTTAATAATATTTGTCATGTGTTGTTCAAGTTCTGGGGTATAATAATCATCTGTCAGTTTAGGAGTAGTATTCAAAATAACTGGCAGTCTAATTTTAAATACGGGTTCTGGAGTACCCGGTGACTTTGTGGGAGTTGTTGCTGATGATTTTGGTTCTCTAAATGGATCATCATCGACATGTTTTTCTAATTCCTTCTCTTCTTCTTGTTCTACTTTTTCATTGTCTCTAATTGTTGGAGTAGTTGAAGGTTTGAATTTTAGTTGTTTTACAGGTGAAGCAATTTTCTTTATTGGAGAAGTTACTTTTTTCATATATGTACCTCCATCAGTTTCATCAAGGTCACCTCCATGAGCTCCTGAAAAGTTGGGTAATGGAGCACTAACCAAAGCTCTATTAGCAGCTCTAATATCATCATCATTAAAATCAATTTTTCCAACTAAATTTTCTATTTTAGGATAAGATGAATCTTGTTTGTTCAATATATAACTCAATGCATGTAAACAAAACCATACTTTTGGTACATTTTTTGCATCGTATAAATCAGTTAATTCAAATCGGAATAAATCAGGCATATTTAAATGATCTAATAATTGGAAAAATCTATTAATATTTTCTGTATGTTTAAATTGTAATTTTGAATCATTGGTAAATACTTGTCTTTGAGTAGGTAAGATTACATTTGCTAATTTTGCAAGAAAAATCCCATTTCTAATATATGAAATCAATTCTACTGCAGATTTTCCTACATCTTCCAGTAAAACTTGTCCTAACCACAGTTTAATTGCTTCTATTCGACATAAATATTCATATCCTGGTGAATCTTTTGAAGCATTATTACTTGGTGAAGATAAGAATGGACGTTTGGAAGATGGTTTATCCAATGGTTCTGATAATGGTTTCAATGGAGTGGTGATTTTAGTTGGTGATCTTTTTAAAACATCTTTATAGTTTTTATTTGCCCAACTAGGTGTTTCATCAGAACCTATTTCAAAGTGATTTTTCTTTGGTGATGTTGATCCAATACTGGAATCACTAGTTTTGAAAGATGAAACAGTAGCTGAAGGAGATTCAAATTTGGATCTCAATAATGTGGTTGTAACTGATGGTTTGGTGGTTTTCCTACTTGGAGTAATGTTCAATGCTCTTGCTAAATCATCCAAATCTTCATTGTTGTTGGATTGTTTGAACTTAGTGGGGGAATTGGTCCGTGATTGAACTGGTTTGACATTATTATTGGTATCCTCTAGCGAGTTCAAATACCTAGCTGTTATATCAGTAATAGGCATTCTTGTCTTGGTTAATAAGAGAATAAATGGTATATAGTAAAAACACAAGAAGAAGAAGAAGCAGAAGAAGAAGAAGAAGTATAAGTAGGAGATTTATTGAACAAATATAATCGATTCCTAGACAAGAAGCAAAATTAAAATTTAAACAAAAAATTGTGTTTCAGTAGAAAGTGTTTACATTTTAACCCAATTAGTAAAGATGTATACACAATTGGTAGCACACGCACAAAAAAAAAGTTTGAAACGATGAATCGAATATTGACAATTTTTTTTATTTATTTTGGTTTTCGTCAATTGATTACATAAAGGTGATAGAATGTCTATTAATGATAGATAGTCGATATATTCTGAGGGAGGGAATTATACTTCTTTAGTTTGTTGTGAGTGGCGTTGTTCGTAAATATCTTCCAAAAGTTGCAGGGTTTTATTATATTCTTCAAATTGGGTTCTCAAAGTTGGTAATCGCTTATTTGTTTCCTCTAGTAATTGCAAATATTTATTGAGTTTCTTTGAAGTATCCTCGTGATCAATCTCCACGGGTTTTTGTTCATCGTTTAGGTTATCTTGATCTTCTTTTTCAATCTGATTAATTAATTCCGATACTTCATCGTCCACTTTTTTAATAACATCATTATAAACATCACTTGCTTTTATAGGAATCTCTCGCCTCATTCTAGTCACTTCAACTGTTTCTGTTTCAAATTCTTGTAATATATTTCTTAATTTCGAAGTTATATCTGCATCAATTTGCTCGACATTTTCATGTGTTCTTAATAAAAGAATATCCTTAATTGATGTTTCATCCAAATCTCTTCCATCTGCAAGGATTGAATATTTTGAACTATCAAAAATATTAACAAGAAATTCCTCAAGCATAGTGGAAACTTCATTCTTTAATGGATCCTTTTGTGCCCCCGGTAGATGTAGGTTAAGTTTATCCATTGCTGATTGTAATACATTATCAAAAACATGACTATAGTCTTGCTTTGACAATGCTATCTTTTCATAACCATTCTTAAAATCCATTATCTATTCTCTAATAACGTGTCACACTGTGTTATCGTTGTTGATGTTGTTGATGTTGTTGTTTTCTTGAAAACAGCAAAAGAAAAAAAATTAGAAATTGGTGGTCGTGTGTGTACCAGTAATCACGTGCACATTGTACAAATTAATCTCTCACTGTCAATCGTTCGTTGATTAAATTGAGAAGAACGAAAAAAAGAAAAAAAAATTTATAACAACTGGTGGTTATTTCATTTTGATTAATCAAAACCCACCACCTTCATTTTTATTATTTGTTTTTAATACACCCAATTATGTCAGAGGCATTAGGTGAAGAATATTACCCAGCTTTTGCTCCCTTTTTAGGATTTGCTGGTTGTGCAGCAGCAATGATGTTATCTTGTGCTGGAGCAGCCATTGGAACAGCAAAATCAGGTATTGGTATTGCTGGTATCGGTACTTTTAAACCAGAATTGATTATGAAATCATTAATCCCTGTTGTTATGTCCGGTATTTTATCGGTTTATGGTTTAGTTGTATCTGTTTTAATCGCTGGTGGATTATCACCAACTGAAAATTATTCCTTGTTTAACGGATGTATGCACTTGGCTTGTGGATTGGCCGTTGGATTCGCCTGTCTTGCATCAGGTTATGCAATTGGGATCGTTGGTGATGAAGGTGTAAGACAATTCATGCACCAACCTCGATTATTCGTTGGAATAGTCTTGATTTTGATTTTCGCAGAAGTTTTGGGGTTATATGGTATGATTATTGCATTGATTTTAAACACCAAAGGAAGTGGTTAGGTTATCTTGGTATAGAGTATGTACAATAAAGAAAAACAAATAAACAAAAAAAAAAAAGTACATTATTTTAACAGAATAAACTATAACAACACTCTAATCTGTTTCCATCTTGTCATCCTCCACTGTGGTGGATTGTTCTTTACCAATGGTGACATTACCAGAATCATCAATATACTGAGACGAGTTTTCTTCCAAATACTGTACAGATCTATCAGCGTCTAAGAATAACATGTATGCTCTTTTTATATCTTGCAAGTCAACATTCTTGTTCTTCTTCTTTAAAGAAATTTGTTGTGAAACAGAAATCAAATTGGCAGCATACCTTAAACTAGTTTCTTGCCCAATTTTAGTCAACAATGCCAATGCATCCCCAGATAATTCAACTTCTTCTTCATTTGCTCGTATGGACAAGATTGTTCTGATTTCATCGGCACTATATGAACTTGTGTGAATGGTGATGGATCTATCTAACAAATCCATTGGCATTCCATGAGGTGATTTGTATTCAGTACCTCTGATTCGGGAAATACCTCTATTTGTAGCCATAATGACAATAGGAGAAAACTCATCTTCCAATGCTCTGTTGATAAATGAAAAACATTCAATGTCCAACATATGAACTTCATCAATAAATAACACCCCAGGAACAATTTCGGCTTTTCCTTCTTCTTTCCACTCAGCAACTTTTGTATTAATTTGATCACGTACTTCTGGTCTGATTTCACCAGTATCACCTGAAAACAAGGCCAAAAACCCTTGTTGTCTGGAATTTATAACGTCAATTTCATGTAAAGAAATAGTGTGTACGACTTCTTTTCTCTTTTGTAATTCTCCTTCTGGACATTGGACAAATTTAGTTTGCGGACCCATGGCATCGTAATCTCTAGCTCTGGTGAAGGATCTACCCAATTTAGTGATTTTCCCAGAAGCTTTATCAATAGAAATAACATCACCTGCTAAAACTTTTTCTTTGGTCAATCCTTCAATCATTTTATTACCCAATTCATAAATAGTTTCCATATCAGTAGTTTTGATGGTTAATTTCCCTTGTTTATGGCCACCAGTAATAGTTCTATCCACTTGAATTTCAACAACTTCCCCCTCGATGATTTCGGCTTCTTCTTTAATTCTAATACCAATAGATTTTCTAAAAGCTTGGATCAATGCTTCTGTTTTGGACAATTCCAAGGAATAAATCTCCGATGCGGCCAACGCAGTGAATGGAACTTCACTTCCCAAATTTTGTGATAACCCCATAGCAATTGCTGTCTTACCAGTGGATGGAGGACCAGCAATCAACACTGCTCTACCAGCAATCTTTCCAGCTTGTACCATTTTCAAAATGACACCGGCCGCTTTACGAGCTTGTAATTGTCCAACCATACCTTGGGCATTTTCTTTAGGTTGTAAATTATCGTCCAATCCAAGACCAGATATATGAGAATGTGCTGCTATTAAAGACAAACCAGAGATATCACTGGTTGTCACCTTGGTTGTGATGGTTGACATGATGATGGATGTAATAGGGATGATACTATGAAATGAACTTTATTTTTTTTCAATTATTATGGTTGTTTTTCTTTTCTCTTTTTTCATCATCTTCTTCTTGATACTTTTCAGAGAAAACGAAAAAAAAAGAGAGACATTGTGGTTGGCACGACTTTGATTACGTAAGAACGGTGTGTTCACCTGCATATAATCCTCCATTATCATTTCTAACATTCTGGGGGGGATATGTCGGTACTCAACTTTAGATTTTTCATTTTTTTAAAAGTGATATGACCATAATTGTATAATTCTATGATATCATCCGATTGGAAACTCATGTGTTCCGCGACTCGAATATTCCCGTTGTATTAATTCTGCGTCACAGGTTGGGAAGGATCACAATAATCCGAGTGCATCACCATATTGTGTGTGGGCGGGAGAGGGAAAAAAAAAATTCTCCGTTGGACACTACACACAATAAAATTCAAGATAGTCAGTTCCGTCAGGTGGTGGTCAAACCTCGTGGAGTGTACAAACCGAAAAAAAAAAAATAATAACCAAAATCTTACCATCGACTTATAAAAAGTGTTGTAGAAGAATTTGCTATTGGATTTTTTTTTTTTATGAAAAATTCTTTCTTTTCCTTTTCCTCTTAATCAAGTCCTTTTTATTATTATTATTTATATATATTAAAAGATCTACATTATGATTTCAATTGTTAATGGTACTTCCACGCATTCGTTGGTTGCTGGAACCAAAGAAACATTGAGCCAGGCCATTAATTTCTACACAAATATCCTTGGGTTGTCCGTACATTCAGAAAATGACGACTTGACATATTTATCAAATGAAGACAACAAAATGATTGTCAAAATCAAATTGGACGCAAAAACTGGTTTGTCTCCATCCCAAATTCATGACAGAAGAGAAGATATAATCTCCAAATTGAATGTCATCGATTGGAGATCATTGGATACTACCAATGTCTTTAAAGTTGAAAACTTGGTTGCCTTGATTGAAACTTTGTCTACTTATAGATACACTTTACAAATTACCCCAAACGAATTGTATCCTAATGAAGTTTACTGTGTTGATCCATTGGGTTATATTGTTGGTTTCACAGCTTGTGCCGAACCATTGACCCTTGTGCCTCCATTACAAAAAGCCAATCCAAAATTTGACGGAGCCTCCAACTTGATGAGCAAATCTGGATCCCAATCTAGATCTGTTGAAGAAATCAAACAAGTTAGAAGAAACATTGGTGTTATGACTTCTGGTGGTGATTCCCAAGGTATGAATGCTGCCGTTAGAGCTGTTGTCAGGGCCACTATCTTCCGTGGCTGCAAAGCTTTTGTTATTAAAGAAGGTTATGAAGGTTTGGTTAAAGGGGGCCCTGAATATATCAAAGAAACCAATTGGCAAGATGTTAGAGGGTACCTTTCTGAAGGTGGTACTAACATTGGTACTGCTAGATGTATGGAATTCAAAGAACGTTGGGGTAGATTATTGGGTTGTAGACATTTGATTGAAGCCGGAATTGACGGTTTGATTGTCTGTGGTGGTGATGGTTCCTTAACCGGGGCTGATCTTTTCAGACACGAATGGCCATCATTGATTGCTGAATTGAAAGAAAAGGGTGAAATCACTGCAGAACAATACGAAAGACACAAGCACTTGTACATTTGTGGTATGGTTGGTTCTATTGATAATGATATGGCCATGACAGATTCCACCATTGGTGGTTACTCTGCTTTGGAAAGAATCTGTAGAGCTGTTGACTACATTGATGCCACTGCCAGTTCCCATTCCCGTGCTTTCGTTGTTGAAGTTATGGGTAGACATTGTGGTTGGTTGGCTTTGATGGCTGGTATTGCCACTAGTGCCGATTATATTCTTATCCCTGAAAAACCAGCCTCTTCTAAAGACTGGAAAGATCAAATGTGTGACATTGTTGGTAAACACAGAGCTAAAGGTAAGAGAAAGACCATTGTCATTGTTGCTGAAGGTGCCATTACTTCTGAATTGAAACCAATCACCTCTGAAGAAGTTAAAGATGTCTTGGTTGATAGATTAGGTTTGGATACCAGAATCACTGTTTTGGGTCATGTCCAAAGAGGTGGTACTGCTGTTGCTTATGATAGAATTTTGGCTACTTTGCAAGGGGTTGAAGCTGTTAAAGCTATTTTGGAATTGACCCCAGATGTTCCATCCCCATTGATTGCCATTGATGAAAACAAGATTTGCTGCAAACCATTGGTTGAAGCCGTCAAGATTACCAAATCTGTTGCTGATGCCATTGAAGCTCAAGATTTCGACAAGGCCATGTCATTGAGAGACCATGAGTTTAAGGAACATTTAGCCAACTTTATGGCCATGAATTCTGCTGTTCATGAAAAACCAACTTTACCAGTTGAAAAGCGTAAGAAGATTGCTATTGTCAATATTGGTGCTCCAGCTGGTGGTATGAATTCTGCAGTTTATGCCATGGCCACTTATTGTATGTCTAGAGGTCACACTCCATACGCCATCCACAATGGTTTTGCTGGTTTGGCCAGACACGAATCTGTTAAACTGATGAATTGGATTGATATTGAAGGTTGGAACAGTATTGGTGGTTCAGAAATCGGTACCAACAGACAAACACCTGAAGATACTGATATTGGTATGATTGCACACTATTTTGAAAAATACCAATTCGATGGTTTGATTATTGTTGGTGGTTTCGAAGCATTTGTTTCTTTAGAACAATTGGAAAGATCTAGAGCTATGTACCCAGCTTTCAGAATTCCTATGGTTTTGATCCCAGCTACTATTTCCAATAATGTTCCAGGTACTGAATACTCTTTGGGTGCTGATACATGTTTGAACTCCTTGATGGAATACTGTGATATTGTCAAACAATCTGCATCTGCCACTAGAGGTACTGCTTTCGTTGTTGATGTTCAAGGTGGTAACTCTGGTTATATTGCTACATATGCTGCTTTGATCAGTGGTGCCCAAGCCTCATATGTTCCAGAAGAAGGTATTAACTTGTCTCAATTAGAAAATGATATCAACTCATTGAGAGAATCCTTCTGTATTGAAAGAGAAATGACCAAATCTGGTAAATTGATCATCAAGTCCAGTAATGCCTCCAAGGTTTTGACTCCACATGTATTGGCCGATATTATCAATGCTGAAAGTCACGGTGAATTTGATACCAAGACTGCTATTCCAGGTCATGTTCAACAAGGTGGCTTGCCATCTCCAATTGATAGAGCCAGAGGTGATAGATTTGCCATTAAAGCTGTTCAATTTATTGAAGACCATGCTGATGATTTGAGTGGCTTGAGATACTCTTTGGAATTCCCAGATGATGATAAGAAGATTATGAACACAGCTGCTGTATTGGGTGTTAAATCATCACACTTGAAGTTCACTTCCATCAGACACTTGTATGATTTTGAAACTGAATTGGGTAGAAGAATGCCAAAGAAGATTCATTGGAGTAACACTAGAGAAATTGCTGATAGATTGGTTGGTAGAACCAGAATCTAAGTATTAATCAATGGGGGCCCTTGGGGCCAAAGAGATGATGAGATGATGATTAAATTATTGTCCCAAATAATTGTATAGTAGAGAAGAAGAAACATTTAAATGTATTATAGCGCACAACAAAATAAACGAGAATCAAGCAAAAAAAAAAAAAAAATTTCATTGAAAAACTGTCTCTCTCTCTCTCTGTCGTATTTAACTCCTTTGAACAATGTTCAGATCAAGTGTTCGATTATTTGTCCGACGATTACTGGTTAAACCCAATGATTTGACATATGAGTTTAGAAAATCCATGATTACATCATCTAAAGATGATTTCTATTATCCTTCAATTTCCAAAATTCGACAAAAGTTATCACCAAGTCAACGAATGAGAGTAAAAGAATTTCGTGAAATATTTGATTCAAAGAATGAATTTCTGGATAATGATAATAATTATCTACTTGAAGGAAGAATTTTAAGTATTAGAAAAGCAGGAAGAGCCATGTATTTTATTGATATAATTCAAGATGATGTAAATGTACAAATAATGGCTACAAATAAACTTATGGAAATGAATAAAGAAGAATTTGATAGTATTCATGGATTTTTCAAAATTGGTGATTATATTGCCGCAAGAGGTAATGTTTCACGAACTAAAACTGGTGAATTAACATTGAAATTGAATCGTCCAATAGAAATGTTAACCCCTAGTTTAAATCAAATTCCAAATAGACTTGTTGATCGAGGATTAATTAATAATAATCGCGTTCTTAATTATTTGGTAAATCCAGAATCAAAAAATCCAATTATTATCAAATCTAAAGTGATTCAAGCAATAAGAAAATTTTTAATGGATAGAGAATTTTTAGAAGTATCAACTCCAATTTTAAGTGGGAAAGGAACTGGAGCTAATGCTACACCATTTATTACTACTTTTAAATCACAACAGGTTCATCTTCGAGTAGCTCCAGAATTATGGTTGAAGAAATTTGTTATTGGTGGATTTGATAAAGTATTTGAAATTGGTAGTAATTTTAGAAATGAAGGGATAGATATGACTCATAATCCTGAATTTTCCACCTGTGAATTTTATCAAGCATATACTAGTTTAGAAGAATTGATGGATTTAACTGAAGAATTATTTAAATATGTGTTTGCCAAAGTTGGAGGTGTTGAATGTGATTCATTCCCAAAATATGATTTCTTACCTACATTGGAGAAACGTACTGGATTGGCCATACCAGAATTAACACTCGAGGCGTTGTTGGGATATTATAAGAAATTAGAACTAGAAGTACCACCACAGCCAAACCCAGTGAAATTGTTGAACAACTTGTCGGAGATTTATTTAGAGTCACTATGTGAGGAACATCCTAAGAATACTCCTGTTTTTATATACAATCAACCAGAAGTGATGTCACCGTTTGGCTAAATCTACTATTGATGAACGTGGGAATAGAATATCCTTAAGATTTGAATTGTTTATTAATGGTAAAGAAATGGCTAATGCATATGAAGAAGAAAACAATCCAGTACAACAAATGGCCAAATTTAAATTGCAACAAAAGATGAAACAAGAGTATAATGATCAAGAAATGTTAATTCCTGATGATAACTATGTCAACACGATGAATTGGGGGTTACCACCTACTGGTGGATGGGGATGTGGTATAGATCGATTGGCAATGTTACTTGCTGAAGTAGATAGAATAGAGGATGTATTACCATTTGGTAATTTGCAATCAGTATTGAAGAACTAACATACACTTGTGAGCTGTTAAAGAAGAATCAGATTAATTATTTGAAAGATGTCGAGATTAAAAGGTGTGACTACATCTTTGGGTTTATGTATTAACTCAATGCACGTTTTACTTTTTCATAGACTACAAATGTAATACACGTAGCGGGAACAACTCGTATTATGTTTGCACTTAAACCACGATAAAATGAAGTTAGTCGTCTGTCTGAGTACAATTCACGAACAACTTTTGATATTGTCGATTTTTTATGTGAATTTTGTAGTCTAGCACGTACGACTTGAGTAGGATACATTATCAAAGTACTTATTATCTTAGATGTAGCAGATGCATAAAGTGTTGTTAAATCATCATGAATATTAAAATGTTGTTTAATATTATCATAAATTGTGATTTGTAAACTTGCTTGAAAAACTTGAAATAAACTAGGTATAGTACCTTTCCAAAAACTCAGTATACCTTCTTTATTCAACATTTGTTTAATTCCATCAATCATAGATTTATATTCATTTGAACCAAGGATTCTTGTTTTAAGTACCCATATAGGATTAGTAATTATCGATGTAGATAATCCAGCCATTACAGAAGCACTAAAATAATTAATTGATGGATTATGAACATCAATAATTTTTTTAAATTCTCCATAAAGAGAGAAATATAATCCCCAAGCAGATATATTACCAATAAGATTTGGCATTATTCCACGATAATAAGATCCATGAAGGGAACGTATTGTTGATACAAGTGATGAATTTTCAGATAATTGTAGTCGAATTTTAATAACATCTAATGGATGAGTAACTATGGTGGTACAGAACCCTGCAGAAAGTCCTGCAATGAGATCATCTACGGGCATTGAATAAATGACTAAACTTCAACTGAATGAATGGAATAATGTGGGATTATTGTTGATGATGATCACAAGAAGTGAAAAAAAAAGAGTAGTAGTAGTAGTAGTATAAGAAAAACGAGTGAAAAATTTCCAGTCCATTTCCTTCTCGTCCAATGATATCTACAATGGTATCAATTACAATATGAAACTGTATAATAATAATAATAGTATATATATTTACACGTAAAGGAAAGGGGACAGTAGTGGGGAGGGGATTCAACTATTAAGCAGATGGGAATGGTGATAACAAGTTCAACAATGATGGTTTACTTGGGGTAGCTGACCAGCCGAGGTATAACACAAATGGAATAAAGCCATAATGAGCAATAGTTTTTGAGTAATCTAAAAGTTTAACAACTCTTTCTTTGGATTCTTCTGAGAGGGTAAGTTGTAATGGCATTGTAATGAAATAATGGATATGTGATTAAATAAGGCAAAGAAGTAATGTTGTTGAAAGAGGGAGGAGAGTTTAATGAAGAAGAAAAAAAAATTTTTTCATGATTTTGTATGGATCTTGGTAAGTGCACGACTTAACCAGTAAAAAAGTATGTTCTGCTAAAGCAATTTAAACCTCTTGATTACCCCCAAACTATGGAGAGAAATGATGTAGGATAGGGGTTGTTGAAAGAGGGAAATTTGACATTACTGATGTGTGTAAAACACAATAGAATTGGTAGTTATTTAATCAATTCTACAAGTGTTTCATTAACATATACTCATTTTTTACTGCCCTCGTATTCTTCCCTTGCATTATTTATTGAACATTCTTGCATAACACTAAACGTTATTACACACCTATGATATTGAATTACCTATTCTTTCAACAAGGTGTGTTGTTGTGTGTGGATGATATTCTTGTGTACAAGTTTAGTTAATTAATTTCTGGGTTTTGGGTTTCCCATGCCACGTGATCACATGCCATATGTTTGAAATAGTGATTGGTTATGAGGAGGAGTGACGCCACAGTTTTTTCCTCCTTCCGACTCGGTGCCATAAATATTGAGCAATTCGCACTTTTTAATATTAATAATATTCTTTCACTCTTTCACTAGACACTCATAGTTACATATTCATACAATAATGCCAACTTTAAGATTAGGTTCCACTGCTCCAGATTTCCAAGCTCAAACTACTAATGGTCCTATTAGTTTCCATGAATACATTGGTGATAACTGGGCAATCTTGTTTTCTCATCCAAGTGCAGAGACACCTATTTGTCTGACTGAATTACCTGCTTTTGCCAAGTTGGAACCAGAATTCACCAAGAGAGGTGTGACCTTAGTTGGTTTATCTGTTGATCCAGTCGAAGCCAATTCCAAATGGATTGATGATATGGAAGATATTAGTGGTACCAGAGTTAAATTCCCAATCATTTCTGATTTTGACAGAAAAGTTTCCGTTTTGTATGACATGCTTGACCATCAAGATGTTACTAATGTTGACAACAAAGGTTTACCATTGACTGTTAGATCAGTTTTTATTATTGACCCAAAGAAAACTATTAGATTAATTTTAACTTACCCAGCTTCTACCGGTAGAAACACTGCTGAAGTTTTGAGAGTTGTTGATTCTTTACAAACTGGTGATAAACACAGAATTGCTACTCCAATCAATTGGGTTCCAGGTGATGATGTTGTTGTTCCAGTATCTATTCCAGATGATGAAGCTAAAACTTTATTCCCAAAGTTCAGAGCTATCAAACCATACTTGAGATTAACTCCATTGGATGTCAAGGATGAATCCAAATAAGGAAGAACCTTTACATTTGTTGTATCCTACTCACCCCGTCCCACTCCTAGTGAGATCCTCTTGAGGAGAATCTCCTCCAGTATGTATAGTCTTTATTCCGTTTAATGCATATTGTTGTTTTTCGTTTTAGTATAATACTGTATGTGTGATTATTTCGTAATGCCATTATTAGTCGTGCCAAACATATCAGTATACTGGAAATAACCCACGTATGGACGATACACGTTTATAATGTAGTGTCAGATATTTAGCATTGTAATTAAATATTTTCTGAAGCGTAATAGATTATGTAATAAATTATATGAATTTGCACCCAATTTTAAATTAAAGTGCAATGCAAAAATAGTGCTCGTTATAAAGCACTAGAAAACTCTGTCATAACTGGTTTTACACTAGGTAAATTACACACAATCCATAACTGTAATAATCGTAATATTCAATGGTTATTCTATTTTGTAGACAAGTTTTGGATATCAATATGTAACAACACTTCTGGATGTTTTCCAGAAACACATAATCAATGGTATATTGGACCTGTTACTTGATCAAAAATGCCACTTTATCATTATTCAACATTCTGTAATATTGAGAACGGCAAAACTCACAAATTCACAATCAGTAACTTCATACTGTTATAGAACTAATATATATTTGTTTATAATATGTAACTAATATATCAATTTTTACTTAAAACTTTCACTCCTTAAGTAAGCCTTGACTACTATGACCATGTGGTTTTACTCTAAAGAACCATTGTCTACTTCATAATTTCCTTTGAAAATATCCTGGCATGATGCTGTCATAGCATTAGGAGTAGTTCCAATTAATAAAGTTCCATAAGGAATGCCACCATGAGACATCGTGATGCAATAAACATTTTCCACCAAATCACCTCTCAATTTTTGTAATACTGCATGTATTGCCTCCGAAATAGTCTTTTGATCAGGTATAGATTCACATTTTTTATCACTTGTCCAATATCTATACCATAATCCTCCCATTTGTCCATGTATTTCTTCACAGTTACCTTCTCTAATACGAACCCAAATTTTAGATGCCAAATGACTCATGTCAATAGCAAGTTGCCAATTAGAAGTAAGGCATTTACCAACAGTTTCTGTAACCCACAGAACGAATTCTTGTATATTTTGTCTCGGAACTATATTTAATTCCTGGGGAAAATCAGAAATATTATCCTTAACATAGTCTCCTTTAAGTGATCCATCTGCCTCAGATTCTTCATAAGCATCTAATTCAAACATTATAATAGTACCAGATTCAAAGCTTCCTTCGTCGTCCTTTAATATTGTTACATTGTTTGAAGGATTAGATATATCTTCCGTATGATTCCCTACCAGTGTGGATAATGCCCATTTGGAAAAGAAAAGAAATAAAACTAACAATGATCTTATAACGAACAACATATTTATTTATCAAGAAGTAAAAGTTAAAGTCGATACAACTATATTTAAAAGGCAAACTCTTGACTGGTCTGAAATATCAAAAACAAAAAAAATCAATTGTATGTCTTCGAAATAGGTTCTTTTGCATAAAGGGGAAAAAATGCTCATATTTATAATTATTCGGAGATTGGCCACTACTGTCTAAATATGAAAGTTGTTCAAAAAATGTCATCACTGTCTTAGCGTATTGCATTGAAGATTTATTTCAAAACTAATTAACGATGCACGAGCTACATAAAATCACAAAACACGACCATACATGCATGCACTCAGTCAACAATAATCAAAAATGAGCCCACGAAATTAGACATCTTGAAAATAAACGAATACAGAGCTAGCTAATCATATTCAAGGACTGAAATTATTACATGATTACCAGTAGTCCCATTGTGCATCTGGCTAAAATCAAGATTTTTAGTAAGTGGCCATGGTGATTCAATTATCTAGAGCATCCATCTCTATCGATACCCACTAGCAGATCTAGGTTAATTGGAACAGTTGTATAGGTTATTCAATTTAACTCCGGACGTCTTAGGTCTCGGTCTTGCTCTATTCAAAAGCTCTATTACGCTCCTATTGATAAATTTTATCTATTATTTCTGACAATCACTAATAATAGCGGATATAACTGCCAACAAGGTATTGAAAAACTCATTATCGTTATGGTTGACAATTGTTTTGTTGTGGAATTCCCTTATCATAGCACAAAAGTAGAAAACCCTGTCAGAAGTCAAGCCAGATGATTTCTCTTCGAGCATTCTTAAAAATGACTCTAAAAATTCATGATGGATTTCATTAGACACTTTAGACATTTGAGTTAATCTCAAAAGAGAGATGTAGCAGTTTTTAAAAACCACATTAACATAATATGGGGGAGTTTTCTCTACTAAAAAAGGAAATAATTCATCAAAAGCATTTGTTTGTATTGGTGGATCAATTGTAAAAGTATCCATATTGCTATTCTTGTTTAATAACTCTTCATTGATATCTTTGATTATTTTGACTTTGACTAATAAAGAATCAATAGTTTTACCTGTTTCAGTAGTTATTTGATCGATTTTTTCTCTATATTTAGCCGATGTATCTCTTAGAAGTAAAGTCAATTTCTCATATTTCCCTTGTAACTGTTCTAATTTCTTGTTCAACTCGTCTTTCTCTTCCATTAAGCTTTCTTTCTCTGCCTTTAAACTTTCAATCAATTTTATTGAGCCTTGGGAAATAGAATTAGATTTTAATTGGCATAAATTATTATTCAATATTGATTGATTGTTGCACTCAATTTGCAACAGTGTATTATCAGAACTAGAACAAATGGGAATTTCTTGAACCGTGGTGAGATTTCTGGAATTTAAGGAATCACATCCACCCATATTTGCTCTTCTCTCCAAATTGATCGTTTGTTCTGATGTTTTCAAATTCTTTTCTGGATGCATGATGATTGTTGACTAAGGGATTCTTGAATTGTTAATGGAGTGTTGCAAAAATAAAGATCGAAATATAGTGCGAACATCTCATTTGATTGGGGGAAATCTAATTCAAATTCTGAGTCAGCAACATGTGCCCACCATCACGTGTCATACAAATCTTGTTGATTACTATTGTCAACACAAGAGATGTGTTAATAGCCAACACTTAGGTTCCATTACTAGAACGGCAATAGCATATTTTTTATAAAAGTCTTGTATGCTTTCACTGGGATCCTTTAGAGATTATATATTATTAACTGTACAGACCATATAAGGTCAAAAGGAGTTGATATCACGTGAGAGTAACCTTTTTGTTTTACGAGAATATTTTAGGTGTAGACAATGGAAATAAAAAAAAAAGCAATTTCAAAAAATTCTGCTTGCAGTGAAAATTAATTTAACCAGTACACATTAAGAGAGAGAGAGAAAAATAACCCAGATGAAATAATTTTTCTCTTCTTCTCGTTTTCTCTTTTCTCTCTCTTCTTTTTTTTTGGTTGTTTCATCGTTTTATACTTCACCAGGTGACAATGAATAAATTACCTTCACCACCACCAACTTATAAGAGAAGAAATGGCCAGGAAGAGAATATAGATCTAGGAGAACGAAATATTAAGAACATTACAAAGGAAAACCAGATTACCTCCGAGGCAGAATGGCCGCAGTTTGTTCATCCAGAAGGAGGAATTATCAAGATAACACCATGGGGAACTTTAAGACAGTATATTGACCCAGTGACACAGGAGACGATTACCAAGTTTGAAGATTGTAATCTTGAAGATTATTCGTTTAAGCTGGAGAATATTGAGAAAATATATCAAACGCCCGATACACCCCAGTCAATATACCAGAAGAATGGTGGGCGTGCGTTAAGGTTGAGTCCTGGTGATGATGCTGAAGGGTATGTAATTGAAGGATATAGAGAGCTTGGACAACAAGTAGAGATTGTACAGGGAGAAGAAAACCGTCAGGGCGACCGCCAGGAATATTTCCAACCGGAACATGAAAATTACTTTGGAATGAATGATGCTGGACATGTAGAAGAATTTGATTTTAATCATGAAGAAGATGAAGAAATGCTGTAAGAATTATGGAGGAATTGTATAGTTAGAGAGAAAATGTAAGAATATAGAGTATTTGGTTTCTACACTCTGTAACTAATGTTTATTTCCTAAATGGAGGAAGGATTTAGGTGAAAGAGAATGAGATGGAGGGAATGGACGCAACGCGTAGGACGTGAACCGCAGAGTCTTTTAAAAAAAATTCCTCGTCGTCGTCGACCCGGAGAATTTTGTGCGTTTTGCAATTATGTACTCTGTTGCAAGTAAAAAAATAAAAGCATATTAAAACCTTGTGCGCCACGAATAAGCGCGCGCTCAATGGAAGAAAAATGATTACCATACGCGTAGAGTGTGGTCTAATGGTTCATTACCAAATCTCATTCCTAGACTACATTTCTAACATGATTTTTCAACAATGCTCATCTCTATATCATTTTTCTCAAAATCTGTACATCAACTAAATCAACTACCAGAGAGGTAGACACGATCGACTCGTCTCATATTCGTAGCATTAGGCGTGAATACAGCCAGGACAATTTCTACAGCAACGTCAACTAACCAATGTACTCCTATAAAACCTAATGGAGCTTCTTCTGTAAGGTTATTTTCTCCCAATCATCGAATGATAGATGAACAGCATCACTGATGATTATATTGTGATTAGAGTCAACCGTTATAGTCTCATCGTTACTATCTTGGAAAGGGAAACAAACGGAAGATATGTTCGTTTTATCAATGTAATACCACTGACAGACGTACACACAACGTTGTCATCTGGTAACATGGTAGTCTATGGCTGTGAAAACAAACGTTCTTAGAAAATTCTTTATTATAGTCGGTCTTTCTCCCTTTGGTTTCTCTCATTTGCTGAAAGTGAAGTTCTTACGACGATGTTATCTAGAACCAATCATGAATCCTATATTATACTTCTATAATCTGTTCAGCTATATAACATTGTCAACAATCCAAATACACCACATCAGGTTAATAATATCACCTACTTGTGCATTCGATGGTAAAATTTGGGTATCCACTTCTAGTGAACAAAACTTTTATGACATCACTCATCATCACTTGCATCTACCCCATAATCAACTAATCGTTCACCCAAATCATTGACAAAATTCTCTCGTTTATCATTCACACGTGGATCTAAGCGTTTTCTCAATTCACTGTAGTTCTTAATCTTGCGAAGCTCTTCGTCAGTATGTTCACGACCAACGGTTATCTCCTGTTGTCTAACACCATCAGGTGGCCATGGTAAATTCAACTGATCATCTTCTTGATACTCTATGGATAATTCTGGACTGTACCCATTAGTGCGTGGGCCAGCAAATGGTATCAACCAAACATATGGATACCCCAAAGCATTTGTTAGATTTTTCCAAATACCCAAATCATACGGAAACACCAAATCATCTATAGTAAAATTTTTAGGGACAGCCGAGTTTTCGTCTTCCTCTTCTTGTTGTTCTTCTTCTCCATACCTTTTAGTCCAAGTAGTGAGTTTAGGAAACTGTTTGTGATGGAATTTTTCGTAATTTGCTCTAATCAGTAGCCACAACCGTTCACTATACCATTGAGTTTCTATTCTTTCCCATTCCCAGATTTCAATCTGTGTCATACCTTTACAAATATTGATCAAACAACGGATAAATAAAACAGAAATACTGGCAAAAACAAAAAAATCCAATGGAGTAAGAAATATAACTGCTGTTAATTCCCATTTGTCAAATAAATAACTTGGCATATTGGAATCCTCGTAATACTGCATGATACGCTTGCATAGTTGTATAAACAAATAGCCTGTACCCCAAATGACCCAACCAAGAAACCTCATGAAATGAGGCAAGTTGCCATGTCCAACACAATTTAACGTCCATGGACAATGATGATCCATCTCTAAAACACATTGGTTACATGTTCGACAATGATGAGCTCGAGGAGGTTTATAGTTGTTACATTTCTTGCAAAACCTACTCCACTCTTCTTTTGTCTTTGGAGTATACTTTAATGGGGGTTTTCCGGGATTAGTAAATATGGCAAATGCATAAGATACCCAAATCATGGTGGCATAAAATTCATATATCCATTGTTCCCGAACAGATAAATGATGCTGAAGAATAAAATAATGCGATCCATAAGCAAGTGTTGCTATGATAATACAAGGGATAACAACCCCTAGGATTGGCCATGGTAGTTGAACAGTCATTGTCTATCACATTCACAATGAAAAAAACTGAAGTTTACTTGGTATAGATTTTGATGGGCCAAGTTTCAGGTCGCACGCGTACGGACATTGATTCGACTCAGCTCATTCAAGGCTTAAATGCGGTTCATTGGATACCAATATTAGTTTATATTATCAGCTTTTTCCACGCCTTTTGAATGGATACGTGCATGTTAAAAACACTACAATCATCGTACTAGGAATAGTAACTACTATTCTGTTTTTTATTCCTCAACTCTTACAGGGTTGTTCATAAAATCAATACCCAAGTTTAAATGCGTGCACTGGTTTAATTTTTTCTTCTTTCTTAGTTTTCAACGAAAGCGAGAAAACGAAAGAAAAAAAAAATCGCCACTTCTTTTCTTTGTCTACTAATTACAGCACACTTTCTTCATCATCAACATGACTTCAATTGGTACGGGTTACGATTTATCAAACAGTGTTTTCTCCCCAGATGGGAGAAACTTTCAAGTAGAATATGCTATGAAAGCAGTGGAGAATGGTGGTACATCAATTGGTATAAAATGTAAAGATGGTGTAGTATTGGCAGTTGAAAAAATCATTCAGTCGAAATTACTTGTTCCAGGCAAAAATAAACGAATCCAAACTGTGGATAGACATGTGGGTGTGGTATATTCTGGTTTATTACCAGATGGTCGTCATTTTGTCAATAGATGTCGTGACGAAGCACAATCATACAAATCCATTTTCAAAACTCCTATCCCAGTACCAAACTTGATGGATAGAATGGGAATATATGTTCAAAATTACACCTGTTACAACTCAGTAAGACCTTTTGGAGTCGTTTCAATCGTTGCTGGGGTCGACGATAACGGTCCTCATTTATACATGATAGAACCAAGTGGTACCTGTTGGGGTTACAGTGGGGCTGCCACCGGTAAAGGTAGACAAAGTGCAAAATCTGAATTGGAAAAGTTAAACTACGAGGAATTGACCTGTGCTGAAGCCATAAAACATGCTGCAAGAATCATCCATTTGGCACATGAAGACAATAAGGACAAAGAGTATGAATTGGAAATATCCTGGGTTAGTAAAGAACACACTGGAGGTAGACATCAATTTATTCCAGATGACGTTTTAGAAGATGCAAAAAAACATGCAGAAGAAGAAGATGATGATGAAGACGAAGAAGAAGAGGAAGATCAAGAAATGGCAAGCTAGGTAAGTATAGTAACATAGTAGATTTATATATATATATACACACACAATTCACATTTACAACCCGCGAAAAAAAAAATGGCAACCAGACACGCCCAAACAAAACTAAAAAAAAAAAAAAAAAAAAAAAATACTCCTAAAACGTAAACAAAAACTGAAACAACTTTCAATCATTTCTACTACATATTCCATACTCCCATTGTTCTTACTAGCTATATGTCTAATTCTGAGATTTTTGATTCTACAATTTATGAGTCAAACGATTCCATGGGCTTGACATCTCCTGAAGAAGTCATACCTACCGACCAAGTAATTACTTTTAAACGGGCACAGGATTTATCAATGAATTGTAGTCAAGACCAACATCACAACCACACACCCCTCCACGATTCCCTAACATCAACATCAAGAGACCAATCAAGTCCATTTATATCACATCCGGGGTCTCCAGTTGATGGAATAATTCCACGTTTTTCTTCCTCACCTTCAGAAACAGTCAGAGGTTCGTATACCACTGAACAACCCTTAGACGACGTGTTGAATCTTCAAACAGGAATATCCCAACTATGTTTACAAAAAGATGGTCATACAGAAAATCCCACATCCATCGATGGAAGTGAGGAAGAAGTCCTGACAATTAATAGTTTATCACCTAGAAAATCGAAAGCCACCAGAAACCCGTCGGTGTGGAGACACATGAGACCTTCATCCATTTATAGCTCTCAGCCAAAGTCTTTATTTCATGACGATCCAAATTTGGAACATGGTGAGTCAGTTAATATCAAAAGTACTAACACAACCTCCCGAGAAGAATATCTCAATAAAGAAATTATTGAACTCAAAATTAAATACGTCAAGTTGAGAGAATTTCTCATGGATTTGCTAGATAGTACTGGAAATAACCCATCAAAGATCAGAGAGTATTTAAATTGCAATGAAGGTAAACTTAAATCAGAGTTAGAGATGAAACTTGAAGAATTACAACTCCAGTATGATGAAGCAATGAAATTGAATAGCGATTTGCATTCAAATTTGAGTACATTTGAGTCAAAATTAAAGGAAAAGGAGATTCTGATTGAACAACTACATTCCTATATCGACTCTGTGAATGTAACTATTGACGATTTCATTAAAACATTGATGGATGAAGGAGCCATCGGTACACCATTAGATCATTCTTATATATTTCCCACCTTGGAAGAGAAACTAGAGGCATTGAAATCACAGATATTAACTCGCATAGATGGTGAAAATAACAACAACATACAGATAGTCCCACCAACTCCTTCTTCGTTACTCAGCAGTAATCAGCATTCCAATCATAGCCATCCACAACAAATACAAGAATCCATGGATACAATACATCAATTGCTCATGAGAATCAACAACTTAGAACTGTATCATCAAAATGAGAGGGAACACCTCAAATCCGAGTTATCAATTCATCGTGCAGAGGCCAGTAGAATCAAGAAAACTTTTGAAATAATGACTTCAAAGTTTAATGAACTAAAGAATGTCATTGACAAAAAGGAATCGCATCTCAGCCAACAAAGTGGCCAAATTGGAGAATATAAGCAAGTGATTTCAGGCTTGCAAAATGAAATACAGCTTTTGAAGCAATCTCCTTCTAGTAGACCTCCATTAGATGCATCACCGTCAGAAACTTCAAATCGAATTTCCGATCTAAGCTCGAAATTACAGCACAAGAGTATAGCATTAAGGCAACAGCTTGATGTGTCCGAGAATTTAAAGATTCAGTTAGAGAATTCTTTACAAAAGGAACGCAGCTTACGAACAGACCGTATTAGATTGTCGTCAACAACAGAGCAGTTAAAGAAGGAAAACGACGAATTGAAATCCAAGATGGACGAAGCTACCAATAATTTAGACTCCATCAAGAAGAAGATATCCACCTTGGAGTTTCAGTACAAAGAGCTATTGTTATTTGATACAAATGAATTCAAAAAGTTGATTCAGTCATATGATAAAATCGCCGATGATAGATCATTGATGGATTCCAAGACGAAATACGAGAAATTGTGTGGCATAATCAATGATATGAAATCAGTGGACTATAATAATCAACAATCACATTTGGAGTACAAAAACATCCATAATTCAATATTTGAATTTTTTGTAAGGGCAACAGATATTCTTATCAACGACCATGTTAGCTTACTATTGAAGGAGAACGACAATCAAGAAATCAAGAAATTGAAAGCACAAGTTGAAAAATTGAGAGAAGAAAACGAATCATTACAAGATGAACTCTCAAAGCATGAGTTTGGTCTAGAAGAGGATAGTCTATCACCAATATCAAAACTAAGAACAAGTGTATTGACCAAAAAATGGAAAGCTGAAAGAGAAAGAAGAATATTAGAAGACCTGGAAGCAAAGAAACGGTTCCATGAAATGGAAATGGAAATCCAGAAATTAAAGGAATTAAATAGTAACCGTACTATAGAAGATTAATGTAATAAAGAAAAATAAAATAGAATATATATTGTCGTGCACATGTTTCAAAACCAAGTGAAAAATTTTCTTCGTTCTTTCTCTTACGCATACAGTCGGGTTTTTTTTTTTTACTAGAAGAATCATCAAAATATTGAACTCTTTAAACTCTTTTTCAAAACAATTCCCATTCTGTATAATGTCCATTAACGAAGAAGACTACCTTCAACTTGAAAAGGAAATCAAGTTAGATGACATTGATTTTTCTGATTTAGAAGAAAAATATGAAGTTGATATTGGTTTAGATAATTATGTTATTGTTGATGGTGCCCCAGTTGCTCCAGAAGCTAAAGTTCCTGTTTTAACCAAAGTTTTAAGAAAATTATTTTCTCAAGCAGGTGAAATTGTTGAAGGAGATGATGGTATTTACATGCCTTTAGAAGGTGGAAAATCAAAAGGGTACCTTTTCATTCAATTCAAAACTCCAGAAATGGCTGATATTGCTATCAAGAAATTGCATGGTAAAAAATTGGATCAAAACCATAGATTGTTAGTTAACAAGTTATCTGATATGGAAAAATTTGGTGTTGAAGGTGCTGTTTCTGAAGAATTTGTTGAACCAGAAATTGAACCATTCCAATCTCATGGATACTTGAAATCTTGGTTACAAGATGAACAAGGAAGAGATCAAGCTGTTTTACATTTTGGTGAAAGTGTTGGTGTTTACTGGAATAAAAAGGCCAGTGAACCAGAACCAGTTATTGAACCAAGAAAAGGTTTCACATCCAAATATGCCAAGTTCTCTCCAAAAGGTACTTATTTGTTTTCCATCCATCCTCAAGGTGTTCAATCTTGGGGTGGTGATGAATTTAAGAGTATGAAGAGATTTTTCCATCAACAAGTCAGATTGATTGATTTTTCTCCAAATGAAAAGTATATGGTTACTTTGTCACCAGTACCAATTGCTTTGCCAGATTCTACAACTGAACGTGCCCAATTCCCATTCGGTCCTGAAAGTGAAGGTCATAAATTGGTTATTTGGGATATGCTCACTGGTGAACCAGTTAGAACTTTTGCATTGCCACCACACTTGGAAGGTCAAAAAGAAATGCCTTGGCCATTAGTTAAATGGTCCTTTGATGATAAATACTGTGCTCGTCAAGGTCCAGATGCCTTGGCTATCTATGAAACTCCTTCATTCCAATTATTGGAAAAGAAATTGGTTAAAATTGATGGTATTCAAGATTTCGAATGGGCTCCAGCTGGTGTTCCTCTTCACAATAGTAAAGCAACTGGTGGTGAACACGTGTTGAGTTATTGGACTCCTGAAAGTACTAACCAAACCGCAAGAGTTGCCTTGATGCAAATTCCATCCAGACAAATTTTACGTACCGTCAACTTGTTCCAAGTTAGTGATTGTAAGATGCACTGGCAATCTAATGGTAAATTGTTGTGTGTTAAAGTTGATAGACATACTAAATCTGGTAAGACTGTTTTCTCTAATTTGGAATTCTTCAAGACTTCTGAAAGAGATATTCCTGTTGAAAAATTGGAATTGAAGGATGTTGTTGTCAATTTTGCTTGGGAACCAAATTCAGAAAGATTCATCACCATCAGTAGACTCGATGATGGTAATCCTAACCCAGCCATTCCTAAGAATACCATTTCATTCTACGCTCAAGAAGTTACCAAAGGTAAGAATGCATCATCCAAGTATAAAGCATACACAAAGATTGAAAACAAGCATTCCAACACCATCTTCTGGTCTCCAAAGGGAAGATATGTTGTTGTTGCCACCATCTCAAGAAGTTCTGGTGAACTTGAATTTTACGATGTTTCATTCGATGATGAAAACAACAAGAAATCTAATCCAGCTAATGTTAAATTGTTGAAGACAGAAAAATTTGCTGGTATGACCAATATTTCTTGGGATCCATCTGGTAGATTTGTTGCTGCATGGTCATCATCATGGTTACATGCCATTGACAATGGTTATAGACTTTATGAATTCACTGGTAATATGTTGAGAGATGATTCAATTGATCAATTCAAAGATTTTGTCTGGAGACCAAGACCTGAATCATTATTGACCAACAGTGACAAGAAGAAGGTAAGATCTAACTTGCGTGAATACAGTGCCCAATTCGAAGAAGCCGATGCCATGGAAGCTGATGCTGCTGTCAGAGAAGCCATTTTGGCTCGTAGAAAAGCCTTGGAAGAATGGAGAGCTTACAGAGCTAAACACGTTGCTAAACAAGGTGTTAAATCCAATGATGTTCAAGCCGAAATAATTGAAGAAATTAAAGAAGAAATTATTGAAGAAAAAGAAGAAATTGTTGAATAAATAAATAAATAAATAAATAAATAATTAGTTAATTTTATTAGATAGTTCTATTTACAATACATTTCTATTTAACGTTTGATTATTTGTTTGTTTGTTTGTTTGAGTTTTTCCTTATACACCTTTAGTACGCAATTGTAATCCATGCCATTGTTTAATTTCATCTTTGAGAATCTCATTAACCAAACGATGTTGTTTAATCATTGGTAATCCTTTAAATTTTGAACTCTCAACAATGATTGCAAACATACTTCCACAACCTCCAGATACATCTTTTACTTGTAAATTCACTGGATCAAATTCATTTTTAAGTATATTGTATACTTTCTGTTCATAATCATCCATTATTGTATCAACTTGTTCTTCTTGAGTGGAATATAAACGAATTTTTTGTCTTATTGGAAATCTTCCCATTGGAACTTGTCTTAAAACATTAGATCTAATATAATTTCTTATTAACATGATTATTATTGGTATCTAGTTCTTTCTAATTAAAAATAGAAAATATGTAAGCGGGATTCTGCAACAAATGATTTGTTGAACTCTTCTTCTTTTAGTTTAATTTTCTCTCTTTTATGAATTTTATGAATTTTATGAATTTTATGAATAATTTTTTTTTCTTTCTTCTTTTCTCGTTTTTTGTCTTTGTCTTTGGTGCACAGTATGGGTTAAGTTTAGTTTATTTTTTTGTGTCCCTCTGATAATGCAAAGAGTCAATAGTTCAATATCTACTATACAAAGATATACGTTGAGGTTGATGAAACAGTACTCTTTGAATTACTCTTCTTCTTGTTACCAGAACAGATATCAGGATATTTCTCAACACAAGAATCCTACTTATTGTAACTACATAATTGAATTCATCCAAGATATAGTGTTTATAAATAATTCATTGGTTTCACCATTACTATTGTTCCCAAAAATCTGAATGTCATCGTCATTATCAAGAACAAATACTTTGTAAAATGCTCCTAATAATAAATCATCGATATCAATTGATAATGTCTTATGTATCCCTTGTGACAGTTGTAAATTATGCTGGTATTGATGCTCTTGAATCGCAGTCAATTCTTGAAAATAAGCTTGTAATGGATGGAATATTGAAATAATATAGAACCTAATCACCTTGTTAAAATATTTCCATGAAATTATTATCAATAGCCATTGTTTCTTGGGCATCGCTTTTGCCAAATCTGTAGTTTGTTCTGTTTTGGAAAGTCCCAACTGTTGGATAAGCTTCGACTGATCATGTTGAACAATATCATTGTGCAATGCAGTCATGCATTTGACAAATAGTGTCATCAAATCTTGTGATATTTCCCGAAGTTTGTAGTAATCAAAATCTTCCGTCTTCTGCTCACTACCATATGCAAAAAATCTAGTAGTCGATGTATTCATTCGTGATAATTTTGTACTACTTTTACTGGTCTTCAGACGAAAACCCTTGATTGATGGTGAAAGCTGACTAGTGGCTGATACCCCTGTTTGATCTTGTACAGGGAAAGCAATCGAAGGTGAAGCAGAAGGTATACAAAAACTATCCTTTACAAAATTCGCCAACTCTTCAACTGCATATTCGGAAACCGGTCTAGTGAATCCTTTTCTGGTAGTTTTCTGTTGCGAAGGTACAAATAATGGCTTCAAATAATGATACAAATTTGTGTATATTCGAACATTCCTTGAATCTTTGTTGCCACTCGTTGATCCGCCAATGCCACTTGAAATTGGTCTTTCATCACCCTCGCTTCCATATATTCCCAACCCAACTTCAATTTGATGATACTTGTTTAACTTATTTTGAATGTACAGATCTGCTGGAACCAACATCTTCTTGTGAATATCCAAAAACGAACTGTTGTTACTCGAATGATGAGGATGGGATCCAACTTCTTCCCCATTATCTTCAATTGAAAAGTTTGGATTCGTAAAATTGTAGATTTTAGCTAATTCCACATCTTGTATAACTGAATTTGAACTATTGGACGATAGACAAAGTGTAGTTTTCTTCGAATCATCTGAATTCTTTTGTAGTGTTTCCTGAATTTGTGGCTGATGATGATGGTGGTGATGGTGATGTGATCTATGGAAAAGATTATGAAAGGTGCTTGAAACTGGAGAATTCATTGAATTTTTCCTTGATCTGGTCGTTGTCACACTATCACTAGCACTACTTGACAAGCTTTGGGTATCCAATTGTAATTCCGGTTTCTTTTTGGAGAATAATTTCGTCAAGGATGTCTTGGTAGTTGATGCTGAAACATTTGAGGAAAATGATGTATTGGTTGTCACTTTCTTTAAAGTATTGAAATCAACATTGGATATTCTTGTTGAACTTGAATCATTTGAATGTTTGTAAAAGTTGTTATCCCCCATTACGCTTTATCTTGTTTGACGTGATTACCCTTCAATTTCAAATCAGGGATAGGTTATTTTTTGTTTTTTGTTTTTTTTTCTTCGTTTACCTATCAAACCCTCAAACCGTATACTTATCCGATTTGTCACGTGCTTTTTTTTTCATATTTTCACATTTTGTCTGTCTGAGAATTATCATCAAATTTCTCATTTGTAACCTCCCTCCACCTCCACCTCCCGCCTTTTTAACTATCAAACCATATTGGTTCTAGTCAACTATCATCAGTCATGAAGAACCGTGAAAAGGCCCAAGAGTATATGGCTGAAGGCGATTATGCCAAGGCAATTAACTTCTATTCTTTGGCTATACAAAACGATTCCTCCAATTCAAAACTATATTCATCAAGAGCAAAAGCGTACTATTTAAACCTGAAACAACAGCACAATGATGAATCATCTGAGATCCCACAAGCTCAATGGAAGAAAATATTGGAAGACTGTAATTTAGCATTGAGCCATGATAAGATGAACTATGATGCCATGTTTTATTCTGGATTATCGCTTGTCTATGGATTCAAAAAATTTGACAAAGGTATGCGTTTAATAAATGAAAGTTATGAAAAGTCATTGACCAAATCGAAAAGTTACAAGCATTATACCTTACCCCAGTTAATTTATAATGAATTATTGAAAGTCAAAACCTACAAAAAGAAATTGGAGTTGGAAGAATATTTGGCCACGTCAGATCCATTTTTCAACAAGTTGGTGCATTTGTTGCAGGAAAATTATGAAAGGGAAACCAGTGAGTTATTCAGCAAAGACATAAAGAAAAATGTTCTAGATTATGGCTTGACAAAATTGGCAGTTCAATACAATAAAGAGATTAGAGAATTAATTGAAATGTTTGAGTTACGGTATAATCAACAACATGAATCCAAAGACATATCCGCCGAACCACCTGAATTTTTATGTGATCCAATCTCCTTTCATTTATTTCATGATCCTGTGATAACACCATCAGGGCATAGTTACGAGAGGGCCTGGTTGTTCCAACATTTAACCAACCACGAATATGATCCATTGACGCGCCAAAAACTAACCAAAGAACAATGCTACCCCAATTCAACTCTTAAAGCGTGTGTAGAATATTATATCAATAAAGAAGGAAGTTAGAAGTATCACAGTGCTGACACTAGACACGGGCCATATTTATAGTATTCGCTTGATGATGAGGAAGAGAGGAACGTTGATGATAATGCACGTAATAAATTTATTGGTCTAATTTGTTTGTTTTTTTCTATTGTTTGTTGTTCCGCATTTGGTAGCAGAGACTTCCGAATTGGGATGTAATGTAAATAATAATAAAGCCTGCGAAAGTGCATCGATAATTTCTTTACTTCAAATGTACAAATCCAATTGAAAGTTTCAGCTTTTTGTTAAACTAAAAAAAAATCTACTTCTTTCCTTCATTCAATTTCATATTTTTTTTTTCTTTTTGATATTACTTCTAGTTATTTTGAATTCAAAGGTTAAGTAAAGTCAATCAATTCAATGAAGAACCCATTCGAAAACCTCAGTGACGACGAGGCTGATGATCCATTCTTTCAATCATCCAACAAAACTCCAAGTTTACCATTTGCTGCCTATACGAGTGATAGAAGTTCACCACGTAAGAACTATACTCCATTAAATTTTGATTCTGATGACGAAGATGGCAATGCTAGTGAATTTGTAGGGTTTCCTGCCTCCACTACTTCATTTAATCATCAACAACAACAACAAACATCCCCAAGACAGTCTCCAAACATTTTCTCCAAGAGTAAAGCATTTGGGTCAAGCAGTAGAAACATTTATGATAACACACCAGATTTACAATATGGGAAAACAGGTGGTCGTGAAATAACACCTCGTGCTCAGTTTACCAGCAGAGAATCTCCTAAAAGACAAAAGATGACAGAAGTCATCATGTCTGATGACGATGATACAAATGAAGGTGATGATCCGTTTGAAAATAGAGGTTCTCCGCGTCGTTCATTTAAAACAAGTGCTACTATAAGTGAAAGGTTCCTTCCACCACCAAAACCAATTTTTAGTCCAGAAACTTTCGCCGAAGCTAATTCTAGACACAGTGACGAGGGCACCATTAATGATGATTATGACTATAAGTCATATGAGAAAGGACATGAATACGAAACCAAATCATTACATTCTGAAGTGACTGCTTACAGTGGGGCCTCTTATGTATCAGATGAGGACACTAATGGCGATGACCAAGGAACTGACACATACTTTGGGGCATCCATTGACGGAAATATCATGCATAATATTGAAAACGGATATGTTCCTAATAGAGAAAAGACAATAACTAAGAGAAAAGTTAGATTGGTTGGTGGTAAAGAAGGTAATTTAGTGTTGGAAAACCCAGTACCATCTGAATTGAAAAAAGTGTTAACTAGAACAGAATCACCATTTGGTGAGTTTACCAATATGTCATACACTGCTTGTACTTCCGACCCAGACAACTTCTCTAGTGAAGGATTTACATTGCGTGCTGCAAAATATGGTAGAGAAACTGAAATTGTCATTTGTATCACCATGTATAATGAAGATGAGGTTGCTTTTGCCAGAACAATGCACGGTGTGATGAAGAATATTGCCCACTTGTGTTCCAGAAACAAATCAAAAATTTGGGGTAAAGAAAGTTGGAAGAAGATTCAAGTCATTATTGTTGCCGATGGTAGAAATAAGGTAAACCAAAATGTATTAGAGTTATTAACAGCAACCGGGTGCTACCAAGATAACTTAGCTAGACCTTACGTTAACAATAAAAAGGTTCATGCCCATTTATTTGAGTACACTACACAAATTTCAATTGATGAAAATTTAAAGTTTAAAGGTGATGAAAAGAATTTAGCACCTGTTCAAGTATTGTTTTGTTTAAAGGAATCAAACCAAAAGAAGATCAATTCTCATAGATGGTTGTTAAATGCCTTTTGTCCAGTATTGGATCCTAATGTCATTGTATTATTGGATGTGGGTACCAAACCAGACAACCACGCGATTTATAATCTTTGGAAAGCTTTTGATAGAGACTCGAACGTTGCAGGTGCCGCTGGTGAAATCAAAGCCATGAAAGGTAGAGGTTGGATTAATTTGACTAATCCATTAGTAGCTTCACAAAATTTTGAGTACAAGTTATCAAATATTCTTGATAAACCTTTGGAGTCATTATTTGGATATATTTCTGTCTTGCCAGGTGCTTTATCAGCATATCGTTACATTGCATTAAAGAATCATGAAGATGGAACAGGACCTTTGGCGGCCTATTTCAAAGGTGAAGATTTGTTGTGTGCCCATGATCAAGACAAAGAAAACACCAAAGCTAATTTCTTTGAAGCAAATATGTACTTGGCCGAAGATAGAATTTTATGTTGGGAACTTGTGTCTAAACGAAACGAAAACTGGGTATTGAAATTTGTCAAGTCTGCCACTGGTGAGACAGATGTTCCTGAATCAATTGCCGAATTCTTATCTCAAAGAAGAAGATGGATAAATGGTGCTTTCTTTGCTGCTTTGTATTCGTTGTATCACTTTAAGAAAATTTGGACCACAGATCATTCTTACTTGAGAAAGTTTTGGTTGCATGTTGAATTCCTTTATCAGTTGATATCATTGGTGTTTTCATTCTTCTCACTTAGTAATTTCTATTTGACTTTTTATTTCTTAACTGGGTCATTGGTTAATTATACAAGTCTTGGACACAATGGTGGTTTTTGGATTTTTACCTTGTTCAATTATCTTTGTATATGTATTTTGACCTCGTTGTTTATTGTCTCCATTGGTAATAGACCACATGCTTCAAAGAATATTTTCAAGACATTGATCATCTTGTTGACTGTTTGTTCATTGTACGCCTTGATTGTTGGTCTTGTGTTTGTGATTCAAACAATTTCTGAATTTGGTCAGAGTGGTACTTCGACATATGTTCTTGTCAGTATTGTTATTTCTTTATTATCTACATATGGGTTGTACACATTGATGTCAATTCTTTATTTGGACCCATGGCATATGGTCACCTGTTCCATCCAATACTTTTTGATGATTCCTTCTTACACTTGTACTTTGCAAATTTTTGCATTCTGTAACACACATGATGTTTCATGGGGTACCAAAGGTGATAACAATCCACAAGAAGATATCAAAAACCAATATATTATTGAGAAGAACGCAAGTGGTGAGTTCGAAGCTGTTATAGTCGACACCAATATCGATGAAGACTATTTGGAAACATTATACAATATCCGTTCCAAGAGATCCAACAAGAAACTCACTTTTGGTAGATCTTCTGAACCAAAAGCACCATTGGATGGTGATGATTACGCCAAAGATGTTAGAACAAGAGTTGTGTTATTCTGGTTAGTTTCCAACTTGGTTTTCATCATGACCATGGTTCAAGTCTATCAACCTGGTGACACTGCAAGTAATATTTACCTTGGTTTTATTTTATGGTCTGTGGCAATTTTAGCCCTTTTCAGAGCCGTTGGTTCACTTGGTTACTTGATCCAAAACTACGCTAGATTCTTTGTTGAATCAAAAAATAAATGGATGAATAAAAGATCTGGATACTCTGTTCCAAGTCATAATCCATTGAATGAAACCATTTAGAACGTATATTTAGATACTATATATTAATTTAATACCCCCAATCAATAATTTTAGTCACGTGAAAGATTACTAATCGGTAGTGTATTTTTTCTGTCCCCGTTCTCGCGCTCTCGTGTGTCTGTCTGTCTGTCTGTCTGTTTCTTTTTTGTTTTTCGTTCGCTCGCCCGACAAAGAGCAAGCCTTTTTGTAAACATCATCACCATCGACGGATTTTGTTCAATTGTTTTTTTTTTTTTTTTTTTCAACCAGATTCTTCTCAAGCTTTCCCGTTTTTTATTATTGATTCAATTGCACACTCAATACAAATTAAGAACACAATGGTTGCCTTAGAAAGAAAGAGAAAGAGCGAGGCCAATGGCAAGAATGGAACTAAGAAATTAAAAACTGGTTCATTTGCCACTTCCTCATTTATCTTGCATTCCTATTCTAAATTACCAAACATTAATGAATCACCAAAGACAAAAACAACTCCATTAGATATATTTGTCTGGGGTACCGGATCCATGTGTGAATTGGGTTTGGGACCTGATTCTAAAAATAAAGAAGTTAAAAGACCAAGATTGAACCCATTCTTGACTGAAGAAAAATTGAATGGAACCAAGATTGTTGATTTTGCAGTCGGTGGTATGCATACTTTGGCATTAGATGGTAAGAATAGAGTATGGTCTTGGGGTGGAAATGATAGTGGTGTTTTAGGAAGAGATACATCTCAAGCAAAAGAAGTTCTAAAAGATATGGATGCAGATGCTAGTGATGATGATGAAGATGGAGATTTAAATGAAGCTGAATCTACTCCTGGATTGGTTGAAAACCTTCCAAAGGATTCCAGTATTGTTCAATTAGCTGCAACTGACAATTTAAGTGCAGTATTACTTGATAATGGAGACGTTTATGCCTGGGGTTGTTTCCGTTGTAATGAAGGTTTATTGGGATTTTTACGTGATGAAATCAAGATTCAAAAGACTCCATTAAAAATCAAGGAGCTTAAAAATATTGTCCAATTAGCTGCCGGTAAAGATCACTTATTGGCTCTTGACTCCAAGGGTATAGTTTATGCATGGGGTAATGGACAACAATACCAATTGGGTAGAAGAATTTTGGAGAGACATAGATTTAGAAGTTTAGAACCTCAACAATTTGGATTATATAACATTAAGTATATTGCAAGTGGTGATTTCCATTGTTTTGCAATTGACCATGCAGATAATGTTTATGCTTGGGGTTTAAACCAATATGGACAATGTGCATTAACTGGTGCCAATGGTGAGTTAGAAGATGGATCCGTTTTGACAAAACCAACCATAATTGAGGAATTATCAAAATTGAAAATCAAACAGATTGCTGCTGGTGAACATCACACATTGGCTCTTACTGATGATGGACACGTCTACTCTTGGGGTAGATTGGATATGAAAGAAATTGGTATTCCAACTGATAAATTACCAGAATCCACATTTAAGGACCAACATGGTAAACCAAGATCAGTCCCAACTCCTACTAAAATTGAGTTTAATGCCAAAAAGGATATTTTAATTAAAACCATCGGTGTTGGTTCCCATCATTCATTTGCTGTTACCGATGATGGATTTGTTTACGCCTGGGGTTTTGCAGAAACTTATGGTGTAGGATTAGGTCCTTCTATTGATGATGTTGAAGTTCCAACCAGAATCGTCAACACTGCTACAAAACATGAAGATATTCTTCTTATTGGTGCTGGTGGTCAATTTTCTGTTAGTGGGGGTGTTAAAATCGAAGACGAAGATAAAGCTGAAGACAGAGTTGAAAAATATGAAGAATTAGAAGAATAGAGACGCTATGATTTTTTTTTTTGTATTTCCATGTTATAACTTAGAATAATTTTGTATTTTTATATAGTATCACGAAGTAAAAGAAGAAATAATTAATTGCTACATATATATAGTAAAAGTTTAATATATGCATTCCATGTCTTTACCAATCTGTTTGATCCCATTTTACAAGTTCAATAGATTTTTGATGTACATCTTTCTCTGCCTTCTTTCTCATATAGAAAATAGGACAATCTTTATTGGAGCACAATACTTCTTGGTGGAGTGAACCCTGGCACCTTTGACATTCCGTCCACAATCTTGAAAACTTATTCTCCAAATAATTCATCTGCGAAAGGGCAGCACCATATAAATCTGGACCTTTACCGTCAACAATACAATTTTGACACAATGCCCCATGGTTTCCTGGCTTCAAAGGATTCTTACAGCTAATACAAACTTCCAATGTCTTTGTGAATCTCATGAGTCCACCCGCCTTCTTAGGAGCAGCAACTTTAATTGTTCTTGTGTGGTCCCCATTCAACAACTCCCTTGTCTTTGCGTCTCCCAAGATAGGATTGAAGATTCTTTCCAATGGCTTTGTCAACTGCTGTTCCAAGTAATACTTCACATCAATAGGTAAAGAATTTTCCAACACGTATAATGGATCTTCTGATTTTTCGTAATTCTTGTCACTACCAGTTTTAATGATAACGTACGCTACTCTATCCCCCAACTGTGGTGCAGAACCAGGATCTCTTGCCTTCATTCTTTCGGCTAATTCAACATGTGCTTGTTTAGCAGAATAATCATGTTTTGAGTAAGCTTTGGTAATGACCAATTGGGATAAATCAACTCTATTCTGCAACAAGTCAGCAATGGTTTGTTTAACAAATCTCTCTGCTTTACCAACATCACGTTCTTCCAAGATAAACTCCAACACTTTCGTAACCACATTTTGCACCAATCGACAATTATCTCTTCTGACTGTTTCAATACCTTTGGTATCCATCTTGTCAAACTTTTCCGGTCTTGTCCAATACAACCCGGCGTATCTCTTCTTATTGATCAATAAATATGGGAAGTAGACTTTTTCAAACTCCAATTTGATAGGATCCTTAAATTTTGTTGAGACGTAATTTGCTGCTTCTTCGCCCAATTTCATACATGTTTCCAAATCCTCATAACCAAAACAAACCATGACCGAATCAGTATCACCATAGATGACTTTAGCATCATAAGGATGCCCATTCTTTTTAGAATAATAATCTTGAACAACATTCTTGGTTTTCTCAATCATTTCACGACCAAAAGCAGTAACAGACGACGAAATGGCCAAACATGGCAACTTACCGATTGTTGCACCAGTGAAACCATAAACGGAGTTTGCAGAAATCTTTAAAGCTAATTGTCTACCATTAAGAACATCTTTCTTGAATGGATCTGTCTCCTTTTTCAAGTCAGCTTTCGCTTTCTTTCTTGCAGTCAACAATTCGTTCAAAATTGTTGGCAAGATACCTTGTCTCAAGCTTGATTTGACAAAATAATCCCCATTCGGAGTCTTTGTATAGTCGTCTTCAGTCAAACCATATGCCTGAATACTCTTTTTGTTAAGCAATGTGGTATAACACAAGTTGTGCGCCATCATAATAGATGGATACAAAGAACTAAAATCCAAAGTTGCAATAGGTACATCGTAGTAACCACGTTCTGGTTCAATAACAGTCGCACCCTCATATTCTTCATTGGTGCCTTCACTTCTAAGGTTAGGAATAACCACATCTTCTTGTAAACATTTTCTGAACAACTGAGAGATAACTTTGATTTGTTGACCTCTGGAAAGCAAGTAAGAAAATGGAACACCTGTGACTCTTGCCATTTCCGTGTAATTGACCAAACACATAAGTTTGTCTAGTAACCTCAAGGGAAGAAATGCATCTTTTAAACAATATACTGCCAATCTTCGTCTCGTCTCACTATTTCCGTTTTGTAAATCAGTAATAATCGAGTGTTGGACATCTTCTTTTTGTTCACCTAAAAAGTGGGCCGATACAGAATTCAACGTGTACGATCTCAATTTATACTCACGATTAATGAATTGCAACAAATCCAATTGCATTCTTCCATCAATGTTGACCACCTTGTTCTCTCTTGTACCATATGCTCGTGAACTGAAAACAGAATCCTTAATTTCTTGCTTGACCAGTTTCAATCTTCCAAAAAATGGAAACTTTGGCAATTTCAATGCTTCGGCACGTCTCAAAACATAAGGAATATCAAAGTTTGCTGTGTTGTAACCAATAATAACATCAGGATCAACTTCACAAATAAACTCCTTCCAATGCATCAACATATCCTCTTCCTTTTCGTGAGAAAAGATTTGAGAACCAATAATTGGTGAACAAGAACCAACAGTGAAAACATTTCTAATAAAAGGTTTCGATTCACCTGATCTTTGAACAACGTTGGCAATTTGAATGACAGGATCGTGCTTTGCTTCAGGGAAAATACCTTTTCTCCCAGCACATTCAATGTCAAATGATAAAATACGAAGTGGTGCCATTTGCAACCATTCACCTTCTGATGGATGAGAAATCAAGTCTCGGTAATCTATTGAACATTCAATCTGACATGTGGAAATCTTTTTGGTAACCAATTTATACTTTGTTTTTGGTAGTGTTATCCAGGACATCCCAGTGATTTTACAATCAATCATCAATCTCAATAAATAATTAATGTTATCATATGTAACTGATTCTGACGGGAACATATCATTGAACTGGATTTGACCCCTCTCAAATGCGCCACGTACTTTGGTAATATTTCGATTTCCGTTCACATATATTTTAAAGTATGGTGTTTTGATATTCTTATTGTAACCCCAGATTGACTCTTTTAATTTGATTTCTACCTTCTCGATACCTTCGTGTCTGGCTTGAAGATAGCTTACAAAATCATTCAAATGCTCATCCTTCAAGAAACCCTTAGGAACAGGGCTGTAGAAATAATGAACAAAACCAGTCACATTACACAACACCGAACGACCTTCTTTAGTAATCCCAAAAAATCTTGCATAGGTGTCAATATCATCGGAATGTTCTTCTGCATCCAATTGTTGAAATGAAATATCTTCCAAATCAGGATTAAAATCGCTAGGTAATGGAGGTCTGGACCAAGATTGATCGTCATCATTTTCCAAATCACGAGCTGCTTGAGTCATATTTAGTAATTCTCTTTCAAATTCAGATGGTTCTTCAGATCCATTAGGAAGTTTGACTTTCTTAAGAAGTTGCTCTTGTGATGGTGTTAATTCTAGCTGACCATTGATCGATTGTGATGCCACTGGTAGAGAGTGTGCTTGATCTTGGTGAGTATCTTCCAAAGCTCTTTTTGGGGCAGACATTTGTTACGTTGTTTTTCTCTCCAGATATAACCTTAAAGGATTCAAATAAAAAGATGATAATGCTTTAAGAAAATAATAAAAGTAGCTTACAAATTTTGTTCTTTCTATTTGATAGATTTTTTTTTTTTTTCTCTCTCTTAAGTTTCATTTTTCTCCTTCACTCTTCGCGTCACTTGAGAAGACGCGTTTGCTCAGACGTGATCAGAAACTGACTCTATGAATTCAGCGTAGAATGGGTTGTGCAATGCCAGAGAAGTGTGAACTTCATCATTACTCCACTTCATCAGGCAGAGTGAATCAGTTTAAACTGAGATTCTTGATGTTTAATAAATTAATAAATTTTTGGTAAATTTTCGTGATTAAATATTAAAAATTATAGAATATGCTATTTGTTCAGTGGAAAGTATTATGAAACATGTCATAAAAAACAATGATAATTTGTACCTTGATGTATAGGCTGATTAATTATGTGTATATCTAAGAGTTCTTGATATTCACTTGTCTGTATTACACGTGACAAGCTTGAAAGTACGTGTGTAAACCATTTTATAGATAATTACAGAAGACAACACAAAACTAAGAAACATTACGCAATGGACTAATTTGCAGTCAGGTGTATTTTCCCCATTCCCTGATCAAAATGCTACTTATATTACGAACGAAACTATCAATTTCTAGTATAACTTTATTCAAGAAAAAAGAGATCTGTTAGAAATCTATTGTAATTATACCTATTCTATAATTCAGTTTTCTATGTAATTCCTCGATAGCTAATGACAGGTGAAGGTCGTTGACAATAGCATTCACTCGCCAAATGGAACAAGTGTCACTATACACCACCAACTTAACATCTTTTAAGTGTGATTAAAAGCTCACCAGTGTTTAAATGGAACCCAAACATCCTCAATTGTTTCATCATCTTCCCCAACAACAAAATAATATGGGAAACAAGCAGCAGAAATACATGCATGTTGTGGAATAATTCTTATTTTTGTTCCATATGGGAAGAATCTACATGATTTATTTGGATCTTCTCCACTTGGTTTCAATATTCCATGTTCTTGACTAAGTTTCCCAACAATCCAATCGCCATATCCATTTGGTTTCACAACTTTTCCAAAACCTGGTATCTTACTTGATTCTCTTGCTAATGAAAGAACACCAGCATTGATAAGTTGTTCACCAGGCTTTTCATCTCCCCTATCTGGATAAGTGGATACAATTTCAGCCAATACTGATAATGATACATTTTTCTCATCAACACAACCTGTTGCCATTTGTTGTAAGTCACAACATGGATAATTACCAGCATGTAACTCTAATTCTCCTACAAGTGATTCTCCACCCAATACACGAGTCAACTCATCTGTAGTTAACATCTCGGATGCATGAGCTGTTGGGGTAGCACCTACTGAAAGAACTAATGAAATCTCTGGATCCAATTTTTTAGCAATTTTCGCAGCATTATTGACATTTTGGATTTCTTCAACTAGTAAATTTTTAGCAGATAACTCGTCACCTACCGAGTATGAGTTTCCTGCATGACAATAGAAACCAAATAATTCAACCTGCAGTTTGGTTTCTTCATCTTGTAACAATTTCTTTAATAATTGATCCATTGCTTGGTGATGGACTTCTAATCCTGCTCTATGATACCCTTGGTCGACTTTGACGAATACTGACCACCTTTTAATACCCTGGTTCTTCTTTCTAAATGAAACCAATGCATCTATTTGATCCACATTATCTACCATAATGGAAAACCTTTCTACATGGTTAGCAAACTCTGCATATTGAGGAATACTTGACTTAACCACTGGTAAACTGAAATGAACATCTTTAATACGATTATATTCTCCAATGTTCCAAGCTTCCATCATAGTAGATACAACAATACGATCTGTATAACCATTGACTTGTATTTTAGTTCCTTCCAATGTTTTATGTGTTTTAACATGAGCACGAAACTTGGCACCTAATGAAGTTGCATTATCTGCCATACGTTGACAATTTGATACATATTTCAGTTTGTTGATTATAAGTGCGGGTGTTGGTAAATCATTAATTGACTTACCAACATATTGATTAACAAGTTGTTGCTTATCAGGAATTGGTGTCAGTGTATACTGCTGATGAAATGACATAGTTTTGTATTTGTTAAGATTGCCAAGATAATGACTCAAAATGGTGTTTAATAAACCTTTTTTTGGATTCGCAATTAAAAATGGACATTTTTTGTTTGTCAGGACGGTCGTGTAAGCCCTACTGATAATGAACCACGCAACGACCAATTATAATTCACGTTACATTTAGGCACCGACAGTCAATAGTGTTGCAAAAAAAAAACCATCCAAGGGGTGTTTCTAGATGGGTAGCTATTGTCGAACAAATAAATATACTGTAAATATGTAATCTTTAAAAATCTAATATACACTATACAATCAAAAAAAAAACGTTTCTTTAAATCAATGGAAATAATATAGAATAAACATAGGATTTTTGAATGCAATAATATTCAGGGGAGTCTACTCGCCTTGTAAGCTCCACAACCACCTAAAAGTCAGAAACCTCTTTACCATCCTGATCCCCAGAGTCACCAGTAATTTCGGTGATCTTATCATCTGAGCTTGTAATACAGGATAATGACGTCTCGGTAGCAGATCTCTTTCCTTGAGCCAATGTTCCTGGTCTTGATGGAATATGGTCGTTGGAATGTGACCTCACAGGGCTACCTGTACGTGACAAGTCCAAGGACGATGCTGATGTTGAGTACCCATTTCTATTAGGAGTAACTGCACTTTTGCTTGAACCACTAGTTGGACTATTACCAAGACTACTCAATAAGGTTCCACTGCCACTTTTAATGGCACCTTTCTTTAAATTCTTGGCAAAATCCGATGTTCGATTATTGTTGTTTTGTTTCGACAACTCCTTCAATTGGTTGATGTTATGAATACACTTATTAATGGTTTGCATCAACAACTTTGGTTTCAATGGTTTTGAAACGTAGTCATCCATACCCTTGGCCAAAGATTTTTCACGATCCCCCAACATCGCATGAGCAGTAAGGGCAATGATTGGGGTTCTGAAACTCAACGAATCAATTGGATTGGACTTCTTTTCCCATTGTCTGATCTTTTCTGTGGCTTCAAATCCTCCCATTACCGGCATTTGAACGTCCATCAACACAACATCGTACTTGTTCTTCTTGATAGCTTCATACGCTTCTAAACCATTTTCAACAACTTCTATTTGATGACCCTGTTTTTCCAATATCCTGACAGCTAATTTTTGATTCACAAGGTTGTCTTCAGCTAATAAAATCTTATAACTAACGGATTCGTCTGAATTTTGAGAAATAGATCTAGATTCCAATGCAGGTATTATGGCACTGGCCAAATCAGTTATTGAACATGGCGTGTTACCATATGACGAAATACCCAAATCTATACAGACTCTCATGTTCAATTGAGGAATCGAATGATGTACCAAAACCAATGGAATATATTTAACCTCTGAAAGTAGACGCAATTTTTTGGCGGTTTCAATGGAATCAATCATGATGATGTCATATTTGATTGGTTCAGACAAGCTTGCATCCTCGATATTTCTAACAATTATTGGGTTCAAACCCAACTCGATGATTCCTTCTCCAATTTCTTGTAATTCTTCGTCACTGTGCTCAGTAGAAACAAATAAAACATAATGAGAACTGAATGGCAATAGTTGTTCCGTTTGTCTAGTATATCTGATATTTGAAGGTGAGACACTGACAGTGAAGTAGAAATTAGATCCAGATCCATATTCAGAAGTTACCCATATCTCACCACCCATAAGATGAATCAATTGCTTGGAAATAGATAAACCTAAACCAGTACCACCAAACTTTCTAGTTGTTGAACCATCGGCCTGACAGAAAGTATCAAAAATCAATCCCAATTTGTCCTTTTCAATACCAATACCAGTATCGCTAACACAAACCTCCAACAATAATTTATCAGAATCTTCGCCTACTTTATCTGATTTTTTGACACTAACACTAACTTTACCCTCTTTGGTAAATTTGATAGCATTACCAGCCAAGTTCAAAATAACTTGTCTCAATCTAAATGAATCACCAATTAAGTTATCAGGGAAAGACGAGTCACATTGATATGTCAAATCCAAGTTTTTCTCAATCGCCTTAACAGCAAGTGTTTTCAATGCACCGAAAACAGTACCTCTCAAGGAAAAATCTATTTGTTCAACAGTCATTCTGTTAGCTTCAATCTTTGAAATATCTAAAATATCGTCAATGATAGTCAACAAGGAATTGGCTAAATTGTGTACAATAGACAACATCTCTCTTTGATACTGAGTCAACTCTGTATCCAAGGATAATTGAGTCATCCCGATAATACCATTCAAAGGGGTTCTGATCTCATGCGACATATTAGCCAAGAACTCTGATTTTGCGCTGTTTGCCAATTCAGCAGCTTCTCTTGCAGCAGTATTTCTTTGAAGCGATTCTCTTAAATTGAACACCATTTGATTAATCTTTGTCTTCAAAGCATCCATTTCACCCAGCGCTTCGACGGTAATAAATCTGGTGAAATCACCATCTGTAGCGGCAGCAGTAATCTGAGCAAATGCTCTCACTTGTGATGTCAAATTCGAGGCCATAGTATTGACATTTGATGTGATTTCTTTCCATAATCCATCCACATCACTTACTTGAGCTTGGATCCCCAATTTACCATTGATACCAACATCTTGTGCAACTTTGGACACTTCTGAGGCAAACAACTGTAATGAATCCACCATTTTATTGATTGTATTCTTCAACTGCAAAATCTCACCTTGGGCATGCACATCAATCTTCTGCGACAAATCACCGTGTGCAACTGCAGTAGTGACGGTAGCAATGGATCTCACTTGATTAGTTAAATTTGTGGCCATCAAATTAACATTTTCAGTGACTTGTTTCCAAGCACCTTCCACATCTTGCACATTTGCCTGCCCGCCTAGAATACCCAATGTTCCGACTTCTCTAGATAATGTAGTCACGGCAAGGGCAAAATTCTGCAATCGATCCACCATTTGATTAATGGTTAATTTCAAGTTCAATATTTCCCCTTTACAATCAGCAGTGACTTTCTTTGACAAATCACCTTTGGCAACAGCCGTGGTGACGTTAGCAATATTTCTGACTTGGGTAGTCAAATTGAGCGCCATGGCATTTACGTTATCGGTTAATTCTTTCCAAATACCTTCGACATTCTCGATCAATGCTTGCCCACCTAGAATACCTAAAACACCGACATCTCTAGCAACTTTAGACACCTCAAAGGCAAAAGTTCGTAATTGGTCCACCATCGTGTTGATTGTACGTTGCAACTGCAAGATTTCACCCTGGGCATGAACATTAATTTTTCTTGACAAATCTCCTCGGGCAACAGCTCGAGTAACATCGGCAATTTCTCTAACTTGGTTGGTCAAATTAAGAGCCATGATATTGACATTATCAGTTAATGAACGCCAAATCCCCACAGATCCATCGTTTTTTGCTTGTCCTCCCAATTCACCGTTTGCGACTTCTGTGGCAACTTTTGTAACTTCGTTGGCAAATGTTTGTAACTGGTCCATCATAGTGTTGATAGTAATTTTAACCTTTAAAATTTCGGGATCATTTTCAACGGTATGGATCTCTACTTTTTTGGACAAGTCACCCATGGCGACAGAAATAACAACGGTACCAATCTCACTCAACGCCTGTTGAAACGCCTTGTTTGCGGTTTTTGATGTTTCTAGTTCATTTTTGTAATCGTTGATAGTCAAGTTCTGTTGTCTGATATGTTTGATCAAGTCATTTCGTATGTCCTTATAATGTTGTTGGTATAAATCAGGGTCTTCGAGTATTTTCAAGATTTCATCTTGGGAATAAGACGAGGTTGATAACATAGCAGGGATTTTGTGTGTGCCAATATTATTATCGATGCTATTATAACTACTATTACTGCTAATCTGAGGATTAGAAGCTGAATCAGTAGCAGTTATCTTTTGTTTCTTGATAGGAGGAATAATCTTGGAAAAATAATGTTGTTAAAATAAAACAAAGGGGAAAAGAAACACTAAAAGATTAAAATTAAAAAACAAAAACTTAGGAAAATAGTTGACAAAACTGCAAACAACAAGTGCTCTAAATCCTAATGAAATAATAATAATAAAAAAACAAATATCCAAAGTGTAAGCCGTTATATCAATCTAATGTAGATAATAAGCTTCGTATAACTTTCTTTCTTTCAACACTCTGTTTCTATTTTGAAGATGTTTTTTTTTTCTTGCTTCTTTTTGGGGATTCCTTCAAATTAAGATTTTCTTCTTTATGGTGTAAGGGGTAAAGAGGAAAGAAGAAATTATGGGTCTTTTTTAATTTTAAAGTTGTTATATAAATATAGTTATTAATAATATAGAATAAGCGACTCGATAGTAGTATTCCACTTGTTGGTTGGGTAATGGAAGTATTTGAATATTATTTTTATTATCGTATTCCCGCGTGTGGGAGTAGTAGTAGTCGTAGCAGTAGTAGTGCGTGGTATCTTTTTCTTAAAAAAAATCGCTACAGATACAATTTTACAGTGTGAAAAAATAAACGTGAATGAATCACAAACTAAAACCAAAACTAAAACTAAAACTACATAAAGCCAAAAAGAGGAGAAATGAAAAAAAAGTAGACAAAGCGTCATCATGATAGGTACTTGTCCATTGTTGTCTATCTCTATATATCTGAGTTATCACTGTACAACACACACTTTCCTAGAGATAACAAATACAGAGCACAAGCCATGACATGGCATCGTCAACACAGGTTGTTTATTGTTTGCCCCCTGTGGGTTATGAACAAGATTCTTTTTATTGCTACCGTGGTTGCACACAGAAGAAGTTTTTTTTTTAGTTGACAAGGCTTCAAAAACAACAACCCACATAAATTAGGTGCTGTTTTTTTAGTAACCAACGTTAGTCTCACCATAAACAGGGAAACATAACAGCACAGCACAGAACAGAACAGCACAATGTTATATCCCTATATGAAGATCAATAGTTAATGCATACGAGATTTACTGATTAGTTTCATGGTGATATTTTGCTTCTCTCACAAAACGTTTTGGACCAATAAAAACCCAATCTCGATTGACAATGGCAACAGAACAGAACAATTTTTTTAACCACAAACATCTCTAACAACTCACCGTGGATCTCACCCCAAAAAAAAAAAAATATCTCAATGACGTCATTTCTACAGACCGTAATTGCAATTGTGTTTACGCCCACGACCCAAACATAATAATTTGGCCCTTGGCCCATCTCTCTCTTCTTCCCCCTTTTATTTTATTGTTCTTCAATAGTGTATTGTAATAGAGGTGGATTGTTGCATTGTCAATTAAACACATGCAGATTATGAGGTGATGTTCCAGTAGTTACGTATCAAAATACGAATCAAGTTTCTACATCTTGATTAGGTCTTTGACTTCTGAACCTAACTTGGGCTGAAAATCAAGATAAAGCCCTGATTTATCTAACCAGTCTAAAAATAGCATTGAAATTTCTCAATATTTGTTGCTATTACATAATTATCTGGGGTAAGTATTATTTTTTTTTTTCTTATTACTCTTGTTTGCTCTTTCTTTCATATTACTGTAATCCATCGTAAGAGACTTGAGAGATCATGGCTTTAGAGTGTGTTAAACACTATTAATATTTATGTATATATGTCTACATATACAAAATAAAACAAATTTTGGAAACCTGAATTGATCACTAGCATTATATACAGAAGAAACGAAAATAACTTTAAGACAAAAAAAAAGACATAAATTACACGCTCCTTTACATGGCTCCACTGCCTCTCATCAATTCTGCAATCTTGTTGTTCAAAATTGGATCATTCTTAATTCTCTTTTGCATCTTGGTTGCTTCAGCAAAGGAGGTGGCTTGAATCTTTTCTTCAATTGATCTGGCCAAATCGCTACTTTCTTCAAACAAAACAACAGCATCATCAACTTCATCCTTTTGCAATTTAATTTGAGCTAATGAAATTCTAGCTAACTCACTCTTTGGGTCAATGGCACAAGCCTTGGTCAACAATTCTTCGGCTTCGCCAATTCTTTCTAATGATTCTCTAGAAATAACGGTAGCCTCGTTAATCAAAGGTAAAGCACCAACAGAGAATCTGTCTAATTTTTCTTGTAATCTAGAAGCAATTTCAAATTGTTTGCATGCACCTTGGATGTCACCTTTATCAGCCAAGATTTCACCATAGTAGTTTGGAACTTCTGGAGAAGTTGGGAATTTCAATTTGGCTTCGGTGAATTTTTCATTGGCCAAATCAGTTTGACCGTTCTTATAAGTGATACATGCCAATTGAATGTATGCATAAACATTGTCTGGGTGTAATTCTTTGGCCTTGTTGAAGTTAGTTTCAGCATTAGCCAAATCACCGGTCAAGTAATGTAATTGTCCTAAGTGGTAGAAAATGTCAGGACATTCACTGTCCAAGTCTTCAGCAGCCTTAAAATCTTTCAAAGCAGCATCGTAAGATGATTTATCAGCGTTAATCAATGCTCTAAACACGTAAGCTCTAGCTCTTGGTTTCAAAGAAATAGCCTTTTCAATAGATTCAAAAGCGCTGGTTGGGTCATTCTTCAAAAATTGGAAAGCAGCCAAATATTCTAAAGCAACAGCCTTAACAGGGTCTTCATCTTCCAAGTTAGAAACAGCTTGGTTGATCAAGGTGTCAGCTTCTTCGTAGCCATGTTGAGTGTTAGCGTTAATCTTTTGTAAAGCATCGTACAAGAATTTAGCGCCACCTTCGCTGTTCTCATTAATTCCCTCTGGTTCGGATTCTTCGACAAAAGCACCAAAGAATGATCCAATGGTAGCAGCAGATGGCAAAGCCAAAGTCTTTGGTTTCAGTTCGACAATCTTAATAGAGTGCTTTCTCAAAACTCTTTCCAAAACTTGTTCAATGGATTTGTTAGAGAAACCACCGTAAATGGTTAAAGCAGTCAAGTCAAACATGGCATCTTCGTATTGTTCCAAAACTTCGTAAGAAGTGGCTCTTCTCAAAATACACTTGGTGTAATCTGGTTTCATTTTGATAGCTTCGGTTGTGTCCTTGATAACATTTTCATGATCTTCTAAAGCAGCGTAACAAGCAGATCTATTAGAATAATAGATTGGGTCGTGTTTCAAGTCTAATGCAGCACTATAGAATTCAATGGCTCTCTTGTATGCTTTATTCTTGAATTCGTTGTTACCATCTTCCTTCAATTGCATGGCCCATTCTTCTTTTTCGGCATCCAGCAATTTAGAAATAACATCCTCAGTCAATGCTGGTAATCCTTGTGAATCGGTTGGATATTTAGCACTGGCAGTAGATTTATCATCTTGAGAAGAAGTAGTTGGTTCTGGAGAAGACTTTGATTTCTTTGACTTCTTGCTCTTTTTCTTGGTTGATGAAGAATCTTGACTATTGGATTTATCAGATCTATTAACTGATCCGGTTTCTTGCTGTTGAGTATAATAATAATAAGCCCCAGCAGCAGAAAATGCAGTCAATGCAGTGACAATAATAGCTGTCTTGTTTTTTATAAAGAAATTATCTGACATTTCCCACTAGCAAATTCAACAAAAATTTTCTTTTTTAAAATAAATATATAATCTATAGTTGATGGATTAACACCTTATGAATAGGCAATGATTATTGGGATATAGATCTTTGTCGAATGTCCTGTAAGTGATTTTGATGAAAAACTTTTCCTTTGTTTCTTTGTCTTTCTTTCGCACTTTTAAAGCAATGGCAATTTTTTCATTCGTTAGGGTAAAAAAAAAAAAAAAAAAAAATAGCAATAAAGTGGGTGTGTGCCGATGACAAAACGCAAGCAAAGGAATGACGGGTAGTGTGAGAATGGTCAAAAATTAAAAGCTTATATTTTTAATGAATGAACCCCATTCTTCATAGTACAGTTGCAATTACATGTTTAAACTCAGATTAATACTAATATGACAATAATTACAGAATTATATCTATATAGTTACATAAACTACATCACAAACATGAACCAACTGCTTCATGCTTGATATCTTCTTCTCGCACTTTGGTTATCTTCTTCTCTTACAACATCGTCGTAGCTCGGTAACGTTGAATTATCTTCTATTTCATTGGTAAAATCGTCCCCGGCAATGGAGTCATGAGGTGAATATCTCCTGTCAGGTAAAGGAGGAGTAGATTCATTGAGTCGCTGGAGTATTTGTTGCATATTATCAACTAGAAGCCCACTTGATACTTTAATATTGGAGCACTTCAACTCAACTTCTTTAATCCTTTTGGAGCTAGCAGTTGACGACCCATCGTCTTGTAATGGTTCTGCAGTGAAACCAGCCTTGATGAGTAAATCGTACGACCTCCCAATATTACATGTTCTGAAACTAGGAGCAACATGGTCTGGTATCACACAATTAGCAAACAACTTTTTTGGAATCTCCACTTCATAAACACCTCTACCACTACCCCCCTTTGACGATGAAATCAGGGAATTTCTATTACGAGTGCCATCCATCAAATCAAACTTCAAATTCGGGTAGCTATTATTGCATATGGGAATCGTTTGCACATTAGTACCCATATGGTACTCACTAGTTCCTGAATCACTCTCAACAACTGATACAGCTGTGGTCGATATTAAATTGACCGCAATATACTGTAAGTAAACCACCCCCAATCCATTGGACTCCTCGGGCTCACCATACTTCAGCAAAGAATAAGTGCTTGGGTTCACAGGTGACACGAGGAATAACTTAAACGGTGCTACTTTCGATGGAGTTAATAATGTAGGATGTCTGAATCTAACTTCAAAAGAAAATGAAACATCAACAGGCGTGATCTTTGGATATTTGAACGTCAGTGATTGTTTATTTGGTGCTGGTTGTGGAATGCTGTAATTGATGTTGGACGACGAATCAGTAGAAAACAATCGTTGGAAAAACCCTTGTTTCTTCGGTAGTATTTGTTGTGCCAACTGGGATGGTACTCGCTGAACTTGTGGTTTGGCTCCGGGTGGAACCTCAACACCGACGATACTAGGAATTCTGTTCTTGAATATAACCTCCTTGCGCACAAACACCTCTTTGTACAGCTCCTCCTCGTTTTCATTACTTGGAGGATCGGTTTCCAATGGTAAAAATGTGAACGGCTCAAACGAACGCAAGTTTACCTTGAATATCGATGATCTCTTACACGTGACCTTGACGTAATACTTGATAGTTGCAAAATTTCCCATACCTGAAATGGAAGGTGGTAATTGCGAAGTAATGTGATACGGAAGTTGGGATTGGGAGGGATTCTTTTGCGTTACTCCATTAGGTCCTGCAACAAACTCTTGGTAGTATTGTTGAGCTTTGTGCCTCACAAAGTCGCTATTAAAATTTCCATTGTTTATCATTACATCAAGAGTGTTTTTATTGATCTGTATCTTATTTGTAATTCCACCCCTTGAAACACATGAATTATTCATGGGGATCTTGAACTGAAACGGATAAGAATAATTTCCGGGAGCAAGAGTAAACTCTTTTGCTTGACTTACTTGTCGAATATTGTCTGGTGGGAAAACAATAGAACTATCATAAAGGATCTTATGAACATCTTGAATAACTTTTTCCTTTTCCTTTTTACCGTTAGTTTTGGGAATAGAAAGCTGTGTTGTTGATTCACCTTCAAGTTTAACTTGGATCCAGTTTAATGAAATTGCTCTTGTCACCACCAATGTAACCGTCCCTTTGATAATATCATTGTTGGTAAATGCTCCAGTATGTGGACGCTCTATCTCAATTTTAACGTCAGACATTTCCCTTGAAGGTGGTTGTAGTACTCGGATCAAGTGGATCTCTTCAAACAGAAAGAAAGAAAAAAAAACGGTTTATAAAAGGCAGTTCAACGGATAAGAAAAATTGACAATGAAAATTTACTAAACAAAAAAAAAGTGAAGCGAAAGAAAAGCGAGAACTTGATCTAATGCCGGTGTGCTGCATACGACGGCTATGTAATGTCACGTGAGTGTGTCTATACTGTAACTAACATCATGATGAAGTTATTAAAAGAAAGTTTCTTGTTTCTGAAATAGATCTATTGTAAATAATCTTTGTTTATTGTTTTTTTTTACAAGATTTGTGAGCTTTATCGGGATCTGACAGAAGAACTGACCATCATACAATCAGCCACTGCACCTGGAAACAACACAAACGTGGTTACCGGCTTTAAATGACAATTGTTAAATATTCCACCACCATTACCACCACTTTATGGTCTGTTCTTGAACATATTGATACTCATCGATGTTCTTACGTTTGTGTGTCACAAAAGGAAAAGTGAACGAACGAGTAGGTCACTGGACGAACAGACACGGCAAAGCGACAAGGAAGAAGAAGAAGAAGAAAAAAAAAATTCAGACAGAAAAATTGCCACTTCTTGTATTGCTTTCTTCACTCCAACTTTAAATCAATTGCGTATTCAAATCACAAATGTCTACTCTTCCAGAAATCGAAATCCTTCAAGAAGGTGATAACAAGACCTTTGCTCAACCAGGTGATACCGTTACCATCCATTACGATGGTAAGTTGCTCAACGGTAAAGAATTTGATTCTTCAAGAAAAAGAGGCAAGCCATTCTCCTGTACCGTCGGTGTTGGCCAAGTTATTAAAGGTTGGGATATTTCTTTAACTAACAACTACGGCAAAGGTGGTGTCCCAAAAATTTCCAAGGGTACTAAAGCTATCTTGACTATTCCATCAGACTTGGCCTATGGTCCAAGAGGTATTCCTCCAATTATCGGTCCTAACGAAACTTTGGTTTTTGAAGTTGAATTGTTGGCTGTTAATGGAAATTAGATTTGAACGACCTATTCTATTCTTTTCTAGAGTTTGAAGTATTCAATGTATATTTTCTTTCTAGAGTTTGTTATTAGTTATATGTGAACTACTATTTGTTAATATACAAATTACCGTCACGAATCAATATGTTTGTAGTCACGGGAATTGTTGGAAGTGCTACCTTATATTGCACGTCAAAAACTTTAAAAGTTGGTAACTTAATCAAACTTAAGCTCTCTGTAGTTGTTTCATCATCTGTCTCATACCGACCAAAATAACCCATATGGTGTCTACTGAACGGTAACACTGGGAATGCACTCTGCCTAAACGGTATCACATTTCTATCATCTTGCTCGAAATTCCAGCCTTGCTCAAAGCCAGATAGTTCTGTTGTAAATGTGAATATCCTAGGTGTTGGGTTTTCTAGAATGTATTGCAAACCGTAGATGTCCCCAACTTTTTCTACTTTCAATAGTACTCGTGGTTCCGACAACGGCAATTTAATTTCCCATTCAGGGGTCTGAAATTCCACTACCAGGTCACTGTTCTTTCTCTTCCATTTGATAACAGCAGAGCTCAAAATTTCAACATTTCTATGACTGAATCCACTTTTGCTCTTAGTTATAAACTGTTGAGCATACAGCTTTGGGGTGTCAATTAAATCGACCAATAACTCGGGGTTCTTGGACACTAACTGAAAGTCAACAGAAACGATCTCCAACTTCTCTCCAGCTGCATCTTCCATAAATTCTTTATACTGATCAAATATATCAAGTTTTCCCTCCCATAATCGTACAGCTATTGGCATGTTATGATCTGATTTGTATGGCAAGATAAATGGTGACGGCATATCCGCAGCCCTCTCACGGTAAGTCGGCATTACCACAAAACTTACACTAAATGGATTTGGCAAAACTGGAATTGATACACTCGCAGTGTCGTAGATTGTCTTCTCGTTTTCGGTGCTTTCTTGTTCGAGTACAGTTTGTAATTCAACATTAATAAACTCCTGGTTCCATTCTCGAGTATACAAGTACAATGTATGAGAACCATCTTCTAAAGTCTCCAAATTCAAAGGTTCGTCATCCTTTTGTGAATCCCAACTTGTCGCAATATCGCCAGATTTAATACTTGCAATGAGCTGACCAGCTTTGCACAAATGTCTGTTTTTATACTCAATCTGAAATGGAATGGCCAATCTCTCACCGGGAATGTAACAAGTGATTGGGGAAATTGGTTTAATTCGTATGTCGGGTTTTACTGGGTAAACTCTGATCTGTGAGCTTGGTCCTTCTAGCCTGATGTTTCTTTTTCTGCGATCATCAACTTGAAAACTGGCCAATGTTGAGCTAGTAAAATCGTTATGAAGTTCAATTTTGTTCAAGTTTATTATGTGGTCCTGATGTTTTATTTCCACTGTGATTTGCAACTTCACCACATCGATTTGAAAATTTCCCGAACTTAACGCTTTCTGTTCATGATGGAACACTTTTCGTGGGATGTCGATTTCTAAGTTGGCAGAATCCACAAACGTCGTCTCTAATTGCTCTCCCGACATTTCATTGATAAAGGACCCTTTCTTGGAAAAATCGTTGCTAATCGAGACATTTTTGAAGCCTGTTCCCCCTAATCCACTGTCGATTCTAGTGAAGCTGATATCTAATTGGTTGATGAATATTCTCACTTTGGTCTCTTCTGGAAAGAAGGACGTTATTGTGTTCTTGTTCAAGTTAGAAGACAAATCAATTTGTAAAATACATTCATCATGTACATTGATTTCGTGTTTCATCTCTTTGTTGATCAACAATACATCAACTTTGAATAAGTTATGAACCGCAGAATCGATAATATCAATGTTCAAGAGTGACTCATCAAATACATTCTTCACGGTATACTTGTCTAAATCGAAATTGGACATGTATGGTATGGTGGACAACTTTAAAATTACATTCAATTCCATTCTTTTGTTCCCTGAAGAACTGTAGCAGTGCAATAATTTTTCCAATATTAAATGTGAAATATTAGACCATTTATATCCCCCAAAAGAACTGTATGCCATCTCATAGTAGTCACTGGCTCGGAGTTTGTTATCTGTATACAATTCTTCTGCTAACAACCAATTTATATACAGAATTAAGGAATTCAAATTGTTGGAACCGGATATCAGGCTCAGGTTCAATGCATTATTTTGGTTTAATTCAAGCTCTTGTATAGCACTACCAAGTAACTGTATTCTCTTATCCTTAAACTGGCTTTTCTCATATGCTTTCATGTATACCAACCCTGGATTTGTTGCAACATCAAATTCAGGTAACTGTAATCCACCATAATAACTGATGACATTGCCGGTATTCAGTTTCAACAATGATGAACTATTTAAACTTGTGATCAATGAATATGGAACGAGTGACATTAGTTGTGCCAACCACTCATATTGAACTGAAATCCAGTTACTATCTTCATTCATAACACTGACTACGTTTAGAATATGTGTTTGGTGTTTTTTTAATGCTTTCAACGAATCCTCCAACGAGAAATACCCACGAACAATATGAAAAGCAATTACATCCAACAAGTCTTTGATTTGTGCTATTATTTTGTTGTCATGTTGAGATAAGTTAACTGCATATGTTGAGTTTAGGATCGTAATCAAATTTTGGTAGCCAATCTCCAATAATTTTATACCAGGTTCGAGATTATGAGGATATATAAATTGAAGCATCACTCCTTGTTTGATTATATTCCTCGTTTCCAAAAATTTAGGTGTCAACTCAATAGAAGTATCGACATCATTAACCTTCGGGTATGAATAAAACTTCTTGTTTCTCTGTTTGATTTTATGCTCTATGTTGGAATAAAATGCACTGCTTGCGTCCTTTAATTGTGACAATACCATATCTACAAGGGTATCACAGTCGTTTGCCAATGTATCTTCAAAATTGCGCAAATATACAAGACCATTGAGCTTAGATAAGCCGGTTTCTTGTCTGAAATTAGAAAGTCTCGACTCGCTAACATCTTCTGAAGATGTTAGGATAACCGTCAATTTACAATCAATTGACCAAAGTTTTGTTTTCAACTTGGAGATCTTTTCAACTATTTGATGGTCGGTATCTGGACCGTTGATTTTGCACACAAATATCATTGCAAACGGAAACTCTTTCACGTACTTTGTAAACCACTCGTGGATCAATATCCCATTCGGGAAAATACTTGAGTCCTTGTTGAAAGGCGACAACACAGAATGTTCGTTTTTGCTATATTCTTGAGATGGAATTAGTACATCTTCACTTGGTTTGTCAAACTCGATGATATACTTGGTTCTTGAAAGACGGTTCTTAATAATGCAGTTATCCCACACTTTCCCAGTCACGTTGTGTGCGTTAAACAGTCTTGTAAGTCTGTCCAGTACTGCGGAATCTATCAATTCCTCTGAAAAGTGAACTCGTATAAAAGGTTGAAGTAGTTGTAGGTACAGAGAGTGGTAATTTTCCATGTCTAAACCTGGTAGTGATTGGTATTTGGTTCTCTTGCCATGGACATACTCGGTACTGGTAGAATTTTATTCTCAACAGAGAAAGTTCATTTCATTTGGAAGTCGTGCAACTGTGGCAAATTTGATATCAGATTAAAAAAAAAAAGGAAAAATTAAAAATTCAAAAAAAAAAAAAATGAATCACACCTCGACATACATTGTATTGTACAAAAAACCACATACAAACAAAGATGAGTGACCCCATTAACGCAAACCCAACAATCATAGATGTATCCAGTTTACCAACTAGATTGTCTTCTAATGAAGAAAAATTGGCAGAAAAGAAACAGCTCGTATCCCGCTTTGATTGCTTGTCATTATTGAATCCCAAGGAATCTGCTGAAAGTGATCTTGCATCTGACGAAGAGGAATCTGATCCTGAGGATTATGACCCAATAGATGAACAGGAAATCTTTGATCTTATAGCTTCTATTTCTGATCCAGAACACCCTTTAACGTTGGCTCAGCTTGCGGTAGTAAACTTGTCTGATATTAAAGTGACTAATACACAAGAAGGAATATCTGAAGTGTTAATAAGAATCACACCTACCATTACTCATTGTTCTTTAGCTACCTTAATTGGTTTGGGTATAAGAGTTAGGTTGGATAGAAGCTTGCCTCCAAGATATAGAATTAGGATATTAATCAAGGAGGGTACACATCAGCTGGAGAACCAAGTCAACAAACAGTTAAATGATAAGGAGAGAGTTGCAGCTGCGTGTGAAAACGAACAGTTGTTGGGTGTAATTCTGCAAATGTTAAGTACATGCAAATAAAACCTATTTTTCGTTGAAGCATGAAGATTCATTCCATCCTTGCACTCTTCCCTTTCAGCAAACTTTAAATCTGCAGACACGGCACCGCAAAAACTTCAAATCAAAGACACACTCTTTTGAATACTAGAAGAAGATCACCAGAGTTCGTGGAGACAGGACATCCATACAAGCCAATAGCTAGTTCTTTACTATATATATAACTATATACACATACTGATAATGAGTAACAAACGATATAGTCACCTATCTACAACGAGGAAAGAACACTTTAATACGGAAAAGGAGATCCAGAAGTACCAGTTGGATGTATCCACTTTTGATGTTATCAAGGTCAACAACTTCAGAAACTATAACTGCTCCACGCTCTTCTGGTATTTTTACATGTGGACATTGGTTTTCTTGTCGTTTGCATTGTTGGCCACTGATGTATATTCCTGTCTAAACATCTTAGTCTTCCACAAATGGGCCACAGATGACTACAAACCCTATGCATACGCCATTGCCAAATGGATCTTCACTGGCTGTATAATATTTCAGTTTGTGTTGTTATTCTACCATTGGATGTGGGCGATTCATATCTTGAGGACGAAGAACATAGCATTGGTCTATTTGAATTCCATTGCCAAGAAGGTGTATTCTATCAGGAGCTATGATTACTTTTGCTTGTTGAACAACATCAACGAAGGAAGCTTTTTTGATTGGTGCTGCTTTCTAACTTACTACGAGTTGGATAACGCTCTCCAGATACTTGTTGCTGATACTCCGCGTCAAGTCATCAATGTTTTGACGCTACGATACTATGCCACTGGTGGTGAGTTGAACAATAACATTCTCCAGAACATTGAAGACATCGCAAAGACCAACTTGTACTTGTCTATTATTCTTAGTTTCATGTGCTTGTCGGTGTTCATCTATGCCATCTTTTTCTTTCGATTTTTGTTTGGCATGATCTGCTATGTTCCATTGAAAGTTCAATTGAAAAAGGACAACTACAATTCATTCAAGGACTACTGTTGTAGCATAGTGAATGATCACATTGAGAATGCTGTCCGTTTGAACCATAAATCGAAGACAGTGTTGTTGGAACAAGGTATTCTATCAGAAGAGAGAATTGCCAAATTGCCGGTGTTGGGAGAAAATCCTCCAAATTACAACGACTACTCGAAAACCTTTTACCGAACCACTACTCAAGACTACTCTACAAAGGAATCCATTATCCCGTTGGGTAATATGAAGAACAGGTCTGATTCGACACATGACTTGGGGGTTCAATATGGTAACCAAAAGGAGGAACATGTGTACTCTCCTATCAACGACCAGCCAAACATCGCAAGCAAGAGGTTGAGTGAATTGAGAGATAGATATAACGGTCAAAATTTGACATATTCAAATGTGGATACCCATGCAAACAAGGTTGAACGCACCTACCAACAAGACTTTGCAAATTATAAACCTAGATTGAAATCCATTGAGAGCCAAAGTTCGGTTACTCCATCTGCTCCTCGACATAACAATATTAGATCCAACAGTTTGCCATACCAGGAGACTACCTCCAAGAACAATATTGGAAAGTTGCCTGAGAGATCATTTACAGATAATCTAGAATATCATCCAAAAAGAAAGCAGCCACCTCCGTTGATACTTGACAACATGAATATGGAAGAAGGGTTTGAACATGCGGATGAGGAAGATGGAAAAACAGTTCTTGAACTGTACCCAATTCAACCACTAGAAAAGACCTACATGCAAGAGTACCAGAAATCTGATTATAGTCTTACACAACAGGGCAATGAATTAGCTTCACAAAGTGACCAAGTTCTGTCTTGGAAGCTCGGGAATTCCCAGTTGGTTAACCCCTTCATGAACTCTACCGAGGAGCTTTCCACGCCATTAGTCGAATCAGCAGGTTTCTCCAATCAGATGACGTATCGGGACAACGATTCCATTCCAGAGGAACAAAACAAAGACGGCTCCAAAGAAGTTGTAGCGTCTAGATCTGAAGTGTACCCTGTCAACGATGGTGTCTTTGATGAACTATTAGACGATATCAGTTTTAGAAATACTAATAATGAAGATACACCATATCCGGTACGTGGGGTGTCAAAGTATTTCAGTAGTGACTAAATAGACTGTATAGACTTTCAAATGTAGAATGACTTAATTCAAAGAAGCTGACTCTTTAGTAACATAACCTGGAACATGGTTCGACTGCAAAAGTCTTAAATGTGTTTCGTTTGTTCTCAATGTGTTAACTACAAGCCGGGACATCAGCCAGAGAAACTATTATTAGTAAACGGAAAAAAAAACAAAATATTCGCATCTCTTTGGATCGCTTTAACAGATGAGGGAGTCTGCTGTATGGCAACTATGCCATAGAGCCCTCTTTACAAGTTTCCGGATCTCAGTTTCGGTTTGCCCATGGAGTCACGTGGTGATTGGTTTTGTGTCATTTTTGACTAAGCTTTTCTTTTGGTATGCCCCATACATTATTCTTTGGTATGCCAACGTCTTGTTTGGTATGCTTCTTCATGAGTTTTATGTTATGCTTCGGACCTGTTTACTTGTTATGCTCGGCCCAAATCTGTTTGATATGCTCGGGTGAAACCAATTTGATATGCTCGGCCGAAATTAGTTTGCTATGCTCGGTCTTTATTAGTTTGCTATGCTCGGCTCAATGTTTATTTGGTATGCTCGGGTAAAGCTAATTTGATATGCTCGGGTGAATATATTTTTGGTATGCTTGGTGGTCCCTATTTGATATGCTCAGTGGACCCTATTTGTTATGCTTGGTGGTCCCTATTTGTTATGCTCGGCCGAAACTAATTTGATATGCCTTTTCGAATGTTTTTTGTTATGCTCTGCTGAATTTTATTTGTTATGCCTCTTCCAACGTTTTATGGTATGCTCGGTGAACCCTGTATGTTATGCTGGGCTGGATCATATATGATATGCCCGGTGATTGTATCTAGAGTTTTGTGATTCACCGACCCTGAATGCGTCATCTTGTTGCAAGCTTTCCTAAAGTTCAATCATCAAGGGACTTGGGGTATGACCGGAACTATGTGTCGACGGTCGGAAGTGCTTAGCATGGGGAGTAAGTCAATGTTTGACAGAGGTGTCCACTTGATAGCCTGGTAATTGCCAAATCATTGTAGGAGTACCGCTCCTCAATCTGACTGACCAGGCAGTCATATATGTTTGGTAAGATCATGAATTCAAGGTGTCAATTTCCCTTTAATTATCAATGCATTATCAAGTCATCCACGGCTTCAATTGATGGATAGTAGGGTAATAGATTGACTATAGCCAACATGTAGACTAATAGATAGGATACCAGGACTAAAGCGTGAAATAAAGACAAATATTCCACACATTAAACATACCATTGGTGTACTTTATTAGCTACTTTCAAGATCCACAACCTATAATACTAATGGAGTTGTCATAACCTGTGATAGCAACAGTTGTAGCAGCTACAGAAGCTGTAGCAACGACTCTGTGATTAGTACTAGACATAATAATTACCAAATCTATTTCTGTATAAGTTTACATACAATACCATATGATAAAGCAGACGTATATACAGCTATCCATTGTGTGATCCTAGTATATCGGCTGCCCTTTTGATAACACACGTTCTGCTATTCTACCAACACACATGCAACGTACAATGCCAGTGTTTCTTCATACATTATATCAAACTTTAATTCACTATATTGGTGGTAATGGCACAACTAACGTTCTTAAGAGCATCATACACCAAAATAGATCACTATCAGTGTCATCTCATGGTCTTTGCAAGTAACTTGGGTATTGTCATTGTTGGTGTCTATTCCACTATGAAATGTCGTTTGCACCCTTTGTCGCAAGTTGAATGCTGCGTGTCGCATCTATCATGTCGCGCATATCATGTCGGATGTACCATGTCGCATCTATCATGTCGCGTATCTCGTGTCGCATCTATCATGTCGCGTATCTCGTGTCGCATCTATCATGTCGCATCAACCATGTCGCATCAACCATGTCGCTGGTTTCTACGACATGTGTATCCATGCGACACATATGACAGGCGACACAATTTGTATGCGACATTTTAAGGTTTATCCGATATAAGACATTTTTGACAGAAAAAAGTTTGACACTCAGGTAATGTCGGAACACACATTTTAGCTACCACGCGACATTGCGGAAAAGGAAAAGTAAAAGTAAAAGCGGAGATATCAGAAAGTCGCACGACTGTCGCCCTTTTTCCGTGTCGCAAAATTCTACAACTAATTGTACGTGTGGAAACTATTGCCAAACACAGCAAAGATATTTGTATAGGCATATGGAGACTGAATAAGACTTAGAATGCAGTTATTCAAATATGAGAGGTATTACGTAGGATACCGGAACACTGCTGACCCGGAAGTGGGAAATTATCGGGTCATATTGTTGGAAAGGGTCTTACATATAGATCACAAAGCCTGGCTTCCCCTTCAAGGAGGAGCATATCATTAACGAAGAATAACATAAAAGCGCTCAACTACTGGAATAACAAAAAAAGAGTGGGGCAGCTGCATAACAAAAAGATCTTTGTGTTCTATCATATCAAACTCCTGGCATAGCAAAGGTGTTTTTGTTATGCTGATTATTTCGATATGCTAGCTATTTCGATATGCTAGCTATTTCGATATGCTAGTTATTTCGATATGCTGATTATTTCGATATGCTGATTATTTGATATGTTGACTAGTTTGATACGCTGACTAGTTTGTTATGCTACTTGTTTGTTATGCTGATTATTTTGATACGCTAATTATTTTGATACGTTGACTATTTTGATATGTTGTTTATTTGTTATGTATATTATTTGATATGACATTTATTTGTTATGCTATTTATTTGATATGTCATTTGTTTGTTATGCTATTTATTTGATATGTCATTTGTTTGTCATGCTCTATATTTGTTATGCTGTGTGTTTGTTATGCCCGATATTTGGTATGCTGATTTATTTGATATGGCATTTATTTGTTATGCTCGATATTTGTTATGCTTGTTGTTCATTTTTTTTGTTACACTGCGAAACACTTTGATATGCACTAGTAAATTTATTTGTTATCCAGCTAGTTGACGTGTTTTCTGGTATGCTGGTTCTATTTATGGTATGATCGTATCTCACACTGTTTCTATACTCTATTCCTCACTTCAGTTCGTATTATATGAACGTAATTTGCAAGTACACTAATTTTCAAAATACAAACTGATGGAAAATTTTGATGGTGTTTTGCTGCAAATTTATACAGAAAACACACACCAAATAGAACACACACATATCTAGTAACTACAATGTAACACGTAGCAAAATTAACTCACACTAAGTTCAGCGTATACGTTTCCATTATCATTTCACGCTGTTTCCAGACCTCTGTGATCCTGTACTGTTAGCAGTAGACAACTTAGTGGTGCTACCAAAACACAAATTCACCACTTTGCACGACCACCGCGGAATTTCCTCTAAATGAACCAATTACAGATTAGCACCTGGTTACGGTTGCTGGAGGACAAAAGGAGACACAATGGACGTGTGTGTCTCTATTATGGTGTTGTAAAATGTTGTGTGCTGTCTAGTTGGAGTACTCATATGTGTGTTAGTGTCAATTGCAACACACAAGAACCTCTTAGTGGAGACCAACAATACCAAATGCCAGCTCAGCAATTAGAAGTAGCTATTTATACTGCATCATTTTCCTTCACCAATCTCTTGCTTGAAATCAAATTTTGGGTACTTTCTTGTGGTGGTTCCCTACACTTTTTCGGGTAATTTGCTCATGTATTTTCGGCTGTAGCAAAAGTTTTTTCTAAGGGCGTTGAATTGAAACACAGACACAGACGCAGGTATCAAACACAAAAAGGGGGTGAACTGACCATACATAAAGGTGTTTTCTGAACACTTTAATAATGGAATTGAACAAAATAGGATGGTTTTCAGTGACGTCTGGATGGTTTTAATGGTGACTTTTCTCACAATTTCAGGCCGACTTGGGTGGTTTGGAACGGTGATTCTGATGACTCCTTTTTGTACTCTCAGTGGTGGTTGTAAAAAATTTAGAAGAAATTACAGCTGGTTAGGGCAATTGTAGATGAAGTAGATCTATGCATTTCTTGTCTATGCTTGTGAACAATTAGTTTTTCTAAAGATAACGGATACAATCTGTAAATCCTTTTCTATTAATTTGCAGCAACAGAAGTATAGGTTGCATTCCTCTTCGTGTCGAATAATTGCTCTTGTAGGATATATTGTAGTTAATTCTCTGGTGGGAAACCTCATTATATCGCCAAAAAGTGGCAACTTCACTACGATTCAAGAAGTGACAACTCGCTATGTTTCAAAAAACGGGAAACTTCACTATGCTTCCAGAAATGAAAAACTTAACGATGTTGACAAATTTGGAAACTTCTACTACATTTTCAATCAGCTTTGCTGTAAACTCAGAGACTCCTTCGGGCGTAGGACACAAAATTTCACGGTGGCCAGTGCGACCTTTTCTCTCCGTCATAAAAATTTACTACCACATTTCGATGTGAGAATCTATGTTCGATGCGGGAGTGGATAGTCGAATCCAGTCCACCCATTACTGCTAGTCAATACAGCAATTGGGATTATATTCTAGATAATATAGCCACCACTAAATCTTAATGGAGGTGCAGTCCATGGGTGAACTGAAGTAGAAATGGCAATACGCTGAGTAAATTTAGAACGTCAATGCGGTAATGGGAATCTATTTTAACTACATTCTGAATGGGTTTAGGGCAACTTTGGGTACCGTTATATAGCAACATAGCCATGGAGTGGAGGTCAAACTACAAGAGAATTTGTGCGGACTAGACATTTTCTTCGGTGTCCTCGCAATTAACTCCAAGGTATAATCCACCGTCGCAAATACAATACATCTTGCTGAATTTTATCTAGCACTAATTATTCTACGTAGCTCTTCTACATATCCCGTTCAGATGTTGGTCACCTTCAGATAGCTCTTTTGCTCCTAAGCGCATCCTTTGGAGTCATAACCGGATGGCAGTAGCTGCCGAAAATTCATATAAAACTGAACATTGCTAGACCTATTTCAAGACCACCTTCGTCATGTTGGGGACATTGCTGTGCCAACATTTCTCAATTAATACTCTGATAGTAGAAGCCAACGATACCCATGTACCTGGTAATCTCAACTACAACAATTTGAAACCCAAGTACTTTAGTCAAAAAAGATATTAGTTTCAAAAGATTAGCTTCTATATCGAACAATTTTATCTTCACTTAGAATACCTGAGACAATAATCCTACAGTAATTAGCAGGCACTTCGGTTGGGAATTAAAAATATAGTCCCCTCTGGCCCAAACTTCTAATTCAAACGTCCGCTAAATACTCTTCAGTATTAAATCGCTTCGGTATTTCCTCTTCTAACTCTTGATCATCTTATGCTAAAAGTGGATGTGAACAAAATTGACATCGCAAACTTAAGCATTAATACAGATATGATTGAAGAAGCAATTTATATCGAGAATTATATTAGTGTGTTCCTGTCATAAGTATTTAACCATATATGTAATATAACTAAATAATGGTAGACCAGTTTACACAACTTCATAGCGCAGTAAACTTTGAGGAGAGTACATAATAGTATAAAGTTAAGTTGGGAAGAGTCAAGAATATAACAGCTAAGCGCCCAGAGACCATTCCTTTAGTAGAACACATCAATTCGTAACAGGTGTCTTCACCTTAATTAGAGGCCTGACTGCCAGTCCATTTCATCAATTAGTGCTTGTCTGATTATTTAGAACTTGATGCTACAGATACAAGTAGATTAACGGCAGTAACAAGTTTGGTTTTGGCAGGAAAAGCAGCCTACATTGACAATAATTGACCCGCGAATCAAGTACTATTTCCATTAGAACTGGTCCCTATCGAGATCAGTAATTAAACTAATTAAGAGAAAACCTAAATACTGCTCCGGAATTTAGAAATGTATGCTGTCTACGACCCATTACTGGCCCCATTATCATTTCTGACAGACCCCAATCATCATAGAATATTTCAGCGATATTGCAATCTGCTGTTCAACTGAAGTTCATTATTACCACCTTGATTGACATTCATCACTGGTCAATATTTGTCAAAAATGCCGGTTTGATAATAAGTACAAACATTCAGATTAGTACTCAAGGTGCGAGAAAGTTCGTGCGTATATTATGCTAATAAATGAGGTTTAATTGCTCTGAAGTTTAGCAGAAAGTGTAGGGAAACTGATAGAAATTCGACCAATAAGTGGAAGAAAAATGCGCACGAAGCTTGGCCAAAGCATCCCAAGAACGATGAATAAGGTCATTCATTTTGTTCTGTTTGTGTTTCTGAGTCGCACTTTTTCAAAGAGAAACGCATATATTTTAGCGGAGCAACTAATAGTAGGGCGTTGTTACCCTCAGATTTTCGTGCTTGAGTGATATTTTTTCGCCGTACTTGCAACCTGAGAGGCGCTCTTACTAGTGGAGTATTTTTGTCAAACGTTTATTTATTACCTGCAAATAAGGGCTTCAGGCCTATGATCACACTCTGCAGAATATTATGAACAAATAGGCATCTACATAACTACACTACTTTGAATCAACGTTAGCAATGCACAATCAAACTATTGTTACAATGAAGTTAGGAAATGAATTGGAACCAACTGTATTTTCTTTTAAATTTTTTACAACCACCACTAAGATTACAGAATCAAGTCACCAGAATCACCATTCCAAGCTACCCAAATCGGCCTGAAATTGTGAGAAAAGTCACCGTTAATACCATCCAGACGTCAGTGAAAACCGTCCTATCTTGTTCAATTCCATTATTAAAGTGTTCAGAAAACACCTTTATGTATGGTGTCACACAGTAAAACCCTAAACTGTTAAGTGATCCAAGGAAATGCAACTAACGCAGTTATTAATATAACGTAAGTTGAACAATAATCAGCGGTGGCAAAAGGGTTTCTGATAAAGCAAATGATACCAACTACGGGAATGAATGTTACTTTAAGCTAGTTGTTATAATGAACCTTCACTTAAGTTAAGTCTAAATCTAGTAAATCGTATAATCAGATAATTACTCTTAAACGTCGATACTCTATAAAAGTCATATATAAGAATAATCTGTTTTTCTCTTCACTTAAATAGTTTCTCTAACTAATGCTCCTGCATATAGTCATCTCACGTTATTGCCACTAATTTGTCAATTCAACAAATTCCAACTAATTTATCTTAATGTTACTTTAGTTAAATAACCACCATAATTCATAACTTGTCGAGTTCTAACAATTTAGGATTGTTCGACTCGTTGTCACAGATTTGTAACAAACACAATAACTTTACGTCAAGTGCAGTTACCCTGTGACAGGCTCCCCGGGGTTAGTATAATAACAACATCATTCAAAACCAACATCACCAATCTGGTGACTTATCATTAAAAATAATCACCAACCTTTAAAACCCATAAATTCCGTATTCCAATGGTCTCATTTTCGTGATATAAATGGTTTTATCATTTCCCTAGAATATGGTCTTCCCATGAGTGTACCATCAAGTTCTTCAAGCCAATAAATCCGATCACCACGACTTGCAACTTTATATGGACCTGCCCATTTCTCTTCTAGTTTCTTAGCATGTGAAGCAAAAGGATTCTTTAATGGTCTATCATACACCAATACCCAATCTCCTGGTTCAATCTTTTTGTTTGACTCATTCTTATTATCAACTATCTGTTTGTATCTGGATCTGTTTCTTTCTGTTGAAATATATGCTGATTGATATTGTGATTCCCTAAACTGTAGTTGTTGAAACCTAAATTTAAATAATTCTTCCTGGGTATATAATTTATCATCTGGAATTTTCTCGCAAAGCAAATCTAAACTTGTATAACCCATGTATCCATATAGAAGATATTGAGGAGTAAATCCAGTGGTAGATTTGACGGTATTCCTATCAGTTTTTAAAGCAGTGGGTAAGTATTTCCTCCAATCCAATTCCTTTGGTAATTTCTTTAGGAATGATATTATAGCAACATGTCCTCTTTCACTAATTGCATTTCCCATTGGATGGAATTGAATACTTTTTGCATGTTCCACATTGTAATAATTTAAAAGTCTATCAATTATTTTGTTGTTAAATTCACTCCCATTGTCACTCTTGAATCTAGACACCATGCCATATCTGCAAAGTATGTCTTTATAAAGGAAATCAGCAATCTTTTCAGCTTCCAAACTGTCTAACACCGTTGCCTCCGCCCAAAAGGAAAATTCATCTCTTGCAATAACCAAATAGTAATCCCCAATGTGAACAGAATCACAAATGACAGTTTGGAATAATCCTCCCGGTCTTGTAATTCTTAAGGAATCCCGTGTTTTTGTTGGAGAATCATATTTTTGACATGTTTCACAGGAAGATATATATGCTAATAATTTTTGGTATAAATTTGGAATGTAAAATTGAAGATTCAATTTATCAAAAAGGGTATGAATCTTCATATGTCCCCCTTGGTCATGAGCCACTTCAAAAATTTTGAATAATTCAGTATCATTCATCACTACTAATCTGGAGAATTGACCCTTAGAACCAAGTTTGTAGAGCTTTCCATCAGCAATGTAAAATTCCATTGCTCGATAAATAAATTGCTGTCGAATTTTCTTAGAAGTTTGATATTCTTCGGGGACTTGAAGATGTTGTAGATAATGTTTAATAGCATTTAAGCTATAATTTTTGTATTTGAAACAATCATTCGTTATTTCTGAAATGTTCACTTGTATTTCTAGTTTCAGTCTGAAATCATCAATAGCTTGATAAAAATCCTCAGATAACAAAATTGATTTATTTGGATTATGAACCCTGGTGAATGTATCCGCTAGGATGTTTAAATCAGTGGGAATGTGTTTTAATTCAATGTCAAAATTTCTAATTGTATTTAACCACCTCCAGAGTCGATTAACTTGGTGCTGATTGTCGAGACGACCATTGATTAATTTAACAGCTGATTGGTTATCACAGAACACTTCAATCTTTCCTGGGTAATCTAGAAAATGATATTGTAGGTGGGTTAAACCTAAATAAATGGAGAAGATTTCCTTCTCATAAATAGTATAACGCAGTTCAGCATTCTTGAACCCGCCTGAAATACAATCAATGAGATATTTGTTCCCTTCCTTGTCTTCTTGTTGTAATACACAAGCCCAAGTACTTATACTAGCATCTGTATATAGTTGTAGTTTCCTATCGTTTTTCATACTTGAAATGTGTGGACCATGTAATAATGATTTCTTTAAGAAATTGAAATTCAAAAGTTCTTCATCAGTCAATTTAATAGTTTTGATTCCTTCTTTTCGACATTTATTTAATAATTGATACAAAGGTTTTAATATTTCACTGAGTCCAGGTAGAAAAGATCGATAATAATTTGATACTCCGATGATTCGATCTAATTGTTTAATGTCAGTAGGCGGTGGTAACTCCTCTAGTGCTTGTAATCTTGATTTTAGAGGTCTAACCCCTTGTTCCGAAACTTGAAATCCTAAAAAACTAGTGGAACTCTTCCCAATTTCTATCTTATTTGCATTTAACTTTAAACCATGATCTTTTAATATAGTAAATAATCTTATAATTTTATCAATATGCTCAAAATTTGCATTTGGATCCAGCTTTTTTCTTTTATTACCTGGGATGCAAATATCATCCAAAAATGAGAACACTTCCTTTGCCATAGGTTGCAACATCTTATTCATAATTCCTGAAAAGATAGATACCAGATTACGAAAACCCTGCGGGAGTCGTTTCATGCGGAGACAACCGATTGGTGAATTAAAAGTAGTAAGATCTCTAGATGACTCCAGGATCTCCAATTGATAGTATGCATTACTGATATCGAACTTACTAAAAATTTCACCTTCAGCTAAATTTGATATGATATCATGTATGTTTGGTGGTATATTGGCTTCCAACGGAATGTATTCATTGAGGATACGTAGATCCAAGAGTAATCTTAAACTACCATTACTCTTCCGTATACAGAATACTGGATTCCGATACTTAGAGTTTTCAGCAAATTCAATTTGGTCTGTTTTTAACATAGTTCGTAATAAATCTATCATCTCAGCTCTTTTTGATCCAACGGGGTACCCTTTTAACATCCAAGGTTTGTGTTCTCCAATGGGAATTTTAATTGGTTCGAAACCGTCACCTTTAAATTTACCGATATCATTCTCATGTAGTTGGAAGACTTCTTTAACTTCTTGAACCTTTTCCATAAAATATGCCTTCTCTTCGTCATCGAAAATGGATTTGTCCAATATCGATTTTAACTTTTCATCTATATCTATCACTTCGGAATTATAAGATTCTAATATCCCTAAATTTTCGTCTAATAGTTTGTAAGTGATTGGAACTTGATTGTAAGTAAATTGGATGTTCTTTTCATCGGATTTGGCATCGGCATAGACAACTTCAAAATGGGTTTTATCCTTAAAAGCCATCCCTATAATCAACCTGTCAGAGGGTAAACTATCATGTACTAATAATGTTATTGGTAATTCATGGCAACCGATTTTAATCCAAGTTTTGACCAAATCTTTGATTTTTCCTTGACCAGGATTAATCCCAGAAATCACAGCTGAAAATGGTTGTGTTTTTAATTTTAATTCTTCAACAACATTTCTTGATATTAGATTTGCCATCGATCCTGGATCATACAAGGCTGTTAATTCTTTTGATTTTATCTGGACTTTAAATTTTATAAGTGGTTTTGAGATTTCTTCATCTTCTCTGGTAAGACTAGCATTAAAAGATTCAAGTTTATATTCTGATTCATCATCAGTTTCGGATTCATTATCATCTTGACCTTCTTCACAAATGTCGAAACTTGCTAGTTCAAGTAAATTTTCTTGTTCAGTCCCTTCTGTCTCTTCTGTTAGCACTAAGTTTGATTCCAACCTATTATTTAACTTCAATGGATCTACCAATATAGCCTTAGTTCTTTTATTTATATAGCTCCTAAATTCTGGACTTAAACCAAGTAGATCTTTTGCTTCTAATGTTATTTGCATTTTATCATGGATTTTTTCTAACAACTTATTTTTGTCTGCAGTCGTTAAATAATATTGACTGACTCTTTGTCTACGTGTCCTCTTTTCAGTTGATTTCAATTTTCTAGCAACATCATTATTTTCTGTTGCAATATCGTTCCTCGATTCTTGAATTACAAAATCTGGATGTTTTTGGAGTTTTGAATTTTGTTCTTCCTGATCCTTGGATTCCTCCCCACTTGAATTGTTATCATTTGATTGTAGATAATCAGATAATACCTTTTGTTCAATGATGGAATCATTTTCTTGTAACAGTTTTAATTCTTTATCTATCTGTTGTGATGAAGGCTTGAATTTTAAATCTGAATTGTTTTCAGGAATATAATCTGGATCACCCATATTTCCCTTCATATCAACATCATCAACATCATCGCCATCATCAGCAGCATCATCACCGTTATTAGTATTAACATCAACATCAACATCAACGTCAAAATCAGTATCAGCCTCCTTATCCTTTTGTGGTAATGGGGTAGTGGGGTCTGACTTCTGTCTCTCATTCTGGTAACTTCTCAATTCTTCATTTAATTTATTAAGCTTGTGGGTGGACAGCCTTTGCTCCTTCCATTTAGACGACGATTTTGTTTCGACCCGGCCCTTTTGTTTTCCTATTCCTTTAATTGCCAGAACATTAACTTCAAGATCATCTTCTTCTGAGTTCTGAATATTAGTGTTACCGTCTACATCGTGATGTATTTCTGCTGTAGATGCTTTATATGAACCTTGACGTTCAATGCCTCCCAGTGATCTCCAAAACTTCTTTAAATTTATCAATCAAATTTTCCCCACGTTCAAGTGGGAATTCTTTCAGTTCATCGTGAATGTATCTGTACTTTCCTTGTTTAAACTTTATCTTGGTACTTAATTTTTCTGATAAGGGACAGGTTCGGTAATTATGTTCACTCAGCCCACAGATATTACAGTACGGGGAATATTTCTTCCCATCTTTCTTCACTTGTGATTTATGAGATTTGTCTTTATTATCTCCTTTCTTTGTACCTTTTGAGTTGAATTTCCCATTTGTGAGTTTATTTACTTTTTGAAAAGCTTTGGTAAATTCTACCCAGGCCTTTTCATAATCTAATTCTATCTCCAAAGCTAATTCATGGGTGGACATCACTGCAAAACTAATAGATTCTAATTCACTTTGGATAGCTTGATTACTAATCCTTTTTAAAATTAATTGATAAGCTAATGGATACTTGGAATGGATTGCTCTGAACATCTCGATCCAATTAATATTGCTTATATGTGTATCGATATCTCTTTGGTATCTACTAATAAATATCAGGATATTTGTCAAGGCAACCTTTTCATTTTCTGCATCCTCTAATTCTTGTGTAATTGAGGCGACTATATCTTTGGTTTCTCTCTTAGGTATCTCACTGTTTATGTAGTTTACCAAGATACCAAACTGTATTGGATGATCAATCTCACCATCTAATTCAATTGCATTGGAAGCAACTCTTTGAAATTCTTTATCTTGGATCATAGAGCATGCTTGATGGACATGATTTTTGAGTTGGATGTCTGGAATTAAAAATTTTACTTTAAGGTATACCGTATGACGGATATAATTTAAAAGATGAGCAAAATTCTTTATATTTGAAGGAGGCGGGATTTTTTTCAACTTGGAATTTTCAAATATTTCTTTCTCCCTTTTTGTTCTATTCTCTTTGTTTTTCAATTCCGAAAATAATTTCAATAAAGTTCGTTCGTTTTTCACTGTTGGGTTCTTTATATCTTCCAACTGAAACACAGTAGATATATCAGCTTCCCTATGTATCCACCTGTCTAAGCATGCATTAAATGTATTAGTGG